AGTTATCGGGATGCCGACCCTGCCTGATGACTCTTTTCTTAGAGTTATCGGGATGCCGACCCTGCCTGATGACTCTTTTCTTAGAGTTATCGGGATGCCGACCCTGCCTGATGACTCTTTTCTTAGAGTTATCGGGATGCCGACCCTGCCTGATGACTCTTTTCTTAGAGTTATCGGGATGCCGACCCTGCCTGATGACTCTTTTCTTAGAGTTATCGGGATGCCGACCCTGCCTGATGACTCTTTTCTTAGAGTTATCGGGATGCCGACCCTGCCTGATGACTCTTTTCTTAGAGTTATCGGGATGCCGACCCTGCCTGATGACTCTTTTCTTAGAGTTATCGGGATGCCGACCCTGCCTGATGACTCTTTTCTTAGAGTTATCGGGATGCCGACCCTGCCTGATGACTCTTTTCTTAGAGTTATCGGGATGCCGACCCTGCCTGATGACTCTTTTCTTAGAGTTATCGGGATGCCGACCCTGCCTGATGACTCTTTTCTTAGAGTTATCGGGATGCCGACCCTGCCTGATGACTCTTTTCTTAGAGTTATCGGGATGCCGACCCTGCCTGATGACTCTTTTCTTAGAGTTATCGGGATGCCGACCCTGCCTGATGACTCTTTTCTTAGAGTTATCGGGATGCCGACCCTGCCTGATGACTCTTTTCTTAGAGTTATCGGGATGCCGACCCTGCCTGATGACTCTTTTCTTAGAGTTATCGGGATGCCGACCCTGCCTGATGACTCTTTTCTTAGAGTTATCGGGATGCCGACCCTGCCTGATGACTCTTTTCTTAGAGTTATCGGGATGCCGACCCTGCCTGATGACTCTTTTCTTAGAGTTATCGGGATGCCGACCCTGCCTGATGACTCTTTTCTTAGAGTTATCGGGATGCCGACCCTGCCTGATGACTCTTTTCTTAGAGTTATCGGGATGCCGACCCTGCCTGATGACTCTTTTCTTAGAGTTATCGGGATGCCGACCCTGCCTGATGACTCTTTTCTTAGAGTTATCGGGATGCCGACCCTGCCTGATGACTCTTTTCTTAGAGTTATCGGGATGCCGACCCTGCCTGATGACTCTTTTCTTAGAGTTATCGGGATGCCGACCCTGCCTGATGACTCTTTCCTTAGAGTTATCGGGATGCCGACCCTGCCTGATGACTCTTTTCTTAGAGTTATCGGGATGCCGACCCTGCCTGATGACTCTTTTCTTAGAGTTATCGGGATGCCGACCCTGCCTGATGACTCTTTTCTTAGAGTTATCGGGATGCCGACCCTGCCTGATGACTCTTTTCTTAGAGTTATCGGGATGCCGACCCTGCCTGATGACTCTTTTCTTAGAGTTATCGGGATGCCGACCCTGCCTGATGACTCTTTTCTTAGAGTTATCGGGATGCCGACCCTGCCTGATGACTCTTTTCTTAGAGTTATCGGGATGCCGACCCTGCCTGATGACTCTTTTCTTAGAGTTATCGGGATGCCGACCCTGCCTGATGACTCTTTTTTTAGAGTTATCGGGATGCCGACCCTGCCTGATGACTCTTTTCTTAGAGTTATCGGGATGCCGACCCTGCCTGATGACTCTTTTCTTAGAGTTATCGGGATGCCGACCCTGCCTGATGACTCTTTTCTTAGAGTTATCGGGATGCCGACCCTGCCTGATGACTCTTTTCTTAGAGTTATCGGGATGCCGACCCTGCCTGATGACTCTTTTCTTAGAGTTATCGGGATGCCGACCCTGCCTGATGACTCTTTTCTCAGAGTTATCGGGATGCCGACCCTGCCTGATGACTCTTTTCTCTCTTTACTTTTAAAGTTTGCTTTCCTATTGTGCAGTCCTTTTCCATCGTCTGTGCATGTCATTGTTGGCGGGCGTGTTCTGGTTGCAATCCTGGTCATTGTGCCTCGCATGATGGTGCCTCGGCCTCGCATGACGCTTCACATTATGATGTCGTGGTGTGTCAGCCTCACTTGATGCTTCAATGATGCCATGGTGCCTCACATGATGTGTCGACGATGTCATGATGCCTCACATGATGCGTCGACGATGATGTCATGGTGTCTCACATGGTGCTTCTATGTTGTCAAGGTGCCTCGCATGATGCTTCTCATGATGAGATGCGGACATCATGTGGTGATGCTTCACATGATGACATCATGGTGCCTCGGATGATGATGTCACACCTCATTGTATAGTGTGATCCTTGACACGGCTATCCATTTACGGTGTTGTCGTTTTTTTGTGTTTTTTTCACACATACAATTGTTTTCATTTTTTGGTGTTGTGTTCTAATCATTCGCCATGCCGCTGTCAATTGTATTCTGTTTGCCCGTAAAAGAGGCCTCTATAGGGTTTTGTTGGCTGGTAAAGGCGGGCCACTGGCACTGGCACCCTGTTCACACCCTGTGCCAGTGCAGCAGCCTATGACACCCAGCTTAGTTCACACGTCCAGCATGCACCTTGTGTGAGTGTTCGGATCTCAGCGCCATTGTTCAGCGCCAGTCCATCTTACATAGAGAGAGAGAGAGAGAGAGGTGTAGACTGTAACACGAGGCATGCGCAAGGGAAGAGTGCTACTTCTACGCCGTAAGCGTCACACGCATACAAACGTGCGTGGCATCTTACTTGTAGCGCTTGATTTGGCGCGTCGCAGCTAGTTATTTTCCCTTGCACACGTGCTTGTGTTGTGCTTGCGTTGTTATTCGGTCGGTATTAGTTGCAGCAGTGGTTGGTCAGGTGATGTAGTGTTCATTGGTCAGCTCCTCATCGTGTCTTCTTGAGCAAACGTGAGCAGGTGGTCTGTGGTCTGAACGAGAAATGGCCACTCCGAAAAACCACGTGCTCAAGAATGTCTCAATCACACTTGGTATGTTGCATGCATAGAGTGCGAACTTGACATTCATAAGAGTTCTTGTTTGGCGGTACTGACTTTCTCGCTCTCTTTCCTGCTGTCTCCTGTTTCGTGCAGAACGAATGACGTCCACCAAACTTGCGTCGCTGGCGACGAAGAGTGCGTCGACGTCGTCCGCTAGCCCTGCTGTGCGTGGTGCGCCGGCGGGTCGACCAACAGCAGCAGCAGCCGGTGAGCAATGGACGTTGGGCGGTGTTGGCCGCCGCCATGGCTGTGCCACTGTGTGTAGTACACAGTCAACTTTGCGTATAACGACACTTGGCGGGGCATCAGAAAAGTGTCCGTATTCGCGAAGTGTCCTTATCCGAAGTCTCATTATTTGTATTACAGTTAGTTGGGACTTTGCTCTGGGCATGGCAATTCTGTCGTTATTAGCGAAGTTGACTGTACTCCGGTGACAGCCCACAGCATACATGCATGCTGACATGTGTAGTGCAGTACAAGCAGCCGTACTAGTTTGTTGTAGTGGGTGTGGGCGTTGGGGGAGGGGGTGCGCGTGGGTTGACTGCCGCACTAGAGACTAGAGGAAATACTAACTTCTAGTCTGGCAGAAGAATTAAATGAAAGCATTCCGAGCTGTTGCTATGGTGAAGTGCAATGCTGTACTGGACCCCCAGGTAATGGCTGCTGGTGTGGTTAAGTGCAGTGCAGTACTGGGTCTCTAGCCAATGGCTGCTGGTGTTTGCTTGGTGCAAACACTTGCATTGGTCGCGTACTTTGCACCGTATGTTTGTGTGTGGTAAGTTGGTTTATACCCGTGTTGCACTGCGATTTCTACTGTGATAAGTGATGTGAATGCCTGCCCGCCTGCCTGCGTGCCTGTGTGTCTGCCTGCCTGTGTGTCTGCCTGCCTGCTTGTCTGGCTGGTTGTCTGTCTGTGTGCCTTCCTGCGCACATGTGGGTGCGTGTGTGTGCCTGCCACGTATATCACTCCTGCTCTCCTCTCAGCTGCTTCCCAGCCCATGACTTCTCCGCGTTCAGATCGTAGCGCTCACAAGGTCCACACCCCAGCCAAGCGAAAGCGCAGTCCATCACCCGCGGGTCGTGACAGTGCTGCCAAGCGCCCCACTGCTGCTTCCACTGCTAAGAGTAAGAAGGCAAGTCGCGGGGACGCAGCCATCGGCGATTCACCGCTGTCGGAAGGAGTGACGCAACAGCAGGGTATTGCCGCTATGCAGCATTCTCCTGAAAGCAGCCCGGCATCGCCAGTTCTTGCTAAGAAGACCTATGTGGCCAAAGCAGCCGCGTCCAGACTCTCGCCGGGCGCAGACAAGAAGAATTCGCTGAAATCGCCGGTCGTAGCTGCTGAAAGCAGCACGGCATCGTCAGTTCTTGCTAAGAAGACCTATGTGACCAAAGCAGCCGCGTCCAGACTCTCGCCGGGCGCAGACAAGAATAAATCGCTGAAATCGCAGGCCGTTGCTGCTGAAAGTGGAACGGCTGAGCAGTCAAACGTTGGATGTGGTGCAAAGCGCGGCATTGTTCATACTGCCGCTGCCTCGAATGCGGCGGCGAAAGTGCCGACGACCGGCAACACTACAGCCAAGCTATCCGCACGTCCGGGCCTGCACCAGCGGAAGTCTCCTCGAAAAGACCAGGTTAGGATTGAAGAACTCAGCGCGCCCTCCACCCATGGTGAAGATTCTGACCTGTCCGACTCTCAAAATGAACCTGAGCCCGCAGCAGGCAGTGGCAGTGGCAGCGGCAGTGCCCAAAAGAAGAAGATCGTTCGAGCTAAGAAGCAGAAAGTGAAATTCACGGTGGACGCCGTCCGCAGAAAGAAAGCCAGGATGAAGAAAGCACTGTTGGAGGCCACGGTTTCCGAGGATTGTGACGACGATAATGACGACGATGCCATGGTTGATATTGGCCCGCGAACGGAAGCTCGTCGAAAGCTCCACTTTGCAGTGGGTAAGTTGGACGGGGCTGGAGATATTACCCAATCTCAAACGGCTGCTATTGGCACTGGCTCGCCTGCCCAGTCTGCCAAGACGAGTTCTGGCATCAACTCTCGTCAGTTTGGCGGCATGGTGTCCGTCGACAGTGTTGACAAGAAGCTCTACTCTGCTGCTCAGCGTCAGTCTAAACGCTCCTCGTCTGCATCACACGACGGTAGCAGCAGCGACGATGAGGACCAAGCAGTGTCCGCTACCAAACCCGCTATGTTCCCTGGCAAGCGTGTTAGTAGGTCAAAGCAGTCTACTCCAGTGGCCCCAGCAGCAGCAGTAGCAGCATGTCAGAAAAGTACTCCGGACCTCTCGGCCATGCTTTCCGACTGCAGCCGCTCAGATATTCCTACTCTTGGTAAGTAGCTCTCCTCTGTGTGTGTGTGTTCGTGTGTATGTGTGCGTGTGCGCGCGTGTTGCCATTACATGTGTGTACATACGTGTGTAGATACGTGCAGGGTATATTCTAGGACGAATTTCCAACCGGTTACGGTCCACTGAAGAGTCGGGGGGGGGGGGGGTCCGGGGTTCCCCCCGGAATTTTTTTTCAAAATACAACCCAAATATGGCACTCGACAGCAATTTAACAGATTTCTTGGTGCTGGAGTGTAGCAAAGATATAAGCAGCTCCATTCACCCACAGAAAAGTACGGGCGGTTGGAACTGATTTGTAACTTTTCAACCGGTCGCCAACAATTTCAACCGGTCGAAAACCGGTTGGGGCGGTTCTAGAAAATTCCCTGACGTGTGTGTGTGTGTGTGTTTTCGTTGCCATTACATGTGTATACATGTAAATATGTGTGTGTGTCTGTGTGCGTATGTGCGTGCAGCACCGTCTTCTGTTGTATGATGACCATAGTCCAGCACGTGTGTACATATGTGTGTGTGTGTGTGTTTTCGTTGCCATTACATGTGTATACATGTAAATATGTGTGTGTCTGTGTGCGTATGTGCGTGCAGCACCGTCTTCTGTTGTATGATGACCGTATTCCAGCACTGCGTCAACTCGTGCCAATTACTGTAAAAGCAGAAATTTTCGGTGGTGTTTTATTTTCGGTATTAAACTTAGGTGCCGACAATTTTTACCGAAAATAAAACGCACCGAAAATTTCGGTACAACCAATTCTGTATACATGTAGTACTAGTACACTTCCCTGGCGAACGGGTTTTACCTAAAATTTCCCTCTACCGAACTACCGATTTTGGAGAATACCGAAAATATTACACCACCGAAAATTTCTGCTTTTCCAGTACCTAGTAGTGTGTAGTGGTTTGATACCCTTGCTCTGTGGACATCTCATTCAATTGCTGTTCAAGTTGTTTGCCTAGTGACCAGGCACAGTCTGTGCAGCATGCGTCCTCCTTCCTCTGATGCCCGCACATGTACTCTCTTCTGGTGTGTGTGTGTGTGTGTGCGTGTGTGTGCGTGTGTGCGTGCGTGCGCGCGTGTGGTATTCTTGTCAGGAGGGGCACTACGAGATGTATTTGGTCTACATCTGCAAGTGCTGGTAAGACAACTACCAAACTCTGTATCACCATCTTCTTCTGTCGATGTAGACTTTCAGCTTGTGTTTGTCTTGGTTGCGTGCACCTTCCCCGCCTATGTTATTACTATAACTTAGAACCTCCCAAGTTGTAAGGCCGTTACATGCTAGAGCTGATTGGCAGTTAGTTGTAGAACGTTAGTACCGTTGGTCAGTATCATGCCATGTTATCGCATGAGCTGATCGTCAAGTAACTGGTGGTGTTAGTGGACAGTATAGCGTAACTTGTAGTTCCTTGGTCCTTTTTTCTTTTTTTCCTATAAATAAATCCTTGGCTCTCTCTCTGTCTCTCTATCTATCTCTCTCTCTCTCTCTCTCTCTCTCTCTCTCCAGCGGGTGGCTGTTGATGGCGGTCATTCCTATGTAGATGCGTTGAAGCTAATGCACTCCTGCAGTTGCAACTATTCAGATGCTCTCACCGTTGCTCGCGGGGAGGACCCCAGTGAAGGTAAATTCCTACCAGCCTGCCTGCATACTGTAGTGTCTTGTATAAAATCCTGTCTCATTATAGTAGCCTGTTTTGAATACACACCTGATATTCGAGATACACTGTCGGCACATAAGTTTAGTTTTAGTGCTGATATACATAGAATACTTGGTTTGAATAGAAGCCTGGCCTTGACATCGGCCCCTACAGAAATAAGCCCGACTTTTTTTCCGCAACATGTGTAGTCCGGCTAAGTTTTAGCAATTGAAATACGCACCGATGAATTTTAGTTTCTTGCAGCACCGCAGGCAACTTGATCGTCACGTCCTGAGAGCCCTTTCTAGCACGCTAATGGTGTAATCATGAGGTGATCGAAATCTGTCCGCATCTCTGAACATGCATATTTTCGCTTTTCATCAAAACGTCGACCGCCAGACTTAGTGCAATGTGCTGCTCAAAGTTGGGGACAGTGCTGCGTAGTCCTCCTCAGTCGCACTGATACCCATGTTACAGAAGTGACTCATGATTGACTAACAAAACGTGTATGTGCTCAACATGCTGTCATATTTTCCCTTCTCTTCTTTTTAGGACTGCATGTCTGGACGCCTGAGGAGGACACAGTTCTGCTAGGACGACGCTGTCGCTTTCGTACTCAGCTCATTGACCTGCTGGGCCAAGAAGCGTGTGACAGCCGCATCCGCTATCTCAAGTCGTGATTGCGCCGTGTGCGGTGTGTGTGTGTGTGGGTGTGTGTTCAGTATTAGTGACACATGTTGGGTACTACTAGCTTCTCTCCAACAGACACAGGTACTGTCAGACCAGTGTCCATGTACGGTGTCGAGCTGCCATTGATGTACATGTATGTTTCAATAGCTTGCCCTTGACTGGCGCTTGGGAGCAGGGTTTCGTGTTGACCATTGACAACAGAGTATATGCTTTGTCCGTACTATTTGACCTGGGCAGAATGTTGGCTTCCCCAGAATCAGATTTCGAACATCTTTTATCGTCCTCATCCACGCTTCCGTAGCTTGATCTTTTCTGCGTCAGGTTAGGTATTTGGCCTTGACAGATGGCATTCTCTCTGAATCAGTTTCTAGTGTTCCCGTTGTTCACCTGCCCGCTTCCTGTTCTAGACTTCTTCTGCATCGTGTGCTGGTTACGTGTGCTGGTTACGTGTGCTGGTTATGTGCTTTTGTGTTGCATTCCCTGCCAGTCGCTCTCTGTTCCCTTCTTAGTCTACATGTGCTGGGTAGCAGGGAGTCGTAAAATACCGGTATTTTACGACTCCCTGCTGGCTAGTACATAGTATATACTGGTTACTGGGTAGACGATGTAGTATGTATTGGGTAGTACACCGCAGAGGGCATTGCAGCGCGCTCACACTGGCTAGCTGGCCGCGGCCTTTGAATGTGCTCACGATAGCTGGCCTTGGTCGTGGAATGCCTTTGCTTTCCGGACGTTGTGTCACATATCTGGCACGTCTTTTGGCAGTGTTGCCCCGTCTGCTGTTGAAGCGTGTGATTTGTCGGAGTTTTTTATTATGGCGGTATTTGAGCGTCGTCTCCATTTTAGTCTCGCTTTCTTTCTTTCTTTTTTTTATGATGCTTTTTGCGTGTTCTTAGGTTGTGCTAGTATGTGTGTTGTTTTTGTGTTGTGCTTGTGTACTTGATTTGTGATTGCTGTGCGCTGAGTTTACTGCCTTGTGCTGTCGTTATGTGCGCTCGGTGCATTTTTCTCTCGTTGGTTTTTTTGCAACTCCCAGTCTGCCTGGCTGATGTAGCTTCTGTGTTTTCTGTACGGCTGCGGCTGAAACTTGCAGTACATGTGATGTACATACTACATAGTCCTCGCTGGTACCCGTTGTGTAGCTATGGCAGCACCTGGCAACACATGTAACCAGGGGAACACAGTGACGTGGTATAGCAGAGCATGTTACCTTGTGACACGGGGGGAATGCCCTATTAAAATATGAATAAATAATAATAATAATAATAACACGGCTGCTCGTCATCATGTATTCTCTCTCTCTCTCTCTCTCTCTCTCTCTCTCTCTCTCTCTCTCTCTCTCTCTCTCTCTCTCTCTCTCTCTTTCTTGCTCTCTCCTGACTGCAATACAACCAGAGACCGGTTGGTCGAGTCCCGGTCTGACCATATTACCCGTATGGGGTCAGGTCCTGGTTGGGACCCTCCGTATTTAAAGGGGGGGGGAGGACATTGTTTTCAATGCAGTGTGCCCTCCATCTTGTTATATGCTGTCATCATCAAGCTTGTACTTCGAAGTATCCTGCACTGGTAAATTTCTGGCCTGTTGGTTCTTCGGCACCCGACCGAGACGAGTTGGTCAGTGAAATCCGAAGACGGCCGGCCCGGGGTACACTTCCCGCGCCTCGCCCAGGTCAAGTAGCCCCTGCATGCAGCCCCATGGCCCAGGGAGGTGTGTACACTTGTATTGGCCTGATGCAGCCGTATTGCATACCGTAAGTATATAATACAACCCAACAGTACGCTTGTACGTGAAATATAAACCGACATACAAACCGTGGCGAAGCCGAGGTTTGTATGATGGTTTATATTTCACGTACAAGCGTACTTTATAGTGGGATGTATTATACTGTCTATGCTGGCCTTCATACAAACTGACAGTCAACTTCTTCCTGTTTCTAAAAAGGAGTTTGTATGGTGGTCTATATGGGGTTTGTATGAGGTATGATGTTTATATGCCCAGTATAAACCGCCAACATGATGGGGCAGTTGACTGGAAGTTTGTATGAAAGGTCAGCATAATGTCCCGTATAAAAGCCGTGCATTCCTGTAGAAGCCGATGTACTCTTGGTAGCACTGACATCGGCTTCTACAGTACCGTAAAGTACCGTTGATCCGCCCCCACGCCATGTCGCTTCCCAGCTGGGTTTTCGGCAGGGGGCGGGAATTAGATCAAGGCTGTCAAGTGCAGTACGATGTACAACAACGTAGAGGATCACACTCAATGTGCTGGATTGTGCACATTTTGATACTGGATTGGCAAGTATTGTGTACAGCAGTGCATGCGTCGGTTCAACATCGTATTTCGTTGTATACGCCAAAGTCGCTTCACAAGGAGAAAATCGACAGGGGGCGGGAATTAGAGAGGGGGCGGATCAACGGTACTTTACGGTATTACTATTTATAATATCCTACAAACCAGGCTTCTCATGAGCTCAGTTAGTTCAAGGCAGGGAGTAAGTAGTACATTATTGCATGTCACGTGAGGGTTGTCTGTACTACGGCCAATCAGCGCCCTCCGCAAGCGGTCTGTATTTCTCGGTATTGCCCGCTCAAGCGGGCAATACATGTAACTTTCAGTGTATAGGGCTTGAAAGTGCTACATCACAGCATAGCAACAATTTCAAAAATTCAAAAATTGGATCCACTTGGATCCAGTTTTTGTATGGATCCAAGCACATTTCAAGCGGCCTTACTCTCAGCAAGGTGATGTAACCAGTGAAACTGACTGATTTGGCTACTGGGGGCGGGGTTACAACAGGTGGCGAAATAAAAGTCACACCTGCATGCGACATGAGTGGGTTGCTATGCACCCACATACTTAGGCAATGGCAAAGTCACACCTTAGTGGATCCAAAAATAGAAATCTGATGTCAACTTACTACTCCCTGGCCGTTTTGACGTCATCACTTTCAAGCCCTATTGCCCGCTGAATCCGATCACTCTGCGCATGCCCGTTCGTCAGTTGAGTCCTTCACTTCTCCGGAGCAGGTTGTCATTTTGGTGCGATCGATGGTAGATGGACAAAATCGCCATCAGACACACCGGTCACCAAAAGAAGCAACAGGCTCGAAAAAACGGAGGACTCTACTGGCGACGAGCATGTACAGAATAATCGGATTCAACAGTCAATACACCAAAAAGCTACTGCCTACCTGCACGGACTTGTCTCTTCTCTCCGAAGTTACGACCGGCATTGATGATGTGAGTCGGCCGTCGTCGACCAACTGTTCGAAGAGCTCAGGGAGCATCGCAAGCGCAGGCAACTTGAAAGCAAACGGAAGGTAAAATGAAACCTACATTGTAAATAATTGTTTCCAGTCTTGGACGTATCCGGCATCGCACCACAAGAAAAGTAATGGTGAAGATCTCAACGAACTCCAAGTCCACAGCAAGATCCAGGTCGAAGAGGTGCAAGAAAAGGACTTTCATTCAATGATGATAGACCATGCATGATAGACCGTGGGTGTCAAGCATGCAATAAATGATTTACAGGACCTCGTACGCGCTCGTACACGGGCAATAGGGCTTGAAAGTGATGACGTCAAAACGGCCAGGGAGTAGTAAGTAAGTTACTTAGTTGACATCAGATTTCTATTTTTGGATCCACTAAGGTGTGACTTTGCTATTGCCTAAGTATATGGGTGCATAGCAACCCACTCATGTCGCATGCAGGTGTGACTTTTATTTCGCCACCGGTTGTAACCCCGCCCCCACTAGCCAAATCAGTCAGTTTCACTGGCTACATCACCATGCTGTGGGTAAGACCGCTTGAAATGTGCTTGGATCCATACAAAAACTTGATCCAAGTGGATCCAGTTTTTGAATTTTTGAAATTGTTGCTATGCTGTGACGTAGCACTTTCAAGCCCTATACCGGCTTGATACATGACCTCACGGCTGACGCCGTTCGGTCATGTATCAGCCGGTATTGCCCTTTTCCCGTATGTCACGTGATTGTCGCCTTGGAGTTGACCAATGACAGATCAAACAGCGCGGACTGGAAAGCGCGGTCCTGCCTGCTCAAAGGTGATGGAACTGGATCCACTGCCCGTCGTCAAGTGACGACGGGCAGGAACGGATTCCACTGCCCGTCGTCAAGTGACGACGGGCAGGAACGGATTCCACTGCCCGTCGTCAAGTGACGACGGGCAGGAACGGATTCCACTGCCCGTCGTCACTTGACGACGGGCAGGAACGGATTCAACTGGCCGTCGCCGGGCAGTAGCCACTGGACTGACTCGTACTCTACTTCAAGGTCTTTCAAGTTTCATTGGTTACTAATAAAATAACTAAAGCAGAAGAGCGGTTTGCAACCACAACTGTCATCATGGCGCTCCAACATTTGATCTGGAACTGGGAGAAAAGAAGCCCCTTTGTTGAACGATATTGGCGATGCGAATGAGCTCCTCCGAAAAGTTGAGGAAGAGACTGAAACTTTTATTGCGGAGTCGCTCGCGAAGGAGATCTTGGACGAGCCGGATGAGCCTCAACCAAAGCGCGCAATGCTCAGCAACCTGCAGGATCCGCGCAATTTGCCGAGGTTTCCGATCAAGACGTGTAGTGGGAAAAATCCGTAGGAACAGAACAGCCAGAATGCCCGATGCCCAGTCGACAATGTCAATGGCCGCGCGAGAAAAAAAGCACTATGGACTACTACAAAAAACTGTACCAGAAAACAATCACAAAACACAATGCAGGTGTGTCTGTCATGTATCTCTTTATTTGGCTTGGGTGCACACGGGAAACACGTTCCAGTCACTCATACTCGGCCAGTACCGCTGTTCATCCAGCCCTTGCCGCTATCGCGGCGCGGGCTGGATTCCGCGGTACTGGCCTCGTACTCGTGCAGGAACCTGTACGTACTCGCTTGTACTCGGGCTGTAAATCATGGTAAATCATACCAAGAGTCCATAACCCCGGGGGGTTATGGACTCTTGATCATACGTATTGTACTACTCCCTGGTACAGGGAGTCGTACTCAAACTAGTTTGAGTACGACTCCCTGTCGATTCTTATGAAGTACATCACGAGCATGTGAGACAGCTGGGCGCGAGATGGCTGCGATATTTGGGGATTTCCCTGTTTCACGGCGTCGCGGGCAAAAAGGTACAAAATATTTTACACGACAACGAAAAAAGGGTTTGCTCCCCGACAACGAAAAACGTTTTTTTATTCCGTTTTCGAAACGTTTTTGCTGTTGACACGAAAACGACCTTTTTTTTTTAGAAAAAAGGTCGTTTTCGTGTCAACAGCAAAAACGTTTCGAAAACGGAATAAAAAAACGTTTTTCGTTGTCGTGTAAAATATTTTTGTGACATTGTTTGAACATTCGTATCGTACATCGTTTCTTTCTCAACATAATAATAATTTCCACTTCGTGCTTTCTTTGGTGGCATATCTTCTTCCTTCGTTGTCTGTGACCCCGTCTCTCCTAAAAGTCGGCCACAATGGCGACGAAAATGGGGAAGGTCAAGAACAAGGCGCCTGCAGAGATGCAGGTGACTGCAGAACAGCTGTTACGTGAAGCGAAGGAACGTCAACTGGAAGTTGTTCCTGCACCACCTAAGCAGAAAATCTCGGATCCCGAGGAGCTGGCAGAGTATCGCTTGAGAAAGCGAAAAGCTTTTGAGGATGAGATCCGAAAGAATCGGGTTCTGGTATCCAATTGGATCAAGTATGCCCAGTGGGAAGACTCGCAGCAAGAGTTGGAGCGAGCACGATCTGTCTATGAACGAGCATTAGACGTTGCCCATCGTAATGTCACCGTTTGGCTGAAATACGCCGAGATGGAGATGAAGCGAAAGCAGATCCAGCACGCGAGGAATATCTGGGACCGTGCAGTGACGGTGATGCCCCGGGCGAACCAGTTTTGGTACAAGTACACCTACATGGAGGAGATGCTAGGAAACGTGGCCGGTGCGCGGCAGGTATTCGGACGCTGGATGCAATGGGAGCCAGATGAGCAGGCGTGGTTCTCTTACCTGAAGATGGAGCTGCGCTACAAAGAGGTGCCTCGAGCACGGCAGATCTACGAGCACTTTGTCATGGTGCACCCGGACGTGAAGAACTGGATCCGTTACGGGCGCTTTGAGCTCCAGCATGGCAATGTGTCGAGTGCCCGAACTGTGTTCGAGCGTGCAGTGGATTTCTTTGGAGATGACCACCTTGAAGAGCAGCTGTATGTTGCTTTCGCGAAGTTTGAGGAACAACAGAAGGAGTATGAGCGTGCGCGTGTCATCTACAAGTACGCCTTGGACCGCATACCAAAGCAAGAAGCCCAGGACCTGTTTAACCAGTACTCTCGGTTTGAGAAGAGATTCGGTGATCGCCGTGGTGTCGAGACGGTGGTCGTCAGCAAGCGCCGCTTCCAGTACGAGGAGGAGGTCAAGGCCAATCCGTGCAACTACGATGCCTGGTTTGATCTGCTGCGCCTGACCGAGGAGGACTCAGACGAGGACGCGGTGCGAGAAACGTATGAACGTGCCATTGCGAACATTCCGCCGAGTGCAGAGAAGCGGCACTGGCGGCGCTACATTTACCTGTGGATTTTCTACGCAATGTACGAGGAGCTTGTTGCTGAGGACGTCGATCGAGCACGGCAAGTCTACAAGGCGTGCTTGGGCATTATTCCTCATCAGCAGTTCACGTTTGCCAAGATCTGGCTGATGGCGGCGGAGTTGGAAGTCCGCCAGCGTGACCTGCCAGCAGCTCGTCGCCTGCTGGGAAACGCGATCGGGCGGTGTCCGAAGGACAAGCTGTTCCACTCGTACATTGAGATTGAGCTGCAGCTGCGCGAATTTGACCGCTGTCGCATGCTCTTCGAGAAGTTCTTGGAGTACAACTCGGCTAACTGCACGACCTGGATTCGCTTTGCCGAGATGGAAACCCTGCTTGGCGACGCGACTCGAGCACGGAGCATCTTTGAGTTGGCCATCGAGCAGACTCTGCTGGACATGCCCGAGGTGCTGTGGAAGGCGTACATTGACTTCGAGATCGCTCAGGACGAGCCGGAGAATGCTCGGCAACTCTACGAGCGTCTGCTTGAACGCACGCAGCACGTCAAGGTTTGGCTGGCGTTTGCCGCGTTTGAAGCTCGGCAGAGTGCCGAGTCGGCTCGCGACATCTTCCGCCGTGCCGAGAAGTCTGCACGCAGCAGCGGAGGTGAGGCCGAGGAGCAAGTCATGATCCTTGAAGCATGGAGTAAGTTCGAGCAGGAGCATGGTGATCCTGAAACGCAAGCCGCCATTACCAAGCGGCTACCGAAGAAGATTAAGAAACGCCGCGAGAACGGCGAAGAGTATTTCGACTACATCTTCCCCGAAGACAGAGACGCCAACCCGAATTTCAAGCTACTTCAGATGGCACACATGTGGAAGCAAGGGCAATAACGACCTGTGTACGCGCTCACGTAATGGTACGTGCCCGTGGGTGCTTGTGTGTGTGTGTGTGTGTGTCTATCTGTCTGTCTGTCTGTCTGTGCGTTTGTAGTCGTACTCTTTCGTTTTGACATCCTCTACTTTTTTTGTATGCATGTAAATATTTTTGTACAGTGTACATAGTGGACATTTGCAAGACCAGCTTGCTTGCAAGCTGTATACATTCATACGCTGTATACATTCATGTACATTATTTTCGCAGCTCCTTTGTACATATCTGCTTTTGCTGTCTTGTTTTTAAAATACATGTACTTCATGATTCATTTTGTATCATTTAGAAAGAAAAAGTATGGTAAATCCTGTAAAACCATGGCATTCTTATGGATTTGGTTCTATTTCGCTCAGTCACGTTGTCATGACAGTCATGATAAGAGCCCCGTCACAGGGCCCAAAGAGACCAAGGGTAATGAGAGTTTGAAACTGTGTAAAATTAGCCAGAGGAATAAAGATCGAAGCGCGGTGTAAAGCAAGAATAGGGAATGCTGACACAGCAGCTGAGAGACGTACATGTCCGTACACTGTGATAATGATGCATGTCCGAATAGGAGACTGAGTATCATTTCACAAGAGTGTATTTCACGACGAATAGAATACATGTGCGAGTACCAATACAGGATGTGAAAGATGTGTAGGAGGGAGGGAGAAACCGAGAAAGCCATGCAGGACATCTCCGGATGGCAAGAGAATGACCAGGTTTTTGAGGACCGCCAAACTGCACATTCACGGATGCCTAAGCAAACGTGGTAGGAGAACTCAGTCATGAGGGATCACCTGGGATGGCTCGTAACCAGGAAGTAATAAGATTTTGACAACAGTAAAACCTGTAACTAACGACCACCCCTTGGGGCCAGAGAGAGCAGTCTTTAGTGGCAGGTGGTCCTTAGTTAGAGGTTTGCACCGCACAACCATAATGAATGAATGTGAGACTGTCCGTACCTGGCGAAGTGGTCTGTAGTACCAGGCTGGTCGCTAGCCACGGTGGTCTTTAGTTACAGGCTTTACTGTACTTCCTGGCTGTAACCGGCGCACATGACTACAGTCAACTTCGCTTACAACGACACCCGGCGGGCATCAGAAAAGTGTCCTTATTCGCGAAGTGTCGTTATACCCGAAGTCTCATTATGTGTTACAGTTAGATGGGACTTTGCTCTGGGCATGAAACTTCTGTTGTTATTCGCGAATTGTCGTTATATCTGCAGTCGTTATTAGCGAAGTTGACTGTATATCTACCTGCCAGTGCCAACACAAAGTCAGTGTGCAAGAGACGCAGTAGTCAGTCCATCAAGAGACACAGTAGTCAGTCCATCAATGGACGCAGTAGTCAGTCCATCAAGGGACGCAGTAGTCAGTCCATCAATGGACGCAGTAGTCAGTCCATCAAGGGACGCAGTAGTCAGTCCATCAAGGGACGCAGTAGTCAGTCCATCAAGGGACGCAGTAGTCAGTCCATCAAGAGACGCAGTAGTCAGTCCATCAATGGACGCAGTAGTCAGTCCACCAAGGGACGCAGTAGTCAGTCCATCAAGGGACGCAGTAGTCAGTCCATCAAGGGACGCAGTAGTCAGTCCATCAAGGGACGCAGTAGTCAGTCCACCAAGGGACGCAGTAGTCAGTTCACCAAGGGACGCAGTAGTCAGTCCATCAAGGGACGCAGTAGTCAGTCCACCACGCGCACCAGATGCGCCGTAGTTCTTGACAAAGGGGAGCATGGCATGATGCTACAGTATATCCATCAACAGCTGCACCAATGTCCGTCAATACACTGGACCCAGGGAGTCGTAAAATACCGGTATTTTACGACTCCCTGACTGTACCGCAACACCAAGTGCAAATGGTTATGCCGCATTTGCCTATCATCAAGAGTACATATTAACATAACCATTGCACTCTTGCTAAGACAGTTATCATGCAGTTCAGATCTCCCACAGAAGCTTTATGCCATAACGACGTGCACACGACGATGCTTCAACGAGGCTAATGAAAATGTGTGCTCCTCCAGGACCAAGAGCAGTGGTAGCATGCTCTTGAGCAGGGAGTGGTGCTTTCTTACAGGTTTGCCGAGTGGAAGGTTCCATGAACTGGATGGCAGTCGGGACTCGGGAGTCAGTCAAGTGTCAAGTCAGCAGGAAAAGCGAGAGCCCCCGCCCCGCGTACTGGAGCAATACAGTGACAGTTCCCAAGTCTCGCTGAAGTCGCTACAACCACAACCTCTTCTTCCAGTTCGCACAGTTGTGACTTGTCCCAGCGCGACTATGGCTTGGCGGCAGCAACGCTGTGAACAATGGTGAATGACCAATAATTATGGCATATGCACGCTGTCCTCTGCGGGTGTTCTGGACTGTACTCTGTAGCTCCAAGAGCGACACTGATTCACGCTACTACTATTATAATAGTACTACTACTAGTACATGTACTAGCTGGGAGGTTGTGAGGTGTTTGTTGCGCTGGAAACGGAGCATCACCTAGTAAGTTAGGTATCCTTTGTACTTGTAAAAGTTGTAGTAATGTTTTGGCTCTGAGAGCACCACATGATTATGCAGTGCTCTCGGAACACCAATTATTTTCATTGCCCGCTCAAGCTCAATTCAACTGATGAGGGGTGAGTCACTGTATTGAGCAAGAAGTGGTGCTTTCTTGCAGGTTTGCTGAGTCGAAGGTTCGACGGTCTTCTCGTGTACTCTGGATGGCAGTCGTAAGTCAGTCAAGTGTCAAGCCGGCAGGAAACCGTGAGCTTCCAAGTAGGAAGCAACACACCATTTCCCAAGTCTTGCTGAAGTCGCTACAACCTCCTTCTTCTCGTTCGCACAGCTGTGACTTGTCCGGCCCAGCGCGGGCCGCTGCGACTACAATAATTCATGTAGATGATTTGGAGGCAACAACGCTGTGAATCAGAATGGCCAACCCCGGTATTCGGCACTTGTTCTGCACCTCCAAGTCCAAGAGCGACGCTGCAGCCTGGACCATGGAGTTCGCGAGGTGTTTTGTTGCGCTGAAAACGGAGTGTGCACTGTAAGTAGTTAGTTGGTATCCCTCGTGTAGTGATGTTTAGGTTCGGAGAGCGCTACATAATGCAGGGTCTGGGAGAACTAATTAGCCTACTCGAACTCAACTGGTGACGGGTGAATTCCCCGAAACACGGTGTACTGTCGAGCAGGGAGTGGTGTTCTCTTGCAGGCTCGACGGACATCTTGTCACAGGAGTGTCGACCGCGCGCTGTGCTCTGGGTGGCAGTGGTGAGTCAGTCCAGTGCCAGCTCAAGTCGGCCGGAAAAGCGCGAGCTTCCAAATGGGGGAGCAACACATATTTCCAAGTATTGCTGAAATCGCTACACTGACTTCTTTCTCGGACAGTTGTCCTCGGGGGGGGGGGGGGGGGCTTGCAACCAGATGGTTTGGAGGCAACAACGTTGTGAATGGTCAACGGCACCTCCATAGCGACACTGACTCACACTGCTGTCTGGAGTTCGCGAGGTGTTTGTCGCGTTGGAAACGGCGTGTCACTGTGAGTTGGTTGGTATCCCTAGCGATGTGATTAGTGGTCAAATGGGTAGATCTACCCTATTAGGCTCTGAGAAAGAAGCTGAAATTCGGCCATCCCAAACCCCGACCACCGTCCCCTCCTGGAATGATTACTTTTACAGTAGGGCTGAAACGATCGTGGATTTTCACGTATCTTACTCTTTAGCTTAACGATCGAGTAATCGATTATAATCGTTAGCAAATAGAGTAATTCTGTGCTAACATTACTCTGTTTCCACAAACCATGCCTTCATAATACCAACAAATCTGCATTAGTGAAAGGGTAGCTGCGAAACATGGCAGTTTTTAAGTCAATTTAACCTCGGAACATGAACCATACCCCTGGCAACTGCATACTCCCAGCGGAAACTGATTCAAACTTCACAAAACGAGGGTTTACAGTACTTTCTGGACACAAATTTAAAAAACGCAAAATAATCGTAATCGGTAATCTAAACGATTGCTCGATCGTTAGAGTTATCAAACGAGTACTCGATTATTCGGTATAATCGTTTCAGCCCTATTTTATAGCCCATCCTGGCTCTGAACTTCACACCTGAAATGATTGGTCAAAGGTGTGAAGGAGCCGCCCTCAGCCTTTTACACAATGTAATAGAGTATAGACTTGAAAAAAATTTTGTTAGACTTTATTTGAAGGATTCTCCAAAAGTAAGTTGATGGATACTTATCGGGGGAGTTTCCTGGAAGGGTGGATGAGACGAAAGGGAAGTGAAAAGGGAGAAGGGAAAATAGTACTTAGCAGAAACACTGCTCAGGGAAAACTACAGGTAAAACCACCAGGGAGAAACAGAATACATGACGAGAGTTAGATACGAAAATCAGGAATTCCAGTGGTGGAGAATTTCCAGTGGTGGAGAATTTGTACGTTAAATAATGGTCCTTCAGGAGAAACCGAAACTTAGCAGAAGATCGCTCCCTGCGTAGGCTCTCAGGAAGCTTGTTCCAGACAACTGATAAACCGAAAATGAGTTCCAGAACGAGGCAAAACGATAGAGGGAGGGTGGCGGCAGCTGCTGGAGAGTATACTAGCATTACACAATGTAATAATGCTACACAAAACAAAGAGAGAGGATAGTTGTCACATTCACTTGGTTCAGGGAGCCCTACGCATACCATGGATGTACTGACTACAAGTAGTGACTAATCGTGTTTGTTGTCTGAACTGCTCACACCTTCCTGCAAGAGTAACTTTTAATGTTAGAATGCGTAATTTTTTTCACTTCCAAGTGGCATCGAGTACCTGATTACTATTGGGCCGGTCATTTACAAGGGAGCGGGTTTTCAGGTACCCGGCCCGCTACCAGTTTGACCACTAATGTGATGTGTTTGGTATCCCTAGTGATGTTTGCCCAGCCCGGGAGAGCACTATATAACTTATGATGCAGTGCTCTCGGAACACATTGACCTACTCAAGCTCCACTGATGAGGGGCGACTTCCCCGAAACACTGTGCTCTGAACTCCGAGTTTCACGTTGTCACGATCATCATATAATTATGATATGAGGCATCTCGCGGCTCCAAAACGGGCAGCCTGAACATGGGAAGCAAGGCGAGAATTACTGAGCTGAGGGGAACCATAGCGTATGAGTCCGGTGCAGGTGGGAAGTAACAACACATCCCCAGCTCTATTTTATTCATACCATCAGAGTGCCAGAACTGCTGCTGCTACTTGATTACTCTTACTCATTTTTCCAGTACCGGTATGACGAAAGCAACAGCAAATGAAGGGTTTTAAGTTTTAACCAAAGAAAAACAATAGTTACTTGCAAGTTCACGGGTACCAGTAAAAGGACAGGTCCAAAAAGTACACACCGGAATGCCTCACGTTGAGAGGGGGAAAGAAAGGGAAACCCCACAAAAGGTGAATATAATAAAATGGGTGAGCATTGAAGACCAGCTTAAAGCTCTTCATATTGGACTGGCCAGCATGTCCCGTGAAATGACAACAAATTCAGAGCTTGGAATAAAACTAAAAATACCTCCATCCGAAAATATATCAAATATAATCAAAGTCCAGAAGTCTACTGTAATTTCCTTGCAATGTGTTAATGTACATGACTGCATACCCTACAAGAGTCTAAAATACCTCTAAAATATCTACTGCGAATTGAGGCCTAAATATAGAACTAACAGCCAATAGCTAGCAAGAACACCAAGAGAGAACGAAATATAAACGTTGCAGATAGCTACCGGTAAGTTTGTCCACAACCGACATCTTATCTGATGACCACTGTGACCATCAGAGCACCGTTCAGCTTTGATCCAACTACTCTTCATCTGAACCAGCAAACTTTGATTTCTCGCCAAGCCCTGCAAACACGCAAACACCACAAGAAACTTTTTAAGAAAGGGTTCGAGAAATGTCTAATGTCACAGTGTCACAAAAATAGTGCCATCTTATCTACGAAGACGAGTTAGAGTCGAGATCAGGGAGTCGTAAAATACAGGTGTTTTACGACTCCCTGGTGGAGATTGCATACGTTTAATACTGCATTTTGAGAAGAAAAATTCCACCCCGGACTCTCTGTGACTCCAGGTACCAGATGACATAGAAATGTTAGTCGATGCGGCATTTTTGCGAAGAGAACTCTACAGAAGGATGAAGTTGAACGTACGTCGCAATCGAGCTATGTCGCTTGTGTGTCAATGTGCCATGCGCTACCCGATGTACCGGCCTGCTATGTCGGACACCACCAACCATGCATCGACTAGGCGACATGCACGGACTGATGGCGGTGGTGGTGGTCAGAAGGAGAGCTCTGCGCCAGAGTAACTCCGCAGGTTAGAGAGCGTGTGCGGGCAGGCGTGTATTTACCGCCATATTACCAGGTGTGTATGTACCACCGAGAACTCTACTTCGAGTACAAGTACACGGGTGCCATGCGATCGCACGGGTCAGTGTGGCGCCAGGTGCTGTGCAGATCCCAGACCGGCAAGCAGTCTCACGCTGGCCTGTGCTCCGACGCAGGGCACTAAATAACTCACGAGATAAAGATTGTGTTCATCGCTACAGGACACACAAGTAGCAGCGGCAGAGGACGGTGACGGTTGGGAGGTGCAGGGCGGCGAGTCCAGGTTGAAAGAAGAACCGTTCCCCCTACGCCATGCTCTGCCTGGTAGCGACACATTGCTATGTATTTGTATTTATTTATTGATTGTGTGTTTGTATTTATGGATTCTCCACAGGCCTTAGCATAAATCGATGTGCATGCAGATGGGTGTGTTAACATACAGTTCTGGTCAGAGAAATCCAACACCTCATGACTAAAGTAGCACCGCATTTGGAGGAGTGCACAGACCAGTGTGTGTAGTGCTGGGCCTGTGTAGCGCCCAGCAACGCTATTTTATTCACGAGGTTGGATTTCTCACACCAGCACGCCGTAGTACAACACATAGTTACCTTCAGGTCCCATTGCCATGTCTACAGCAATGAACAGGGAAGCACAAATACAGAGACGGAAACACAGCAGATCGTCAATCTTCGGCAGTATGTACTAATACACATTTCAAGCATTGCGCATACGAGCACCAGAATCAAGACAAGGTCAGAGTTTTCACACTGTAGATGTACGTCACCCAGGCAGGCGTACACCAAACCAAAACAGCATAGACAGACACACAGAGCGCCAGGATTAGACGTTCTTAAAATTAAAATACCACTGTCATCTGTACTGCATGGCATGGAACCAGACAACATCAGTGGTACTACAGTCAAAATGATGCCTGAAGTTTGTGTTCTTCTGCAAAACGTTTGTGTTCTTCTGCAAAACGTTTGTGTTCTTCTGAAAAAGAATGAATAAATGCACTTCCTGAAATGGATTTTATCTCGTTTTGAATTGGAGCCCTTGACGTGTACATTGTATTAACTGTTGACTGAAGGACATTGTATTGACTGTTGACTGAAGGACATTGTATTGACTGTTGACTGAAGGACATTGTATTGACTGTTGACTGAAGGACATTGAATTGACTGTTGACTGAAGGACATTGTATTGACTGAAGGACATTGTATTGACTGTTGACTGAAGGACATTGTATTGACTGAAGGACATTGTATTAACTGTTGACTGAAGGACATTGTATTGACTGAAGGACATTGTATTAACTGTTGACTGAAGGACATTGTATTGACTGTTGACTGAAGGACATTGTATTGACTGTTGACTGAAGGCCATTGTATTGACTGAAGGACATTGTATTAACTGTTGACTGAAGGACATTGTATTGACTGTTGACTGAAGGACATTGTATTGACTGAAGGACATTGTATTAACTGTTGACTGAAGGACATTGTATTGACTGTTGACTGAAGGACATTGTATTGACTGTTGACTGAAGGACATTGTATTGACTGTACATTGTATTGACTGTACATTGTATTGACTGTTGACTGAAGGACATTGTATTGACTGTTGACTGAAGGACATTGTATTGACTGTTGACTGAAGGACATTGTATTGACTGTTGACTGAAGGACATTGTATTGACTGTTGACTGAAGGACATTGTATTGACTGTTGACTGAAGGACATTGTATTGACTGTTGACTGAAGGACATTGTATTAACTGTTGACTGAAGGACATTGTATTGACTGTTGACTGAAGGACATTGTATTGACTGTTGACTGAAGGACATTGTATTAACTGTTGACTGAAGGACATTGTATTGACTGTTGACTGAAGGACATTGTATTAACTGAAGGACATTGTATTGACTGAAGGACATTGTATTAACTGAAGGACATTGTATTGACTGAAGGACATTGTATTAACTGAAGGACATTGTATTGACTGAAGGACATTGTATTAACTGAAGGACATTGTATTGACTGAAGGACATTGTATTAACTGAAGGACATTGTATTGACTGAAGGACATTGTATTGACTGTACATTGTATTAACTGAAGGACATTGTATTAACTGTACATTGTATTAACTGTACATTGTATTAACTGTACATTGTATTGACTGTACATTGTATTGACTGTACATTGTATTGACTGTACATTGTATTGACTGTTGACTGAAGGACATTGTATTAACTGTACATTGTATTAACTGTTGACTGAAGGACTTGTATTAACTGTTGACTGAAGGACATTGTATTAACTGTACATTGTATTAACTGTACATTGTATTAACTGTACATTGTATTAACTGTTGACTGAAGGCCTTGGTGTAAAGTGTACATAATACTTACATCCACCATCCACAGGCAGGTCAGTGGCGGTGATAAATGATGCTGCAATTTCACACGTCACGGACACAAGTCACACAATACAGCATGTTGGTGTGAGGCAATCAATGTGGCATGTGTCACACATACTGCTCAAGCGGGACAGCTTTCACGTGCATTCCTACATTGAAGATTCTATGGAACGAGTCAAGATATTTTGTCAACATGTTTTTTGCAGAATGCAAGGGTACATGTCCGGAAAGAACACACAAACAGAAACACATGCACACACACGCGCGTGCCACACACACACACACACTTGTACTTGCTCACTGCAAATATTGGTCACGTAGGTCTCCCCGGGAGAGGGAAGAGAGACTCAAAAGAAATACACACACGCACATACCGGTATGCACACACCAGCACACACCAGCACACAGTAAGATTTCACGAAGGAATGCACCCAGAATACAAAGTCCTCACCATCATCACTTAGAAGAAAGGCCGCAGCACTTGCAACTTCCTGCAAAAACCAAAAGCAACGCAGTAACCCAGCAACCACTTTTAACCATGTTTATTATTGCACATTCAAAAAGGAAAAAAATGAGCGTGCTCCCAGCAGGGCTCGAACCTGCGACATTCGCGTTATTAGCACGACGCTCTAACCGACTGAGCTATGGGAGCTCAGGTGATCGCTACAATACGCGGAAGGAACAAGTGAGGAAGTACTGTACGTACCGTGCATTCTGTCCTCACATTGTCACAGAGTGCTACACTTTCCATCAGTGCTATCAAGAGTCCACGATCCCCCAGAGTGCTACACTTTCCATCAGTGCTATCAAGAGTCCACGATCGATCCCCCAGAGTGCTACACTTCCCATCAGTGCTATCAAGAGTCCACGATCCTCCAGAGTGCTACACTTTCCATCAGTGCTATCAAGAGTCCACGATCCCCCAGAGTGCTACACTTTCCATCAGTGCTATCAAGAGTCCACGATCGATCCCCCAGAGTGCTACACTTCCCATCAGTGCTATCAAGAGTCCACGCTCCTCCAGAGTGCTACACTTTCCATCAGTGCTATCAAGAGTCCACGATCCCCCAGAGTGCTACACTTTCCATCAGTGCTATCAAGAGTCCACGATCGATCCCCCAGAGTGCTACACTTTCCATCAGCGCTATCAAGAGTCCACGATCCCCCAGAGTGCGCAACTGGGATGCGGTTGTGGCACGGCGTAATCCGCGATGTACGTCATTTTTTCGGGTCGGACGTGCGTCATTCCGTCGACGCGGTCCACACTTCCCCTACTCATGATGTCATACTATGACGTGCAACACGGATTTCGCCGTCCCAGATCTGATAAGTGAAGTGGCGCACTCTGGGGGATTATGTACTCTTGGTGCTATCAACAATTCAGAGCAACTCCTTGTTTACAGTGTAGTGTTTATCGAAACCTGTAGATCAAAAACAAACGCCCACTTTTTTCCACCCCAAGCAGTAGATTCTACTTTCCTCTACCGGCTCTACCAGGTTTGAGGCTGGCAGAAGCCGGTAGAAGTTGGTAGCATCACAGTATTTCTGTACTGGTGCGACCATGAGAGCTGGTTTCCGCAAAACGTTGTACATCGTACTGCAAATATTGTAAAAACGGACGTTACATCGATGCTGGGCAGATCAGCATCCGTAAACTACTTAACACCTACCGTCCTTTCTTTTCCAATGTCCACACTACTCTTACTCGGCTCGACTTGACTTGACTCTACTCTACTCCACTTTCCAATATCTACTCCACTCCACTCCATTCTACTCTACTAAGGAGACAAAAACTAACTCAGCCTAAATGCCTAACGCCTAACGCAGCCTAAGTGATGAACTGGACTTGTCTAACACTCGAACGAAGAAGAATGAGAGTACAGTGACAACTCAGGTTTCATGCAAAAAAAACAATTCAAACTATCCAGTGTTCTATACGTCAGATGCCATATTTCCCTGATTAAAAGTCGCACTTGAATATAAGTCTAAACTCGGATACTGAGCCAGTAATACATGTAAAAAAGAGAAGAAACACATGAGAACGAGTTATGCAGTAACTATCCACTATTATCGCACTTTCCGACAGTTTATCATCTTGTTACAGTCGTGGATAGTTGCTGCATAACTCGTTCTCATGTGTTTCTTCTCTTTTTTACATTCGAATAAAAGTCGCAGCCCATTGTCAGGTCAGGTCGGAGCCTAATTGTTTCAATACATTTTACAAAGTACAGTGCTAGCAACTGAAATCCGATCCCCTGAGCGGTGCCGTGCGCTCACATCGCAAAGAATGTGAACCCACCGCTCAGGCGGTCGGATTTCAGTTGCTTGCACTGTAGGAAGTCATACTCGATTGTAAGTTGCATCCCTTCGTCGCCCTTGAAGTCAAGCGTAAAAAAAGGTGTGACTTACATTCGGGGAAACACGGCGCTAAAACTAATGGACTCACCGATGCTTCACCAAAGCGCCGCACCATGTGGAACGGCTCGCCCCAAACGGGCTCCCAGGTCTTGCGGTCTCCTTGAGCGGCCTTGCTGACCTCCGGCGTCCAGATCCAGGCAGGACTGATGCTGTTGACGCGAATACTATCAGCAGACAAGTCCAGTGCCTTCGAACAACAAATACCAAACAAGAGAGATTCATCTCTTACAACTACACAGCACGTGGAAGTACATGTGAAGAGTTTAGATTCGGAATGTGCACTAAATGTTTAGCGTGGTGTAATCAAAAGGTCTAGGGGCACGTTATAATATGGACCGAACATGAAAGGAATCTTTCTTGGTTATTTTTGAATGTCCGAAAAATGATGATACTTCTTAAAAAAAGCGTACGGGAAACGGGTCGCATCGCGAAAAAGTTGACTTGAGCTCAACTTGTTTGGCCCATCGTGCGACGATCGCGTGATGGTTCTCCCGTACGCGAAATGAAGTATGAATTGGCCTTTACGCCATCACTATGATTATGACATCACACCATGCGCAGATCACTTCAAGAGGGCTGCCATTTGATAATGACATGATGTGCACGCACTACATTGCATTTCGCATCTGACCTCGTCATGAATAACCGGGATAAGCCGCAACCAGATTTTTTTGTCACGAAATACAGAGATCTACCCTGTATTTCACGGTTTCAATTAGATCTCCTGCTGCACAACTGCAGCTCAGTTGCAGCTCAGTTGCAGCTCAGTTGCAGCTCAGTTGCAGCTCAGTTGCAGCTCAGTTGCACGCACTACGCCACTTCCCACCGCTTAGCTGCATCAACTATGATGTAGTCCAGGAGTATTGCTGCGCCAGACGCATATGCAGGAAACGTCACACGCTGCACACCATGGGTTTCATGTACTCTTGTAAATATGTATCGACACACAACCACTCACCATTGTTTTAGCCATGATGTGTAGGGCACCTTTGGTGGCTGAATACGTCCACCTTACAGGCTGTGCTCTATAGCAGCAACAGCAACAAGACATGGTCAAGCCCATGGCAAACTAATAACTGTATACGAGAGAGAGAGAGAGAGAGAGAGAGAGAGAGAGAGAGAGAGAGAGAGAGAGAGAGAGAGAGAGAGAGAGAGAGAGAGAGAGAGAGAGAGAGAGACAGACAGAGAGAGAGAGACAGAGACAGAGACAGAGAGAGAGAGAGAGAGAGAGAGAGAGAGAGAGAGAGAGAGAGAGAGAGAGAGAGAGAGAGAGAGAGAGAGAGAGAGAGAGAGAGAGAGAGAGAAGAGAGACAGAGAGAGAGACAGAGAGAGAGAGACGGAGAGACAGACAGAAAGCGAGGAGAGAAAGACACAGAGAGAGAGAGAGAGAGAGAGAGAGAGAGAGAGAGAGAGAGAGAGAGAGAGAGAGAGAGAGAGAGAGAGAGAGAGAGAGAGAGAGAGAGAGAGAGAGAGAGAGAGAGACAGAGACAGACAGACAGACAGACAGACAGACAGACAGAAAGAGAGAGAAGAGAGAGAGAGAGCAAGAGAGAGAGAGAGAGAGATAGTGGAGAGAATTGCCTTTTGGAGTAATGGCACTGATTGACGTGTAATCATCCACGGTTCCATTGTCAAGTGAAGATACAGCACAAGGCCAGGGAGCAGAAACCATCTCACCTCGACAGGAACGCATACAAACACACAAGCATGCACGAACGTACATACTCTCTCCCCCTGTCTCACTGTGCCTTGTCGGCGTTTTCTTACCTGTGCGCTGACACACTGGCCAGGAGGACAATAGAGCAGCCACGACCTACACATGCATATACAGCACAACAAATTAAGGTGATGACAGCCACCACCACAACAAATTAATTTTAAAGGTGATCACAGCTATCCAGTTGCCAATGATACTATTGATAGGTTGCTCTTTTTGAGCTCCGTAGTTTTCTTGTCATTTCGCAGCCCAGTCAGCATCAGGCCGGCCTGGAGGTAGTTGTAGGGTAGGATTAGGCGTAGTGCAGGAGTGTGGTGAGAGCAGCAGTATTAGATAGCCAGGTCTCAGTTTGAATATTTGTTGCGATATCCAAAATTTTATCTCCAAAATTGAGCACTCTGACATGGACAGGCGAGGCCAACTATCCACTTCCCGTGCCCGAAAAGTGTGAAGCACATAGATATTGCTGAGAGGCTTCAAGTCTGTGGGCACTCATTTGGTGATGTCCTGCAGATCGATCTGCATGGACGGCCCGAATTTCATGCCGTGACCCTGAGAGACTTGGCCACACGAGACCAGTTGGTTGCCTCTGTTGTACTGTTGTGGACATGGAAATCCGGTCGCACGTCTAGCGGCCTCAGAGCGCTGGCCATGAAGCCGTGGGTAAGCAGTACACACATACATGTATGCGCTGTAGCACACTGGTCGCATCGGATCAACATGACTGTTGCAGTGCACGCAGAGTTCTGTACGCGCTGAGGGCGCCGGCCCCGGTCAATCGACTGGATTTCCATGTCCGCGACAGTAGTAGTACAGTAGTCTGCACGGTGCACACATCCCGTACGCACGTGCGCTCGTTATGCACGCACACACACACATGTTACGTCCTTCTTCATACACTGCTGTGGATGGGAAACAAGAGAGCTTGGAAGCTCAGGGCCCTACGCTAAGCTTTTTTTTGCCTAGCTCATCATGCATGTTATTAGAACTGATGGAAATGTTTTTTCCATCGATAGGCTTTAGTGTTTTACGTCAACCATGACGGCTACAATGCCCAACCATACCACAACGAACTGATCGGCTACATCATTGTATTGCAAAAAGTTTCCATCTGTTCGAATAACATGCATGATGAGCTAGGCAAAAAAGCATAGCGTAGGGCCCTGAGCAAAAACAAACTGTCTCTTTGCATTCGAGGGTAATACGACACCGTCTACCACCTTGAAATACGACACCGTCTACCACCTTGATGACCTAGGCAAAAAAAAGCATAGAGATGTTATAAATGTAAAAAAGAGAAGAAACACATGAGAACGAGTTATGCAGCAACTATCCACGACTGTAACAAGATGATAAACGGTCAGAAAGTGCGATAATATGGCACAAAACTGACAGGCTACTGAGACATTCAGCGACCCGAGACCTAGCTCTAACACATCTCCAGTGCGCAAACCAACAGCCTTCCAACTTGGAAGGTTCATGGTTACGTAGGACGAAAGAGGGGAAGGTGTTCTCATGTGTTTCTTCTCTTTTTTACATTTATTACTGGCTCAGTATCCGAGATGTCATAAATTTTTCATTTCTCCTATTTTTTTCAAGACATAACCTAGGATTTGAACCCGCACTATCGCCCTGCATGCATTCCCCCGATACACTTCGCATACATACTCATTCTTCCAAGTTGCTTCACGTTATGATCTTGCATTTGAAAGCCCTATTTGAATATTGTGGCCAGCTGTCTTTGCTGGTGCGGTACGGGACAGGTACGGGATAGCGCCAGGCATGCCGACGGCACAAACACACACGGAATTAAAGCTGTGTGGACCCTGGCTAGCGCTGGCAGACGTTCCTGAAGTAACGTCTTTTGCATAGTGCTATGTAGTGTAGTTATTATATTATGACTACATGTTCACATGTCATATTGCGCATGCGTAAGGAAAACAAGTTTTTTTCTTCTTGGTGAGCTTGAAGGGTACTTCGTGTGAGTGTAGACACAACAATGGCGACCAAGATATAATTATTAATAGAGTTGTTCTTGTGCTACAGTCGTGATAGTTACGAATTGTTTCCATTGCCATGGCCAGTGCCACGATAGAGCCGTTTGACGGCGGAGATTTTGATGAATGGCGAGAGAGACTGGATTTTTCTTTTGTGCAAACCGAAATCGGAGTTGTGGCGGCGAATGCCAGTACGGCTGAAAAGACTCGTTGTGAAAAACGGGTACACTCGGACGTCTCTTATACGGGCACCTTGGGACCGGGCACTGCTCGTATCTCAGATTTGCCCGTATCTCAGGATAACTCATCTACCATATATCATATCACTTTTTGAAGAAGTTTATTTTGAACACATTGCACATGTTCAGGATACAAAAGGAACCCATTGGTAAAAATGTGTGGATAACATAGGTTGGCAGTGAAAAATAAGCACTTCCGAATACGGAAAAAGTTCAAAACCCCCAAATTCGAAGCATTTTTGCCATAGAGTTCCAGGGGCGGATCCAGGGGGGTGCGAAGGGTGCAAATGAACCCGTCAGGATTTTTCCAAAAAAAAAGAAGAAAAAAAGTTCAGGCCAGGCCAGGCCCAGGCTCGCTGCGCGGATCCGCAGATGATTTGTGTGCAATCACGTGATCGTTCTGGACACGTGCTCGCGCCAGGGCTGCACATTTGGAATAGAACTTTTTTGGAACTAAGGGTGCGTTCTTAAATCCTCTCGGAAAAGTTGGAGACTCTCCGAAAAGTTCGAGAGCTGTTCTTATATCCTCTCCGACTTTTAGGAGGCTCTCCAAAGCTCTCCAAGCTCTCCAAGCTTCAGAGGTGGTTGAAACTTGGAGATTCCCGCGGTTTGGGATCAGCGCATGCGAACTACGACTAAAAGCCACGTGTTCATCATGAGTGTACGCATTTCCCTTTTCGCATACGCACATACATTCATCACTCAAGATCACGGCCCCTTTGACGCTTCATTTTGCTTGACATGTGCAAAATATCTCTGAATTCTTCGAGACCCGTTCTTGAGTAATCCCAGTTTCTTCGACTTCTCTTTTCTTCTTCTTCTAGAAGCTAGAGAATATAAGAACGCACCTGTTACTTTTTCACCGGCAACAAACTCACTTCGAAGTTCTTTACTTTTGACGTTGCATGTTTCAGTTGTCGTGTTAGCTTCTTTCAAATTCTCACTGCTTGTTCCGACTCCGTGTCCGTGCATGCTGAGCGGAGATGTCGGACACAGCTGGTGGACCAGCTGGTGAGACCATGGAGCCTGCTGCTAAGCGTCGTTGTGAGAGCCATCATCCTTTTGACATTGGGCGATTTGCTGGATTGATGGAGAATGCCAGCAATGATGACATCAAGTTGCTCCTAGATAATGTTTGGAAGCCTTCGAGCCGCATGGACTGCCCATCGACATCTGGAAGACGTTTTCAGCTCTCGTGGATTGAAACTTATCTGTGGCTGGCGTACTCCAAGGCAGTGGATGGTGCGTTCTGCATCTGGTGGTTGACATTCAATGAGTAACTAATCATACTACTCATCTTGGTGCTATGTGTAATTATGATATTATACAGTAACACACATAACATACTATGTCTTTGGTTTACTACTGCAAAAGAAAATATGTAAGTTTCATCCTCGCACCCCTCAGCTTTGGGGTCTGGATCCGCCCCTGGAACTCAAGCTAAAGATGCCCGGTAGAGAGACGTGCCCGTATCTGAGGCGTCCGGATAAGAGGCGTTTGAGTGTATCAGCTTATCTTATCTCTCTTCTGAGTAAAACGGTTTACTCCACACTGAAGACTCTTTGTTTACCTAAAGCTCCGAGTGATTTGAAGTATCAGGAGATCGTGGGAAAACTGACGGATCATTACAAGGTTCAAACATCACGATCGAGCGCAATGCACGCTTTCAGGAACTGTAATCAACTTCCGACCGAGTCAGTGACTGACTTTTCGCATCGACTGCAGCGCAGTGCTGTAGACTGCAAGTTTGAGAGCCATTTGGATAGAGCACTGTCGGACCAGTTCATCAGTGGTTAGCGGAGTGCTGCAGTAAAACGATTAATTCTGGCGAAGCCAGACGGAGATGTCGACACATTTCGACACATGTCAAATCAGTAAGATTGCTCTGAATGAGGAGAATAAAGGTTTGTTCTTGACCAGGCAACATGGTGGTAGCGGCGGGTTTTCTTCTTTTCGGTTTGTTCTTCCCCATTGGTGCTTGGACACAGCCTTTTCATGCCGGGAAAGAGCCGCAAGAAGGGAAAATCCTCGCCCGTTTCAGTCATGAGCTCGGATTTCGATCCACCGCCGTGTCCCCCTCCTGCGGTAACTACACGGAGGTATGCCACCATCTCTTCGATTTGTTTGACAAGTGGATGTCGCACTCTGTATCGAGCGGCTCTCAGCCCACACTGCAGACGGTCGCGAATAAGATGGTCAGGGAGCGATAGGTCCCTGTTCTGTCCCCAGGCACCCAGCAACACGTCAGGGAGCAGCCCGAGCTGGACACCCACCACACAGCAACGCTGGCCGACTCTTTCGTCCGCGAGCGTACAGTTACCCAGGCGGGAGAGAAAGAGTTTCTGGCTCTGTCCCAGGTGTCTGCTGGCCAACACGTGGCGGGACGGCGGTCGGGGAATCGACCGCCTCAGTTTGCCGCTCCCCATTCTTGACCACGCGACAGCCTCCACCCTGGAACTGGACGGTAAGCAGATGGCCGTGCTGCCCGGGGACGGGACTATCTCTGCTGTGCGTGTACATGTATCTACCTCACAAGACCCTCGGTGTGGCTTGGAATCCAGTGGACGACCACTTCACCTTCGTGCACCCGGAGCCAGACGCTGTACGATTCACACCGCGTGGCGTTTTGAGTCAGATGTGCCGGCTGTTCGATCCGAGAGGGCAACTATGCCCGTTCACGATCCGTAGCCGTGTCCTGTTTCAAGCATCCTGTATCCGAGGCACTCGCTGGGACGATCCCCTGGACCACGACCAAGCCGAGGATTGGCGGAAGTGGTTTGCCGAAGTTCCCGACCTGGCGTCGATCCAAGCAAGTCGTATGTTAAATATTTATCGCACTTGCTCTTAGGGGCCATCCGTAAATACATGTATTAAATTTTACTTAGAGACGTCTAGCAGACGTTTCTTTCTTGACCCACCCACCCCCAACCCCAAATGCAAATAATACCACTCATAATAAACACCATACTATGCACACATATACAGTACAGTCGACTCCACTTATAACGAACTCGCATATAGCAAATTTCGTGATATGGTGAACCCTTGTCCATGTCCCTGTTTGAACCCATACAAAATGTACCCTTTGTAGCAAACAGTTTTTGTTTATAACGAACCAAATCACACTTACAAGTCTGCTGGTAGCTGGCTGTCACTACATGCAAGCGCATGTTTCTGGGAGTACGGAGCATGTGTCCCTGTCTACTCTGCCGTGACGCGTGCAGTGTAGTGCGTCTCAACGTCTACCTGTACTAGCAAGAGTACAATTATAACCCCCCTATAGTCACACTGTGCATCTACTGCTTACACAGCCTTGCAGGCGAACCCACCCACCACAAACGCCTGTTAGACGTCTCTAAGTAAATACATGCATTTACGGTACGTCCCCTTAATCCCCATGCTCATCCCTTTTTCCCTCGCGCTACTATGCAGCCCCCCCCCCCCCCCCCCCGTACCACAGCCGCGTGTCCAGGGTGAGATTCGGGTCGGCCTCTGTATTCGGCCGAGTGAGATTGTGAGTAGATCCATCACATCTTCACGCTCAGACGCCACTTGCGTAGTCCTTTAGACATGCACACACGCCCGCACACACACACACACACACACACAAACATGCGCGCATGAAGCTTACCTCCGGCGGCAAGCATAAACGGGTGGCATGACTGGACCATGTTGGAAGCGCCCACCACGTTGACAGCCATACTCTTGGACCAGTCCTTATCTGTAGCCTTCAGGGCTTGAGACCCAAAGTACACAGCTGCAGCAAGCCAATACACACATAAATACTAGTCAGATATCTGAATGAGGTCCGACTGTTCATACTATTCTCTGGTGAAGTGTTCAGCTTCTAAGCTTTCCATGCTGAAAGACAGTAATGCTGGCGTGCAGCAGCTGTCCCTCACCACTGCACAGCACACAGGCATTGTACCACAAGCACCCAGGCACCGAGACAAAGCCACCAATATACAAGCACCCAGGCACACACACACCCAGGTACAGGCAAACAAGCATAGGCAGGCAGGCACACACACACACACACACACACACACACACACACACACACCCAGGGACAGGCATTGCATCAGAACCTTATCCCCCCCCCCCCCCACACACACACGCTGTGTCATTTCCCAGCTGGTTTTTCAGTAAGGGCAGGAATTAGATCAAGTGCAGCAAGATGCAGGCGCGTACGCAGGGGGTTCCCGTTGCCCGGAAACCCCCCAAATGTTCCAAACGAGCAACGCTTTTGGGCATATTTTGGTAGGGCGCACGGTCGATCTGGCAAGAATGCAAAACTTCAAAAGATCGTAACTCAGTCAAATCTGGCTCAAATCCAACGATCCAAATATCCAGGTCCAAAAGAAAACTCTCAGCTGTCGGATGAAACAATTTGCGACGCGCTGTGAGCAATGTCTCTTAAGATAAATCGTTTGTAAGTTGAGCCGCGATTTCGCAATTTCAAAAGCGAGCAGTGCAACTCGAGTATCGAGAATTATTTGAGACTTTTGTCCCGCTGCCTTGCTCAAAATTGCAGGGGCTTCACTTGTGATATTTTCAAGAGTACACAGCAAACAAATCGAAAACTTTGCGGTCAAGAAAAACGAAATCGCTGGAGCAGGACGCGTTTGGGCCTTTGGCCCAGTTTAGGGCATTTTTTCGCACCGTCGCTGCACTCTACTGCTATAGCATATAGCGCTGGATATGTACATGGCTATACTGTGTCCTGGCTATCATGTTCGACCTCATTCTCTCCCTGGTACCTTTCCACTTCCAGGAAGGCTAAGATAATGAAGATTGAGTGAGTAGAACTGAGGTTATGATCCAAAGAACACGAAAAAATGCATAATTTTGAAAATTTCCTAGGGCTCTTTAGAAAGGGTTAAAACGAGTCATTGTTTGTGATTCGGTTGGAAACCCCCCTAGAGGTGACCCTGCGTACGCGCCTGAGATGTACAGTAAACCTGTGACTAACGACCACCCCTTGGGGCCAGAGAAAGCGGTCTTTAGTGGCAGGTGGTCTTTAGTTAGAGGTTTGCACCGCACAACCATATATTATGAATTTGAGACCGTCCGTGCCTGGCAAAGTGGTCTGTAGTACAGTCGTCCCTCTCTAATCCGGCACCTTTTGCTACGGCGTTTTCTGCTGGATTAACGAGGGTGCTGGATTAAGAAATCCTGCCCTCTGACCCGGCCCTACCCAATTGCATGCATGTCATATGTACGTCAAAACGCAGGGTTTTTCCGTGTCGACCCAAGTATTTGGTGCACGGCTTTATATTCTCAATTGTTCTCCGGGAATATACACAGTGATAAAGTGATAAAGTAAAACAGAGAACATGTTCACATGTACTCTTGCACACACACGCACACACACACACACACCTGAAAATTGGCAGGACACTACTCCTTGCTAAAATAAGAAAGTATGGTTGACTGCCGTTGTCTCCTGGACAACATTGACCAGACTGGCCTAGCCTGGCCTGGCAAGGAGTGCACCTGTACGGTACGCGATTTACGACTGCCGGATTATGAAATCAAACTACGTGCAGTTTGAGCGATTCGTTTCAAAAAGTCACTGCCGGAGGCGGAATTCAAGTGCCGGATTAAGATGTAGGAATTGAACGAAAAAATCGGTTTCGTCAGACAGTGCGCCGGTTGGCAAGGGTTCCGGATAAACAAGTGCCGGATTAGAGAGGGACGACTGTACCAGGCTGGTCGCTAGTCACGGTGGTCTTTAGTTACAGGTTGTACTGTAGTAGCAGGCTGGTCGCTAGTCACGGTGGTCTTTAGTTACAGGTTGTACTGTAGTAGCAGGCTGGTCGCTAGTCACGGTGGTCTTTAGTTACAGGTTTTACTGTACAACAATGCGGAGGATCAAAACTCGGCGTGCTGGATTGTGCACAGTTTAGCCCACAGGCATGCATACCTGCACCAGCACGTATCATGGACAGCCGCGCATGCGTCGGTCCAACACCGTATTCGCTGCAGTCGCTTCACAGGTAGAAAACCGAGAGGGAGCGAATCAGTGCTATTTTATAGTGCCTGTCTACTACATGGTGAAAGTTGACAGCATGTTACAAGGCGGAAGGCGCACTGTGTTGAAACAGTGCTCCTGTCTACTACATACAGTTGCTGCCAACAAAAGTGCAGCCCACCCAGAAGAGTACAATGCTCCATTGACAAGATCACACAGTTCATAGCTTGCAATGCACTCGTGGTCACGTTGACAAGACCATACCGTCAACAACCATCTACTCAGTCTGAGGGCAGATTATTACGCTGCCTGTCGGGACAAGCACGTTGGGGAGGAGAGAGAGTGAAACAGAACAATCCGCTTACCGTTGCTGATCAGGAAGTGAACCTTGCCTTCTCCCTCAGCTTTGGCAAAGGCTTCTGTCTGCTCGGCACATGTAGATTTCTGAACCAAACCCCCGAAAATAGGCAAGAAGCATATGAAGCAAATCAAGGTAAGACAGGACCAAGAGTACGCACTCTTGCCAGGACACGTGCACAGGGAATTCAGTACAGTGTGTGGTACATCAGTGGTAGCAGGTGACCCTACTGAACTCAACTGAAACAGCTTAAAAACACTACAACAAGATTCGCCATGTGAGTTTGGGACTCGGAGTTCACTAAAAAAAGGAGGATGCCTGCCATTATAATGAACTGAGAACTCGAGATACAATGCGAAGACAAGGACCAAGGCAAACACACTGTTGGTACAGGCACTGACATGGACACTCTACTGGTTGCCATACAAAGATCTCAGTAAATGTACTTTAATGATGATTGCATTGAGCAAGACACTCGGAGTTGCGACAAACTCTACCAACCTCCTTTGTGTGTTTCGTGTGAGATCTCAGTAATATATGCACTCGATAGTGAGTGACACCAACACGCTACCAGGTGCTATTTTTGCTCTTTATCACTAAGCTAGGCTGCTCTATTTCTCGATGTATTGCAATTAAAAAAAGCCTACAACACCCACAAGTGCAGAAAAAGAAAGATACAAGAGCCTTTCGCACGAGTTCTTGAATCTTGCGCTACTTCACAGATACTGAGTTCAACGATGACGGCGCGTGACTACTCTGAACGCTTGAGATTTTCAAGAGGTGTTGCTATTGCTTTGTCAGTTGTGCAAGGAGTTAGAGCAGTTGGAGTAGAGGGCAAGTGCCTAAGTCAGGCGTGTGAGTTTGACTGCTTCCTGACTGTACTAGCGCTGGTGACAGTGCGAGAAGAGGTTTGAAAATGCACTGGCCTCAATTTTCAGCGCCTACACTTTCAAACATAGCTGTGCTGGAACCCACCTCAGAAACGTCGCATTCATAGAAGTGTGCATCACTGCCCTGGAACACACACACGCACGCACACAGAAAACCAACACACACAATCAAACACGTTAAAAAACCCAGCTGCAGGCCACACATGCCACAGTGTTGCTAAGTGTAATCCGATCGCGCGAGTCAACTTTGTCGCCTGTGCCAATTCACATCCCAGTGTTGCAGGTCTAGGGCTGCATAGCGCTGCCCGGCGCAGTGGCATTGACTCGCTTGTTCGGCCATCATTGAGCAGCACTGTAGAGTAGTAGTGGGGATAGAGGTTTCACTGTTATCATAACCTCATCCACATTTCACCTGGTAATCCCCAAAGTAGGTCCGACAGCAGAAGTTTTATTTTATATATATTTACCGGAATTCAAGACCACCGCACTTAATTTAAACCAGCTTGCTTGGCCTCAAATGTCATCTATGTACTTGTACACAGACATGTACACACTCAGAGAGAGAGAGAGAGAGAGAGAGAGAGAGAGAGAGAGAGAGAGAGAGAGAGAGAGAGAGAGAGAGAGAGAGAGAGAGAGAGAGAGAGAGAGAGAGAGAGAGAGAGAGAGAGAGAGAGAGAGAGAGAGAGAGAGAGAGAGAGAGAGAGAGAGAGAGAGAGAGAGAGAGAGAGAGAGAGAGAGAGAGAGAGCTGCGGCAGCTCGAAAGAGTGCTTGATGCAGCTACATGTAGGTGCATGGTTTTATACACCATAGAGAAGGGTAAACAAAACGTTGTTGCTCAGCTGTTACTAGTACTCGGAGTTTCACGCGTCAAACTAGCGACTATCAGACGCCAGATGGGTATTTACAAGTACACAGATATGTACATGCGGGGATGAATTTATCCGGTATCGCAGCGCAGTTTGCTATGCAAAATCGATCTCCTGCTACTGAAAAATCACAGTGACTCGCGGAAAACTGTGATACATACAGGCTATCCATGCCTAGCTTACGCTGTCAAGAAACATGCACACAGTGCAGTTGACTGGTGTGCGAGGAACGCGAGATGCCCCTCCGTGGTCTACGCATTTCAGTCACTATTTTGTGGATACTTCAAGGAGGTTTTCAGGAATCACTCTCAGCAAGAACGATGTGGCAACTACCCAACTTTCGAAGAAAAGTGCTAATCAAAATATCAAAGACTGCTACACAATTGAGATTTTGCATGGCAAAAACTGCTATGCAAAAACATCACAGTGAATCATCCCTGACATGTACACGCTCAAATTTCCAGATCGCTAGCTGTCAACCTTCTTAGGTCCCGTCGGCAGCGGCGGAGCTCAGGGGTACTGGCCGGCCCGATTGCAATGAAGTATTTTAAGCGCGATGCACAATATCACTACTGCGATGTGATAAGCGTCGAGCAAAAGTCTTTTTCGTATTGCGCGAAGAGTCTTCGATGCACAATGCACGGCACATCGCAGCGAAATCCTGCAGGGCACAGTCCAACACCGTACTCGAGCTGTCATGTGGGTCTGCCATGTAAAAGTGATGCGCATCGCTCGTCGCAGAATTTAATCTGGGCTCAACTTCCCGCGATGCGACCTGTGACGGAGTTGCGACAACCTGCGTCGCAAAATTTTCCAGAAAAAAACTCTCGATCGCATCGCTCGTCACTCATCGCGTCACAGAAGTGATATTGTGCATCGTGCTCTATGAACACCGCTAGCTTTGTGCACCAGCTTTGCAGATACTAATACTTCGAAGTTTATTATTATTTGAAACTCGGATGTTGAGCCAATAATAAATGTAGAAAGGAAAAGTAAATACATGTATAGATACGAGTTGAGAGTAACTCTCCATCACTGTAACCAGATACTATATAAAGTCAGAAAGTGCAACAACTAGGCACAAAACTGACAGAGTACTGAGACATTCGACGTCCTGACACCTAGCTTCAACACATCTCCGTAGCACTAACCGACAGCCTCCCAACTTGGAAGGTTCAAGGTTATGGGAAGACCAAGGAGGGTTATTGGCTCAACATCCGAGTTTCAAATTGCACAGCTGATGAGCCGTCACGAACCATACGGCGAAACGTACGTCGTGTGAAACAACTTGTTTCGTAGTCAACTAGTCCATCACAATGTCATGCATGAGGAGTACTGTAGGAGTTTGGCTTTCGGCTTGTACAATTCGTTTTCGCAAAGCTTCCCTTTCTTTACTTATCTTTGATATTTATGACCCACCCAAGTTGGGTGGTGTGCTGCTTTGCTGCTTCGAATTGTAGTTAGACCGCTGTGTTAAATATCCTATTGGTCTCGTCATAGTCCAGTAACAATCGACATTCTTTGTTCCGTTGGGACTGTAGCTTGTGCTCATTTTCGTTGCGCTTGCCTTCCCCTCCTTGGTCTTCCCATAACCTTGAACCTTCCAAGTTGGAAGGCTGTCGGTTAGCGCTACGGAGATGTGTTGAAGCTAGGTGTCAGGATGTCGAATGTCTCAGTACTCTGTCAGTTTTGTGCCTAGTTGTTGCACTTTCTGACTTTATATAGTATCTGGTTACAGTGACAGAGAGTTACTCTCAACTCGTATCTATACATGTATTTCCTTTTCCTTTCTACATTTATTATTAATATAGCTACAAAGACAACTAATTGCACAGTAAGCATTTCATATATGTCGACATGTATGTGTAAAATGTTGTACGATTATCGCAAGGCACAATCGTACAGCATTTTACACATACATGTCGACATATATGAAATGCTTACTGTGCAATTAGTTGTCTTTGTAGCTATATTAAAACTGCTGTCTCCGAAACGCTTGTTCACGTACATTTAGTATTATTATTATTTATTCCTCAAACTAGTCAAGATATTATTTATTCATATTTTAATAGGGCAGTCCCCACAGACAAAAGGTCTTCTTACGGGGTACCCTAAGATAGTATGTACATACATGTAGATATTTACAAAATCTCATAATATAATACCAAGAATCCATAAACAAGAGTATGCAACTGTGATCTCTTTTCTATGGGCCAAATGCACGGCGCGCTGCCTTCATTACACCATTCAGCTGCAGTCCGTGCACTGCGGAAAACCAAACACCGCATTTTCCCTCTAGTTTGAAATGAACTTTCGTACGGAACTGGGGTTCACGCGCCAACATTTAGAGATCGCGTAAGTACTGGAACGAATCGAGCAAAAACGGATGGGCTTGTACGAGAAATTGTAGGTTTGAGTGCGTTCTTTCAGAGCGTGCTGGGGGGAAGTTACGTAATGAAGGCAGCGCGCCGCGCACTGACCCATAACCAAAGTTGCATACTCTTGTTCATGCACTCTTGATAATACCGCCCCCCCCCCCCCCCTCACACGCCCCCAAATGCTATGTAGTACCCCATCCCACATGTGACCCATCCGTTGTAGACCCTACTCACTTCGCTCCGGAGTTGTTGCACGGCTTTGACTCCTGCCTCTTTGTTGATATCGAACACTGCCACGGTGGCTCCGTCAAGGCCCAGTCGCCTAGCGCAAGCATAGCCAATTCCAGACGCACCTCCAGTGACTATTGCTCGCTTGCCGGAGAATCGACCCAGCTCTGGGCCACCGCTGGCATGACGAGCTGCCACTAGAATCGGCAAGCGCGACCTAATGCAGCGCAAGACAAGAGCCATTTTTCTAACACAGGGAACGCAGCGTAGGTCACAGCTGCACAACTCTCGTTCTCAAAGAAATATAAACAGCAAAATTGTTCTCCACATCAGCTCAGCTGGGAGTCGTCAAATATTTGACGACATGCGGACTCCCTGATTCTGTGGTCACGATCAAGCCGCTCAAGCATTCAAAAATAGACTGAAAAAACGTCGTAGTCGTAGGATCCCGGCTAGTGTGTTTTTTAGTTCGAAACAGTCTTTTCTCTCGGTCGAGTTTTTTTAGTTTCGTCTCAAGCAAATCACTATCAAACCTTTTCGTTTTTCGGGAGTTGCAGAAAAACGATGACATTTCTTACATTTCTTACGCATAAACCTTCAAACAGGCACATTATTTATAGAAAACTCTAGAAGTTTGGACTGATCATGATGATCGATGATACGGTTGCATGAAAAGCTGTTTGTGTCGACAACAAAATAATTCTCAATTCTCAAACCACTGTTCAAGTCTTTGAGGTTGCGGATAGAGAAACAAAATGAGTGGCAGATACGATCGGGCGCTGACCGTCTTTTCTCCTGATGGACATCTCTTTCAGGTCGAATATGCCCAGGAGGCGGTGAAGCGTGGATCAACAGCGGTAAGGAAACTTTATCCGAATTGAAGATAGCTGAGAAAGATTCGTCGAAGAATTTTGTCTTTCTATTATGAATTTCTGTTGACCCTTCTCTCAGGTGGGCGTCAGAGGAAACAATATAGTTGTCCTTGCCGTAGAGAGACGGTCTGTGGCCAAACTTCAAGATCCTCGGACCGTGAAGAAAATCTGGCCAGTGGACGAGCATGTTTGCATGGCATTTGCAGGTCAGTCGAAAACTCTTTAAATTGTGCCAAAGTTGTAATCAGTAAACTGGTGTGATCTTTTCCACCAGCAACCCCATATTTCCTGCATGAATATAACATTGCCTTTGAATGGGGGCAGAACTAACATTAGTTTGATTTTAACCCAGTACGCATTTTCAAAATTCTTTCAACACTCAGAATTCAGAGTATCCCATCAGTGGAAATCGAATGAATGTAATTGGCTGTTTCATGTAGCACGAATGTGCAGTAGTGTGGACAATGTTTCCAGCGGTACATTGTATTCATCAAGTGCATGTGCTGTCTGATGGTGAAAGTTGTACCCCAACGGCACATACATGTACATGTACTCAGTCTGCGGACAGAACTGTTTCGTCCTTTGTGGACCCGTCAGTGCATGTACATGTACATGTGGCATGTGTGATGGTTCATGCCACATACCGTAAAGTCGCGGATAAAAGCCGGGCTTATGAGCATGTAAGCCCATTGCCGAAGCAGCAGCCACACGCACCAGCCGTGCTTTCTGCATCAGGCTTTAATGCAAACCATGCTTATATGCACCACTGATATTTTTGCCGGGCTTGTATGCACATAGAAGCCAGGCTTCTACGCGCGACACGCGTAGATCTACCACAGACTACCAGTATGGCGGCAGTTTTACTATACACCGTACATAGCGCATGCACTCTTGACCTACCCGATCCGCGCTTGCATAGAAGCCAGGCTTCTACGCGCGACAGGCTTATATGCATTTGACCCGTTTGATTTTCAGGCCTCTATCCGCGATGTGCTTGTATGCAAACTCGGCTTTTATCCACGACTTTACAGTACGTTCGTGTGCATTGCGTACGTGTGCGCAAACAAAATTTCCCAGCCAAGTCAAAAGTGTGGTCGCTCGAACAAACCGAAGTAAGTACATGTACTGTAAAACACGTTATTTTTGGCGTAACTTTAATTTCGGTGATTTCGGTAGCGAAACCAGGCACCTAAATTTTAGATTACACCTAAGCGGCCGTCCAATGTTACCAATAATGTTAATTTTTTTTAAACGAAAAGTTTTCGTTTTGGGGGTGGGTGGGTTTGATGGAGTTTCGTTTTGAAAATAATTATTGAATACGAATGGAGAATGTCCAGTTACTTCTGGGTGTCGAAAAATGACATCAATATTTTATTGGAATTCGTTTTACCAGCAGAGAAGGTGGGTGGGTGGGTGGGGGCTGAAAAATACTAAAACAATTCGTTTAATAAAAACAATCTGTAACCCCGGACGTCCCCTAAATGGCTCTGGAGTATGTATTGTAGGTGAACAGAATGCTGGTCACCTTTAATTCTACATTACACCTGAAACCTGTGAGGTCCCTGGCACCGAAATTTTAATGCACCTAAAATTACATGTTTTACAGTATTGAATCCGTGTGGCCCCACCGCTTGGGTCTGGCATACTTCTATTCTCTGTGTACTTTCGTTCTTCCCCGTAGGTCTTTCCGCCGATGCCCGGTTCCTGATCAACTGGCTGCAACGGGAATGTCAGAGCTATCGGCTGACACTAGAGGACCCTGTCACAGTGGAGTACATTGCACGCAAGCTAGCCATTCTGAAACAGGTGAGCCCGCTCTCCGGTGCACTGTATTGACACGTGAGCAACTAAAGTTGCGCTCGGTGAAATCCGACCCCAGGGGCATATTTGGCACCCCCAGCTTGCACGGCCCTTGACGCCCTGGAAGTGGCACGAATGCGGCTGAACGTACACATGTACGAATACAATGATGTAATAGGAACTGTCCCGGGGCACCATCTTTGCAATTTGGGTCGGATTTCAGTGAACGCAACTCTCTATTCGCATGCTGGTAGTGTCACCTGTGCTGGTAGTGTCACCTGTGCTGAAATCTAACCCGGATATACCCACCGGTGTGCTACTCCACCTTGTGCACACAGACTTCCCATTCAAATCATCACCTGCTATTTTAAACTGGGAATTATTTCCCCTGCCTGTCATGTCTGAGATGATGAAGTGCACTTCTGGCCACTGCCTTCTGGCCGAGATTTAGTAGATCTACTTGTAGTTTATGTTGGTCCCTGCTTGTTTGTCTGTCCGTGTTGCATCACACGCTGAAGGGAAACCCCCTTTCCCATCAGTCTTACCAACTCCAGCAAGCATCTACTGTACTTTTTTCCTATTCCCGCGGAATTGAAAGCGTTTCATGAGTGTGGGAAGATGTAAAGTTTATCTTCAACTAGAGGAATGCTGCAGTGGAGGCGCACGCTTCTCAGTTTTAAAAAAGTCTGCTTTGTGACTCTGTACATGCACCAGTGTGATACTTGTCTCTCTCTCTCTCTCTCTCTCTCTCTCTCTCTCTCTCTCTCTCTCTCTCTCTCTCTCTCTCTCTCCCCTCCCCCTGTCTGTTTTCTGTGTAATGTTTTTTTCTAAGGAGCTTGTTTTCTTTGTTGTGTTCCCTTGCAGTCCTACACACAATATGCAGGCGCTCGGCCGTTTGGTTTGTCGACTCTTATCATGGGCTTCGACCAGGATGGTAGCCCGCATCTCTTCCAGACCGACCCAGCTGGCTCATACTATGAGTGGAAGGTGCGTTGCTTGTACATGCATGACAGTTTGCCTGCCCGTGTTTTCTGCTAGCATCGTGTGCGAGCTTAGCCTAGTCCCTTTGTGTGTCAGCTACCTGTGTGTGTGTGTGTGTGTGTGTGTGTGTGTGTGTGTGTGTGTGTGTGTGTGTCTGGCACTGTTTAGTATTTTCCTATCTTTTTGTTTGTTTTTGTACCAGTGGATTCTCTACTCTTGTATTAATTTCTCATCTGGTCTAATTGACCTGCTGTACTAATTCAAACGAGATAAATTTAGTCTGCTGCAGCAATCATCGACTTAAAAGTTTCTCTTATTGGCCACAGGCCATCGTGAGAATAAAAGATTTCAAAAGTAGCATCTTCTATCTCAAGGAATACGAGAAAGAAAGGTCTGACATCGTAGTCGGAAATAGCTGCATTTACTTTTCACTGATCAACTTGTCTGTATCTTGTGTCTGTGGTCACGCTTCACGATGCACACTGACTTGTGGAATGTACTGACCATGCCTGGCATGTATTGTTTCTGTTTGTCTCCGTCTTGTCTCTCCGTGTATCCTGTGTGTTGTGTGGTACAGGCAGCAGTTCTGGGCAGCAGCTCTAAGACCGTACAAGAGTACTTGGAGAAGCACTACACTGACGATGTTGCAGAGGACGACGAGGCAGTAGTTCGTCTGGCTGTCCGATCACTACTGGAGGTGAGGTTGTCTGTGACAGTGATTGCTAATGCAGAGTGGCTCACTTTCAACTGAATTTTCATTAGACCGTGACATGTGTTTCTTTGTTCTCGTCAGCTCCTGTCGACAAGACCAAACATGTAACATCATAAGATGTTCATGTGGAGTCGTAGACGGCGTCTTCTAGGCTTGTACGGGATTTAAATAGTTGCACTTGATATTGATAGGACAGTGCTGAAGCAGCTATCCGTTAGTTGTCTCTGCACCGAGTTTATGGTAGACCTCTTCACTTGTCATGGTGAGTAGGTTTGTTGATGTCTGCTCTAGTGTGCTATGCATTTGGACTTTCAGAGCTGGAGAACGCGTTTCATGTGTCATTGGGTGTTGCGTGTGCTTGCGTGTGCTTGCAGGTTGTACAATCGGGCAGTAAGAACGTAGAGCTTGCCATCATGAAACGTGGACAGTCAATGCAGGTACTGATACTAGTCCTGTATGCCTGCGCTCTTACTCATATCTCCTGTTCTCTTTATGGACCTTGTTGCTGACGCTGGGTGCTTTTGTCATCGGGCTTGGGGCAACTCCCCTGGTGTCACCCAGTAGCAAGTGTGACAGCCTCTGCCTGTGTGATGTGCAGTTGCGGCAAGTGAAACCCGGACCACTGTACAAAGCCTTGGGGTGCCGAAGCTCTCGCTCTCTCTCTCTCTCTCTCTCTCTCTCTCTCTCTCTCTCTCTCTCTCTCTCTCTCTCTCTCTCTCTCTCTCTCTCTCTCTCTCTCTCTCTCTCTCTCTCTCTCTCTCTCTCTCTCTCTCTACACATGTTCATGATGCCACTCAAATCTGTCTGTGGCTCTGAAGTACATGCATTGGCTCAGGCTTGGCCTGCGACACTTGTTCATGATGTGCATGCAAAGTTATACCATTGAAGCAGTCGGTACATGTACCTGACCTTCTTGAGAATGTCAGCGACAGGCAACCCCGCGTTTGGCATGGTCCATGAGCTCAAAGTCAACTCTTGCCAAGATGAAGTCCTCGTATTAACGCGTCACGTATTCATCCCATGATTTTGAAACTCCTTAAACAAGGCAACAGCAGCCTTGGAAATCACTGAGAATGCGAGTGCATACAACCTTGCTAGGCAGAATCCAATACCAGTGATGTGGGTTTACCGTAATCACTGAATAAGGCCCTTCCCGTGGTAACAAACGCCGTGCAGTGTTTGATTTCTGTAGCTCATTCTTTTCTGTGTCCTCCTCCCGTTGCTGCAGTACATGGCTGCTGACGAGATTGACCGCCACATCACCGAAATCGAAAAGGAGAAAGAGGCCGAGGCCGAAGCAAAGAAGAAGAAGCAAAAGAGATAGGTGCTGTTGGCCTTTCTCAAGTTTTACCTGTTGCCTGCATCCTGCTGTTGCTTTCAAGATTTTGCATCAATCACATTTTTTACGTTCAGCATACTATGTATTCTTCTCTCCTCACGTAAAAAGTTTTCCCTGGCATCTGTAAATATTTCTTTGTTCATATCTCTTACAGAACTGCATGCTTGTGTCGTAGGGGTGCCGTGTTTATGAGTTTTTACTAATTTTTGTAGGCACTCGTGTATATACGTACATGTCAAAATGATGAGGATATTTTGTTGTTGCTTATGCACAGAGTTGCTAATTCTTGGTGCGTGTGTGTTTGTGTGCGTGTGTGTGGGAGTAGGGGTTGAAGTTATTTTTTGGAGATTTATATGGCATGCATGCATGGCCGAAAGGTAGATTTCAACATCCATGTTGTGCACATACAGTTTCTAAGCCGATCGCTCGAGGGACCTTCCGAACACGGTCTTCGGGTACAGTTGGTCCATTTATACATGCAATGTCATTTGAAAAATATTAGATGTTCGCTATAGTAGTGGTCTTTACAATACTGTACCCTCACTCCACTAGACTCTGTAGTTTGTACCAAGCGTCCATAGTCCATTATGGACTCTTGTTTGTACTCGGTGACTGTGGGGCCGGGGGTCGGCAGTTCATTGCATGTAAAACTTAAAGTGGTGGCTCACACATGCATCACCACATTTGTTAGCACAGTAGACACTCCATGTTGTGTCTCCAACTCGGAGCAGGCAAGCACACAACACCGCTCGACCATAGACTCCATGGTGCTGGTCAGGCATGATTCATTTTCAAAAGACAGAGACAAAGCAAAGTTCTCAGCATTCGGTTTAGTACCGTGGCAGCATTCGAGCCAACATCATCTTCAAAGACATGGAATACAGAGATGTTTTACCAACTTGGCACGGCTCTAAAAGCACAGGCATACGGAATGTAGAGGCGCAGGACAGGAATCACCAGACAGGCACAACAAAGGTAAAAATCAGAAACCTAACCCTTTCTAAAAGCAAGAAAACGGGATTTTGTTGTTGACGATAAAAAATCTCTCGGAATTCTTTTTAGCACTCCGTCCGTGAACAGTGCTTGTCGCCATCGACAAAGCGTATCAGTAGAGGACAAGGAATGGGAAGCGAAACAATGGATGGTGTGTTCTCAGCAGCAAGCAGCCCGTTCAGTTGTTGCTGTTCTCCACTGGCACACTAGTTGGAAAAATCTTGTGCATGGAACTTGGCCGGGTTGAAGTAGGACGCCACGACCACGCGGCTAGCAAACTTGCGACCAGCAAGGGCCTGCATTGCTCGCGCAGACTCCATTGACGAGGAGTACTGTACGTAGATCTGTGACAAACAAGACAGAGCCAAAAAAAACATCGAATGTGAGCTGGTTCTCAAGCCACCAGTCTGCTTGCTGTACCCACACCCCTTTCCTTCTTTCTTCCTTCTTTCCCACCCTCTTTGCTGGTTATTACGTTAGTCAGGGTTGGCTCTCACCCTTCATCCAAGAGTACATAACCCCCAAGAGAGTGCAACTCCACTATGGGTACTGTCAAGAGTACATACCCCCCCCCCCCAAGAGTCCGCAACTCGACTATGGGTGCTGTCCCGGCAGAATTTCAAGTTGACGGCATTTTTATGATGCAAAGCGTATCCTGAACCTATGGTGGACAAAGCCCCATTCGATCCTGTACAAACTAGTTCAAGGAAACACGCGTGATGCGTTGACCCCGTACAAATATTGTAATTCGCTGGTGCAAGGAGCATTGCACCACAAAAATGACGTCAACTTGAAATTCTGTCGAGACAGCAGAGTAATGTTGTGCGGAAGTTGCACACTCTGGGGGGGGGGGTTATGTACTCTTGGTGCTGTCCCGACAGAATTTCAAGTTGACGCCATTTTTCTCGCATTTCCAGACATATCCGGGAGCTGTGGTGGACAAGACCCCATTTGATCACGTACAGAGTAGCGGAAGGAAACACGTGTGATACGCTGACACCCAGCACAAACATTGTTTAGCACTCGTGCAAGGAGCAGCGCATCATAAAGGTGATGTCAACTAGAAATTCTGTCGGGCCAGCACTGTATGCGGGAGTTGCACACTGTTTGGGACATGTACTCTTGCTTCATCTCAACTCAAATATTGGCAGTCATTCGACGTGCCAGGAAATGCGGTCTTACAAAACCTTTCTCTCACGACTTCTGCGACATCTGAGTAATCTCTGAGCAAATAGTAGCAGAGCAGGACAATACAGACATCCTGTAGAGCAGCACATGTACATAGTACATACCTTTCCCACACCAGCAACATCAACACCCTCTGCCGGCCGTGGTATCTGCAGACCTCTCACAATACCATACTTGCTGCACTCTTCACGCACGTCCTCGAGAATATCTGTACATATGCAGACACACGCACACACACGCACACACACACATGCGTGCGCAGCCACACGCACACCCACACACATACACACACACACACACACACACACAAACGAGTGTCTACTCCACTGCACACGCATATACACTTTTAAAGGCATGTATGTTCCAAGTGACAGATGTTTCCAAGTGCTGGGGCATGGCTTTGACCATACAGCTTGGATAAAAGAGGTGCAAGCCAGGGTCCACACCCGAAGAAATAGCCCAAACTTCACCGGTGTAGGGAAGCAGGCAGCTTTCCAACATGAGCACACCTATCAACGAACTCACACACTGACTCAAACATGCATGCAGAGACACATGCACGAACACATACATTGTACAGGGGACGGCGCCTTTTCATAATAAAACGGTTTTATACAGCCTATAATGCCTGGCATTGCACTTCTGGTCATTGCAGGACCATGCACATTTACCTCAGAAGAAAGACCATTGCAGTCTCAGTGGCTGCGTTCGATTATGCACTTGAATCGATTCATGAATCCATTCGCATGCATTCAAGTCGTTTGATTTTCATGTCATGAGCCCTGGAATCGATTCGGAATCCATTCACTCTATTCACATGGGTGATGTGAATAGTGCGAATCGATTCGTGAATCGATTCGCGTGCATAATCGAACGCACTCACTGTGAAAGTGTGTCCGAATCAAAAGGTCACGACAGAAAGTCAATTCGAGCTCGTTCCAATCTGTGTACACCGTTCCAAAAAGGAGCCCCCCCCCCCCCACACACACGCATGTACAATTGTCATGTACCGTATTTTCCACAGTATAAGCCGCACTTTGAACACTCAAAATTCACCCCAAAAAAGGGGGTGCAGCTTATACTCCTGTTAGGTACCTCCTCCCGTACCTTTTCTAGCTGGCCTGCATGCACTCGCGTACTCACCTTTTGTCTCCTTTTGTTCCGTTGGCCTGGGTAGCTACTTGCGCGCCCATAATTGCCATAGCTACCCAGGCCCTTTATCTTGCCGTTCAGACTTGATCTCTTTCTCTTTCTCACTCTTCAATGTAGTCGTTTCGTTCGTCTTGGTCTCTTGTCTCGTCGTCTATAATAAATGTCGTTCCCACTAACTTGTTCCCGTTGTCCGTTGCAATGTCTGGAGAATATGATGTCAGTCGTCCTTTTCGTACTCAACACTCCGATGATCAAATCAATGGTGATACATAGGGTAGATGTCTGTATTTCGTGGCAAAAAGGGGGCGGGGGGGTAATACTCCGCAACACACGGTACATCACAGCACTGGCACCATCATACTGCCTGCCTGCCTACCTTCGTATTCAGACGGGTCTAGAAGCTCGTCAGGCGTGACCATGTTCATGAGGCACAGCACTTCAGTGGCGGGACCGCTGGCGGAAGGAACCTCCAGGCCAGGAAGCTGCACCTGTGGCGGTGGTGCTGCTGGTTGAGCTGGCATCAAGGAGGTCAGACTCTGGGATGGCTGCACACGCAAAGCAAGGCACAGAGACGTACAAGCGCACAATGCGTATAAGTATGTTGTCATGCCAGGAGAGCACTCAAAAGAAAAAAAGGATCAAGGACACTCAGGGTGCACTCCGTGCACGGCACAGTACAGAGACTGTGCAACACAGAGACCAGTACTGTAGTGCATTTCAACTACAGTCACACCTTGCGTTTCCGGTCCTCTTTAATCCGGATCCCTCGCCAACCGGAAGAAAATAATTAATTGTTGGTTGCCGATTTACAGCACATGTACATGTCATGCATACATACAGTACGTGTGTTCGATTATCCGGTTCCCTCGCCTATCCGGATATTTTTTATGGAAAACGGATGTGTGTGGCTAAGCGAGGTCTTACTGTACTTCGAAGTACATGATTGTACATAAATACACAGTAGTTCGCAAATCCCAATAGCTAGTTGTTTGGGATTTTCTGTACGCCATTTGTCGCATCTTCGTTTCCTACTTCACACTCGCTAGGAACGAAATTGATATCATTCAGGCAGGGTTTAGGATTCTGAAAGACTTCGGGCGGTATAAAGCTTATGAACCAGGGTAATAGTATTTTAGGGATCTTAGATGCCTGCGTCGGGCAGAGCGTGTACATGTGCTGCACCACGGGAGTTCTTTTGAAGTCTAGGTGAGTTTGTGCACATTCAAGCCCTAGTTTGGGAGTACATGTACTTTAAAAGACGCCTGTAGAAACTCTTGTGCACGTTGATGCGTCCATGTATTAGAATTGCACCATTGTAAATCGACACGTTTCCACAGTTGATGAAATTTCACTGATTTCGTGCCTACAATATAGGCGGTGACCGCCAAACTAAATTCAAGTAAGCTGCTTGCCAAAATCTGTCACAAGATCCGAATAATGCAGGTTCGGGCCATGGCTACATCTCAGAACAAAAATAATCGATTTCTGCTTGGAAAACAACAAATGGCAAAACTTTGATGACAGCCAAAGATTGTGTTTTTTTTCAGACTGGCAAAGCATCCCAGTGCCCCCCTCCCCTCCCCCAACTGATGAAATCAGGTCCTCATGAAGTGGTCAGTGTATGATACCAACTACAGTGTGCCCATCAGAACATCTGAACACCAGAACATTGTACTGTTCCCGCAACACACAGACACACAAACATTACACTCCTCTATCACACAATTGTTTGGGTACGTACATTATTCTTTGCACCAAGCGCTGCACGCTGCACCACAAGCTTCTTGTCTCCCAGTTGCATGCCATTAAGACCAGCAATTGCCTGAAACAAAGCAGACAAGCAATAACAGACAAAGCTGAACATCACCAACACCAATGGTTAACGCTGTGAGGATTTTTTTCATCTTTCTCTTTTCTCTCTCTCTCTCTCTCTCTCTCTCTCTCTCTCTCTCTCTCTCTCTCTCTCTCTCTCTCTCTCTCTCTCTCTCTCTCTCTCTCTCTCTCTCTCTCTCTCTCTCTCTCTCTCTCTCTCTCTGTCTCCCTCCCTCTCTGTCTGTCTCTCACTGTCGCCATGACAGCAACCCACCCGAGGTGCACACTCTGGGTTTCATGTGCTCCAATGTACTCACATGCATTACCCACGTAATCCATATTTGGCAATGTGCAATGGGTCTATACAAATAAAAGCCATCGACACAAGCGGCCTACCTGATCGGTGATGGAGACGTTCAGATACTCGCAGAAGGCATAACCCTTGGACAGGCCTGTAGCAGAGTCCTTCACCAAGTTGAATGCCTTCAGCTCACCGAACGAGTTCAGAAGCTCTTTCACCTGGAGACAACAGACGCAACGTCATATTATAGGTATGTTGAAAATCTGGAAGTGCAGCTTTTTGAAGAAACAACAAGTGCTCCTACACAAAAACTCTATCACACTCATTAACCCCATTGAGTTCTGGCTCTGTGAATGCGCTGTACACAGCTACAGCCTGGACATGTACTAAATATCGAGCACACATCTATACAGAAGAGCCAGCAGCAGATATCTCGACACAGCCGGCATGACAGCAAGCGGAACGAGACAGAGAAGCTGGCCAGGGGAAGAGCAGAAAGAGACCCAGGGAAACAGCACAGTATCGCACACGGAGCAAGGCCCAGCGCAGCGCAGTCACGACCCGGGGAAACAGCACAGTATCGCACACGGAGCAAAGCCCAGCGCAGCGCAGTGCAGTCACGACCCGGGGAAGCAGCACAGTATCGCACACGGAGCAAGGCCCAGCGCAGCGCAGTGCAGTCACGACCCCGGGGAGACAGCACAGTATCGCACACGGAGCAAGGCCCAGCGCAGCGCAGTGCAGTCACGACCCGGGGAAACAGCACAGTATCGCACACGGAGCAAAGCCCAGCACAGCGCAGTGCAGTCACGACCCGGGGAAACAGCACAGTATTGCACACGGAGCAAGGCCCAGCGCAGCACAGTGCAGTCACGACCCGGGGAGACAGCACAGTATCGCACACGGAGCAAAGCCCAGCGCAGCGCAGTCACGACCCGGGGAAACAGCACAGTATCGCACACGGAGCAAGGCCCAGCGCAGCGCAGTGCAGTCACGACCCGGGGAGACAGCACAGTATCGCACACGGAGCAAGGCCCAGCGCAGCGCAGTGCAGTCACGACCCGGGGAAACAGCACAGTATCGCACACGGAGCAAAGCCCAGCGCAGCGCAGTGCAGTCACGACCCGGGGAAACAGCACAGTATCGCACACGGAGCAAAGCCCAGCCCAGCGCAGTGCAGTCACGACCCGGGGAAACAGCACAGTATCGCACACGGAGCAAAGACCAGCGCAGCGCAGTCACGACCCGGGGAAACAGCACAGTATCGCACACGGAGCAAAGCCCAGCGCAGTCAAGTGACTTACTGTCCCAGGGTATAAGATTTGACCCGGACAGCAGGAGAAGTAGCGCTTACGCAGCGCACACACACACACTTGCGCGAACTGTCGACAACAGCACCGCACCAGGTCCGCGGACGCCGGCACAACACAAGCCCCTTTCGCCATTGCCCGTCACCGGCCGGCAGTGTGCAAAACACAGACGTTTCTCTACAGCAAGCAGCACATCGCTGGTGTTGTGGCATAGCACCCTGGCACGATGTGTACTGCTGTCTAATAGCTAACCAGCAACCAGCACATAAACAACCAGAACAACACATGTTTGCCACACAGGTTCCATGCGCACGAGCACCGCACCGCAGCTCAACGAAATCCTGCCTCGCGAGTCAGCCAGCGCCAGTTGCCTCGCTACACGCCTAGCCGCATACAACGATGACAGCATATCGCAAGGCAGATGACATACTGTAAGGAACGCAGTGTTCCTGACTGCAAGCAGAGGCCGGTTGGTAGGGCCCTAGTTTAGTGCCAATACTGTATTCACGCGCATAAAAGGGTATCCGGAACATTTGTTTCCTGGCGAAAGGAAGAAAAAACCCGCATATTTATCGCATACAAGGGCATGCACTTGTATGTGGCCGAATACGGTATGAGCAAGAGTTGTGGACTCTTGACGTGAGCCGTATGGGATCGCGTTCATATGAACTGTACGGGGGTCATGCTCCAGTTCAGACCCTGGTCCCGTAGGCACTAGACTGTGCATCGGCACAGGGCGCTGGCTTAACCAAGAGGTCGGATTTCATTGAGCATCACTGTGTATTCAGTCCTACACAATAGCCCAATCAGAGAAACCCTGACAGGATTCTAAAACAATCTGTGCAATCCTCGTACTCATAAACACCCAATCAAACGTCGCCACCTGCCGTCAGCATTACAAATTAATTTCACGAAGACGAAAACAAACGGTAGTGCCACCGATACCCAGGCTGAGCTCTGTGAAAGGGGGATACGGTCGAGGAGTACTACGCTGTGAGCCAGCCCTGCCAAGAACATCTGCAGCACACTCACAAAGCACAACGTCAATAGCTGTATGCAAGGACGAGAGCAGATGATACTACCCAGTACCACAATGCTAAAGGATCCACGTGAAACCTGTTGTGTGCCTGCTGCGATAGAAACAACAGAGGTGCATGTCTCTTGGAAATGTCTGTGAAAACAAACGTAAAATGCACCCGGGGATAAATGTCTGGCCAGGAGTCGTATGAACCTGCAAAACGAAGATGATGACAGTTGGAAAAGGGATTTTCCAGATGATGAGTGTTCTGCGCGACCTGTAAAATGCCTGCAAAGCAAAAGGCAATTCTCAGCCTCACATAAATCCCTGCGGAAGAGAGGTTGAAGTACACGCCACCTTGTATCTCAAACACTGATGATGCTAATCAGCCTTGCTGGTGCTGCAGTCACTGCTGGACCTGTAAAATGCCTGCAAAGCAAAAGGCAATTCTCAGCCTCACATAAATCCCTGCGGAAGAGAAGTTGAAGAACACGCCACCTTGTATCTCAAACACTGGTGACGCCAGCCAGCCTTGCTGGTGCTGCAGTCGCTGCCGGACCTGTAAAATGCCTGCAAAACACACGGCAATTCTCTCACGATCACACTGACAGAATCCTGTGAAAAGCCCACTCCGCTTGGGGCAATGGGACCATGATGAGTCTAGCACAATGAGCCTGTAGTTTCCTTCGCAATCAACTCATCCTTTGAAATGTGCCGCTGCAAAGAGCACTGAGGAAACCTTGAGTAAGTGCTTGCCGCTCAACCTGTGGAATGCCTGTAAAGAAAACAGCTTGCTTCTGAAATTGACAACTGCTAGACCCACTGTAGATAGTGTAGCAGTAACCGATGGCCTGTGGAAGAATGGCAAAAAGCTGTCGTTTGAACAAACCCTGTGACATGAGCAGACATCTTAGATATGGCTGCTCCTGGAGAAGAGCTATGTTTTGAAGTAGAAAGGAAGACGCCTGTAGAGTGAGGGAAACGGTGAGAATATCCGATACCCATGAATAGACCTTGACATCACCACCGTGCTGGCAATACTTTGAATCTGAAAACAACCTGTGAACCATAGCAGCAGCTGGGCAGCTAGGCTGTAAAGAAAAGATACAAGATAGAACTGATTCCACGGCGTGGAGATGTTGCCCGGTGTTGACAACTCCACAGGGGCCCGCCCGTGTGGCCAGCACGAGGTAGGTAGATTGACGGCACGTGTAGACATGACAGAAGTCAGGTCTCGCAATGGCTCGTCTCGCCGACAGCATGGAGCACACGGCACAAGAGAACAGAACAGAGACTGAGTCGAGGAGCAGCGATGCTACACAAACTTACAATACAGCATACGGTACAAAGCAGCAGACGCAACAAGCCAACCTCCACTAATGTTTATCTGCAGCTTCCCTTCTCCTCAGCCTGACTTCACTGCAGTTTCACACTTACCTCGCATAGAAACTCCAACAAACCCACAAAATGACTACAATGCAGCATTACAGAAGCAGGGACGTTGAACATACGCGTGTCTGTGTGCTTGGCAAGCGCGGCCGCTTCACAGGCTCAGAGTGAAAACCAGGCACACACGCACACACACACACACACTGACCTGGTTGTCGGTGAGGTAGTTGGGGAGGCCTCCGATGAACACCTTGTGTGGCGAGTCTGGGACAACAGTGGACACTACACCTGGCACGTGAGTGGGAGCAGCTGCTGGCGTTGCTGCCGCTGAGAAGAAGAAAATAGAGATGGTCAGGAGAGGCAATGTTAAAACTAGGGTTGAAATGCATAATACTGACTATTCGAACATCCAATCTTTTACATGTAGCCCCTCACAGAATGAACATTCGGGATGTGACGAATATTCAAACAGAAGAAAGGATCGGTTCGGCGCTGACTAGGAAAAACGGCCCGCTGTTCACACGGCACATACGTGCTATCCCGGTGACGTCATCCACTGCAAGACTCTTAAGAATCGAAGATGCAAGTTGCAATCAGCTCAAAGCAAGCTCCTTTTGGTTTCTGGTTCATAAGCCAAGCTCTCAACTTCTGCGATCAGCCAGTTGCGACAGTTGCGTGAGCTGCGCGATGCATGTGATTTGGGGATTTCCCGGTTTCGCGGCCGTCGCATCACGCCGCAAAAATGCCTCTGTGAATCCCGCTATAGTGCGATGTTGGCGTTAAGTACATGTACACAACAAAGATATTTTGGTGTTAAGTACATGTATGCACGGATGTGAGTAGAACGCGAACAGCAGCAGCAGCAAGACATCAACACAACACAGCAACGACTTGGTTGGGACATGCTCACCGAAGGTCTGTCCTGCCGGTGTGCCAGGCATGGGCTGATAGTCCTTGGGGCGGCGGATCTTGAAAGACTGGCCCTGCACACATGAACACACATGAACACACACACACACACAGACAAACAAGCTCGAACGAAACCAAAGTGCAAATCACCAATTGAAAGACTGGCCCTGCGCAGATGAACACATATACAAACAAACAAGCTCAAAGGAAACCAAAAGTGCAAATCAAGTCACCAAGTGGCTTTTTTCTAGTGCAAGGACAAGATTATTGAAGCACCACTTCACTCAAGATTATCGGGATATTAAATCGATTCTCAATGAAATTATATCACTTCGATAACTGCCAGGCAAAAGACAAACAAAGTTGAGCATCACGCTACAAACCGGAAGGGCACGTTTACTAGACACAGCAGTGAACATGGCCAGCATAGCACAACAGAATGCAGAGTCACCATCAACAAGGTCTCAGCTAGCTATCTGTAATAACACTAACAACACCTACCTGGAAAATGATGCCATCAAACGCCATGGCGCTGGTGCATTCCTCAATCGACCGGAACTACGCAAACAAGCAGAGAATGCAATCGTTAACACATCACAGCCCAGGTACAGTGAAACCTGTGTTTGACCCTGTACCAAGCGGAATCCTGTATTGACCGGACAAATAGTCATGCACTAAAGTACCGTGAATCGACGGTGCATCCCCGGATCAAGCGGAATCCTGTCATATCAGGAAGGTTTCCGCTGCAGCAACTGCGTCCTGTTAATAGGGCAGGTTTTACTGTAGTTGAGTGTTGGGCGAGGAAAGCTCAACCTGATGAACACGGCAAGGCTGTGCTCACTGCGCACAACATGTCTCACAGTGCCAGGGTGTTGCAGTGCCAGGGTGTTGCAGTGCCAGGGTGTTGCAGTGCCAGGATGTTGCAGTGCCGGGGTCTTGCAGTGCCGGGGTCTTGCAGTGCCAGGGTCTCACCGTGCCAGGGTCTTGCAGTGCCAGGGCAGCTGTAATATTTAGGAGGTTGGAGTCCACGTGCCAACACTATAGAATGAATTCCACGTGAAAAACGAAACCCAGTTCACAGTGCCTAACGGCTTCACGTCACAATACTGTCTAACCATGCGATACATCCAGCCACCGATCGAGTTCACACGCACTTTTCTGTCGCCTGATAAAAGGACATGGGCCTACCTCAATGAAAGCGAAGTTTTTATCCAAATTAATCTGGGCGGCTAGGACGGGATGACCAGGAGCAGTAAAGAGCTGCGCCTCCTTCATCTTCGTATTGAAGAAGTTGACCATGATTTCCTGTACAGGAAGAAGAGAGGAGAAAGAAAGCAGGTCAGTAAAAACTGTACTTCAGACGAATAAGGATGCAGTGATCCAGCAGGGTATTTTTTGCCAGTAAAGCAAGTGCAGTGTGTGTGTGTGTGTGTGTGTGAGGAGGGGGGGGAAGAGAGGGTGAACAGTCATACGCGCACCGTACATGATGTGGGGACGCGTGGTTGGGTGCCAGGGATGCCGAAGAATATGCGGCTGATTTATGAGCAGAAAGCATGCACATCAAGATTTGTTTTTAAACATACCTCGGTAATGCCGAATGGAATATTTCCGACATAAAGGCGCCGGGCCTGGCGTGTTAACTGAGTGGTGCCCGAAGCGGCTGACGGTACCGGTGCAGGGGCTATGGAAGAACCCAGCTCCGGTGGTGGCAAGCCAACATTCGGAATCTGTCCAGACGCTAAAATGAACACAAAGCGAGAAGCAGCAGAGAGTGTTAGAGTGCACTATTGGCGCAGGACCATCGGCGCAACCAAGAAGAGCAACAGTTTCAAAAACCACGGTATCAAGTGCCGGTAAACAGCTGTATCACTGCACCCAAGGCCAATGGCACGGCGTCAGACACAGCTCCTCTAAATTACAGGGATGCCATGTGAGTTGCGTTAGGAAGGCCGTAACTAAGACTATAGTGATAGAAGGACAACAGGTACTTGTGGATACCACTTTGAACACATTCAACATATCCTAGATGCAACACACATCGCTGAACCAGTCTTGCAATCCGCCTGCGTGCTAAGCAGTAACATGTTAACACGACCATGTTTGTACAGAGACCGAGCACGTCCACTGCTCGTACTACAGTGCTGGCTACTGACATTCCGACCGCTGCTGCCTTTCCTGTGCATGCGTCAAGCAGCTCCTGATACCTCCATGCAGAAGTGCGACCCCGGTTGACGTCACGCTAGCACCATGCAACTCGCAGTGCACTTCTCAAGTGAGTGACCTGATGTCAATGGCCAACACTGTAAGAAGGACCTGCTTTCTGCTATCGAATGGGCTAAAAGCGTAATGGCTTTGTTGAATGACCATCCGGAACTCAGTGCCCTTCTTGATAGCACTTAGCACGCACAGGCACAAGCAATATCTTCTCTCCTATGCCAACAATTGCCGGCAGCCTGGAGTTTGGCGTGGCCACACGAATGTGCATCGCAACGCTCATGGACACGAGCTACACATACCTTGCATCGCCTTGTACTGCAGCGGCTGGATGTGTTCAAACCCTTGCGGTGCTATATCCCAGCCAGATTTGAATCTGCAGCACAACGAAGCCAAGACATGAAACCACAAATACAGCCATAAGTGTTGCACACATGAACGCTGACAACCACCTGGATAATGCCCATCAACGAACGTACAGCCAGGAGGTGGCTGTATACTATTCGGGCTTGTCACCGTTGCATGAATGTTTGCTCTCCTTCTCCTAAAGCGGGATTCAGAGAAGCTTTTTTGCGATGCGACACGCGATGCAACGCGATCTGCGATGTACGCGTGCGATGCGAAATCGGGAAATACCATTCACAGAAGAAGTCAGCGATGCGACAAAGTCTTGCTGATTTGGGTACGTCACCATGGCATTCGCGCGGTTTGGTACAACTTGTACAAATTTATAGGCAACTCTTGAACCTTTGTACAACTTTGCTGTAGAAAAGGCCAACATCGTACGCCAAATCGCTTGTCGCATCGCAAAAGTTGAGCCAAGCTCAACTTCCGCGATGGCCCTGTTGCGGCAGTTGCGTGGGGTCCGCGATGGTTGCGATTTGGGAATTTCCCGGTTTCGCGGCTGTCGCATCGCGTGTCGCATCGCAAAAAAGCTTCTGTGAATCCCGCTTTAGTTTGAAACTTTTGATACGCATCAACTGCTAGTGGACACTATAGCGTTACCGTAACAAAAATTAGTACATGCACTAACCTTCTGCCCGCTCCTCTGTCACGGTCCCTGGAGCGCGATCGCCTGGATAAGGTGGCAGCAACAACACCGAAAGCACAACGCATCACCAATGAACTGTCAGAACAGCGCAGTCAGCTTTCCAATACGATAGATCTCATTGACAAAGAAACGGTCTTGTCGGTTCCCTGAAATGTGCATTTACATACAGTCGGTTTGACAGGCATCATACATAAAAGCAGTGTCTACATCCACGTGGGCTAATCTGTCATGCTTCTTCATGAGTCCTGCATACAAGACCACAGGATTTACCGTGTTCACTTTTGATTAGAAGCACTCGCAAACGAAAGGCCCCCTGAAAAGACCACTAGATTATGCCCCTATTCCCATAGCTCGACAGTGGTAGTGGTAGCCCGCATGACATCATGACTGGACTACTCTCTACAGATATGAAGGAACACTGAAGAGATGGAAGACCCCGGAAGGAACACTGAAGAGATAGAAGAGCCCGGCTTCAACTAGAGTGAGTGCGGGACTTCCAGACAAAGAACCCACACTTGACATGCCACTAATCCAAAACCGAGGACACAACTTCGAGCGTGACGAAGAGAAACTCACCGCCTGTCATCTGGAGATCGATCGCGGTGTCGCCGAGAGTCCCTGCCTCTATCACGATCCCTATCGCGGTCTCTGTCGCGGTCTCTGTCGCGGCCACGGTCCCTGTCGCGATCTCTGTCGCGATCTCGATCTCTTCTGCCGCCTCGGTCTCTATCGCGATCCTCCCGGTCTCGCGAGCGAGAGCGACGGTGTCGTTCCTTGTGCTCATAGTCACGGTCGTCTCTGTCGTGCCTCTCATCACTGGGATGATGTTCTCGGTCGCCACCGCCAACACCGCCGTCATAACCCTGACCATACTCTTGTTGTGGGGCGCCATTGCCGGGTTCTGTCGTGCACACGCATCACAGATACAGACAAACACATACGCGCATGCACAAACAAACAACAAACACACACACATGCATTACAGCATACATGACTCTAAATATTATCACAGCATTGCATACAGGTACACATCTACCAGCAGAACCCCCGAGGCAGTTAACTCCTTCACTTTTTGACCGCCCCCTTTCAGAAAGAATGCGCCGCCTTTTTATATGCATGAAAAGTACACATCGTGTAGTAGCACAGCATACAACGGAGGCACAAAATGGGTAAAAATCACACAAATTTGGGTCCGATGACCCCCTCCCCCCCCCCCCCTTCACATTTGTTCTGGCTAAAACCCTGTAGACATACGTACGTGTACGCAAAAGGTATAACTAAACACATCACCCGGGACCTCTGACAGTGTACCTCCAATGATACTTCTTTAGAAAAGAGCAGACATCACCCAGACAGGCATTGCCAAGCGAGTCTTTTCTTCATTTTTCTATTCACGGATTTGCAGGCATACAGCGAGCCAGTACGCTAAACACTAGTAGTGAATAAGTAAAACATTCCTTGGAGACAAAAAAATGCTAGAACGCTTAGGAAGAGGACAAACTTCAGGCTCTTCACCGGCAACATTATTGAAAGTTCCCACTAGTGTATTATCATGCCCTCTCATCAGCTAGCTGCTTCGACTTTGTTATAGGTATAAACGTGTGTGTGTACGTACCTGGTATGTGTGTGTCTGTTCGATGCGTGCTTGTGTGTGTGGGCGCGTGCGGGTGTATGACTGGATGCCGTCAATCCCTTTTCTGTACCTTGTCCTCATCCACTTATTGCAGTGCGGTGAACCCATAAGTCAGATCATTTCCAACTCCACCCAGACTTGGGGGATTTCAGGGAGTGTCGGCGGTTGGGAGGTTCAATAGCCAATAAAGTCATCTTTCCAAGGTTCCATTCGAATCACTCTCCCCCTTCCGGGGAGATGCACACGTGACCAGTATTGGCAGTGAGCAAGTACATGTACAAGTACACATGTGTGTGTATGTGCGTGTGTATGTGTGTGGTGTGTATGTGTGTGTGTTTGTTTGTTTGTTTGTTTGTGTGTGTGTGTGTGTGTGTGTGTGTGTGTGTGTGTGTGTGTGTGTGTGTGTGTGTGTGTGTGTGTGTGTGTGTGTGTGTGTGTGTGTGTGTGTGTGTGTGTGTGTGTGTGTGTGTGTGTGTGTGTGTGTGTGTGTGTGTGTGTGTGTGTGTGTGTGTGTGTGTGTGTGTGTGTGTGTGTGTGTGTGTGTGTGTGTGTGTGTGTGTGTGTGTGCGTGTGTGGTGGTGGTGTGTGTGTGTATTTGCGAGCGTCCACCCACAACAAAATACCGAGACATACCTGTAGTCATAGGCCCGGGCCCAGGCATCGGCATTGGCATCGACATATTACCGGGCATTCCCATGGGCACTGGACCAGGTACAGGAGGCATACCTGGTGGGGGCTGCTGCCCCATCATCATCGGAGGCGGCGGAAAAGCCCCCGGTGGCTGGGGTTGCGGAGGCTGCTGATACATAGCTGACTGTTAGACAGTTGTAAGCAAGTCAAGTCTATAAAGAACTAGTTGAACCGCATCAGGTGGCTTTTCACTCCATGGGGGATCCAGACCTTCCTACAATCACTTCTTTACCGAAAATACAGCCAGCTGTATTTTTATAGAAATAAAAATAACAGCGCTATAAAATTCGGGCCTGCTATTTTCATATCGATTTTTGCACTGGCCAAGCGGGCCAAATACCTGCAGATCCGCAAACCAGCGAGCTTGACCTCGACGCACGCGCAAAGCGTGCGTGCGCACACGCACGGCGCAGAGCTAGACGCTCGGCACGTAGATCTACGTACGTCGCGTCGGCGGATCAGCGCGGTATGGCACAGACCTAAAAAGGGGAAACACCGCCTTCTGGCCGCGAGCGAGCACATAATTTTTTTTATTTTATTCGTAGATATTATTATTATTATCGCGAACGCGATATTATCGCGTTCGCGATTTCGACTCGCGAAGTGACTTTTTGACATTTCCTGCAACTCTTCAACAATTCATTCAACTCATTGACAAGGACTGCGTTTGAACTTTCCGCTGTCTTTCTGAGAAATTTCTTCACCAGTTGGTCGATCTCTTCACAGGCTGCTATTTTGTATTGAATTGTTTACACCTAACCATACGGAACTACCAACGGTCGGCGTCGTCATTCAAAGATGTCGAAAATTCGGTGAGTCTTACATGAACATCTTGTTTTTTTTTCAGGTACTGGTACATGGTAGGTATTGCACCACCTTCATCCTATGTGTACAAGTAGCATTACTGCAGTCGAGGCTCAATTGGAGATTACCCAGCATGTTCCTGCCTCTTGTATATTTTCTAATTGCACGCCCGCTCCACCCCCATTCATTTACACTTCACGAAAAACTCGCATGAACACCAGCATGAACTCCCTCAGTGGAGTCTTCGCTATCACAAGTTTACAAGCCAGCATATGTTCCCTTAGAAATGAATGAATTCAAAGCAATGTCGAGACGACAGAGAGACAGAGAGACTTTGTGCCTTGCACGTGTGAACAACAGTCATCTGAATATCCCAGTGTCCGAAGGCGTAGGGTTGCGCAGCGCTCGGCGCACACTTGACTCACTCGATCAGATTTCATAGAGCAGTACGGGTAATAGCATGTCTTCACTGACACTTTCTGAATATTCAGTCTTCTCATGCACCTACACCTGCAGTGGCACAATCTCATTGTGCTCATGTTTAAATTAAGCGGCATTGTACATGTCAGGCCCGCCGGAACCGGTCCCGTTGGTCAGCTTATCACCGGACCAACTTGTTGGCCACCAACAAATGTTTCCTACTGTGGAGGACGTGTGTACCCACCATATCACACACAGAGTATAAAAGGCCATGAAACTACCGGACCAATCGAAAACTGCTTCCAGCGGTACTGCATGTACGTAGCATCCCGGGGTGAGTATGGTATTGCCCATCACCTTGCCCCTCTTCCTTGCCCTGATAGCTGCTGCAGGACTGGTGTTGCTTTCATAACAATCAGATATGCCACTTCTTAAAAGTAACAACAACAAAAAAGAGTAAATGATTGTGTCTGATCCCGAAGGGAACTCGCGACCGCTGCTAACACCCCGTAAACCGTATGTACCTTCTTAACCCTGCAAGACAGCACTGTTGACATCGACAGGACACTACATGTACTGGCCTAGAAGCTGCTGAATGTCTCAATACGACTACTCTTGGCCAGATGTCCCTTTGCAGCGCCTCAAACTAATGAGGCACTGCACTGTATTCATGCTCCGCCTGCTGCTGAATTAGGGCGATGGGTGTGGCCATGCGTATATCGTGTCCATGTCGTCCTTGCAGCAGATGGTTTGTGTGCGGTTTCTTTCTGGTGTTCTTGTGCGTGCATAACTGCATATTGCATGTATACACATGCATGTTTGTGTGTCGGTTTGGATCTGGCCAGGCACGAATGGTATCAAACGGAAATTGCCGTCGTCGTCAGCGTCCTACACAAGAATGCCAAGGCGGAAGACGTTGATGTGCAGTATGGCGAGAAATCAGTGAGTACATTATACCAGCATGTGCGATAATGATGGGAATGTGTTCAGCACGTGCGCATGAATGGCCACGCTGCCTACTGGTACTTCAGGGCTGCACCTTTCAGCTTGCATCATTCGTGCACAGCTCATGGATCATGTGACTCGCGTGAGCGTGTCAGACGTATAAGACACACCCTGGAGATGCTCCACGCCCAGCACATGGTCAAACGGAGCAACGTGTCTGGTCCAACTCCACTCCAATTGATCCCTGGGTCACATAATATTGGCCATGTTGGTTCCGCTATCCCCATGACATGTACAGCTCTTGCATGGACATGGCTGCAAGCATCCGCCTGTACTGTGCCATGCAAGCCACTTCTGATTGCAGGTCTTAAACTTGTCAAGCAGGCATACAAAGCAGTCAGTGTCCTTTCTCTGGTGTTCGTTTTCTTAGGTAAGTGTATCTATCAAGCTGTCCGGTGGCAGTGATTACATGCTAGAGCTGGACCTGGCACGGACCATCCTCCCAGACCAATGCATCACCAAGATCCTCGGCACCAAGGTGAGTGATGCTGATGCTGCTGCGTAACTACTAGTGTTTCTGGTGCAGATATTCTAACTAGCCCGTCCTTGACGCCCTGGAAGTGGCACAGATGCGGCTGGATGTACACATGTACAAGTACAATGATGTAATCGGAACTAGTCCAGGGCGCCAGCTTTGCACTTTGGGTCGGATTTCACCGAGCGCTACTGTACTTTTACATACTCTTGTATGCACGTTTGATGATGAAACTGTATCTTATGCATGCATGGGGTCATACTGCACACATATCTGTGACTCTCATTATCTGAACCCCTTCTGAACAGCTATCTTGTATGCGTGTTCAATGATGAAACTGTATCTTATGCATGTATGAGCCATACTGCACACATAACTATGACTCTCACTGTCCGAACCTTTCCCTTATCTTATCTGAACCAATTCTGAAGAGTGTCTGCGGCACTGCCTCGAAGGGTTCGGATAATTGATTCTCTTGTACATCTGTTAGGGTAAGGGTGGGCACTCGTCCTCATTCACTCTCATGTTGCAATTGTTTCTTCGGCAACTTTGTAGATTGAATTAAAAATGAAGAAGGCCGAAGGTGTGAGATGGTCAACGCTGGAGGATGACGGCCAGCAACAGGCTGCTGTAAAAACGTTTGCCACCGCTGGTAGGTCATGGCGGCTCCCCTGAATAGTAATCTTTTGTAATCTTTGTTTGTATCAACGCACTGTCTTCATTACGTAGTGCAATGATGATCAAGCTGACTTGCTTTGAATTGTCGTACAGTTTGGGTGCAATGATTTCACGCGTATTACGGTAGATTCAAAAGCAGTGCCTACTACAGTATACGCATCACATGCAAAACCTTCCGTAGTCCCTGAGACATAAAACATGCTTGGAAGCTGGAAGCCGTACCGGATTGATACTGAAGGAATGGTCCAGCTAATTCCATAGGTTGTGGCTGCGGAATGTGGGCAGTGTGCAGCGCCCGAGCCTGTGTGTAGAGGTGCATCCTTCAGCCCTGAATTTTTAAGCGGAATCTCACAGAGAGTTGCTGTGGTCGTCTAGTTTTGGTGAAACATGTATAAACCTACGCTTCCTTTTTTATTAAAATGCCATCTCCACTATAATTATAATTATGAGAGAGAGAGAGAATGTTCGTTTCGGTGAGTTAGATTGTCTCCATATACTGTGTTGATGTAGATTCTGCGAGCAGTGCAGCGGCGCACACCTATCCATCAGCCGCCCCCAAGGACTGGAACAAGATTGAGCGCGACATCAAGGAGGCGGAGAAGAATGAGAAACCAGAAGGAGATGCGGCTTTGCAGAAGCTGTTCCAGCAGATTTACGGCGATGGCAATGATGAAGTGAGGCGTGCAATGAACAAGTCCTTCTCTGAAAGTGGCGGAACTGTCCTCAGTACCAATTGGGGTGAGATCGGGCAACAGAAAACAGAAGTGAAGCCACCCGATGGCGTCACGTACAAGAAATTTGAACAATAGGCCATCCCTCATACACTCCCCCCCCCCCCCCCCCCCCCCCCCATCTCTCTCTCTCTTGCTGCTAACGTTTTCTCTGCTAGCCTTGCTCTTGACTAAGCTGGCTCTGCTTTAGCCATCATGAAACACAATCTACAATTCAATCCAACCCAGATCAGATCACGCCCTGCCAATGTACAGTTTTCAGAGCCACGTCCTGCTCCCTCCACTCCTAATATTCTTCAGGCGGTGGAGGTCGAGGGCTTCTTTCTCCGACATCAAAAATAGTGGTAGCAGGTACTGCTGGCGAGCATTTATTTCTACTAGTTCTCTTTAGGTTTTAGATATCTGTCACGTATTCTCCATAGCTGATCGCCACTTAAATTTTGCCTCTCCTCGCGGATCCACACTGGGTGCTGGCGCTCTCTCTCTCTCTCTCTCTCTCTCTCTCTCTCTCTCTCTCTCTCTCTCTCTCTCTCTCTCTCTCTCTCTCTTCTTTTTGCCGCCTATGCTATGTTTCTGCTGATTGTTTTCATTTTGCTCGGCTGGCTTGTTATGAATGCCTTTGTACTTTTTTTAAGTTGCATTTTATCTTCAACTTGTGTCTCGGATGACATTTTTTCCTCTTGAGTTATATTCTGTGGGATGGTTGTGGTTCTGTTGTTTTGGTTCCAAGTTGTGTGGGGCAGGAATACAATTTGGTTATCGTTGCCTGGATGAAATGAAAAAATGAGAAAGGTGCAGTGCGAACGCAGCACGGTATTTTGGGTTCTTGTGCGTGCACGTGGGGAAACTGGCCATTGTTCTCTCTCGTCTTGTAGCAGCTAAACCCGTCGGTGTTGTTGCATTGTTCTGGAAAGTGGTGTGAGTGTATGCATGAACTGGAGCAAGCGCGAGAGTAGCGGGGCGGAGAATATGTTTGCGTTGTGTAGTCTTGATAAATTAATACAGCTGGGATAGTCTCTTTTATTGCATAGGGAACCCCTGTCGTTACTGATCATGTTGTATTATTGATTGAAGGCTTCACTCAGAGTCAAACTCAAACCAAAGGATTGCATGGCGAAGAGTGCTAAACACTATTCAAGTCAAATGATCGATATGGCAGTGCGCGTGCTGTCATCTTGATCACGTGAGCACTGGTCAGTGATGTCATAATATTCTCATCATTACAGTATCAATACGTCATTGCAACAATACAATCGATCATAAACATTATTCATAAAACATGCACATGTATTTTAAAAGTCTTCCCCTTTTCAAAATTAATAATTTTCACATGTTCGTAGCTAGCTAGAGCAAAGATAGGAGCTCTACTCTTTTCGAGAGTACTGGTACATGTACATCCCATTTTCGTTGTGTCTTTGTCGCTGTTTCCCGTGACCGTGATTGCATTGGAAACTTACTTGGTGTGATCAAGATGAACATCCTCCCGAAGAAAAGGTGAGAGAACTGTAGTCGTTGTCCATGTTTTATCAATGTATCGCATTGTATACTTCTCCAAAGGAAATTGGATACTAGTACTTGTCCTTGGAGTCTCTCCTGTAGTATAGACTTAGATGATGTACGATTTCAATGCAGCAGTGTTTTGATTTGTAACGGTTGGATAAAAAAAAGGCTAAAGAAATTTAGATGAGAATGATATGCGAGAAACAAAGGTCGGAAGCACAATTACATGTAACAGTGGAACTCGGATAAGATGTACCCCATCTGCAGCAGGGAAGTGTACTCAGTATCCGAGGTACAAGTACTTCTTATACAAACGTATTTCAGTATGGACCAATATGTTGGTACACTGTACTGTACATGTAAGCAAGAGTATGTCCCAAGTGAGTTCCACTATACATGTACTAGAACAGTGGTGCCTTGCAATGCACGAATACACAAGGGGCCATGGTATACGTGTGCTATTGCAATAAAGGAAAGCAAACAACTGCTTGTAAATCCAGACAGTCTTTTGAGAGCGAACTTGTGCTCCACATACTGGTTCTGTGTCCGATTTTTTAGAAGTCCGGGAGGAAGACGCTGGTGGAGGGATTCTGCTATCATTCTGGCTAATCATTGCATGCAGTACCAATAGTTCGACAAGTTAAATGCATCTCCTGCTTCCAAGTACAGGGTACCCTCGGACGTCTCTTATCCGGGCACCTTGGGGGGGGGGGGGGGGCAGGGGGGCACTGCCCCTATCTCAGACCCCCAAATTCGAAGCATTTTCGCCATAGGAACTCAAGCTGAAGGTGCCCGGAAGAGAGACGTGCCCGTATCTGAGGCGTCCGGATAAGAGACGTTTGAGTGTTATAGGTTTCCACGTTGAGTAAAAAAATTCAAAACCGCACTCGTGTCTTGAATATGTCTTGATTTGTGCTGTTTTGTTTTCTCGTGTCTGATTTCTTTTCTGTTAGGTTCCATGTCCGCAATAAGGATAACATTGCTCGAGTTCGTCGTGATGAAGCACAGGCACTCGAAGAAGAGGAAGAGAGACAGCGGCGTGTTGACCTGGCTGAGCAGGAAGCACGCATGCAGGTCCTGAGACAGCGCGCTATCAAGAGTCAAGCGCAGTCCACACGAGCGGAGCAGACGGGCGCAGCGGTGGAAAGGGCCGAGTCGGCCGACCAGCTGGAGCACGTGAACTTCTTTGCAGCAGCAGAGGCCGGCGTGAAGTCGGCCAGTGTCAAGAACAAGGAACACGAAGCGGAGAAGAAAGACGAGCAGGAGAAACTTGAAAAGCGCATCGGCATTCTCACCTACCTTGGGCAGAGCTCTGCTGAAGTTGTGGGTAAGGCATGGTACGACAAGGACTCTGAACAGAGAAGAAAGGAAGACGACATCCGTGGGAAGAAGTCGGAAAAGTTCAAGCGGGCCTCCGACCCCCTGCATCGCATGAACGACTACTTGCGCAAGAAGGAAGAGGCCGATCGTCACCGAGAATCGCGAGACAAGTCCTATTCGAAGCGTCACACTCACAAGACCCACCACCGGCACTCGTCGACCCCGGCAGCAAGCAGCTCCCTTAGCGGAGCAGCAAAGATGCAGCAGCTGCGGCAGGAGCGTCTGCGGCGCGAGCAGCAAGAACGCCACCGAGCGGAGCAGGTGCTGGCCAAAGCACGAGGAGACCCCACGCCCGCTGACCAAACCAATGTCCCTGTGGCTCGCTACTCGAGCCAGTTCAACCCACATCTAGCACGACAGAATCGCTCCACGTTTTAATTCTAATGCCCTTTTTTATGCATTTAGGAGTACACACTTGAACAAGATCCTATTTTTTAGTCTGAAGTACTCGTACTGCTTGTAGCTCAGTAGGTTACTGGTGTGCATTTTATTTTCTGCTCTAGAAGTGCATGTACTTACTTGATACTTCAAAAAAAAAAAAAAAAAGTATAATTATGTGTGTCACTGTGCATGTGTAGGTCGTGTATGCTGTGTCTGCGTATCTGTATTATCTCCCACCTGGTGCCACTTGAGTCTCAAATTTGAAATCGATCCTCTGGTCTTGCCCATGAAGAAAAATAGCTCCATTCTTCTCTTGTTGCTCCTGTAGCTGAATCTGGTAGAGCAGTACGAGGATCTTGGGCTGCGTGCTCGTGGGGTGATGATGACAACGTGCCAGAGTTCAGTGTTTCGGATTCCACTGTGGCAGAATCTCATGCGGATACAGCCCAGGAGTGGACCACTCCAGGGATGGGATACTCACACGAGTCGCAACACGTACCCACTGTATTCTGACGGCAGTGCGTGACTGCCGCATATACTAGCAAAGTACATGTACGTAACGAACTAACATTTCAACATTTGAAAATAATAATAATAAATAGTTTCCTCTGAGACAAAAATGCGATAATACTCCACTCGACTAGCCATGTACATATATATGTGATACCGGATGTGTCCACCGCACATGCTGATTGTTCTGATGTTACTTGTTAGTTCTGATAAGTACGAGTCGTCCATTGCTAGTCATTTGTTTGAGCATCCTGATTGTCGTGCTGTGTATTCAGATGATTGTTTTTCGATTGTGTCACGTGTACGCAGTGCTAGATCATTGCTGAATGTTTTGGAAGCTGTATACATCCACACAAAGAAACCCAACCTTTGCAAGCAGAAGCAAAATAAATTCACACTTAGGTTACGTTTGGTTGGTCACATTCCCAAATGGGAATCATTCTCGCCCGTTTGGTTGGTCAAAAAAGTGCGTTAGGTTGGTCACATTCCACATGATTCCAGAATGGGAATCGCTGAGAATGATTCTTTTTGGAGAATGATCATTCCACCTCACATGCTGGAATGGGCATTCTCATTCCGAAATCAAAAAATAATGATAATGGCTGCCACGAGCCAAACAATGCAGCAACAGGTTCAAGTGCCTCAAATCATGCACTCAGAAGTACCAGGATTCTCCCAAGGAAACTAGAGTTGGGTAAAAGAAAAGACAGCCGCCGTTCCACAACGACATCATGGAATTGTTATATCAAGTGATTCCTAATTGATTCTGGCGCGTTAGTTTGGTCAGGTGATTCTTGCCGATTCCCATTCCAGAATGGTTATCATTTCCATTCTGAAAATGCCCAACCAAACGCAACCTCAGGTCGACAAAACCTCGTTAGTTATGTCCAGTGGTTGTCTCTTGTTGTCGCACTACATGTCACGCTTATTGAGTTTTCTCGCACTTGCACCTTTGTGTCATTATTGCTATGTGTATAGGTCACGCAATTTCGCTGTTTACTTTAGCTATCTTCTTCTTTGCGCTGTTTTACCACCTCCTTACTGTACTTAATCCACTGTTCCTGTTCCTTTTCCCTTGCCTGTATTTCACCTGACGAGAAGGCTTGAAAGTATACTTGTAAAAACAAAAACTTTCAAGATGTTCGTAATGAGCCTGAAGTGTGTCCTTTTTATGAGTAATAATAAAAAAATAATAATATTCAAAAGTTTGAGGGAGTTGATATAATTTCAACAGTATAAATTTGTGGTACTACTAAGTATGTGTTATTAGCCGGGCAATATCGTGTAATATTGGACCGCCTGAGCGGGCTTGTATGGAGAAATATTGCCCGCTCTATCTGGTCGCTGATTGGTTGTAGACCTGGAAACGGTCACCTGATGTGTAATAAAGAGTAATAAGAGATGGTGATCACCTGACTAAAACGTTCCGTTGTTCAACTGCTAGATTACATCTTCATGAAGATCCACTTAACACGCAGCAGAGCAGTGGAAAAGTGCCCCCAGACGGATGCCGTGATATAAATACTTCAGTAATAATTTGACAAATGTCCCGACTTATCCGACGGTTTTGCTAGAGCTAATCTCGAGTACAGAAGATGACAGGCGCAGGGAGCAGTATGTTACTGCTGCCTAATTGCAAGCTAAACTGAAAAAAATGTGGCTGAGGCGGTGGATCAAAAGCTACCCTGATGTATCAAGGCCGAGCTAGCGCTAAGGGCCCTTCACGTACTGCTTCACTGGTTATAGTAGGTACTTGAAGAAACCTGATTCGGTTAGCTTGGTGTGGGTCGCTGGAGCTCACCGCCATGGTCCATGACTGCTTTCACGTATTGTGCTAGCGGTTAGCTTGGTGTGGGTGGCTGGAACTCACCGCCGTGGTCCATGACTGCTTTCACGCACTGGGTCGCTGGAGCTCACCGCCGTGGTCCATGACTGCTTTCACGCACTGGGTCGCTGGAGCTCACCGCCGTGGTCCATGACTGCTTTCACGCACTGGGTCGCTGGAGCTCACCGCTGTGGTCCATGACTGCTTTTACGTACTGTGCTAGGAGTTTGTCGCCAAACGTGTCCCCTGTCGGAATGGTCCCCTCCAGGAAGCCCAAATGTCCACCCCACTTAGTTATGACCATTGCACAGTACTGGCTTGCTCTGATCTTCTCTGTTGGTAAATCTAGGCCAGGCACAAGAACAGAACAAAGGACGAGTGACGGTTAGTTCTACGGGAAGCTAGATAACAGGACTGGAGAAACAAGCTTTACGCTCCTCACAAGCCCTTGATGTAGTCCCATCAGGTGGAACGCTGTCAAGACTACAATGCAGCATTATATTATAATAATTATACAGTTTCTACTATAGGCGAGAAAACGTGGCAAAAAAACCGACAGGCGTGCATATACCGCCATTTTGCCAGGCGTGCTTTTACCACCATTTCCCCTCAAGGGGGAATAGAGGCAAAAAGAATTGTGAACAGTTCCTAACTTATAACCAAAACAATAAAACATCGTAGCACTAACCATCTCCCAGTACAAACATGTCGTCAGCCGCGTGCAAATAGAGCACGGGAATGGTGACGTCCGCAATGTGTCTCTCTGGCGATGCCCGCTGGTAGTAGTCATCCAGCGACGAGAAACCAAAAGTCGGCACGACGCAGCGCTGGTCGAATTCACTGATTGTGCTCGCCTGCATGCAATAGGAAGGAACAGGGACGCAGCACACACATCTTTGCCTGATACATACAAGATACTAATTATATAACCCAATAAAAAATATATATATATAACCCAATACTAGTACAATACAGTAGATGTTGGTTATAACGTGCCCTTCTGATTTTTCACATGTTATCACTATAACCGGTATATCACTACAGGCGATTTTCAACTGCGCTCGTCATACATACACATTATAAACGTGTGGGTATTCGATCGCGTTAATGTAGCGTACTGATACATGGTGCATGCTGCTGCACCTTCCCCAGCCTAGAGTGAAGAACTTCTTGGCCCAAAGGCATCATCCAGGAAGCATCAGACCAGAATACACACACATGTGGCTCCAAGTCGAGACATCAATGCCTCACACTCGTGTGTTTCTATCACTATAGACGATAATTTTTCTGCACAAAGAGGTGATTTGAATGGTGATTCTGTATCCTTATAGCCGATTTATCGCTATATCCAATATATTGGTTAGGCCAAAACAAAAAATAGGCTTGTTTCCGGTCGGCAACCCCTGAAAAGGGAGACTCGGTCGGCCGGAATGAAACTTTTTTTGGATACTTTTTTTGGTTCCTCAATCATTGTGGTATTGATGGAGAAGAGCACCTACACATGTACATTGTACATATATCATGGCAAGGATCAATGTCAAAGTTGACTGACTCACTGTTCTTGTACAGCGTGTGGTGTATTCCTGTTTTCGTACATCCTGAGAAATCAAGCAAACAGTTCGAGTCCTTCCAGCTCCGTTATTCTAGCTTGTATCGACCCCGGAGGTTTTCGAGCCGCCAGCTGAGAATCTCTGCTACCTTGTAGGTGTTTCGATTGTGGAATTCGGTTGATATTTGACTGAGTTATGGCTCGTTGAGTGCACTTGCACACATGGCAATGCCACCGTTTGTATACATTTGGGACCAAAAAAAAGTTTCAGAATTTGGGAAAAAGTGGCCCGGTCGGGCGACCGGAAACAAGGTCATTATTTGTTTTGGCCTTATAATGATAATTTATTTGACTGGCTTTTTTCTGGTTTTGCTTTTGATATCTTCATTTTGTATCAACATAGCCGGTTTATCACTATGTCCGATGACTTTATAACCGATATCCACTGTACTAGTATTAGATAAACCTTGTTATAGTTCACACATGTAGTTAGTTTGACAGCATGAAACAAGGTGGAGGTCAGTGTCCTCCACCTTGTTTCATGCTGTCAAACTAACTACATCCTAGATACTTGTAAAAGCAGGGATTACTGTGTACCGGTACGCAGAAATATTCGTCTGGAATTTAATTTCGTCTTTTTCGTCCAAGGAGCTTTTGGACTAAATTTTAAATGCCGGATGAATGTCGACTTGTGCAGCTTTTCAATACACTCTTATGATCCATGGACAAATTTTACAACTGGACGAACTCGCTTTCTTTGGAGTAGGACGAAATTATTGACCGATGAAATTTTCTGCCTGTACAGTATGTTATCCCACACCAATACCCGGTACTGCAAAACAAAAGCAGTGTGACACAATAAACACATCTGCTGAACAAGCCCACATCATCTGTTCAAATTCGCTGAAAATACTTCAGAAGTATTATAAATAATGATAATGTTGATGACTGATATGCAGTACAGATATACGATATGCAACGTGCTCGAACTGAGGGCCTGGCCCTGCAAACAGCATATCGGGAGAACGGGTGTTCAAAAACATCAGCCAGGGTGCTGGCAACAGGTCATCGTCAAGAGAGATTGAAAGCAACTTCCATACCTGCATGACATGGCTATAACCACCGGGTACCGACTCGATCACGTTCTTGTACTCCATGTTATCCACAGAGCATCTGCACAAGATGACCAGTGACACACAAATGAAGAAAGGGGGGGGGGGGGAATGAACAATAGCAGAGAAAGTGCCCAATTCTTGCCTGCGTGGCATCACACCAGAAAAGAAAGTCTCTTTCCGGTAACAGAATAATATTCTAAAGGCAGTCTTCAGCCAACTAGCTACTACCCTTGGTAGCCATTACACACAACAATAATTCCAACAATGAAGGGTGACGGGTGCGGATACTGAAATTCCTACCGACAGCTGTTTCACCATTCTGAAGTACGATCATCAAATAATTGGCACAATGCTCTCAACACAGGTGCTTCGTAGGCACCCAGAATACCAGAATGAAACTGTGGCATATTTTTCTCAGACCTGCAACCGATATTAGACTGATCGTTGACTGAACAAGACCTGATCACTTACTGACTGTAGATTCCTCTTACCTGTGCACAAACTTGTGTAGGTCGCTGGTGATGCGGCGATTAAGAGAACGATTCAGCGCGGTCGACTCCAGCGACTTGCGAGACTTGATCGGATCCCAGGGCATTGACATACCAATGCCACCGACGACGTTGCACTCAGCGATGCATGTTGGCGGCGAGCTGGGATCTGCCCTTGCTGATGGTGCCAGCTGTTTCTCGCGACTGTACTTGCCGAAGAAGTGTGAGGAAATCATACTGTAGCGTGGGATTCAGAAAAGCAAACACATGACAACGTATCTCTTTGTCTGTCACCAGTTAATACTATATGCAGCATTTCCCCACAAGGCACACTTTTCTATGCTCGAAATGATCACAACAGATAGGATATTGTCACAGATGTCGATCCTTATTACTTTTGTTAAGTTGACTCATTAACAGGGATCACCCAGAGGACAAGGGGCTGTGGCAGGGAGTAGTAAAATACTGGTATTTTACTACTCCTGGTCTATGGTAAGGAGGCAGCATTGCCCAGGCTCTGCACAACTTTGAAATAAAGGAATACAATGACAAGAACGACAACAAGAACAAGAGCAACAACATACCCTCCCATAGAAAAACCGCATACGACCATCGGACTTTGAGGTGACGTGGACTGGACATGAATGACTACCTCACACAGGTCTTCACAACACGCTGCATTGTAGCCACGCGCAGACTGTCAAAACCAAAAAAAAGGAGCAGGAGGCAACAACAATAGCATGCCACAGTTTATAATCTTGTAATAAGGCAAGGTACATTCTCGACTCGTTAAAATCTGGTTATGAATTCTTTTCATTGCTCTCAGGTTTGGCCTCGTCTTCTCTGTGCTGCGCCGATGAGTCCACAAAGGACAAAACAATTCTGTCCGCAGACTGAGTATCTCGTAACAATAACTTTGTCCAGCAGGCTAGCACTCACCGTGATAGATACCCCGCCTTGACCTCGATTGCTGAATATCACACTCCTGAGCAATCCAACACACACACACACACACACACACACACACACACACACACACCATTGACGCCCATCGCCAGAGGCGATGATAGCGATGCTACAGCAGAAGCCACAGCAACTTGTGCTGGGATTGCACTATTCAACAGCTTGCAAGGCTGAAGAATTGACCGCCACTATTCAGCCTGGTCTACACCACACAGCTATGAAGTATGAATTAGGCTTTACACATAAAAAGGTTGTGTGACAAGGAGATGAATGCCACCAGGAAACAGCACAGCCACAGTAAGGATACATGTATATTGCTGGCCAGATGCAAGCTGCATACATTGTCGAGACGGGTTCTGATTGACACCACTTCAGAAGTTTGGTATGCCAAAGCATTACATCGTAAAGTTCATGATACTTGTAACTGCGGAAAGTTTCGAATGCATTTCTTTACGTACTGGTAGCCCAAGTCGGAGCATATGGCAGCACCGTTGCTCACGTAGCCTTCCTTGCTGGAACCTGCCATCAGCATAGATACCCGTATACCGGGTGCCAACATACAGACACATTCACACATACACACACACACACACACACACATTCACACACACATTCACACACACATTCACACATTCACACACACACACACACACACACACACACACACACACACACACACACACACACACACACACACACACACACACACACACACACACACACACACACACACACACATTCACCCACACACATATAGCAACACTACAACAGAGCTTCCAACGGATCAACAATGACAAGATCAACGGGTCACTCACACTCACTACTGTACAGGCAGGGGAGTGCAGGCTGGCAACGCTAACCAACACCATACTTCATGCCTCACCAAACATAAACGAGGGCTCCAGTGGCATAGAGTGAAACTATTGACTCTCATCTTGGCCAAAGTCACTCGGGTGGCCTACAAGAAACAGGGAAGTGGAACGGTCGGATCGAAGATCGGCTAATTAAACCCTAAGCCGTTGCTGGTGTTCTTCCAGACACTACTGAGCGAGGATTTCGCTGCAGGGTTACATGCAAGCTTTAGCATATAAACACCTAGCCATTCTACAGTACCACAGATACTGACCTGCAATGCCGGGCAGCAGCAGAACAATGGGCGTGCGACTGTTCTTCTCCTGGCCAGGTGGCTCATTCCAGTCGAGGGCCACCTGTCCGCCGTCTCTCAGTACCAGTATTTCTCTGCAGCGGCGAGACAATGCAATGTGTAGTTTACACGTTCATTGAGCCTGCTGCAGATTTTATAGGCATGACTATTTCAACAATTGGTAGCACACTGCCGTACTACTACGACAGTGGAACCGAGTACTCGAAAGCAGAGCCGAAATATTCATGACGTCACCCTAAAACTAGGGCATGCAGCCGTGGGAACACTCAAGGAAGTCCTAACTAGCTTTACTTGTACATTGAACAAGTTTCACCCACAGACTACTTGTAGGAGTCATTTAGAAGGCCAAGTCAAAGGATTTCATCAAACACTGTCATCGCCTGCCACACACACACAAAGACAACCTGGACATTTTTTGAAGCTAAGCGATTATAGCAAAAAGAGTAGTTTTCCAAATGAGAATTTGTATTTCTTGGCCCAGTGTTCAAAGTACTTTTCGTAGTTTTTTTTTACTCGATGCTCTGGTCGCTCAAGATTTTGCATGCTGAATTTAGCCGGCTTATAGCACTGCATATCTACAATAAAACCCATTGCAATCAAGAGTCCATAAACAAGAGTAAGCAACTGTAATCTCTTTTCTATGGGCCAGATGCGCGGCGCGCTGCGTTCATTACATCATTCAGCTGCAGACCGCGTACTGCGGAAAATCAAACACTGCACTTTCCCTTTTCTGAAGTTCATGCACCAAAAGTTAGAGATCGCGTAGGTACTGGAACGAATAGAGCAAAAACGGAAGGGCTCGTACAAGAAATTATGGGCTTGAGTGCATGCTATCAGAGCGTGCTGGAGGCAAGTAGTTACGTAATGAAGGCAGCGCGCCGTGCACCGACCCATAACCACAGTTGCATACTCTTGTTTACGCACTCTGATTGCAATGGGGATCGGGCTGGACTGACTGCCAGCAACACAGTGCTGAGGGCTGCACGCCGGAATCTATGAACGTACTCGTGGAATCCAGCATCGCCACGGCGGATGACTCTAGCAGGCCGCATGCTGGAGAGGAGCGCGGGCCACATTTAGCATCCGGATTTCCATGTACCGCCACCGGCGCTAACGTAGATTGACAGAATCATGGTGTGAACATTCGTGCACGTACATGTACTTCAAGTACATGTACCCAAGCCTTGGGTAGAGGGCACTTGGTAACACTGCCAAGGTCTGCTCTGGAACTGGGGGTCAGCCGGGTACAGCTGTACAGTAAAACCTGGTTTAAGCGACCACCCCACGGTGCAACCAAAAGCGGTCATTAAAGCCAGGCGGTCTTTTGAACCAGGTCCCGCAGTGTCTGTGAAGAACTGTCGGTGCATGGAAAAACGGTCGTTGAGAGCAGGTGGTCGCTAAACCCAGAGGTCGCTTACACCAGGTTTTTTACTGTACTTGGCAATGCTTTCTGAGCAGTCGATAGACACTACTAGAGGGTTCATAAAGTACCATTTGTGTGGAGTGAAGTCGGGGGAGGGGGGTTCGTCTCTGTACGTCGCATTTCGCATGGCAAGACAATTTTGGAAAATATGGGTTATGACTCATGAGGTAACTGTTTCCCCTGCCCGCCTCCCTACTATTTTGACCTGCCTAGAACCATGGCAACTGCACACATACCGGTGGGTCTGGCGCAGTGCACTACCCATGCTACGCCACCATGGGCTGGGGAATCGGCTAGGTCGCTGCACCACCATTGATTCGCATGCACTGCGGTTTCGAGCTTACAAGTGCATGTGTGCTTTTCTCGGAGAAATCAAAAGGGTCTGCGTATGGGCATTGCCTCTTGGATCTACCATATCCCGCAAGTATCCATGTGGAAATCATTGCATCTATTAATCATAAGAAAATTCAAAATCCAGTCACTTGATCGTCATTTCAGTGAGTACAGTTGAACATCGATTATCCGACCACCTTTGGGCAGCGGGCCCTGAGAAGGTGTTTGGGTAATAAAAATGTTCCGGACAAGGAAAATCCCACCACAGGCTGATACCTGTGTTCGGTATATTACAGTACACGCAAGTTCCGCAACAACAGTCATTTTCATGTTAGTTTTCGTAAGTTGTGTAAGTTGTTGTACTGTACAGGCAGCGAGTGCGCGCTGCAGCAACTAACTTTTCGTGCAAGCTCCTGTACGAAAATGCGTAGCCTGAGCCACGTGCGATTCGGAAACCCATTTCGGATAATCGAATGGTCGGATAATCGATGTTCAACTGGTGATGAAGGGAGCGCGCCGTGAAGAGAACCCATAGCTCGGAGATCAGAGTTACATACGCTTGAGGGGGGTGCGGTATTCTACCTGTGAAGCGACTACAGCATATTATGTGAAATACTATGTTGAGCCGACGGATGTATATGCCATCACGCAACACATACCAGTGAAGGTATTCCTCTAAGCTGTAGACGGAACTGTGAACAACCCAGCATCTAATTCCCACCTCTGTCGAAGCTGGGACGTAGCGCCGCGTGACGCGTGTGTGTGTGTGTGGAGGGGGGGGGGGGGGGGGGGTGTCAATGGTACTTTTCGGTAGTCATAACTGTCAGATTATAAGATACTACACTACAGCTGTAGTAGGTTGCAACATAGAGAAAAAATTAATTTGTGCAAAACATGTTGCATGTGGACAAAATAGCACGGCACGCGGTGGTTCCTAAAAAATACATTGACATTGTAGCTCATGCATGCTCCCTCTTACCTGCGAAAGAAGACACGCTTTTCTTTCTGAAGAATAACACGAGCCAAGGTACTAATCATGGCGTGCCATGCCCACCACGTGGGCCATTGGCGCTGCTCCAGGACAGGAACGTGGCGCAATAGAAATGCCTGCATACGATCCGATCCCACAGTTCTCGCACGGGTGGCGATCACTCGCAGGTACCATACGGCGTAGCAGCCACCGCTGAGGGCGATCGTGAGAAGGACTGGCCAAGTTTGAAGAAGAGCAATGCCACTGGACGTGGCCTGCATCATCAGGGTCAACCCTGGCATGCTGAAATTCAAAGAATACCTGATAGTGATATGCTAGGGTGTTACAAGAAGCTGAAAGAAGTCAGAGCGTAAGGAAGAGAGCTCTTTGTAGTATCATCTTGTACGGAGCGACTCTTCCCTGCAAGCTTGGAGGTGGGGAATAGAAGTAAAATAAGGAGCTTCTTATCTGAAGGCAGGTAAAATCTGCTTTGAGTTTGAGTTTGATTGAAAAAGTAAAAGGTGAAGAAATGCAGGCCAAAGGTCATCATGAGGTCATACGCTAGGTAGATCTACACGTGCTAGCGGCGTCACGTGCACGACGTCACATGACTTTACAAAGTCTTTCCGAAATAATTAATTTCCGTTTCACACCAGCTGCACTGATCACGGCTGTCAAGAAGCGGCAACTTAGAAAGATGGCGTCGGTTCGAGATGGCATGGTAACCGCGCACGTGCCGTGGTCCGTGACCTGCTCATGTATGCACGCAAATGCAAGTCACAAACTCACAAAGATCGCCTTTGCATTTGGAGAAAATATCTTCGACTCTCTTTGGAGGTAGGCGAGGTTTGCCTAATCTTTACTTGATTGCGATGCCGGTATGTCCTCTCAATAATTAGAACAAAGAGAGCTGATGATCGCTTCATTGCTGAGCAGAAGTAACAATCAACTCTCCTCATGTCCTCAGTGCCAAAGGCAGACGGCTGCAATTCCACAACGCTGATTTCACGATGATGGAAACAATAATCGTGTACTAGTACACACTTGGACCATTTGGTCATCCCTGTTCTAGCCGCTAGTCCGTCCAGCAAGCAGATATTGACTATTACGATAAGGACAACTGCGTGAACGAGGGCTCGCCCAGCAAATTCAATTCAAGACGTGACTCCAGTCAAGAATTAGGGTCTTTACTCGAGAACTTCACAAATACAGGTCAAGGCACCCCACAAAACTGATAGATGGCACGAACGAAAGACAAAATAGGCTAGACAAATTGTCCCAAGTGATTGAAAACAGCAGATCTACCAAATAAGACAGCTACATGTGCCTAAACAACGATTCCCATACAGTAGAGAGTAGTATCAAGCAGAATGAAAGCCTTGGAAGTGCACAAATACAGCCACGACCGCCACAAAAATTGGACGACCGCCACAAAAAAATTCTCATTGCTCTACCTCCTTGAAGGGTGAAAGTTACCAGTTATCCTATAGCGATGTCAGTTTATGCCTGTTGGAACCCCCCATAGCCCGCACGAAATACCTTTCAAATAATTCCAGGATGCAATTGCAGCTCCAGACAGGAGGAAGAAGAACACCGTGAAAAACAACGGCAACGATGCCCAAACTCTAGGGAAACGGCTGAAGTCTTCCTGAAGATGTTAACATTGAATAGCCATCGATTACCAGCGTGGTTTGGTGACTTTAGAACTGTTTTGAGACTTAGAACGAAGCTATCTCAAATTTGATGGAATTGTTACCTGTCAAATGCGTGGGCGAGCAGGCCAGCTGACTGGTTATGCATGAACATGCATGAGCATGCATTGATTTTTCATGGTTCACGTGCAGAAAACTAAGTTGCCGCGATCCAAGTGCAGCTAACAGCCGTGTGATATGATCTGCAGCCTGTCTTTTCGCACGACTACATAATCATTGATTTTTTGTGTGTATATTAATTACTTCAATGTGTATACGTGTGAGTGAAGCCAAGATCAGTAGATCTACTACTAGTACAGTCTGTATCGGCTATAGAGTGACCGGATATGTATGTATTACTGCACAAGGACCAGTGCAATACCGGCCGATATCTGCACGAACGGCGAAGCCGTAAGCGCAGATATCGACGCCGGTATTGCACACGTCCGAGTGCAGTAATACATTTATTTGCTCCTTGAAATTCTTTCAGTAGGTATCGGTTATAGCGTGGGTGTTTGAAAAATGATTTTCTATTCTTATTTCCGATATTTCTTACACACGATAAATCAAGTGTGCCATATCATGTGCATGTGCGCAGAGGCAGGAAGATCATCGTCCATGCAATGTAGTGCTACTGTGCATGCGGCTGGTCATAGTCACATAGGCTTACCATGTGCCTATGCAACATGAGTTACATGACCACAACAGTTGAACCTGCAGCACTACGACCCAACACGAGTCAGATAAGGTCTGCATTGGACGGATGTTATTACTACAGGTGATATACTTTGTACTAATCTGGCATGTTTCGCTACACAAAGTCCATTCTTAGGACCGATATATTCTACTGTACGATAAAATTGCTTGTAAGAATAAAAGTGCACTTGAAACCCATGTTATGATTATGAAAACATGAGAGTTCATTCTTGTAGGCAGTATATTATTAATTTTACTTTTCTTCTCCCCCCCCCCCCCTTCTCCCTTCCTTGCCGTGGTTGGCTAACACCCTCTCTCTTTGTATTGGCCGGTGTTCTCACTGTGCTATGAGATGCTGTAATAAATAAAAATAAATAAATAATATATTCTTTTACACGACCACGCTATAACCGATACGCACAGTGTACTAGTACCAGTACCCACATTTTCGGTGCGGTTTTTTTCGGTAAAATTGTCGCGGCACCAAAGTTACCGAAAATAAAACACCACCGGATTTTTTTTGCTTTTACAGTTCCTAGAGTCTAGGCTTGAACCTAGGCTGGAGCCGAGTGGAGGCTGGCTGTAGACTTGTAGTTGTGTACTGTAGGTCTGACCATGCAAAATTTCTTATCTGTGTCTGTGCGCTTAAAAAAATGTACCGTGAATCGCGTACATGTAAGATCGATATGAGTATGACTTCTACTTCTTCTACTACTAGTACCGTACTGGCAATATATGTTGCCGCAGTGAGGGCATGAAGCGTTACATTGGCACATGTTTGCCGCACGCAGGGCGTTACATGCAAAGTCGCACAGGAGCCGTTACACAGGTTTCTATTGCCGCAGTCCTTTTTTTGCTATTGCCGCATCACTTTTTTGCTATTGCCGCATTATTTTTTTGCTTTTGCCGCATCATTTTTTCTTTTCATCCACATAGTCATTGAAGGCACAGAAATTCAGTTGCTATCCAACTGTTACAAACCCGACGGCAAAGGGCGACAACGATATCAATAGAAGACTGTATATTTTAACTATCAGAGTGATCTGTTCACAAAAAGATCATCAAAAGGAAAGTGACATAGGGGAAGAGGGCTTCCTCCAAAAACTACTTTTCACCACGCGGTACAGGTGCTTTCACAGTTTTCAGCCTTTTTTTGCAGTGCAAACTGCAATGAAAAGATCGCCGCACCCCGCCGGACACGCGTTACGAACTCAACGAAAATTTGTCGCACTAGCCTGGTCGCGCGTTACGCCGCACCCCCCTGCGTTACGCGTTACGCGGCAACATATATTGCCAGTACGGTATGTACTAAGTTCTAGTAATGACTATGTACTACATGTACTAAACTACATTGTAACTTCTATTCTAAAGACGTGAACTGGTAAAGATTTTTGTGTGCAGTTTGTAGATCTACTGATCTTTAGTTTAGCTCAGGCCAGGGGGTATTTTACGACTCCGCCTGGTGATCCAAGCCATACTGCCTGTGCTGGGCGGTAGCTAGATTCTTGATCCTCTCAATCGTGCCTGTACTGGCTCAGTGGCTACCTGTTGATATGACTTATGTCTAGTTATGAGTGTTGTACTCAGGGAGTCGTCGTTGACGACTCCCTGGTTTATAGTGTACGATGATGCGTGCCTCAACTCCATGCCACCCCCACCCAGGCCAGGCACCATGGCATGGGAATGATGGGATCCAACACGTAGATCTACTGTGACGACTTTATTACGTCGTTGTTCCGTGCACGTGCGCCATCCGCCGCACGCACGCTACTAAAAACACAGTCTTTTGCCAGCGCGGTGTTGAGTGGCGTTATCTTTTTTTCGCCATTCACGGCGTCCATGCACCTAGTGAGAGTGTGAGTCTGTTAGCGGCGAGGGTTCCTATTCAGCATGGCATGTTTTTCCGTTACTTCTGAGTCTGAAGAAACTCAGCGCAACGCGTAGAGACCGCCAGGACTCACCTCTGTTAGAGGAGGAGGCATGTGCAGTAGGCAGTAACGTTAGTTTGTTGTCGACACTGACAACAGCGTCTGCAGGCTGGTGATTCCACTACTTGTATTGGCGCTGCTGCTGTGCCTGGCCTGGTGTGCGCCGCAAGTAGGTACTGCAGTTGCAGTTGTGTCCGAATCAGGAGTGCACAATAGACTGGTGGCGAGTGGCAGTACTGGTCGTTGCACCCGTATCGGTCAAAACACGACGTGTGCTGCGTGCCGCACACGCTGATTCAAGTAATCAGTATTCAGGTTCCGCGGATTTTTCTCCTTGCTGTTACGTGTGCGCGTGGTGGGGCTAGCGACTGACGTTGCTGGCAGAAGCCTTTGCTGGAGCAAGCTGTAGTGTAGGGTAGCGTTTCACTCAAGTCCTTGGAGCATTTTCACCGCATCAAAAGAGGTCCTTTTCTCCCGAGTGCTGTATATGATCTAACCACTCACCACTCGACATTCATCCTGAACGCGAGCGCAGCCGTTCAGTTCCCTCTAAAACTGACTGGTTTTCTGATAAAATAATTCGTCACTGCGGCGCGGGTGGTGCGCGGAGCTCGTGGAGAAGCAACATGGCGCTTCTACAGCTGTCCGCAAAGTTTGTCGACTATCCCGCAGGTAAACTGGTTCGTTCTTTACTCGGTGTGATGTATGTATCAGGGTACGCATGTGCTATATCCTTCTACTACTAGACTGTACTGTTGCAGTGAACAATAGAAGTCTGTTCACCTACTGTGACCTAGGCTAGGTGTACGTACCATGGTGTACTAGGAAGCGAAAAAGCTGAACACTGGCCGTACTGCCGATAAAAGAATATTATTCTTCTTCGTCGGTTTTGTTGTGTGACTCGTGTCCTCCGTGCTGTACTTGTGCTGTGTTCTGGAAAAAATCACAATGCAGGTGAGCACGCCGTTGCGCAGAAGCGTTCGTACTGTCTGTGATTGAGTGGCTGTGAGCTGCTGCTGTAATGGACCGCGTGGTCTCTCCTGCGCAAAACAGCTCGGCTAGTTGCTCCAGCTCGGACTCGCCGTCCGCTGCCGGAGCCACAGCGGCACGTAAACAGCCAGCCACCGTCATGGACAACCCGGGTAAGCTGGCAGTGCCTGCGCTAGCGGCCATGAGCCCTGCTGACCAGGAAGTGTTGGCCGCTACGGTCAAAGATGCGCTGGGGCAGTACCAACAGCTGCAACTACAGACTCTGAAAGAAATGGTCAAGTTGGTGGTGGCGCTACACCAACTTCTCGATGGCAGTAAACAACAGAAAATCAGCTCGCAAGTACTGACGGTATTTTCGGACCTGATAGAATGGCGGACGAAAGGAGATGCCAAGCTGTCCAGCACTGTCCAAACGGCCTTGTACCGCTTGAAATTGGTGAATGTGGACATGCAACGGGCGAAGCAATCTCCGCGCACCAGTACGCCTTCATCGGACAGCGACCGATCAACCGGAGCAGCGCTGGATGAGGAAGGCAGTTCTGGTGCTGGCATGAACGCCTCCCTACCGCCTACTCTGCAGCGTTCTGTGGACGAAGCAGCTGATGTAAGCCCATCACGGTGTGTTGTGCATGTGGACACCATTACACTGATGTAGTATTTCTAAAACACTAGATGCCGTCGGTCTTTGTAAGCCGGCACTCGTAAGTAACACACTCAGTGACTCACGCCATGGCATGGGCTCTGAAGACGTAACCCTTTTTGAGGGGTATTTCGGTGCAGAGGAGTTCATCCACATGCACCGTAGGCTATGATTCACGTGTGTACCCAGTGGGGGGGGTGATGGTACTTGTACCTGTTGTGGAGACCCCAGACCTGGGCCAAGGCACCTGCCATACCTACGTCCTTTCTTGCAAATAATTCCAGTCCGGAACCTAGGTACGTGACTGGCATGCAGGGATCTCAAGAGTTGACTGAATAGTTGTCCCTGAATCCATTTACACCTCTAACTTCGCATTGCACAAGCAATGGAAAATTGTGTAGTGAGGTGAAAATTATTGTATAACGAGCTGGAGGCGAGATAGAACTATGTGTGGCAATTCCAACTGTGTGCATGTGACCACTGACTGAAACAGTGGATGTGTGGGAAACGGTGGACCCTAACGGCCGCAATCATGGGCAATGGAATAGCAGACTGACTGCCACCAGTGGAGGAAGGTGGAACGTTGCGAGAGTAAAACGGCCACACTCTTGTCGAGCTGCTGTAGAATACTGCCCCAGTAAAGAGATGGCGCTAGCGACTGGGCAGCATACTGGGCTGCGAGCAGTTTGAATGCATTGATGTGGAGCTTCCTCTTGGCGGATGTCCATCGGCAGCCTGTGTGGTCCTTGCCATAACAAGCACCCGGCCAGAGCGAGCAGCACTGGACACATCGGACTGGATGACTTGGTCCGGTCCGGGAATGCGTACAGGTCGCCCACTCCACAGCTGTACATGTAGATGCTGAATCCACCAGCAAAGCTCGACACGGCACGGCACTCGGGACTGAGAGTGAGCCGGGAAGTGCAGGAGCGACCCTGTCTCAGAAACCTGTTCTTCGTACACGGCAGACGCCAACAGTGAAGTAGTACAGGAGCCACGGCAACCATGCTGGACACCATCAAGCCCGCAATCTCCCGAAGAGATACCGTGTGAGCGACCAGGAGATGTGTGCACAGTTGCTTGAGCCAGCCAGTGACGGTCTCCAGCACCCAAGGGTCCGTCTTCAGAGTGTGACATGACTCCTGAAAGTACTGAAGCCGACCCACCCGGGGGAGAATGGACAGCTGGGGATGACGTGGGAGCGGAAGATTAAGTGGCAGCATGCTGTAAGAATGAATAAAATGATGGAAATCTTCCGCGGAACAAGCCATCTGAAGATGGAAACCGGGGCACATCCTGACCCCCAACGGAGGGGCTGCTGCGTCTGCGGCTGGTGGTGTGTCTGCGACTGCCGTCGGAAGTCGCGGGGAGTGGTGCCGGCTCCGCGGCCCGAACCCTGGTAGCGATCTGTGCCGCGGCAATAGTTGCGGCTGGGGCCAGGAGCCTCCTGATCAGGAGACTTAGCAGAGGCAGGAGCCGGCGCACTGAAAGAACGGATTGGGTGCAAGTACCTAGAGCAAGAGTCTCTAAACGGGTGCTTGCCGCAATTCAGGGAAGAGCTCGGATCCTGATAGGCTTTCACCTCCGCTTGGCCTGTGATCGCATAGACTTCAGGAACTCGTAACCAAAGAGGTTGGAACCGCCTGAGACAGACAGATCTACTGATTGAAGGAGAGACACAGCAGCTGGCTGATGCTGCCTGAGTAATGTGTAATGGCGCTCCCGTGAAATATGTTCACTGGCCTGACCGACCGACGCAAACGGTCTGCTGGACTGACAGAATGACGTGGGCTGGGACAAAACCGTGCCCATCTTTTCGGCTGGCAAGGCTTTCAAGTAAAGACCACATATTGGTCTGGCCGAGTATAAAGCCTCGTCCTGAACAGTCCAGACTATCCGCAGAAAACGGTCTGGGTGACTGGGTCAGGCGCACGCAATGGCCAAGTGTAGTTATGGTGAAAGTCCCGAGGTGACGGGGTTGTCGGAGCAACACTCCCGGAGTTGTAGCATCTGAAAGTTTGGGTTGAAATCGTTGACATTATGTCATCATTTCTGATGACAGCAGCAAACTATTAAATGTTGTGTGTGTGTGTGTGTGTGTGTGTGTGTGTGTGTGTGTGTGTGTGTGTGTGTGTGTGTGTGTGTGTAGTGTGAGTAGACATTGCGCAACTAGTTAGTTTCCTATGGCGTCACCACATACCAACCCCATACGCTAACCAATATGGGTCTGCTTCTGATACCTAGGCAGGTGCCCCACATCTCCAGTATTAGTTCATCAAGGTTTGGAGAGAAAAAATCCTCTCCCGTGCCGTGATTGGGCTGAGAGTATGGCAGCTGGCTCTTGATGCCCCCATGTACTTATTCTCCCAGTCTTCAAGTGTACCATACTTGCGTGTTGAAGCCCCAAACCATGCCAGTACAACGCACACACTCTGTGGTGGTCTGACTGGGGAAATCCCCACGAAAATGTTGCTTACTGCATTCATACTGCGCCCAGCACGAGGGTATTCTGACACGATGTCACTACTATTATGCAGTTACGTCATCATCTGGGGTGGTTTGTATGAAATGCCCCGAAGAACCTGTTTGCCACGCAGTACAAAGCATAGGATGTCATCGGCATCTTCGCCATGATCTGCAGAACGTTTTGTGCTGTGTGTATGGAGTTAGGAGAGGGGATGACCAATGGTAGTGATCTTGTTCAAAGGTAGGTAGAGTACGCAATTAAAAGTGTGCTGAAGAAAGACAAATTGCAAAGGCTGTTGTTTCCAGTGCAGGTTGCTGAGAAGTAATGCTACATGGAGCAGTTTAGGAGTAATGCTACACGGAACAGTTTAGGAGTGAGGCTACATGGAACAGTTTAGGAGTAATGCTACATGGAACAGTTTAGGAGTAATGCTACATGGAACAGTTTAGGAGTAATGCTACATGGAGCAGTTTAGGAGTGAGGCTACATGGAGCAGTTTAGGAGTAATGCTACATGGAACAGTTTAGGAGTAATGCTACATGGAGCAGTTTAGGAGTGAGGCTACATGGAGCAGTTGCCTTTCCTTTCCCTCAATCAAACAGGCCGAGCTGTGACCGACATGTATTGTATTGCCTAAATTGCTCCCTGTGGGCATTGCAGGGTTCCGGGGCGCATGTAGATTGCACGGTGCTGCTGACACAAATCTGTTGCAGCACCTTGAACCTCACTCTGCCACTCACTCTAGAGGTTGGTGGGCATGCAGCCCCAGCTGGGCCGTCGCCAACTGGCTGTGATTCTTACACACGGAAAAGTGCTTTAAGTCTTAGTCAAACTGCCGGGTGTTGTATAGTTTCTGGCCACTTTGAGCTCGACGTTTGTGTAAAGAGAGTTTCGCAATTGCTGTACCTCCTGGAGTAAGTGGTGATGGTAGTGGTTGTGGAGTATGAGCTGAGAAGGTGTTGTGTATCCATGTCGATGCTTCATGTAAGACTCAGACAAAGCTCAAAGGACCAGCTGTCCTTTCACAAGTCCATTCTTACAAGGAAAAGGGAGAAGAACGATGAAAGGCAGTACGCATGATTCGGATATACCGTAAAGTACCGTTGATCCCCCCACGCCATGTGGCTTCCCAGCTGGGTTTTCGGCAGGGGGCGGGAATTAGATCAAGGCTGTCAAATGCAGTACGATGTACAACAATGTGGAAGATCAGACTCAATGTGCTGGATTGTACACATCTTCATCCTGCACTGGCATGTATTGTGCACAGCAGTGCATGCGTCAGTTCAACATCGTATTTCGTTGTATGCGCGAAGTCGCTTCCCAGGCAGAAAATCGACAGGGGGTGGCAATTAGAGAGGGGGCGGATCAACGGTACTTTACGGTAATACTAGTAGTCATAATATATGTACTCTTGTTACTACTGATATTATGTAGTGACGTTAGAGAAGGTTCCATGCACACTGGCACAGGAACTCAAAGTGCTCGCAGGGTGCAGGTATGACGGTTGCCGTGTACCTTTGCAGTGAATGCCTGGGTATGATGTAACGAAGGCATGGTACAGCTGTACATGAGCCGTTGCAGTCCGCTGTATACGGTGCAACTCACACCCTCCATGTACTGGATCTGATTTGCCACATACACTCATGCCTCGGTTATCCGGACCTCGAAGTTACGAGCACTTCGGTCTACTGGACACCCTTTTGGCGATTTCAGTGGAACTATTACTACAAGTACTCTTGTCACTTTTTGTCGAAATAGTGATGTCATAATGCTTATGGCCTTTCTCCATCAAAATGTATGTGATTCAGAGTTCTGGGCAGGTCCCGGACCACCCGGATAAGCGAGGTTTGAGTGCACTTGGACAAAGGGAAACGGATGTGAGTGTACATAATGTGTATCCGTCCCAATTGCTTCTGCACACAGCTGGCCACCAACACCATCTTTCAGTGTGTGGAGGATGTGGTGCGCAGCAGCAGGAAAGTAGGGGACAGTCTTCTGCCGTTCTCTCATAGCGACGTCATGAGTCAGCTGGCCGGCGTATTCGCTAACTATGACAAATGGCTCGGCGTTTCACACGTAAGTCACCGCTGGAAAAGATGAGTACTGTTTGTGCTATGTCTAGTAATATTATGACTCATTCATTGTCATGCTGAGTTGTGTCTGTGCATTGGATGTATCTTTCAATAAGTTTCATGTGTGTAACATCACCGTCACTAATGACAGGTCCGTATGAAGGGTGAACTTCAATCCGGAAATACCTTGTTGGATGACATTAGCACTGTAGGGGGGGGGGGGGGGGGGGGGGGGAGTAGGTCCGCCATCCACCCAGCACCTGCTGCTTTGCAATATTTCCTTCTGTAAAATATCTCCAAAGAGTAATATCTCTCAGATCTGACTTCAAGGGAAGAACGTCATAGATGGGTTTGACATGCTGGGTGGACACCAGGCCAAGGACAACAACAACACAATGCACTGCATGTGCTAGGCAACCCCAGCGTAAGGCAGCCCCATTGCCTAACATTACGTAACATTACGCCACATACGTACTACAGTGGTAGGTGCGCAGTTATACTTGTAACAACATTAGAGACACATCTCACCGTGTACATGCATTCATGCTGAAGCCTGCGTGCTGTACTTCTCTGGTCAATTCAGGATTTCAAACAACTACGATCGGGTTCGGCTCACCTAACTCGAGGTGAGCTGCATGCTCTACACATACCGCCGGATATCAAGAACGATGCATGGAGGCAGTCTATGGGGCGTTTTGAAGTTTTAGTCAAGGTAGGCAATGACACTGCAATCATATTTGTGTGTGTTTGTGTGTGTGCTTGTGTGCGTGTGCGTGCATGCGTGTGTGTATGTGTGTGTGTGCGTGCACGCGCGCGCACGTGTTCATTTCCCGGCGATTATAGTCGGACATAATTTCTTCTCTTCCTCATTCTTCTAGCCTTCTTTCATTCTTCTCGGCAGTTGCCAACAGCCACTATGGTGTGTGTGTGTGTGTGTGTGTGTGTGTGTGTGTGTGTTTATTGGTTTGTTTTGAGTTAGTGTACAATGCACTCTCAACATTGGTTACTGATAACTGCTTAGCCCCTTCAGCCAGTGAAATTTGAATATGAGCCTGCATTCATCGTAGGATATACGAGAGGAAAAAATTCTGACTTGATTGAGCGGCTACGTGACAGTTTCTGCTGAATCATTTTTGTGTGAATGAATCCTGTGCAGGAGTACAAGAAACACTTGAACATCGTGCTCGGGTCCGCGTTGCCGGTCACTGTCCCAGCGCATTTTGCATCCCTGCCGAAAGGCATTGAGGATATTCTGAAGGTGAGTTGGACGGATCATTCCAACTGGCAACGCTGTACCAGTCCTGGTTCCTGTGGATGTGGATAGTATCAGTTGGCACTTAATGAAAGCTTGCATAGACCTCGGTCCTACCAGTAGAACCTACTGCCAGGACCTACCGTTAGAACCATCATACACAGACATGCTGCACAGCCTCTGTTCTAACATCATACACCGTCAGGCGAAATTACTGGTCAGTCGGCGTCACGCATTTTTCACAAAAATTTGCGTTTCACCTGCTGGGAGAGTATGCGTGTACTCGAGTCTCATCCTGAGCAAGTTTTTTTTCTTCTTTTTTTCAGCTCCAGTATAGCTGTATTTTTCATTGCAAAGCCGTCCTCAATTGTTGTGTTCGTTGTTCAAACGAAGTGGACATTCAATCATGAAGGCAGAGGACATAGGAGCCTGATTGGAGTTTCTCGTGGCATAGGACGGCCACACAGAGACACTTTGGGATTTTCTGAATATAAAATACCGTACGCACGATGCTGAGATCAATTTGTGCGATATCAAATTGTTTGTGATCTACCACATCGAGCAGAACGGGATCCAAACACAAGCTTACCGACGGTTAGGCTGCCGACCTGACTGGACAAATGATCCCTGGCTTCACCAGACGCCAGACGTCGGACACCATGTCCTTTGCCGCGACGTCCATCTCCAAAAAGAACTCCATCTTCGTCGTGAAAAGGCTTGAAATACTCAATATTCAACCGAGATTCGCGGTCTCACCCTTTCTCAGATCGAATAATTTTTTGTTGTAGCAGTTGCAGGGCAGATCCCCGCCACTACTTCAACAGAAGATGGCTCCAAAGCATGCCTGGAACAAGCCATATCGAGGTTGCAAGCCACCCCTCTCAGCACTTTTTTTGAAGAAATTCGAAATTTCAATGGTGGAAGATATACTATGAAGAGAATTTCAAAAAGTATGTTTCGCGGAGCGATCGCTCAACCTACGTCATTCAAACTTTGCAGGATGGTTCAGACGTACCTGCTAGGCATGGAACCACAAAAGATGATATCATAGCTGACACACAGAGTCACACACACAGCAGATTCGTGTGCACAGATACTAAATTAGTGGACGTCGTCATCTTCTTCCCGCTGATCTCAAATGTACTATGACGTGCTATTTCGTCTGACGGTTGGAGCTCGGGCTTCCTGCTGAACTGACTGGCACTTGACTGGCTCACGCCATGTGAACGCACCCACAACACTGAAACGGTGTGAGTGAATACGGAAGTCATTGCGCTGAAACTACGTGTTGAATGCACCGGCACATCGATCGATTTCTTTTTGAGAATTATTTTAGTATTTCAAGATCGCCAATTTATTTTAATTTAGCAGTCAACGCCGTCTTCTATCAGCTTTCACAGGCGTCTGCTTTTCTCAAAATGTGGTCGAAGTCACCACCAAGCCTCAAATCAGGTACCTTTGCTGTAGGCCAGCGTTGCTATGCTAACACTAGGCTACGGTGTAGTTGTCATGCCAACAGAGACCGTTCAACGTCTTCTTCAGACTTCAGAACTCGTGCTTCTTCTGAAAAGTCGTGATTTCTTTCTGCTCTCGCAGGCGCATCACTGTCGAGAATTTGAGGCACGTCATCTGGCTGCTGGTGCCAAGCTGATGGCGAGCCGCTGTGATTCACAAGACGGCGAGGCTGCAGACTGGGTATGCTATCCCATTATCATTCAAGGTGAGAGGATGCTGGCATACTGTAGTGGCATTGCTGGGGTGCATTGGATGGGGGGGGGGGGGGAGGGGAGGAGGGGGGGGGGGGGGCATGGGTCACTGGGTGTGCTATCCTATTATCATTAAAGGTGAGGGGATACTGGCATACTGTAGTGGCATAGCTGGGGTACATTGGAGGGGGTGGGGGGAGGGTGTGTATGGGGGGGGGGGGGGGGGGGGAGGGGGTATGCTGTGCTGCCAACCTGCTCGGTCTGATTTGCGTACTCGGGCTGCTGAATTTCCGTATTTTCCAGGGTTTTGCCCGGTACTACCGATTTTTTTACTCCCATGATTTATAATGTATTTTTGCGACATTTGTAGTCTTTGGTGTACTGTACCGGGTGCTCAGTAAGTCGTACATGGTCTTGGTCCCAGGAAGTAATGCGTCACGCCAACTGTAGCCTAGTGTAGGACAGCCAGCAATAGAGATCCTTGGCTAGTGTTGAAACGAATAATCGAATAATCGAATAATTTAGAATATTCGTGGGGTGAACGAATAATCGAATAGTCGTAGGAATTATCAGAAATCGAAAAAAAAAAAAGAAAAAAAAAAGAAAAGAAAAAAAAAAGAAGATCTATGCTCAGTGCTGACCCAACTGATATTTGCACTGCGTAGATCTGCTCACAGTATTTCTTCTCAATCTCTTCTCCTCTAAGTTTTAATCACCTATCGGTATCTACTAATACTTCTGTTCTTTCGATACGAGGGAAACATGGATGCAGTGAAGATCCAATTACGCTCGACCAAGACCCTATGCAATATGCAGAGCTGGATCAGGCGTTGCACACTCTGGGGGGTTAAGTGCTCTTGGCGGTACATGTTATCCGGTTTTGCACCTCCACACAACAAAACCCGATAATCAGCAAAAAATAAAAAATAAACTACTTTAAAAAAAAGTGCTGAAAAAGTGTTGAAAATGCCATCATGCGTACGATAGAATACAGATTATTCGTTCGATGGAGGGCGAAATTATTCGATAGATTATTCGTTCGAAGAATCCGTGTTCGGTTTAAACACTATCCTTGGCAAAAGTACGATAACGCTAACGGTACTCACTCCCAGCCATGACTAAAGATGTTATCGGGTAACGGAAAAACGTTACAGAGCTCAAAATAACGGGCCGACGTTCGATATGGTAATTCTGCAAAAAAATGCAAAAACTCGCATTGTTTTGTACCTGGCGGGAGGTAAACAACATGTGCAGATCGAGACCAGAGTTGCTTGTGACCTTTAGCTTTTTTGGTGAGTTTTACATTGAATAGATTTTTCACAACAGCCGACGGAGCGAATCGAGTTTGATGTAAGATCTTCAGTCATTCGAGAGAGAGAGAGTCGAGAGAGAGCTCGACTGAGGAACAACGCAATATAAAGGGCCTGGGTAGCTATGGCAAACATGGGCGCGCAAGTAGCTACCCAGGCCAAATGAATAATGCATGAACTTGTGGGCCTAACATACCACCCCTACTTGAAAAAGAATCCCGAATCCTCGCGGAAAAAAAGAAGAAAAAAGAGAGAAACGGGTGTCTATATTTTTTATCTGCGAATAACTTCTGAGAGAACGACATCTTTTTAAGGAAAATAGTTAAAACAGTAGTAAACCCTATCATGAATATAATGTAATGTAACCCAATCATGAATGTAGTCGACATTTAAGGCATGCATATAATGTTGTAAATCTTGAGGCGAGGCGATCAAAGAAGAACGACAAGGACAACGACGAGGAAACGACAGGCACCCCGGAAGACAACAACTTACGAAGCGCCTGCCCGCACACGCAACCCCAAGGAAAAGGACAACGACAAAGAAACGACAGGCACCCCGGAAGACAACAACTTCCGAAGCGCCTGCCCGCACACTCAACACGTTCACACATATACTCGAAACAACAAGAATAGCACTACACAAGAACAGGCGAAAACCTGGCGAAAACCGTCGAGGTGCGAAGAATCGAATAATCCTTCATTAACGAGACAAATCCTCAGTTGCACACTCGCTCTGAAAGAGTGGGCGTGTTAGCAACATCATCGGGACAAACAGACCAAGACCCACAAGACACAAAAGACGCACACACAAATGGTATAATCCGCAAGTTCAATAAAAAAAAGGAGAAAAAAGAAGCGCACACACAAGAAACAACAACGCACACACAAGAAAACAACGCACACACACACTCTGGCAAGGACGATGGCTACAAATCGGCACGAAAAACGATTACCAACCAACGGTTGACGCGGTCATAGATGGGACCACGACGAGGGAACACACGAGGACGATGATTGGGTGGCGGGGTCGAACAGTGGCGGTATGGCGCGTGGGGTGGCATGGTTGGTAAGTGAAGTCGGTGGGGTGGTAAAACGTCGGCGTCGTAGTAGCGGTGTGTCGGCCGTGGTCGTGGTTGCGGGTACGGTCGTCGTTGCTGTTGATTGTGCGTGTTGCGTCGCCGCGGTGGTCGGTACGTCTGAATGTTGAGTCGTTGTCGGATCGCTGTTAGTAGATTGTCGATCGAAGGTGTCGGTGGCGGTGGTGCGGGTATCAGTTCATTTTTGGCGTCTAGCGCCATCGAGAGGTGTGCCGGCCAGATCAATGGCGGCGCCGTCGCTTGGGGCGAAGGTGGTGCCGGCGGTGGCCGGGGCACCGGAGATGGCGTGTGGGTGGGTTCGTTGTGGGTGGGTTGCGACCGAGTCGCCACGCGGAGGCGGAGGGACGTTGATGGTGGGGAACCCGGGCCTAGCAGTAGCATAGCTCAGGCCCCAAATCACAAAACCAAAACACCCAAACCCCAATCGCCTTCACGATCTCTCTACCGCCTTACCGACCTCATCGGCAAATTCCTTTGGTGCGGGCGTTAGGACAACTGCAGGTGAATCCAGCTGTCAAGCTACGACACCTGCCTTCCTCCACCGGCGGTTTGTTGTGTGCTGCCACACACATTTCGCGTCCGGCCTGCCTTTTAAAGAGGTCTCTCCTGTGGCGGCGTTCGTTGTGGGTGGGTTGCGACCGAGTCGCCACGCGGAGGCGGAGGCGTTGATATGGGGAACCCGGGCCTAGCAGTAGCATAACTCAGGCCCGAATCACAAAACCAAAAACCCCAAACCCCAATCGCCTTCACGATCTCTCTACCGCCTTACCGACCTCATCGGCAAGTTCCTTTGGTGCGGGCGTTAGGACAACTGCAGGTGCGCCTTCCTGGGACTTCTGCTGGGCTTTGAATCTTGACGCGAAGCTTTCATCCAGTTCTTGCCTTGTGAGTGGATGGTCGTGGCATGTTCTACCCACGTAACCTCTAGGATATTCACAGATGAATCCAGCTGTCAAGCTACGACACCTGCCTTCCTCCACCGGCGGTTTGTTGTGTGCTGCCGCACACATTTCACATCTGGCCTGCCTTTTACAGATGTCTTTCCTGAGCCGCTGTGCGGTTTTGCTTCTCATGCCACCGTAGCCGGCAACGCACATGCACTGCCGCTCGAACGTAGCCTGCTCGGTATGTGCGCTCTCAGGCGACGGATGACGGGCTTGTCGCCCCCTGGGATGGCATTCTCTTCTTTCTGTAGCCAGCAACAAACCGACAGACAGATCTTGGTAACAGGACCAAGTTTTCGAATTAATCTAGTGGCTTTCCTACGTTCTACAGCACTGTGACATACTGTATGCAACTAGTTTGCCCACAACGTGTGTGCAGCTGCTGTCTGTCGGACTGAATGAATGCATGCGCGTGTGTGTGTGTTTGTATCTGTGTGTGTATGTGTGTGCTTGTGTGCATGCATGTGTGTCTGTTTGTGTATGTGTGTGCGGTTGTGCGGTTGTGTTGAACACAGGGAAGCTTGAACCATCCTGGCAACCAGGAACAAAGCTTCGCATGGGATTGAATCTACGCAGGGTCAGTGATGTATAACGTTATACTGTAATATCGGGCATTAAAGCCGGGCTTATTCCCGTAGCTATGCAGAAGACGTTACTTCAGTAACGTCTGGCGCTAGCCAGGGTCCACACAGCTTTAATTTGGTGTTTGTGTGTTTGTTTGTTTGTGTCACGCCTGGCGCTATCCCGTATCTGACGGCAAAAAAATCATAGGGATGTTATAAATTTTTCGATTCTCCTATTTTTTCAGGCGTATCCTGGGATTCGAACCCACACTATCGCCCTACATGCATTCCCCCATACACTTCGCATTCATACCCATTCTTCCAAGTTGCTTCACGTTATGATCTTGCGTTTGAAAGCCCTATTTGAATATTGCGGGCAGCTGTATGTGGCCAGCTGTGTTTGATGGTACGGTACGGGAGACGGTGTCGTATTACCCTCGATCGTACCTGTCCCGTACCTATCCCTACCGTACCGTACCATCAAAGACGACTGGCCACAATGCATATTCAAATAGGGCTTTCAAATGCATGATCATAATGTGAAGCAACTTGGAAGAATTAGTATGTATGCGAAGTGTATCGGGGGATGCATGCAGGGCGCGATAGTGCGGGTTCGAATCCCAGATTATGTCTTTAAAAAAAGGAATTTTTTAAAGAATTTATAACATCACTATGCTTTTTTTTGTCTAGGTCATCAAGGCAAAAAAGCATAGCGTAGGGCCCTGAGCTTCCAAGCTCTCTCGTTTCTGTAGCAACCAATGTCAGGGCTAGGCTTCTATTTAAACCGTTTCTTTCTCTGTATGTCAACACAAAAACCGGGCCGCTAGTTTTGTGCTGACGGTGTGCCTTGAAAATCAGGCCGGTATCTAGAACAGGCTTCTATTTGAGACGGGCTCTAATATAAGACAACACGGTGTGCTGCTCCATACAGCCAGCCCGGTCTGCCCATGAAAACACTGTCCGCGTATTTCTACAAAATATACTCACTGATCTGTTTGACCATATGAACATGGACACTGTGTAAACTGAAGAGAGGGGGAACGAGGAATGAGAGTGAGGGTACTGCGTGAGAGTACCGTGGGTGAAGCTATGCAGCCTACAGATCCGGTTTTCATGACCCACTCTACTTGTACAGGAGTCCATCATGGAGCTTGTCCAGGACATGCTGCCGCCAACATCGCCACGCTGCAAGAGTCCTGAAGCTGGAGCCGGGTCACCTTCGCTCGTCGCCCGTGACTCGCGCGCTCAGCTCACGGAGCAGATCCTGGTGGCTTCCCGGCCGGACTTGGCGTACACCAATGCGCGCATTGCAGCCCTACTGGTCTTTGGCAGGGCGAACGTGGTAAGCCGATATTCAGATGACTTTGTATGCGAACCACCATATTTTTGCACTTGTGTGGTTCGGCGGTGTGATGTTGTTTTGCTGGCTGAGACGACCAAATCCTTCTTGTCCATATACAGTTTTTTTTGCTGGCTGATTATAAATGCTGTCGCCAACCTGCACCTGATAATTCACAGGGCTCAGCACAGACACAACAGAACCAGGAACCCATTTAGAGCCATGTAATCCGTAATTTACTTCAGCCTCCTGCACTACTGTAGAGGCAGAACATTTCGTCGGTCAATAATTTCGTCCAACTCCAAAGAAAAGGAGTTCGTCCGGTTGAAAATTTCGTCCATGGATCATAAGAGTGCATAGAAAAGCTGGACAAATAGACATTAGTCCTACATTTAATTTAGTCCAAAAGCTCCTTGGACGAAAAAGACGAAATTAAATTCCAGACGAATATTTCAGCCTTGTGCACTACATTGTATTGTAATGTGACAGTGAGGATATAAAAATTATAGACCTGCGGACTCTGAAAGCACATGTTGCTGTTGTGTGTTTGCAGGTCACGGCTCTGCTGTGTCCAGTATCACCATCAGTGGTCACCAAGGAGGGCATCTATCTGCACGTCAAAGTACCGTTCCTCCTGTACGTTCCTATGTGGCTGTTGATTCTTTGACATGCACTCTGTGTTCACACGAGTGTGCATGGGTGAGCGTGTATGCATTGTAACCCGTTGGTGCCGGTAGGTCGAGTTCCACCTATGCTGACACTGCCTGAAAGTGCATACTAAGAAGGATTGCAGAGCCGGTCTCTTAGCCCTTTAAGAGCCACAGGAAATTTTCAAAATTTTGCATTTTTTTCGTGTTCCTCGGATCATAGCTTCAGTTCTACTCACTCAATCCTCACAATCTAGGGCTTCCTGGAACGGTCTCCGCAAGAGGAAGAGAATGAGGTCGATCATGATAGCCAGCACACCGTCTATCCAGCGCTAGATCGCAGCGACAGTACGAAAAATGGCCAAAATGCGTCCAATTGCGTCCCGCTCCAGATATTTCATTTTACTCGATCGTGGAGTTCCACTTTTTTTGCTGTGTACTCTTGACAAATATCAACAGTGAAACCCGTACAAATTCGAGTAAACCAGCGTGACGAAAACTCTCAAAATTCTCAATACTAAAGTTGCACTGCGCGCTTTTGAAATTGCCGCGATCGCGGCTCAACTTGCGAGTGATTTATCTCAGGAACCGTTGCTCGCAGCGCTTCGCGGATTCTTTCTCCCGACAGGTGAGAGTTTTCTCTTCACCCTGGATATTTCGATCGATGGATTTAAGCGAGATTGGACTGAGTTACGATCTTTTGAAATTTTCCATTTGAATGCGTCGTTTACGACGCATTCAAGTATGGGGCGGCTCTTAAAGGGTTAAGCTCAGATGCCTGATTCTATTTACAGAGACCCCTTAGTAAAGTTTAAAAAAAAAGTAAATTATCGTGTCCGTTCCTGAAGGGAACTCACGACGGCCGCTAACACCCGATAAACCCTAGCGGCAGATGCAGCGCCTAACGGTGGGGGCGAGTGGATAAGTCTCACAACCACTGGCACAAGTGCCGAAAACGACCCCATTAGCTGCATCCATGTACCCCTTGTGCCTGGCCACAAGTTCCCAGTTGACTGTGGGTAGCAGCACGGCTGGAAAAACCGCTCCCAGGCAGGACTTGAACCAGGTACCTCTCGTATCTCAATCATGGTCTTTGACCAACCCAGTAGCTACCCCATAGTACCCCTTATAGGCTATTCATACTACGTTACAATACGCGTCACGTTTTGGAATACAACGTACTGGCAGACGTCGTTTTCATGCAGGTGCATTCATACAGGCATGTACACGCTGCTTGTACAGCTGTGTGTACAGCTTCTTTTGGACACAAACTGCTGGGAACGACAGAACGAAACTCGGTACAGGGGTCTGGATACGTCGTCTACGTTTTCGTATCAGGGGTACGATTTTCCCGCCACGTTCCATGTTGTCATGGTTATCCGGACGAAAACGTCACGTACGCCACGTTTTGGGCGTAGTGTGAATGGCCCATTAGGGCCGATTCCCACTACGGTACCGTGAGTGCCGTGTCGACGATTTGGATAGGTCAATGTGTACCCCACGGTACGAGCTTGAAGCTGAGAATGATTTACACCTGCGCAATGTCGTTCCGTGCATTCCGTCGGCAGGCCAGATCACCATTTTTATCAATTTCTGACTTTGGTCTTGAGGGAAAATAGCGGGGGAGATGACTGGAGAAAGCTCAAAAATCTACCAATCGAAAAGCCAAAAGCCAATAAATAACTTCGTACCACAAATACAAAAGAAAGAAAAAACTTCCTTTCAGGGAGTGGTAAAATACCTACTACTCACTGCATTCGACCTCACGGCATGCCATTTCCACCCCCCAGAGGCCCTCGGCACCGGAATGTCCACGGTGCGGTACGGCAGGAGCCACGGAATGAACTCGCGCCAAAACTGTCCCTCTCGTGAGCAAATCACCATGGGTACTCACGGCACGGCACTCGCGGTACCGTAGTGGGAATCGGCCCTTAGTAGCTGACTACTAACAATAGGTAGTGGGATTTAATAACAGTCGGTGTACTTGTGGGATAAAAATTCATTAATCCATATACCCAACCTCCCTCAGGTATTTTTGACAAGTTAACGGAGTAACGTGTGCTTAGAAGTTATGTTGAAATGTACGGTATGTGTTCTTCTTTGACTTTGTCCTCGCTGCGGAGCAGAACCTTGGTGGAAGATCGACCAGTGATCTGTGGTGTAAGCGACTCCAGCTTCCAGAAACCGGAGATTGCTACCTTGATTGCTGAACACGTCACAACATTCACCTCTGGGTAAGTTGTATTGCATGCTAATGTCGCTGTCCTTCAGCAGTGCATGTATGTGTGGAAGTGATGTGTGTGCGTGTGTGTGGGGGGGGGGGGGGGAGAGGGGCATGTGCAATAAGTGCATACCGGTATGCGGAGTGTTATTGGTGGCATGTCTACATGTTTGTCAATGGCTACATGAATAGTTTAGCTTTGTTGTTGTTGTTCTATTTCATGTGTACCGGTATCTGTATTTACCTGTGGTGTTCCAGCAAAATCGGCGGGCCAAAGGTGAACTTCGTCATGCGGGACTCGAAAGAAGCGCTGCCGTATCTGAACCAGGACCGGAAGACGCTAAAGTCGAAGATCGAAACCCTGGCGGAGTCGGTACGGCGGCGGACCTCCAGCTTTAGCGGTAAAAACTCCGAGCACCGCCGGTCAAAGTTCTACCGCGATGTTGACGAGGAAGGCCGTGTTCTCACGAACGGTGACAGCGCCCTGGACACGGAGGCGGTGGACACTGCTGCCGACGTCAAGGCTGCTGCTGCCCGTGATTCCACCACCACTGCCGCCGCCACCGCTCAGCAAACGCCGGGGGAGCAGCCGGAGAACGACGTGGCGAGCTGGCTCCAGTCGCCTCCTGAACGGCATGAAGGCAGCTCCTCTAGAATAGTCCCACTACCTGTTCAGCAGCCACCGTCCGATGATGGCAGAGTGGCTGCTGCTATGGCCGCTGCCGCCCGGCTCAGCATGCACAGTAGGTTGATAAAGATAGTGCCCCTGCATTACCTGCTTCCTCTTCTGTCCTGGGCTCACGTTGTTTCCTCACTGTGTGTATGACTTTGTTGTGTAAGCGGGTTGTCGAGTGACAGACGCACTATAAAGCAAGTTTCTTTTCCACTGGCCAGCTCGGGTACTAGTATATGCTGTAAACCGTGCAAGAAGCCTGATGTTAGCGCTGTGCGGCGAGGTTTTAACACGTAACATACAGCTTCCATGCGGGCGAGTATATACTGTCTGTACCAAGGAGTAGTAAAATACCGGTATTTTACTACTCCTCGCTCTGTACGGTAGCTAATTCTCCACGCATCAGTAAGCAATGCTGTATGAAAGTGTCGTATGCTAGTGCCCCTGCCCTGTCCTCACTCCCCGATCATATGCACTGTTTGTCTGTTCCTGACACACAAACATATGCATGCACACGGGTGCACACACACACATGCACACACACATGCACGCACACACACACACACGTGCGCACACATGGACATATGCACATGCACACGTACGCACACAAACAGTACTATCTTCAGCACGTACTGTTTCTAGTCTAGTATTTATTCGTTCCAGCACACCTGTGTTCCATCACGCCTGCTGTGCTTTTCCTGATCGGCTTTTGCTGCAGCTAGTACTGCTGGTGGTGGTGGTGGTGCTACTGCTAGGTGGTGCTGGTGGTGGTGGTGGTGCTGCAGCTGCTGGTGCTGCTGCTGCTGACGGTGGTGGTGGTGGTGCTGCTGCTGCTGCTGCTGCTGCTGCTGCTGGTGCTGCTGGTGGTGGTGCTGGTGGTGGTGGTGCTGCTGCATGGTGCTGCTGCTGGTGGTGGTGCTGGTGGTGGTGGTGCTGCTGCTGCTGCTGGTGGTGGTGGTGGTGGTGCTGGTGCTGCTGCTGGTGCTGCTGCAGCTGCGGGTACATGCGCTGACTCTGGTTGTCTCTATTCTCCTGTTATCATGTGCAGGTAATTATCCGTACGGGGTGCTGGGTGGTGACAACCCGCAACCCGACTTTAGAGACGAAAAGTACGGTCAGATCGCCCTGGACTGCTTGATGCTAAGGGACGCTGCCGCCAACGACCACGACCGGCGAGTGCCACTGCTGCCTTCACAGCAGCAGCAGGCGCCATTGGCGGCAGTCCTCGATATCTTGATGGACGACGAGATGCCGTCGGCTACGCGCTTGACCAGCTACAGCGAAAGCGGCGTTGACGCGCAGAAGGAATGGGAGATTGCCACCCGTGACGGCACCGTCAACCAGCCCACCGTGCGGCGCGGCGACGAGAGACGACGGGCGCGATCCGACGATAAGTTCTCGATGGAAAACGAACTGAGGTACGGGCAGGCATACCCGCCCTCCTATTACACTGGGGGTGAGAAGGACGACGCAACGCACCGATATAATCAGGTCACCGCGCCATCGTCACTCAGCAGCAGCGCAAGCAATCACAGTATTGGTGCGGATGAAAATGACGGCGCAGACACAGCGCGCGCTGCTCCCGCTGTTGCTGTTGCTGGTGCTGATACGTCCTCCAGCGGAGTTGAACCAGACAGGACAGCGGTCACCGGGACTGACGCTGAGGTCATGTTTAGTGCAACAAGCAATGGCAGCACAGGACATGGCCAGGGCTCCGGGGACTCGTCTAGTCCCGGTCTGCTGTCCTCTAATCACACTGCTGCTGCTGCCAGTGGCACTGGCAGTGCCACTGACTTCGACCAGTCTTCATTGCAGAAATGGTGCAGCTCGGGACAGACATCGAGCACGGATTCATCTCCGAGCAAAGTTGCTGGTACCGCTCAATCTCAGTCGGCAGAACATCATTATCGCCATCAGCAGCAGCAGCAGCAATATTTTCCGCTCACAGCAGGAGTGGACCAGAGTGAGATCCGGCCAACGTCGGCACTGCCCAGTGATCAAAACGGGCCATTTGACAGCTCCTACCAGCAGCAGCAGCAGCAGGATACCACCATGGTTGTCACGGCCACAGGTGGTGACGGCAGCAGTTCAGTGGTTGCTAGCCACACAACCGGACTCAGTACGTCCGCGTCCGTGTTTACACCACCCGCTGACGGCAGTGACAATGCTGGCATAACGATAGCGGCAGCCGTAGCGAGGGTGCCGAGTAGTGCCAGTAGCACAGGATCCAGAACGAGTTCGTCCAGGCTGAGTGACATGGCTGGCTTGACGGACAAGTCCGGTGAATTGCACATGTACGACTTCTTGCCGCAGGGTCTTTTCGAAAAGAATAATTCACATCAACTGAAGAGGTAAGGGGCCGTCCGGGGTTACCGATTATCTTGAGAAACGAAAAGCTTTAGTATTTTTCAACCTTCACCCACCCTTTCTGTAGGTAAAACGTAGTCCAACAAAATATGGATTTCCATCTTCGGCACCCAGAATGAATTCTTCTTGTGCATTAAATAATTATTTTCGAAACGAAACTCCGAAAACATTTCGTTTTTTGAAAATATTATTGGAACCTTGGACGGTCCCTATGGGGTCGTCGAATTGTCGTCCCTGAAACGAACACAGCTTGCTATGCTGGACGATGAAAATAGCATGCATGCACTGTCGTGGACATGGACATCCGGTCACACGTCTAGCGGGCCCCAGGGCTCTGGCCATGCAGCGCTGGTAGCATCGGATCAACATGTGCACTGCACCCACTGTGACCAGCGTTCTGTACGCATTGAGGGCGCCGGTCCTGGTCAATCGACTGGATTTTCATGTCCGCTACAGTACATCTACATAATTATGTACAGTGTCGGTCGACTTGTGATTTTGGCTCGCCCCCCCCCCCCCCCACGAATGATGTTTTTACTTTCCAGAATGACAAAAAACGTTTGCGACAACCCCTAAGGTGCGACTTGTGCGTGTGTGTGCGACGTGTGTGTGTGTGTGTGTGTGCGCGCGTGTGTGTGCATGCACGTGTGCATGTGTATACATGAAAATGTGCACACTCCAGCACATCGAGTCTGCTCCTCCACATTGTTGTACACCGTACTGCACTTGACAGCCTTGATCTAATCCCCCCCCGCCGAAAACCCAGCTGGAGAGTGACATGGCTTGGGGGGAGGGGGGTCTACGGTACTTTACGGTACACGTACTTGTACTCTGTCATGCAGGCATAGGGATACTATAGTTATGTTTAGGAATGGCATTGGACACTACAGTAGGATAAGGGGTTGAAACCAGTTGCTTTTACTAGTTGGTGTAAAGCTCCAACTAACTTTCAAAGGTGAACTTAAGCGGCCTTGCAAACAAAAAGGCAACTTAGTAAAGTTTTACACTCAGCAGAGTGATGAACTAACATCAGGCTTTGGAGTACAGTCGAATGTCACTTATCCGGTCGCCAGTTATCCGAGCACGTTGGTTATCCGACAAGCCCGGGAGTGGTAATTTTATGACTCAACAGTAAAATTCTAAAATTATTATTATTTTTGGTATATTATACGGTGTAATATGCATTTTAATTAGTGGTGTGCACGGGTAGTCGGGTACCCGTGCTACCCGTGAGGACCTCGCGTAGTCGGGTACCGAATAGTACCCGAAAACCCGAGGTCGCAGATGACATCATGTACAGTGCACGTGTACAAATGATTCACGCATGTCTACCCAATGCGCAAGGGAAGGGGCCGGTGTGCATTGTGGTCTTACCATGGAAACATTACCCGATCGGGTACCCGTGCTACCCGTGGAAAACTACCCGGACCCGATACCCGAGGAAAATGCTACCCGCCTCAGCCCTAATTTTAATACTTGAAGTAGATGTGGTCAAGTATGCTAACATGTATGTGTACATGGAGCAATTCATGAATATACATGAATATTATTTGGGTATTGTGTACATAAATCAGTGAAATCCAGCCATATATGCACATAAAAAATGATATCAGTTATCCAACATATTCAGTTATCCAACATGCCTGATTCCCGAAGTGGTCGGATAAGTGACATTCGACTGTATCACTATTTTACTTCACAGGTCCCACCCACTCCGTCCAGCTGGATATGTACCATTGTGTCGAGTTCTCCTCCTCATTTTAGTTCGTCATGCAGTGAGTGTTCAATAGAAAAAATATATATAAAAAAAACTGTGACAAGTACAGTTCAGGCCATGTGATAAGAATCCATGGTCGTTCTGACATAATGCCCTGACACTTCTTGTGTGTCATTGGCCATAGCAACCGGGGCAAACGGCGGGGTTGCCATGACGGGATACACTGCACTATCACCAGCACCAGTTGCAGGGAGAAGGACTGCTATCGAAAAAATCGTGCTCTGGTGTCCAACTGGATCAAGTATGCGGAGTGGGAAGATTCGCAGCAAGAGTTGGAGCGAGCACGATCTGTGTAACAACGAGCATTAGACATTGCCCATAGCAATGTCACCGTTTGGCTGAAATACGCCGAGATGGAGATGAAGCGAAAGCAGATCTAGCACACGAGGAATATCTGGGACCGCTGCCTAAGGGTAGATCCGAAAGTAGTAGTATTAGGCAAAATTACTACTTTGGAAGCTGATCGTTGAAAATTGAAAGTCTGAATAAATTCGTTATGTTGGGTGCAGCGTGTAGTTTTAAAGGTACTGTTTTGTATTGGTCCTGTCTCTCCGCTTCCTATGCGATTTTCACACAGAACGTCTAGTTCGAGCAGCATGCACTCCAGTGGCAGCAGTGCGAGTGGTGAGAAGGCGTACGCGGACCAGATGGAGAAGCGCAACAATCCTCTGGCCCGTGCTCTGACACACCAGCAAGATCACCACCAGCAGCAGCAGCAACAGCAGCAGACCCGGCAGCAACAACATGAGTCACAGCAGCAACAGCTACACAACCAGCAGCAGCAGCAGCAGATGGATGCCAGTCAACAACAGGTGAGTGCAGCCAGGTTGTGGAATGATGTCATTTTCATGAATGCCGCAAAAAAGGGGTCTCGGCTGAAGAAGAGCAGTGTGTGGGAAATGAAAATATTGCAATAACGTTGTCGTGCAGAAAGCATGTCAAGGGCTGATCAGAATGTTTTGTCTGAGCACTGCTTTCCAATGACATTTCACTGAACTTCATATTCCTTTTCGTCCCTGTGTCGACTGTAGGCAAATGCAGCGAAGAACTCCACATGGCCGATGTACAAGGAAAAGGAAGGTGCTTTATGGCCCAATCACATCTGGGGACCTCTGTCCTGTGAAGACCCGTCGTCACAGCCTGATCTGCGGCTACGTACTCCGCTCAGTCACCAGTCTTCCGGCCAGGACCTTCTGGTCACGTGCAGCTCATCCCGGAGTCTGGTTGGCTCCGACTCCTACTTGCCTGGCTCTGCGGGCGGCAGTTTGCAGAGAAATGAACTGCCGCTGCCGGACCGCGACCGTGCAAAACTCTCGGCCGGTAGCCAAACGTGCGACACTCCGCCACCTCTTCCACCCAGGACTGATCGTGATCGTTCCCTTAGGCAGCAGGCGCCGCCACTTCCAGCACACGGCACAGCTCAACACCACCATCCGGACAGACCGCCGGGCTCTTTCCAGAATCCGCAACAGCAGCAGCCACCCGGCAGCATTGCTGGCAGAGGCACTCAAGGGCCGCCACCGCCACCGAATGCCGCCGCACGCGGAGGTCCGCACGATGGACCGCCGCCGCCGCACGGAGGTCCGGCTATACCTGCACAAGGCCCTCACCCGCACCCGCCGCCCGACCATCACCATGGCCATCCGCCAATGCGAGACAGGCCACCGCCGCAGCACGGCACTGACTGGCATCATATGTATGAGAACCACAACTTGCCGGGTCCACCTCCACCGCAACGGCACGGACCGCCTGATCGACATGGTCCACCAGAAAGACATGGTCCTCCGGAAAGACATGGTCCTCCGGAGCGACATGGTCCTCCGGAAAGACATGGTCCTCCGGAAAGACATGGTCCACCAGAAAGACATGGTCCACCAGAAAGACATGGTCCTCCAGATAGACACGTTCCTCCAGATAGACACGGTCCTCCAGAAAGACATGGTCCGCCGGAGCGACACGGTCCACCAGAAAGACATGGACCACACGAGCGGGACGAGCGTGCCCCTCCACCGCCAACGTATCCTGCGCCAAGGCCCCCCTGGAACGATGGCCCTCCCCATCACGGGCCGTTTCGCCCGCGTGGACAGCACCCTGGTACCTCGGGAGGCCCTCACCCAGGCCCGCCTGGCAGGTGGAATCACGACCAGCACCAGTGGAGTCACCCACCACCGCCGCCGCGTGGTCCCCATCAGGAGCACCGTCCGCCACCGCCGGGCCATCAGCCTCACTACCCGGAGATGTACGGACCACCACCACCTGGACATCCACCGCCGCCCGCGCATCACGCACCTCCTCCACAAGCGCCGCCGCCAGGGCAGCAGCAGCCGCGCCACAACGCGCACCCCGGTGGTTATGGCCCGCATCCCGACGATCCGCGCTACGCGTCCTGGGAGAGGCATCACCATCGTGGTGACCGTGAGTACGTGCCAGAGCACTACTACCAACATCACCATCACCCTCCTGCAGGTGGACCCCCGCCACCGCCGCAACCGCCTATCCACAACCATGGGCCCAATGGCCCTGGTTCCGGGCCGCACCACCCCAACTACGGGGCACCCCCGGTTCCACCCCGCAGCGGACCAGGTGGCATGGGACCGCCTCCACCAGGCAACGAGGAGCAGTGGAATGAAGAGCAAGCAAGGCAGCAGTGGAGACGTGATGTTGCACATTATGGCCCGGCCCATGCTTATCATGGCTCCGGCTCGGCCTCAATGTAAAGAAAATGGTTGCAGGTTGGGAGAGTGCGTACGGAGCGCAGCTTGTCCCATGTACAAACCTATTTGTGTGGATGTTAGCACAGATGGTGTTGTAGTAGTAGCAGTAGTAATGTGTTTTTTCATTAGCTGTTATCGCTGCTGCTGCTGCTGCTGCTGCTGTAGTAGTAGTAGTAGTTGTTGTTGTTGTTGTTGTTGTTGTTGTTGTTGTGGTTATTGCTGCTGCTGTTGTTGTTGTTGTTGTTGTTGCTGCTGCTGTAGCCCAGTAGCTGCTGTTGCTGGCCGTTGCTGTATTAGTAGCAGTTGTAGTCGTGGGTGTTGTTCTTGATCTGGATGTGGTCGTCATCGACGTCAACTTTTGAGTGAGTATGTGTGCACGGGTGTGTGTGTGTGTGTGTGTGCATCTGCCCTTGATGCAAGTTACTCCGGCATGTGTCAAGCCAGCAAGGTGCTGTAATCAGTAACCGCGGAGGCCATAGGACAGTGTTACGTATATGTAATGGTAGCGGTGCTAATGTATCAGTGTTCAAGGTGTGCATTGGACCAATCATTTGGACAGGTGCGTGTCTGTGTTCCTTGTGAGACCTCTTTTTATTTTATAGTTTATGCACCGGCAGAATGCACTGGTTATACCATTTCAATGATTGAGTTAGCCTCTCGTCTTGCAGTTCTTAGTTATATGGCGGCGGGGGTGGTAGAGTTAGAATTGATAGACACCGCGTCACTTTTCTCTGTCCTATAGGCTATAGGCGCACGGCCACTGCCCACATGTTTCACGGTTTGCATCAAGGAACTTCGTACCCGAACAAGGTTAAGGTGTGTTTGTGCGACTCTCTAATTACTCGCTCGGCCTGTTTGAGCAGTTTGTACTTCCGGTGGGCTAGGATTGCTGACAAAATTTGCTTTTTAGACTGCGTTCAGTACTATTTGCTGCTGCTTTTCCCCCTTCCACTAAAAAACTTTAGTTATTAATTGAGGCTCATTATAACGAGTTATGGACGTTGTGAAGTCCTGCATGCTCGATACATAAATTCTAAACGTGTTTCCTGCCTTTTCTGCCTTCGTGTTGGGTGATATTTTTCGCAATAAAAAAACTCTAAAAGCTATCAATTTCCATAAAATCTACTGCATGGTGGCAGGATTTATCAGTTTCCCTGCCAGGATCAGTCTAGTTCTCAATGCATTTGTAAGTCATATTTTTCCTGAAAAGTCTGTAAGAATAGAGTCTAAGTTGCACCCGCATCACTTTTGTGATCTTATTACGCTAGCATTTTTCATAAGCTGCATAGGCAAGGTTTCAAGTGTTTTTTTTTTAAGTCGCGAATTTTCATCTTGTCGCTTCCAGGCTACCCGATTGCCTGTTTGCAATTGCTGCTTTTCTTTTCGGCTTGTGTGTACAGCAAAATCAATTGCTCTGTTGCTGCTCTTCGACGAAATCAGTTGTGGTTGGGATACTTTCCACTACTCAAACATGTTCACTAAATAATTTAATTACTTCGAGTAATAGTAGTAGAGTAAAACCTAGTGTAAGGGACGTCTGGTTTTAGCGACCACCTACTTTTAACGACCACTTTTCCATGCACGGATAGTTCTACACAGAAACTGCACTGCACGCCTGCACTGGACGCCTTGTGCGACCAACGACCGACTTTTAGTGTACCAAGTGCCATTTTGGACCTGTACACAGCGACCAAAAGTAACCAACAGTGTTGACTGCAACAGGGTTGAAGTGCGCTCTGAAGCAAATGCATGCAGTCAACAGAAGTGACCAAGGTGACAGTGCAGGATGCGCTGCATGCGATCCAGTGAGGTGTGCTTTGCCTGCATGAAAGTATTCTATGCTCCGCACCTGTCAATATGAGTACATGGAAGTACAAACAAGTTTTTAAAAGTTACATGCTCAGGTATGTGCACAATCCGGCGCTGTGCAGCACTACAAGTTTTAACTCGGGCGCAAGTTTGATTCACTTGATCGGATTTCATTGAGCAGCGCTGCACATGCATGATGCACTGACAGCGAGGTGGTTATCATCATGGGCCAGAGCAAATAGTAATTAAATTATTGCAGCCTATAAAGGTGCCAGTTTTGCAATTGGCCCAGAGTTATTTCGCCTAGCTTAGTGCTGATACTGGCATGGACGCACCCACTGTATTGATACTGAAGTACGCTGCACAGTGAGTCATCCCTGCATGACTCTGTAACCCTGATGAGGCCAAGCAAAGCTACCAGTTTAATCTGGGTCAGAAGGTCGAGGGTCTTTTCTGATAATTATTATTTATTTTTGTGCAATGCTCACATAAATAGTAAATACGCATACGCAAAACCAGGCCCACGGGCCAGGGTTATTAATTTACACCCGTGCATATGTGTACCTTTCAAGTTTTGCAGTTCTACTCCCTGGTTCACAGTCAGCAACAAAAAAATGCAGTCGACTGGGGAACCCCAAACACAAATGCAACGGAAATGCGACCCTTGGGTTTGGAGTCTTTTGACGTACGAATGATGCGGAGCTGAAACGAATCTTAGCAAAGCATGAATATCACTTTTGTGGCAGTCACTTTCTGGTCTTGTGTACGGCGGTGTTCTACCGTGCACATGTGTACCATCGTACAGTGAAACCTGTCTAAGACGACCGCTCAAGGGACCTTCGAAACCTGGGGTGCGTTTGGTTGGTACGATCTAGAACAGGATCGAACAGCTGGTGCACATGGAGCAGCCTCATGCCAACCAAACGGTACTCCAGAAACCGAGCACATTTTTGTGGAAAAATGTGCCAAACTTGGTGCATTCTTCAAAATGTGTATGGGTCACCATGGTCACTTTGTACGGTACGACGAATCCAACCCAAAAGTGTATGCAGGTGATCATCTGGGACCAAAATTGATGTTCCCGCCAGGTTTCACTGTGAAAAAGTGAAACTGCTCGGTCTGCTCCGGCCTCGAGGCCGGAGCAAGCAGAACATGTTCTGGCCGACCCAGAACAGGTGCGGTCCCAACCAAACGCGCTGTTCTGGTGAATCCTGTTCTAGTTCGTACCAACCAAACGCGCCCCTGGTCTCTGGTACCAGGTGGTCTCCTTATCCAGGGTCATTTGACTGGAAATAGCATCTCTTGGTGCTGATTTCAGCGGTCTTCTAGGACAGGTGGTCGCCTTATCCGAGTGGTCGCCTTGACAGGTTTTACTGTATTGAAACTTCAATTTTGTAAGCCTCCCCACTGTTCATGGTGTACCCGCTGCAAGATACGGTCGGTACTTGTTTCCGCAGTACAGCAGTTGTAGATATGAATGCATGCACTGTCCATGCTTTGAGGGTGGTGTGCTCGCATGCCATGTTGGCACAGTACGAGAGCGCGCCACCATTGTGGTAGGATTTCACGTGCAGTTGCAAGTTGGCGACATATTTGTACCAAAACCCCTCTCTGTCAGATCTTGATCCATCTTTAGTAGTAAGTGCTGTGGACTATTGACAACGCTGTAGTGTCCACGTGTACATACGCGCTGTGGCATTCCTTGGCCACCCCAGCCACAGGTGCTGAACATTTCAAACACTTCTACAAATTACGGACCCGTGACCACATGCATTGCAAGCAATATTTTCCAGGGCTGACTATTAAACCCCGGCTGGCCAAAATGGCATTGGGCATGCACTTCCAAGTACTTTTTAAAAGTAGTCCGATATTTTTAAAGCAGTGTAGCAGTGAGTCATAAAATACCGGTATTTTACGACTCACTGCAGTGTAGCATGTGCTTAGATGCAGAATGCACGGCATCAAACATTATTTTTAGGCTGTGTTTACATGAGGCGTTTCACCGGGTTGAGTTCGACCCGGGTCAGATTTCAACCCGCCATGTGCACAAAATGAATGGCGCGTTTACATGACCCATTGCGCTTGACCCAGGTTGAAATTTCGCCCCGGGTCAAGAAAATCGTAGAAACGTACTTCTGTGCGTATCTCGCGCCAGGTTTGAACAGCACTGCACATGCAATTTTCGCGCGAACGGATTCACGTGACCATACAGGACTCTAGAAGTGGACTTTCGGCGGCATATCAGTATTTGACCCGGGTCAACTGTCTTCATGTAAACGCTCACCTATTTTGTCTATCGTACAGACTTTCAACCCGGGCTGAACTCGACCCGGGTTGAAATGTCTCATGTAAACACAGCCTTAGACTTTTCTTCGAGTGTCCAACCACGAGAAACCAACTTACTTGTGAGAATAGTCAGAATACACATGAAATTGTTATCCCAGCCCCATGGCCTCTTGCTAGTACATGTACATAAAATGCCACCCTACACTCAGTGTACTAGTACTAGTATAGCCTATTCGTACAGGCCCTATATGTCAGGGTGGAGAATTATGTGCGAATAAAAGTGACATTTTCTGAGAGAAAAAAGTACATACGCGCCTCACTTCGACTGTACTCTGTAGTTACGGCGCTGATGCCGTGCTCAGTGCCAGTGGTGATGGACTGCAGTAGACGACGAATTATTTAGAAGGGCATCTTTCGCCACCAAATTATGCCAATAAACTGAGCAGAAACGATTGACTGGCATCGCAAAGACTCGTACTCAACGCCTGCACTGCGCTGACGTTTAGAATAATGCTTGTGATGGGAAGCAGGGAGTCGTCAATTGACGACTCCCTGATGGGAAGTGCATGCAGTGACGACATTAATCAGCCATATTGCAGAATTTCCTGAAATATTTACGAGAACAAAAGTCAAAATGGCGTCGCCTAGTCTTTCGCCTCCCTTTCCCATTCCACTTGGTGCAAGAAGAGCAACAGTTTCGTTGTAGTGGTGTTTTCTTCATCGCAAATCAAGATGCAGAACGAAGCAGGAGAGAATGTTGACATCTACTGCCCCAGGAAGTGGTGAGTAGCGTAAACGCGAATCACATAAGAGACACTCGGGTTGTAGAAGCTGAAGATCTGGATCCAATTCTTGCTTTGTATGGCTGCAGTTCCTACACGAACAACCTGATCTCGGCCAAGGACCACGCCAGTGTCCAGATCAACGTCGCCGACGTAAGAGTTATATTGTTCAGCTATAGACTGTTCCAGAGCCGTATTTGACAGTGTCCGTGTGTCGTGAATTTTCATTGTAGATCGACGAGACCACTGGTCATGCCACTGGCACTTTCAAGACCTACGCCCTGTGCGGTGCCCTCCGCGGAATGGTAGGTCTATGTTCTGATCTTATCCGTTACTAAAATAATCTTAATGGAAAGTAGTATTCATCCTTGTTCTAGTTCTGTAAGCTAATGTGGGCAGCAGGTTCACCCAGAAATTGTATAAATTGTACAAAAAAATTAACAGAAAGAAATCCAAAAATATCGACATTACACGTATCATATCAATACCTCTGCTTTGAGCTTCCTTTTCCCTTCCTCTTACACTCTTGTTCACCATTGCAAACAAGGATTTTATACAGTTTACTCATGCAGTGATAGCCGCACATCTCTCTATAAATAACTCATCCAGAGTGCCAAAATCTAATATGGTCTGGATGTTTTTTTGTATTGCAGGGTGAGGCTGATGATGCTCTCAACAGACTGGCAGCTCAGGATAAAATCACGCACGGGTATGTTATGTTCAGGAACCATATGTTAATCGATCTTGCATAGCAGGCATATGCCAGTGCTCAACATCGCAGGCTTTCTAAAGAAGAAGAGTTGTGCTGAACACACCCTCAACACACCTCGCATACATTCATAGCCTGTGTCGTTGGCGTTAGCATCACCTGCCTTGTCTGTGAATTCGGTTACACTTGCCGCTGTGCATTTTTTTTTAAATGTGCTTCCTGTCCTCTACTCTTCGTGTACACTTTGCCATGCTTGCTGGAATACTTTGAACAGGGACAGACAATGCACACAGAATAACGGTTGTGTGCTTCAAACATGTGTGCAGTTGGGATTTCTTCTGCAATCCACTCATAGCATGAACATGACATTTTCATCCTACCATTATTCTGCCCAGTGGGGGGGGGGGGGGGGGGGGGGTTCTGTTTTGTTGTCACTACAGACACTTGGTCCATGACACTTGTGTGCTTCCACATGCATATGTTACATATCTAATGTACCGTAGCCAAGTATAACAAATCCTTGAGTGTTCTTATTTGGAGTTCTAGTGCCTGTAGAACAAAATGTGTGACTTCAATTGACCTATCAGTTCTGGTGAATTGAACGAATGAAACTTGCACTGTATCGATTTCTTTTGTACTTAAGTGAATGGTAACTATGGTCTTTTTTCTGCATACATGTATGTCACTTGAAATGTTCACAAAATTTTCGAGTGTGGCCCGTCATCAAGGTAGAACAGTTTTTTGTTTGAGTGTTCGAGTTCAGCGACCCCAGACTGCTCTGCTGCCAGGCCTGCACTCTGCAGTGCACAGTCTGTGCTGTGCTCGACTTGCAGCATGCAGGCAGAGTGCAGCGCGGACTGTTTTAGTTCAGTGCTGTGCTGGTAGACCCTCTATACTACTGTAAATGCATGCATGCGACAGGCACCATGGCACTGGCCGGATTTTTTTGGCGACGACTGTAGTACTAAAAAAAGTATAATAGTGGTCATACTATGAAGAAGTATGCCCCCCCCCCCCCCCCCCCCCCTTAAGCCCGATTCATACTTCATGTCGCGTACGGGAAACCCGTCGCGCGATGGGTTTCCCGTACGCGACATGAAGTATGAATCGGGCTTTAGAAGGATTTTTGTTCGGCTGAACAAATTTTCTTAGACTCAGTAACTCCTTAGAATGGAAGTAAGAAAGTAATGAAGTTTTTTGTCTGGCAGTAGTACTTATTTTGCTTACCCATCTGCAGTCCTTTCTCATCTTGATTCTGTGGTGGCTGAGTAGTGTTCTGTTGTGTACTGTGTTTGCCTTTTGTTCATTCTGCAGACTTGCTCAGTAAGATGTACCAGCGGAAATAAACGTTTTTTGAAAAAGAAATCCTATTCCTCTGTGTGTGTGTGTGTGTGTGTGTGTGTGTGTGTGTACTGGCATGATTGTGGGCATGTGCAACATCTATTATTTCTGTTGCACCGGCAAGTAATTGGCCGTTTTTGAGGCTCGGAATTTCAAGGCCGGCTTTTAGCTGAGCCATTAGAAGTGCGTGTAGGCAGATATCTGGCGCTAGTCTTGATCTGTTTCATTGAGATCTGTGTGTGATATGTGATAATGTGTGACTTTTATGCCATTGTTATTGGACATTGACTATTATTACCGTACGCGCTCGAATACAAGCCCCTCTCAAATAGACTGTCCCCTTGGAAAAACGCGATTCCGCGGTCGCGGCAAATTTCGCAGAAATTTCTATCATCCGCGGAAATCACGGAATCTACACTTTTGCCCGCGGAATTTGAATTTTTTAGGGTAAATTAGTAAAATTACTACTCAGAAAGCAGCAGAAAAACTACTTCGCGATCTGTTGGAGCACATTATGCTCTTGCCAGTGTGGGTGAGTGCAGGATCTCCAAAATTCTTCACTCTCATGTGAGTTTGTGACTGCAAAGGATAGTGTGAAAAGTGCTCCTTCCTGCAACTAGTTGTCATATCCTCTACAAGGAGGGTGAAAACTTGCAGAAAGTGCCGCAGATTTTTGATTTTACCGCAGAAAACCCCCCTTTTCCCCCCGCGGAATTTTGAATTATTGGCCGCGTTTTCCCAAAGGGACAGAATAGAGCCCGTCTGTGAGAGGGAATGGGAATAACAAAGCCCTTTCTCATATAAAAGCCTGGGGCTATAATTACGGAGGATTAGCAAGTGCCGACACGAGAACAAGTATCTCCTAAAAAACCACGGTGTCACCTAAACATGTCTCCACAGCCTCCTGCCCACACCATTCACGTTCACACACCTTGCTCATAACACCCTGCCCACACCAGACATATCCATTTGCATTGCGCTTTTATTACACTGCTAGCTCTACAGCCTCCTGCCTACAACATCCACACGCATTGTTCACCACCTCCTGCCCACACCAGCCACACACTTCGCGCTCGCACTGCTAGCCCCTGCCTTCAACAACCACACACTCTGCACACAGCCCCCTGCCTAAAACATCACCGCTACTGCGCTAGCCCCCACAGTCTCACACAGCTTTTTATACCACCCTCTCCTGGCATATATACCGGCATGGTCGGCACCCGATCTTCATGTTGCCTGATGATTGCGTAAGCATGAAACTTAAAGTAGCAGCAAACAAGCCTTGATTGTCCTTGTTGTTCTGTAGAGGATTAGCAAGACGAAATTCGTGTTAGCAAACATTTTTCAGTTCGCAAACTGGATTGCGAACTTTCGCATTTTTTGTTCGGAAAAGTAGTCGGGAACACGAATCGCGGATTCGTGTCAGGGCAGTCATAAATTTACCACGCTGTACTGTCTGTACACAATGTACGTCGTGTCAACGTCATGCATGTGCGAATTCTGTTTGCTAATCCTTCTCATAACGCGAATTCCGTCCCTGAGTTCGACTTTCCTTGGAGAGCGAACGCGAATTTCGTCTTGCTAATCCTCCGTATTGAGCACGCAAAGCCCATGCGATGCAGTGCAGTGCATGAACTGTGTACAGTATGCACATGCAACGTTTTTTCACTTATTGCACACAAACTGCAGTCATGGGTAGCTACCGTACAATGATCGAGCGCAGTCACTGAATCATGTGCATGTACTGATCAGCAGGAAGGATGTTTCTATTTAAAAAAATAAAATCCCCTCAAAGTGACAGTGTCCTCTGGAAAAATAGAGCCCCGGGGCTTCTATTCGTGCCGTATACCCTATACGGTAGTAGGGAGGTTTAGTCCCACGTAATCCGTGTGAACCACGTACAGACGTTTTCTAATTCATAACAGTCATACCGTGTATGGAGAGGCTCACCCACGTTCTGCCAGAACGTGGGTGAAAATCAGAATGGAGCGCATTGTGCGAGCTGTGAGGGTGCTCATCTGAAGAAGTTTCCGAAGCATGCATGAAATCAAAATATTCGATGAGCTTCGTCTTTGAGTCAGTTTGGGCCTTTCGCTTCATTCTTTTGTTTGTTCCGTGTGACTAAAAACAACATTGTGAATGTGGGTCCATTGCAGGAACTTTACGTGTATCAACCACGTTCCCGTATCCGTTACGTGGGACTAAACCTCCCTAATAGCAAGAGTATATAAACTCTTGGTAATAGGCATAACTGTTTCCTAAGATAAGTTGGAACACAATCCATATGACTGTGATGCCCATGCACTTTGTTTCTAAGAACGTGCTATAAGAACTCATTTTGAGTGGCGCGAGTTGTAGAATACACCAAACACAACTACCGGTAGTTTAGATCCGGCTTTCGACCACAGCCAGGCCAGGGCGCTCTCGCGGCACTTTACAGCATGCTGCATGGTAATTGGTTCTCATAAAAGCGCATAAGGGGCTATCCGGCATTAGCGATAATTTTCACGAAACAAAAAAGTTTAGTTTGGACCCTCCCCCACCCACCCACCCCCTGAACGAAAAATAGATTGACTTGACAGCAAGAATGCCTTGATGTCTCACATATCAATAATTTTTAAAACGAAACTCCCCTTTGACCCACACACCCATATACGAAACTTTTTCTCTTCGTGTAAAAGATAGATAATTATGGACGGCTCCTAACGAAGCTTCGAAGGGAATCCCGTCCAAAAATAGTGACTTCAAAATACACAAATAAAAAAAGAGACGAATATCGCGTTCGCACTCCAACGGAAGTTGAGTGACGAAATTCGCAGTATGATGAGGATTGGCAAACAGAAATCGCACTTGTCTGCCCCTCGTGAATTCTGCGGCAGAATATCAGAAATTCCGTGCAGAATTCTGCGGCTAAAAAGTAAAAACAGTAAATTCTGTGCGAGTTCTGCAAATCATTCTATATTCTGCGGCAATTCTGCAAGGAAGTTGAGCGTGAAAACAGATCGAAGCAACCCAACCAAAATCTGCTGTCCATAATTCTTAACCAAAGCTATGCGAAATCCTGATAAAAGAATAGTTGAAATCTCCAAAATATACGGCAAGTTGAATTTGAAAAGTCATGAGCAGGTTGCTCTGGCTGTAAAACACACACCCAAATCTCCAGAAAAAACAGTTTTTCACTCTTTTCTGCAACATTATGCGGGAATTTCTGAATTCTGCGGACACTATTGGATTCTGCGGAAATTCTACAGTCCGCGGAACCGCGGAATTCACGGGGGACAGACGTGTTATTGACAGGTCATACACGTGTGCAGACAAATAATTTGAGAAAATACAACTTACAGTCCATTCAGAAAAAAATGAACTTCTAGCTTTTGGCCATAAATGGGTCAAACTTTGAGTTTTTTTAGAATTTTTTTTGGCAATCCCCTATGGAATCCTCTTCCAATTATGTTTCTGAAGTTTTTTTGTCCAAAAAGCAAGCCATAGCAAGAATAGGATTTCGGCCAGGTTTTGCCCCAAAAGCACAGAATTGGGAAAACCATCAAAATCCAGGCCGTTTGACCCCGCCTGGCAACAGTGCATTCTGCGGTTCGAACCCCAGTTCAGGCACCCTTTTTCAAATTTCAAAGTTCGCAGCACTGCACTGTGTACGATGAAATCACGAAAAACCGCCAAATACGGGAGCTCGCCAGAGCCAGAGCCCATCTTTTTATGAATGGACTGTAGTCAATTCATTCATTAGGCGAGATCAAAAAAAAAAGAGATTCCCGGTCCCTCCCGCACCAAAATCGAGCCGAAGGCATTTTTTTTTTTTTTTGAACAGTTCGTATTGTGTACAGTACTGATCGTGCGAGTAGATCTGTGACATGGTGTAACACAAACCTGGGCTTGTACGACTCAGGGCTGTCGTTGGCCGAAATACAAAAGAAATTGTACGGGTACGGGTAAATCACGTACCTGTTGTCTGTAAAAAAAATACCGGAAAATACTGTAAAAAGTTCAGCATGCCATGCATACACGCATAGGAAAAATAAAAATTCGCCCGCCCGCACCAATTTCAGATGGGTCCTGCCCGGGAATCTCGATTTTATGTTGGTCTCGCCTTACGGTCCTGACACGAATTCATGATTTGTGTTTCGACTGCTTTTCAGGAACGAAAAAGGCGAAAGTTCGCAAACCAAAAAATGGTCTCGATCACGAAATTCGTGATGCATAACATATTTTTCATACAGTGTTTCCTGCATGGAGTGGTCAGGCAGCAATGATCAATTTCCAGGTGCTGTATATGTACCATTAGATCCATCAAAAACCACATTTCAATTGGATTTATCGCTAGTGTGCACAGAAGGCAAGCCAATGTTAGAGCAGCCGTGTTCCCAGCACCAAACAAGAAGTATTGCATCAGCGCTCAAGCTAGCCCAACAGCAGACACGGCGGACAACAATAATAATAATTGCAAATCAGAACCAAGCCCGGTGTACCAGTGCAATTAGGAGCAAGCTGATAAAAATGATCCATAGGAGAGCGATGGTTGCTTTGGCAACACACTACCAGTGCCCAGGACAAAACAGACCTAGAACACATACACATACTCTATAAATCCATCGGCTGTTAGTAGTACAAATGCTGAGAAAAGGGCGTAAAAAAAGAGGCAGGTGGGAGAAAGAGAGAGAGAGAGAGAGAGAGAGAGAGACAAAGAGACGGAGATAGAAAGCACATACGTCACAAATTATTAACACAATGCAGGGCCAACACTTGGTCTACAGTGTGCAAAAGACAGCCATGCCGCCGAATAGGTCTTGATCCAAGCAAAGTCCCCAGAAAGAATAATTATTATATATGGTCAACCTCCACCGGAAGTCCCTCCTTTGCTGCAGGACACTTGAAAAGAAGACCAAATCAGAGCGAGAAGAAAGGCCAAGGAAAGGGTACGATTCGGTCTATTCAAAAGAGCACACTTCCCAAGAACCAACCCAGAAGAATAACGACAATTCCGGCAACGGCAAACATCGGTAGACTCATCTGCTGCTGCTGTTCCCGAACAGCTGTTTTGTGTTGTGGCGCGGTTACTTCAGGTTTGGGGGCTGGCGCGGTTGCAGCAGGCTTAGGGCTACTGGAGGTGGCAGGGTTAGGGCGCCGACGTACTCCGGTATCGCTTGTCTGAAGACAAATAAGACAAGGCGGGCAAAGAATTTGTTAGGTCAAGCAACAGTGGTGATGACTACAGCGATAGGACGGCCACAGAAACAGGGATGGAACTAACTATACTGCTAGTGTAGCAGCAGCAGCAGCAGCAACAGCACACGCGGGCATATTATCTGGAATAAAGAATCATATGCGACCTAAAACAGCAATAAAGAATCACATGTGACTGAAAACAGCAGTGTTGCTCCCACGTACGGAGCACCACACTTTCGATTTTCGAACCTTCCCCAATTATTGCCTAAGTTGCTACAACCTCTTCTTCTATACTGCAAGCACGGTAATTCAGAATACACACACACACACACACACACACACAAAAAGAAAACTACGATGCCCCCGGCAGTCGTGTTATTACCTGTGCTTGTGATTGGGCTTCAGAAGGTGCTGTGGTGGATGTCACTGCTTGCGTTGCTACCGATGGGGCAGAGACTGCTGACGATCCGCTTGAGCTTGCTGATGGACTAGGACTGCTGGGAGCAGCAGCTTGGGGTGACTCCCGCGGCCGGCTCGCAGATGCCTCACTCTGCACACAGACACAAGCAGAAAAGACATTGACAAGCGGTGAGAAATAGTGTTTGCTTCTTATCGACGCATTGACACAGTCAGTGTACGCCCATTGCGCATCGCCAAATATGGAAGGTATGAGTAATGCATGTAAGTATGCTGAGATCAGCAAATGCACTGTTCAAAAACACCACACCGCCATGCCCAGGTGGTCATGTGGGGTGTCGGCGGTACAAACAATGTTATTGCGCAATGAGCTTATTGACAGATTGGCTCTGGGTGCTTGCAGTACAGTGGACAGCTGCCCCACGGGCCGGGTTCCACTGCTGCTCTGCTGCTTCGCAGCACTTGGCTGCATGCAGCGGAGCAGCGCGGTTACACTGACACTCGCCATTCGCGGTACCGCGGTCGTGCTTCACGTTTTTTGATGAAGTTCGACCTGCCTGCACGCGCATGCGTGCGCGAAAAAATCCTCGTTTTCTGGCCTACACAACGAATTAAAATTTGAATTTTAAAATTCTCGCGTACAAAAACAATGAAAAGTATGGGAAACAGGTCGAGCCGTGACTGCGGCTCGCAGTTTTTGATCAAGAATCGTAGCGAAAGCTCGCGGTGAGCCGCGGCCTCGCTGCTCCAGCTCGAGCCGCGGTCACTATGGTAATGATGACGTTTCAAGCCGCGGATGACGAGCAGCGGAGCCGCAGTGGAACCCGGCCCTAAAGAGAGTGAAGGTCGCACGTCCGCATTACCACTTGCTATCCAACTTTTTTAAAAGATCTTTAAAGAATGCTACCGGCACGCCAGAGCGCTTCAGCAAGGGCTGCGATGGAAAACTGAGCTCTTTGCTTTCTTCCTAGGGACATCTATTGTAGAATTCTGTCAAGATTTGAGCAAATTACAGACGTTTGAGTGCAATCATGTACATCAGCCGCTAGCGGCCGGCTAGCATGCACGGACTCTAGACGGTCAAAAGACAACTGAGAAGTACCCACACTTGGGGCATCTTTTGACAGCCCTCTCGAAGTGCATACCGTAAAGTCGCACAGTACAAGGCAAATAAAAATTGCCTAGGCTACGACGCTGATCGCCCCTTTCTTCGACACCGGACAGCACTGCACTAGTGTCTTGACCCAGGCAATAATTATTTAAGAACACAACTAGGAATACGACCGCCACCAAGCACCCTCCTAGTGAATGCCGGTGTACGTACCACAACGCGAATGAAGTCCACCACTGGCATATCCAGAGAGAGTGCCTGTGCTAGGCCTGCGCCCCGTGTCTACAAAAAAAAGGGCTGAAAAACGCCTCTCTGAGACACTGGACTTGGGGCTGCTCAGGCAGACACATGGGTCATATTTCTATAATTTATTCGTCGTTGTGTTTAGGTACTCTTAATGTCGTTCTACAATCAGGCGCTTGTGCAGTCCGATGTTGTCTAGAGACTAGTGGCAGTATTATTGTTTGACCACTTGCAGTAGCTATTGCTCTTTCCTGCAGGTGGCACTACAGTCCATTCAGAAAAAGATGAGCGCTGGCTCTGGAGAGCTCCCGTGTTTGGCGATTTTGTGGTACACTGTGCAGTGCCGCGCGATTCGAAACTTGAAAAAGGGTCCAAAAAAGGCACCTCAACTGGGGTTCGAACCGCAAATGTACTGTTATGCAAGTGGAGCGAACGGCCTGGACTTTAAACTTTTTACCCAATTCAGTGCTTTGAGGGCAAAACCTGGCCGAAATCCTATTCTTGTTATGGCTTGCTTTTTGGAGAAATAGACTTCAAAAACACAATTGGAAGAGCATTCCATGGGGGATTGCCAAAAAAATTGTGACGAAAACTCAAAATTTGACCCGTTTATGGCCAAAAGCTAGGATATCATCTTTTTCCGAATGGACTGTAGGAGTGGCCGTGGGTGCAACAAAGACCAGTTTTTGGATAAATTTATAGAAAAGAAAAAGAACGTTGTAGTTCCTTGGTCCTTTTTCTTTTCTATAAAGACCAGTTTCTTGTTCATTTAGATTTGAATCTCGCTACGTTGGGATTTGAACGCAGTTTTTTTTAGCATTGTTGCCTTCGCATTTTTGCATGAAATTTACGTAAATGTGTGTAGGAGTAGTATCGCGTGTGGCTCACATTTTGGGGACATCATTCGCATCTGAGTAGACCACAGTGTACAGTTACCTCGCAGGACTGCCTCTCTATAACTCGAACGAGAAACGAGCTTGGAAACGATGCTTGGCATTCGGAGTGTGTGGCTCGCATTATCGGTGCATGGTTTTTATTCGTTTACTTTTTTAGATGGCATGATCGCTGGACTGCTTCTCCAACGAGGACCGAGTTTGCTATGAACGCCCGGAAACGGTGCTTGACATTTTACGTAGATTGGGTTACTTGCTGTTTTCGAATGATTGGGTGAAAATTAAGGAGCTCATGCTGACTGTCTTGTACTTCCTTTTGACTTGTTTTATCACTAGTTTTTACTCCTATGTTTCTAGATATTGATTCCTGACGACATAAGTGTTTGTTGTAGCCGACGGAAAGTCGGAATCTGGCGAACGGCCGATTGCGACAGCGTTACGTGCCTTTTCTGTCGTGATAGCGGAGCGCCTGCCAACGCCACATGCTCATCGGCACAGTATGTAAAGGTAAAGCTGAATGAGAAAAAAATAAAAGTAAACGCACGAGCGTCATCTGGTTTTGACATCAGAAAAGTACGTCAGTGCCTGAATTCCCCCTCAACACAATCATAGAAACGCCACTGTCCTAAACAGTCCACAATGTGCAAATGGGCGCACGCGCGCGCGATAGAGAATAGGATACTACAACAGTCGTTGTAATGCACTAAACTAACTTGTTGAGCTGAGCCAGATTGTGTCGAGGTCGTTGATGCTGACTCTGACATGTCAAATACACATTTCAGTTTGGTGTCAATGACATCTCCAGCGTTGGCTTTCCACTACAAGCATAAACACCCAACACAGAGAGTAAATCATGGTCAAAGCCCAGGCAAAAAACAGCAACTAGAAACTGGTGGGTATAGGAGTGCCCTGCCACGTACAGTACAATTCTGATAGGGGGTACGACCAAGGGCAGCAGAAAGTACATTTTGTATCGGAGTTACGTCCTCTCCGCACATACTTCAGTCTGGACCGATACACCCGTGCTCCGGATAATGCCTGTACTAGCAAAGGGTTTGTCTTATCAGAGTACGCACTAAGCGAGTTCCACTGCGTAGTCTGAGTTTGCAGACTGCCCACGACTACACAACTACCACAGTGTACATGGCCGTGAACTTAAAGATTGCACGCAGCACATGGCGAGCTTGCAGCCATGCCACCAAAAGCAAGTCACACATGAACACGCGCACACGCGCACACACACACACACACACGATTAGAAGTAAGGGTGAGCCTTCTTGCAGTTTCATTCATGAAAGCTCAAATGCCTTTCTTCTACACACCAGTTTGCAACAAGAAAAATCGAAATTAGAGGGGTTAAGCTGCACGTTATTTTTGACGTGACACGAAATTTCACGTCAAATTTGGCGTAAAACTCCAAATTTCGACGCGAGCTGCAGGTCACTCGCGTTGTTTTCCAACACGTGAGCCGCATAACGTGAGCTGAACTTTCGCGTCACGTCAAAACTAACGTGCAGCTTAACCTTTCTATCGTCCAAAGTCCTTACCACGGTGTCCAGATCTATCTCCCCCTCTGGTGCAAACATTGTCTGGACCATGAACTTATGGCGGTTCTTCTCGTTAGGGTCATACTCGAATGGCTGGAGCATTACTGTAGCCAACACAACAACAGCAGAAGTCGAGTATAATCAGACGTCAGTAGAATGAGGGAGAAATACACCCACACACCGGTGTCCACTCCAGTGTCGTACGAACTCGGCCAATGCTCAGTGCCACATGAGCAAGTACTCGGCATTCTATGAAGCTGCAGATGTGTGCTCCCTATATATAGAGTGGTTTCACACCAACATGGCCGACATCATGTGAACCATAGATATAGGGATTGAGTGGATTCGAAGCCAACATGGCTACCCCGCACGGTCATGAGACAGATGTGAAACTACTCTATACAGAGGAAGAGCAAGCAGTGGTACTGTAAACACATTTTATTTAAATTTTGTCAGGAGTGAAAGTTCCCGTGTCCCTTGGTCACCTTTTTGCAGTGGTCACTAATTGCCGGTGCCAACACAGATTTATGGAATCAAGAGCACATGGCTACCAAGACTTTGCTGCTGCTCCACATACATTTCTGTCACGGCTCGTTTTCAGAATGACACACCACTTCTCACGATGTAATCCACTCGACTGTAAAAAGAATAGCATTGCATGCGGTTGACCTCACACCTCGTACACGTATGGAGAGAGCTGGTTACATCACGGAAATGAAGAAAGAAAGATTAGCTGTGGCGAACTGCCAGAAAAGTGCTCCATGCGCAGACCATGAAAATGACGTAATTCTGAATACGAGCCGTGACCACCCACCAGCAGGTGCACATTAATGGTAGTTTTGTACTCTCGGTGGATAGTAATCTAGTAATCTACATGGTAGGGTGTAGCAATGACAGTAGCGAAAAATGGAGCCCACCAACAAAAGCCAGACTACAGTATGGCTGGCTGCATTGACTAAAAACACAAGAGAGACCAAAACACACTACAGTGTCAGCAGGTGCTTCAAGGTGTGTTGTGCAGCGCACAATTATGTGTTCGCACCATACCGTGCCTGCGTGCATGGTGATTCGACTGAGCAAGTAAGGGGTAGAGGCTTGACAGCTTTTGCCGTAATTCAAAGAAGGGTAGCGGTGAGCACACTTTTTCCATAGTTATCAGTTCCCTCCCCAATCTTGGGCCAATACAGTGGTCCCTCTATAATCCGGCACCATTGGTGCCACGGAAATCTGCTGGATTAGGGAGGGTGCTGGATTAACAAATCTGATCTACTGCTGCAATGTGCATGAAGAGGACATTTGGCTACTGAAAATTGTGCTGGTTTATCGAGGGTGCTGGATTATAAAGTGCCGGATTAGAGAGGGACGACTGTACAATAAAACAGGTAAGTTTAGTGAGAAAATCTAAAAAAAAGATTCCCACACTTTCATTAATCGAGGGAAAGAAAAGGGGAAAGTCTGGAATAAAATTGAAGGTCACATCACATGGACTCAAATTAAATCGCCAAAATTACATTTCAAAATAATTTTGATGATTGGTGTGCATCAGAAGCTGAACCAAACCAGACCAGAGAAATTTCGCGATCATCCTCTGTAAATAGTTGGGTAAGCAGCAGCATCCTTCTCTGTATATATACAAGAAATACTGATCTTTGTTCTCATGCAGGGTTCTAGCCAAATGAGGGTACGGGGCAGGGGGAGGCAGACCCCCCCCCCCCCCCACACACTCTGATTGAGCGACATCCTGTGAAAAGTGGCGTACCCTGCTATTAATTTGGTTGATTTTGTGCTTTTTCATGCCATTCATATTAACCCTTTGCTGCTCATGCATACTTGAACTGACACACGTCTATCGGTTCGACAGAGCATTGAAAAAGCGACATGTCGATCAAATTGAGTTCGCTAGATTCCTAGGGATTTACTGCTTCCAGAAATATATAGGTTTACATTTGACAATATGCTTCGTGTTGGAGCTATGAGTAATTTTCTTCCTGCTGGTCTGGGTATGCCGAAAACGTATACTAGTACATTTTAATGGGCAGCAAAGGGTTAATGAAAATGCAGTCGATAACAGAGGAATCACAGGCACACTTGTCTGGGGTAGAGTCGGGGGTTTGCCCCGTACGTTACATTTTGCATGGCAAGATCATTTGGAAAATGAAGAAAATGGGTTTGGGGGTAACTGTTTCCCCTACCCCTCTTCAGTCTTCTATTTTGACCTGGCTAGAACCCTGCCATGCATTGTCTTGTTTTGTTTGAAACATACAAGTCATGGAGTGCCAGATGGCAAAGACGTCTTTGTATGTTTTCAATATCAAGTACACAGTGCAATACAATCAGATGTTGAGACAGTATGTGCTACGCAACATGAACTAGCATACGCCACGGACATGCACTACATGTAGAGTACAGACAGTCATGTGCTAAATCTTGGTGGGTTGGGATCATGCACGGTCGTTGCACACCGTATTTCAAATAGATTTACAAACGTCACATGTGACGATTAAATACCGAAGCAAAGCAGACGAGCACAACCTCATACCTTGAACCTCAACGAACTCATTGGGCTGAATTATACCAGAGTTAGGCCTGACGCAGTACCTCTTAGGTGCTGTTGTTTTAACTTTGAAACAAATCCTACGATCACTCGAAGGATTTGTGACTTTGAGAGTTGATGTCACGACATGCGTAAACGGACCTATGGGCACACGACATACCAGAGAACACAGGGACGGATGAGCTACCGCCAACAGAGACTGCCAGATCCACAGAATTTTAGGCGAGCTACCTTGAAACCTCAGCTCAGTGTTCGGATCCAAGTTTGCAATTGACGCACTCATTGTCAACACTCGTATTGAAACAATCAAAACATCGAACGTCCGCAACAAGATCTGCAGCAGCAACCAGTGTTTCGCACCAACGAGGATGATTCCAAACTCCCCCGATACAAAGTCTACAGGCTACAGGAAGTAGACGGTCAAGAAGAAGACCGGGGATCGTTCTACCACTTCAGTGAGTGTCTTCGTCTCCGAATAGGTTCCAAATCGCCTCTTCAACTGCACCTCGTATTTTCTTTCTTTGCATCGTTCACATCACATTTTTTGCGTGGGACTCGCAGTGTACCATGCATGGTGTACATCTCGTACATCACTGCTGATTCAGACCTGGTGAACACGTCGGCTCTGGTCGGCGCGGCTAGCGCTAGCTGGTAGATAGAACGCACAAGTGACATAGCTCAGCATGCAGTGCATGCTAGTTACACCTAGTACCTGTACACGGAACGACGCAAGCCACGCATGCACGGAGAAGTAACCGGCGCGGCGCCGCGGCGCCGATTCTCTGATCTTTTTGAAGTCAACTCGACCGGGCAACTGTACTCAGCTCTGTTTGCTGTGGAAAGGAGTTGTGGCAAGGAAGAAGACGAAGGAGATTGGAGAGCACGCATGCGTCCAAGTTTTTGACCAGCGAAAATGGCGTTAGTCGGGGCTCGTCGGTCTCTTTGCCTGGCCCAAGTATGTTCTGTGTAGAGTTCAGTGGATAGAGAAAGCGTTATGATAACTTGCTGTTGGATCTTCTTTCGCAGGGGGCTCGGAGTTTCAGCGGCAGCTCAGTTGCAAGAGCTGCTCAGAAAGTGAGTGAAAATATTTTGTACACAAATTACTTTTGTTGAGTCGATATGAATTTGAAATTTCTGCATGTGAGACAAAGAGATTTCTTATTGACTGTATGCACAATTATGTCCTGCTCATGCTCAGGCGCCTATTCAGGTTTACGGCCTGGAAGGTCGCTATGCACATGCACTGTACTCCGCTGCGGCCAGCAAGAATGTCTTGAAGGAGGTCGAAGACGATTTGAAGAGATTGGATGTGAGAACACCAGTTTGTACTGTTGTATTTCAATAATATGTCAGTACTGTCATTGAATTATGCATTCCATCTACCTAAAGTAAGCTATTGAACCTGCCTTTTCAGTAGCAACGTAACTGTTATTACCACTATCCAGCCTGCTCTCAGATGTTCAGGTTTCTCACTAACGAACATACTTGGGGTAACTAACTTACTTGCACTAGCATGCTTGTATATTGTCATAATATATGTTGCATGTTTCTGATTGGTAGAGGGACACTACACATACACATATGCTGACATACATGCACACACGCGCACACGCAAGCACTCACACGCACACACATACACTAGAGCCGGTCACCGAAGGCAATGGTTGGCAGTGTAGCCTTTGCTTGATGTAGAAAAATAACCGATACCAGAACTGCACCATTCAACTTACAAGACCTAGGTCTAAGGAAGAGACCACCATTTTAGTCTGGTCTTACACACACCACACACACAAGCACACACCTACTGTCGTGGACATGGAAATCCAGTCAAATGACGTAGGGCCGGCGCCCTCAGTACAGAGCGTTGCATGCAGTGCACGTGTTGATGGTATGCGTACTCACGGCAGCATGGCTGGCGCCCTGGGCCGCTTGACCTCCGACCCGATTTCCATGTCCACAACAGTAGATGTCGTATTCACGCCTGGTCACAACTTCCGACTCACAAGTGAACCAGAGCAGAGGGTCTGCTAGAAGTAATGCAGTGGCTGTATTGCCCGTATATGCAAAGTGGTGTGTGTTAGGTTGGTCATGTGATGAATATATTTGAGAATGCTAGCTAGAATCCTTTTTTTTCTTCGTTACCGGTGGCTGTAGGTGAAGCGTGGCAGTATCTTCACCGAGTACTTGATTAACCCAGCTGAACATCGTACTTTGAAGCTCCGTAAGTCGACGTTAATATGCAAGCACTTTTGTTTGCCTCTGCATGGTGCATGGTGTATGGTGTATACATGTATTGTATACTTGTTCGGCTTGTTTCAGTTTGTCGATTAAACTCCATTTGTGCATTTTATTGTATCACAAACTGGTGCGGTGCCCCACTGTTCGAAGGGCGCTGGATACCTAGAGTTAGAGCATGCTTTCACAGCAACATTTGCTTAACCTTTTGAGCACGACGCTACCTGAATGCCGCCCCACGTCAACACCTGCAAAAATAGCGTTTTTCCTATGAAAGTAGTAGCTGTTCAAGGATCGATAACTTTACCTTTCTTTGGACGAATTCCACGATCTTGAGCTTCCTGCAAAGGTCTTGAGGCGAGGAACAAAATAGTTCCAAGCTCAGCTCGGAGCGACACCAAAAGCCCATGCTACAGTCTGGCAAACTTGACGCACGCGCTCGACAGACTTGAGCACGGCCAGGAGATCAAATCCTCAGCTGCCATTTCACTCTCCTTGCTCGTATCGAGCTCAAATTTTTTTGAGGACTCCCCAGATCCGCTGCCATCATTTGAATCTAGTTTCCATGGCAGCAGATAGCGCGAAAATGATCGAAAATGGAAAATACGCGTTCTGCAGAGTTCGCAAAAAAATCGATTTGAATTTGCCGTGTCGAGTCGCATATCTCAACAACCCGGGGTCGTATCGCTTCGGCGATTGTTTCTATCGCAAGCTGAGAGTTTTCTCTTGCAGATACATATTTCGATCGTGAGAATCGGCCAAGAATTGACCGAGTTACGATAGTTTGAACTCACGCGGTTCATGCAAATCGCGTTTGTACGCTATGTACACTCACGACGTAATAATACGTCATGCGTGGGTGCAGTGACACTGTACGTGACGTATTAATACGTCATGCGTGCTCAAAGGGTTAAAGGGGCACTCCGGCTTCATTTTCGACGCCGAGTTTTCGATGCCAAGACGAAGGTTGGTGAAAGAGAAGACGCCTCGAACAAGAACGAGTCTCCAGAAGCGATCGAGTCGAGCAGGAAGACGACTTTTGAATTTCGCCGAGCGAGCGCTGATGACGTAATGAGGGATTAGCTTGCCAGTGGAAATGCATCTGCGCACATACATTTCGTATACTTTTTGGCCAATTTTCAATCGAAGAGGAGGTTGTTTGCTATGTTCTCTCAACGTCGTGAGCGATCCCGTTTTCTATATCCTTCCAGGTACCCTGAAGGTCCTCCAGACGAGAATTTATCTCCAGCAAAGCGTTGTTGATCCGCTAAATTCGTCTTGAGACATATTCACCCAGTGCAGTGCTGATAAATGTAGAATGTCGAATCTGTGATAATTGTCGACGATGGAGAGAGAGGTTGATAGCCGCTGTCGCAGGGAAAGTGAAGCTGCTGGAAGTAACAACGGGGAGTTTGTTAGCATCACATGAGCATCCAGACTTCAAAGCAGCTTGACGGAATCGGGGAGTACTGACTATTTGTCTCGCCCTCAGTTTAGTGAATTTTATGACCAGGAATTATTCGATCAGGATCCCTTCTACAAGATATGTAGTACAGGTGATTTCTGAACTTGACGATATGGAGACGGACCAGTAGACCTACCAACAACGTGTACCTGCAGGAGATTCACCCAAGGATATTGCTATCCTCTTCAGTGGCTGTTGTTTTTTAGTAAAAATATGTTGACTTCTCTCAACATACTCCTGCATGGCAGCAAGAAGGTGCGCTATGGAATTCAACGCCACAATCTTCGCCCAGCTGTGGATGAAGCATGGTCAAGTCATGGCAGTACACATACTTGAAACAGATGAGAAATTGAAGTTCATTTATGATGGGAAGTTTGACAGCCCCAGTGACCGAGTCAAGCGTTGTCTTTTGCCGTGGCACAAATTGCTGAAGAATCCTAGATGGTCTTGGAATTATGCACATGGATACTACCAGAAATAATGGTGGCATGAACCATTGTGGAATGGGACAGCTCACGGAGAATACTGGAATAGCTCAAGTATCTCTAGGTGATTGTAAATCCTGTTCTGGCTGATAGCTTCGGCCTGCTGCGCCCGTCCATGTACACTGATGGTAACATGCATATCTGTTTTCTACATATTTGCTGGCTACTGTACTGTGGTATTACAGTTGCAGGTCCCTTATATATAGAAATATGTTCAACCCCCCCCCCCCCCTCCCCCTCCCACATTATAAATATGAACTAACAATTTCACTGTTGGATTTGCCGGCGGCTACAACATATAGAGAGCAAAGGATTAATTTATAGCAAAGAAAAGGACCAGGGGACTACAAGTTACGCTATAATGTCCACGAACAATTTCACTGTATTTGAAATAATTTTGTTTGATACCCTGAGAACTCTGAAACTTTGCAGCACTGTGGATTATATGTGGATACAACATTTATGGAAGGAAAAGTGGAATATTCTAACACATTGTTCAAATAATTATAGCACTGTTGAGATTGTGAGCACATTCCAATCAGCACTCTACATATTTATAAGCGGTGGCAATCGTTAGGAATAGGTCATGAGTTGTCAGAGTGCTCTAGTATATGAGAGAATGTTTTGTTTGTCTAGTCGACGGCTCGTTTGAAGCCAGAGTTGTTTGAACTTGTTTCAGTCGACTTGATTCTAGACCGTAGTCGAAGGAGTACTATGAAGTATACACCAGACGTAGTCCGAAAGGTATCTCGTGAGAATTCTGTCGGTACACATCAGGTATCAGCTTGCAAAGATGGCTCCTCTCTGTTTCTTGAAAGCCTGTATAGTTGGACTGTGGCTCCAGCGATTCCCTTCTCAGAGCAGATACCATACCCAATACGGTCAATGCATATTGGACAGACCTGTGTGCACAACAGAAATAGTGGAGAGAAATGTCTCAGCTCATGAACACATGAGTGAAGTTTGAACTGCCGTTGTTTGTGGCCATCAGTATAAACCTATCGACTATAAGAATAATGTGCAAGAAAAACCTCGACTGTAAAATCCCGCCAGAGCGCCCCGTCTCTCCCATCCGCCCCTCCCTGACTTCTTGTCAGGGACGTGATTGATTGTATCCTCGTATGACTCTGTCGCAGTCTGTGATGCCGTACTGCACTGCAGACGTGTGCTCGACCCCGTTGGAAATGTATGCAACAGTGCCCACCCTCCTGACCAGGGATCGCACAAACCCTGCGTTTTGTCGGATCTGTTCGACTCCTGGCTCTTGACCTTTGGTTGGTGTACGAGATGCACGAACAGTTTTCGTAGGGTGAGTACTTTTTCATGTAGCACTGAATGCGGCAAGTAGGACTCGCCCATCCGCCCCTCCCCACCTGAAGCGTCGAGGAGGTAGGGGCGCTCTGGCGGGATTTTACGGTATAACTACAGCTGGGGCCATGGAATTATAAAGCATCTAACTTAGGGAACTGCCGATTCTGGTCTGAGTTGCGTTCGAGGCCTGGATTTCATGATGGCTATCGTATGTTGCATTGACCAGAGATCATATAAAACTTCCAAAATGCCACATTGAAACACGCACCACTTTCGAGTACTTTGGTATCCCCCACCAAATGGGAATTCGTTCCCGGGGTGGCAGGCGTCACCATCCGTTATGCCTGGATCAGATTTCATTGACCCCAACTGTCATGAAGAATCATTTTTACTTTGACTGGATTTCAGTACAAGTTGTAGAACTGCAGAATCAATTTTGTTGTATTTGGGCAACCACTTCTCTACATTTCTCTATTCGGAAACTTATGATAGATTTTTTTAATAAAATTATTACATGTCCAAATTCCACATCTACCCAAATCGGAATACTTGATCACGTATTCAGTACTAAACGGAATGTTTAGAAACCGCCAGGGAATAGGAATGTGCTAACGAGAACTCCAGGCCAGGGTACTAGCATACGAACAAAACAAGATAAAAACTCACCAGTATACTTGTAGTAATTCATGTCGGTGTAATATTCACGATACTGAGCAACGAGGCACCCTCCGATTTGGTCAAGCTGCTTTGAAGTCTGGTTGTTCAGATGATACAAACGGGCTCCCCATTGTTACTTCCAGCAGCTTCACTCTCCCTGCGACAGCGGCTATCAGCCTCTCTCTCTCCATCATCGACAATTATCACAGATTCAACATTCTACATTTATCAGCACTGAATATGTCTCGAGACGAATTTAGCGGATCAACAACGCTTTGCTGGAGATAAATTCTCGTCTGGAGGACCTTCAGGGTACCTGGAAGGGTATAGAAGACGGGATCGCTCACGACGTTGGGAGAACATAGCAAACAACCTCCTCTTCGATTGAAAATTGGCCAAAAAGTGTGTAAAATGTATGTGCGCAGGTGCATTTCCACTGGCAAGCTAATCCCTCATTACGTCATCAGCGCTCGCTCGGCGAAATTCAAAAGTCGTCTTCCTGCTCGACTCGATCGCTTCTGGAGACTCGTTCTTGTTCGAGGCGTCTTCTCTTTCACCTACCTTCGTCTTGGCATCGAAAACTCGGCGTCGAAAATGAAGCCGGAGTGCCCCTTTAAGATTACTGTATTTTGCCGAATATAAGTCGCGCCTTTTTACACTAAACTTCAAGGGCAAAGAAGGGGATGTGACTTACAATCGAGAGTTACATCCTACTTATATGCATGTATTGAAACAATGTGGTTCAAACCTCAAAGTGGGGGTGCGACATATAATCGAGTGCGCCTTGCAATCGGGGAAATGCGGTTCGATAACCCAGCTGCTGATCCACATGATGGGTTGCTTCCCAGCTGGGTTATCTCCGCGCCTGTGTGTGTGTGTGTGTGTTGGGAGGGGATTAGATCAAGGCTTTCAAGTGTAGTGTGATTCACAATTCGAAAAGTCGGACTTGCCGGGCTGGATTTTGCACAGTTCCGTCAACCAGAATACCTGCACCGGGGTACTTCCTCCGCGTCATCGAAATTGTCGCAGTTTGACTAGTGACTTGTCACTTGTTACTGACAACTCCATAAACTAAGCCATTCGAAACTTATTACACAGTATGATAGTCTGAAGACTAGAGTAACGTTCTAGGACAATTGGACTGAGAGTTTTCATGCAGAGATGAAGTCCTCGTCGTCGCTGATGTCAATGGACGCAAATATATCGTTCCCAAATATTTCAAGGAAGGTTGAAAGTTGGTCGCGCCTCACTCTCAAACGCTTTGACTTTCTCCACAGGACAAGAGCTGCTATGCTTGTCGTCTGCTAGCTCTGGATGATTTCTACTTCACCACCAACGAAGCCTAGTAAGAATACACGATCGTTGCGAGGTCGGTTGATTACCGTCGGCGGAATCACCTCGGAATCACCTCGATCTTGAAAATAATGAACTTTTTTTAGCCGTGGCATGCCCACAGCTCATGCAGGTAAGTGTAGTATCACGTCCAGCGCGCCCTCTTTTTCAGCACTGGTATACCATGCCATGGTACGGCACCTGCGCGTGCATCACTAGCACTACGTGTAGAGTCTACACGGCTCTTGCAGGTACAATCATGTACTAGTAGTGGTACTGAGTGTCTCAGCCAGAGCGACAAATTTTATCGCTGTTGCAGGCATTTAGTTTGCCGACCCCTCGATGTTTCTCCAAGCGCTGCCACTTGTTCCACGAAGTCATTCTCACCCCAGCTAAGGTAAAGCAGTGATGGGGCTTGAGTGAATGGCCATAAGCACGAGAAATATGCAGGCTGCAACACCTGACTGATCTCAGCGAGTCGAAATTACCAGCGCAGCGACATCAGCGAAGAAATTGCGTCTAGTTCAAAAATTCCAGCTTCCAATAACAGAAAATAGAACTTTGCCGTCACCCTATACTGATGACTATCGCCTATGTCCGATCCCTTGCCTCTGGTACGAGTGCTGGTGAGTAAATACCGCATTTTACATCAAAAGTCAAACTGCGACAATTTCGATGACGCGGAGGAAGTATATATATATTGTGTACAGCAGTGTGGGCATGCATCGGTTCAACACCGTATTTTGACATTTACACTGCAGTTGCTTCATAGATAGAAATGCGGAGGGAGCGGATCGACGGTACTTTACGGAAATTTTGTACTTATGTACAGGCTTTAACCCTTTGGTTCCCCCATAACTCCACTATTTAGCAATAGCCATAATTTTCGCTCAAAATTTGTCAACTTTCGGTCATAACTTACGTTCTAGTAGCCTGATTTCCACATTCTTGGGCTCTCCGGAAAGCTCTTCTCAGCGCGAACACAATGAGCCATCACCGAGTGAAATCAGAGTAGCAGGCCCAGCTCTACAGCCCAGCGAAGGTACCACATCGCTGGGAATGCCCTCAATCCCTTTCTTCTTCAGCCATTTCAATTTCCTTGCTCGCCCAGCTCTGATTTTTTTTGTACTGCCGTAGCAGTTAGCCTGCACCATGATTTACGCAAAAAAAATCATCACAGGTACTTGAGAACAGGGGAATTCCCCGGTTCATGCTCAAAAATGTGCTCGGAACGAGAAAAGTGACGTTCTCCAACTTTCGAGCGCGATATCTCAACAACCGTTGGAGCTATCGTGAAAACGATTGCACCAACGGAAAGCTGAGGACTTCAGCTACACCCTACATACTTCGATTTTCACGATAGTGCAATATTTGAATGAGTTATGGCTGTTTGAAGTCATCGACGGAATACCGTCGAAATTTGTATAGTGGGGAGCCAAAGGGTTAACCCTTTGGAGCCCCAAATAATCCTGATAATTGTATGCAAATGCAATTGCGATATGTTCTGAACCTTATTTTGGGCATAACGTTCGTGCTCGTTATTGGATATCCACAAGCTTGGGCTTCCTGGAGAGCTCTCCACGAGCAGAGTAACTGAAGCTCAAATTCAACACCACAGCAGTCACATATCCAATAACACGGTGCCTCAAACAGTCCACGGAGCTGGATATAGGAGCGAATTTCCTCGACGCCAGCCATTTCACTCTCATTCATAGCGGAACGCTCATTTTTTTGCGCTGAGTTTAGTTTTATGCTGGCCACGTGCAGGAAGGGTGCCTGGTTGAATCAGCATGTCATCCAAGGGGAAATCCCTCACTCAAGGCCAGTCACTGAGAAAAAGTTCGACTTTTGCCGTGACTGAAATGTCGAGCTCGGTATCTCTGCAACGCGTCATAGTAGCTCTTCGGCGATTATTGCATTAGAATTTCATAGAAAGCTGAGCTCTTTGGCTTCTTCTCAGATTATTATATGAGATAGTTCGATCGTGGAAATATGTCAAGTTTCAAGTGATTTACGGACATTTTAGTCCATCGATGGTATACCGTCGAAATTTGAATGTACGGGCTACAAAGGGTTAACAGTCTTTACTTAATCCCCAAATACATCACCGCCACCATAGTCTAAGGTCATGTGTTGGAAATATTCCTCATCTCGTAACTTTGAGCATATCTTATTTAATTTGCGCTTCATGGACACGAATAGTGATAGCAGCTACACAACCACAAAACCAGCAGACCTCTGTTAGAGCCAACTTGGCGACTGAAGATTTCTCTAAGAGTGTTCTGATGGTATAATGGTTTCGTTTGCTTTTTGATTGTCATTGCAGGCATTATTGATGATGCATTGAAGGATGCCAAGTGCAACGAGGTCACACGAGGATTCTTCAGTAAGTAGCTGTCATCACAGGCCAGCTCATAAATGCTGCAACAAAGGTTCGAAGGTTCGGTTACTTTTCATTTTCTTATCCAAAAGAAGGAAGGTTCGAAGTCAGGTTTCTGAACATGCATACCGTAAAAGTCCGTAAATAAGTACCTGCCCGAAAGAAATACCCCCTTCATTCTTTTGGCTCTGTCTGTTGAAGTCAAGTCAAGCCCGATAAACATACTGCCCGATATATAAGTACCAGTACGGTGCGCACGTGCAGCACGTAGCATGTACATTGACATGAAAATGACTTCTCCACTACACGCAAGTCAGGTCCGAAAGTTAGTTCGCGCCCGAAAGTCAGTACCCGCCCGAAAGTTAGTACGGGTGTGGTCACTAAATTCGAAAGTAGATACGTACTTATTTACGGACTTTTACGGTAGTCTCAAAATCTACTTCTTTTTACTCTGGAAATGCATGCCAAGAGCATGAAAAGACGTGAATGGTAACAAAAAAGTGAAATAGCACTGCCTTTCCACAGTTGCCTTCAGAGTTAGCACATAGATAATGCATGCATAAATAATTGTTCTTCATGAGAAGACGTGTATAAGTAGAATCTTAGAGCGTTCGTTAAGATTAGAATTACAAAATTTGTAGAAGGGTTCCATTTGGAGTGTTCATCGCAGCCCTACTTTAGTAGCTCTCGATGAAGGGCTACACTTGTTTCTTTGGCCCAGCCGTCTATTGCAGTTGATGCTACCCAGTCCCCTCCTTTGCTGAATTACGTTTGAGCAGTCCTTTTGTGAAAGCAGCCTGGTTTTCATGTGGATAGATTTTTCAAAGCTATTGTCATTTCTTACCGTTCTCGTGTGTTTATTAATCCCGGGCATTGTTTTCACCCTTTAACACGGCAAGATTCTACAGTCAGACCTCGTTTATCCGGTCCTCGTTTATCCGGATCCCTCGCCATCCGGAAGAAAATCGCTGGTTACCGATGTGCAGCATATGTTATGCATACAACATAACCGGACCTCGCGATCCGCATACCGGTGCATGATTTTGTGTACAAACTGGTTAAAATGTGTACCAAATGCTTCGTCGTATCCGGTTGCATGTGGCTGGCTAGCACTTGCAGAAGCTAGTATCAAGGAGTTGTACAAGCAAATGAGGTCCTTGACCTGCTGGGTGTGTGCGGACAGCACTCAGTTGCATGCACTTGTCATTTTTCTCGCTTGTTTTACATACTGGGCACGCTACATACTGCATAACACCTGTCTACATGTATGTATGATGTCACTGCTTTTGACATGCCACATGCATGTACAGTATGTGTGTTCAGTTATCCGGTTACCTCGCCTATCCGGATGTTTTTGTGGAAAACAGATGTGTGCGGTTAAGCGAGGTCTGACTGTATTCAACAGAGGCCTCCGCATGTCATCAGTAGGGAGGTTTAGTCTAGTGTTGAAAGGATCTCACTGGGTACTCGTTAGCTCGCTCGCCAGAAACTCGGCCCGTTTGTGTGTCAAGCTCGCTTGCACTAATGAGCACCATATACGTTACAGCATGCACATTACAGTACAGTCAGTGCATCTAGTGAATCGCCGTTCGAGCGAAAGTCATGCTTAGTCGTTTTGGAAGTTTTTTCCCGTAATGCAGCGAAGAACAGGGCTACTTTCAATCTTTGAAAAACGGTCTTTTCTTATAATGGCGGCTCAACGAAGGTGCAGAAAAGACATCTCGACACCAAATACCTGTCGGAAGTGAAGCCAGTCAAAATCAGCAGCAACCCCAGCGCTGGTGGGGAAATTCAAAGCAGCTGGATTTAAAAAAATCATCTTTGCCACATCAGTGAAACTCGTTAGTGGAACTGTTCGCTCGTTTGTTATACATGTAGATACGCTCGTTTCAACACTAGTTAAGTCTCACATAATCCGTGTGTACTTTACGTGTGTGTACCACGTGATACTCGGTGACCCACGTACAGACGTTTTCTGGTTTACGCCATACCGTGTATGGAGGCTCACCCACGTACAGCCGCTTTCTGGTTTACGCCATACCGTGTATGGAGGCTCACCCACGTTCCGCTAGAACGTGGGTGAAAATCAGAATGGAGCGCATTGTGCAAGCTGTGAGGGTGCTCAGCTGAAGAAGTTTCCGAAGCATGAAATGAAAATATTCGATGAGCTTCGAAGCTTCATCTTTGGCTAAGTTTGGGCCTTTCGCTTCATACTAATGTTAGTTCCGTGTGACTAAAAACAACATTGCAAATGTGGGTCCATTGCGTGAACTTTACGTGTATCACCCACGTTCCCGTATCCGTTACGTGGGACTAAACCTCTCTAGTGTTAGTGACCGTGCGCCGTTCAAGAACAATCCGTAGCACAGCCCCCGCCATCCTGCATGCATGCGATTTGGTCGTCCTCACTGTCCTCACTGGGTCAGCTAATTTCTGTGTTAAACTGTTGGAGCAGGGCTAACATAGCAGGAGACTGTGTCTAGGTTGCATGGTTATGGAGGAGAGACCGTGTGTCGTATGGTAGTGTCCAGGAGCAGGATGGCGTGGTCTGGATCATCCGCTTCAATTCCCAAATTGACTTTGTATGGGTGTGATCTTTCCATGCTGCTGCTGTTGCTGTTGTAAAGGGACCGTGACTGAGGCGAACCGTGTGCGCAAGATCGAGGCAATCATCAAGGGATTCAACCAGATCATGACTGCCAGCCGCGGAGAGGTGTTATGCATGGTTACCACAGCAACGGTAAGCTTGATCTGATCAGCAGGATGTGTGATTGTGTGTGTGTTTGTGTGCGTGCGTGTGTGTGCGTGTCCTCAACGGCAATGGGCAAGTTCAAGGTGTGTGTGTGCGGTGTGTGCCCGTGGGTGGGTGTGTCTGTGCGTGGGTGTGTTGCAGCCTCAGCTGATTCTGCTGGCTGGGATTCCTAGCTGGTGTGGGCTGTAAAGTGGTGACAAGACCTAGTTACATAGCCTATAAAGAAGAGAGTTCAACTCTGCAGCAGCTGTCTCCAACAGCACGAAAAAAGAAATTGTGCCAAGCTTAGTTCGCATGTCACTGGAATGGCAACGCCAATGGGCATTGGTGTTGTTTTGTCCTCCGTATTATTTTCAGTCTCCGCCAAGGAGAGTACTCGCTTCTTTTTTGCGAGAACTGTTCGCAATCTCTTGCCCAACTGTCTTTTTTATTTTATTTTTTACAGAAACCTGACCAGAAGGTTCTCGACCAGATCAAGACCATCTTGGGTGGTTTTGTCAGGAAGGACCAGAAGGTTGTCATGGACGTCAAGGTAAGCACTGGAACGATCTCTGCTGTCTGTGCGGCCTTGTATTCTCTAGTGCATGCATTCACGTGTGTCTGTTTGGGGGGGGGGGGGGGGGGGGATTTCTATGCAGACCTTTCTGCGCATGGCCGAACCAGGATTTCAGTGTACCCCAAACTTTGAGCACTGTATGACATGTATTTTTAGGTGTAGTAAAATTTCAGTATCAGGGACCTGCTAGGTTTCGGCAAGAGTACATAACCCCCAGAGTGTGCAACGCCTGATCCAGCTCTGCATAGGGTCTTGGTCGAGCGGAATCGGATCTTTGCGTCATAATACCGTACACATCTGAGGGGAGCCCGGGGACTCGCGGGTGCTCTTGGATCAAAAACAATGGTACCCTGCCTCGAGACCGGCCTTGCGCTGGTATGAAGTGTACGCATGACATCAGAAGATCCGATTCCGCTCGACCAAGACCCTATGCAGAGCTGGATCGGCGTTGCACACTCTGGGGGGGGGGGGGGGGGGTTATGTACTCTTGGTTTCAGGTGTGAAGTGTAGAATTACAATGTTGATGACTAGCACTCCCTGCACCTACAATGCATACTCCAGTGCCATTTAGGTGCAATCTAAAATTTAGGTGTCTGGTGTCTCTACCGATTCTTGATTTGAGTTGAATGGTGGTGGCGTTCCTACGGATGCGAAAAACTCGGCCTCTAGCCGAGTCTGACGCGAGGTGTGGCATTTTTCTCTGCCGAAATTTAAGTTGCACCGAAAATAATGTGTACAGATGCCTGTGATATGCATGGTGTGTCCACATGCTGCACAGTGTTTACAGAATCCTGCACCTGCCAAAGTAGACTTCATTCCTTGGGAGTAATTTAGTAGATTTTGAAGCGAAGATCAGCCGAATGGCTTTTGGTTTGCTATCATTTATGTAGTTTTAGCAGATATGAACTTGACATGTGTTCGTGTTTGTCATGTATGACTCGACCTTGAGTACACCCGTTGAAAAGGACAATGCAGCTGCTATTGCGTCGTGGTTTTGTGTTTAGGCTACTCGTTCACCTACTCGTTCTACTTGTCTTGTTGGCGTGTTTGCGTGGTGCTTGATCTGTAGGTTAATCCTGGCCTTATCGGGGGCATGGTTGTTGAAGTTGGAGATCGCTACTGTGACATGTCGGTGGCCACCAAAATCCGCCGCCTTTCTGAATCCCTCAATGCCGCCGTGTAGACGCACGCTTTTCGCTCAGTATTTTTAATTCGGTTGTCGCTACATCTGCATTGTACATAACTTATTGTCAAATTATTAGAGGCTAATTTTTTTGGTGTTTTGTATACATGTGACAAGGGCTTCTCTGTCTTTCGCTGTTTAGCTTCTATGGTTTATGTCTGTGATATTGGCCACACCTCTCTGCCCAATAGGAAACGTTTGAGTGGATTTGCTTGTGTGCTGAATTTAAAACAATATACAGTGAAGCTTGTCTGGACGACTGCTCAAGGGACTTTCAAAGTGTGATGTCTGTAACCAGGTGGTCTCCTTATGCAGTGCCATTTGACTGGAAATAGCATCCCTTGGTCGTGGCTGCAGTGATGGTTTTCTGGGACAGGTGTCGATCCCTTGTAACTACGAATGTACTGAGTCTGCCTTGGACATGGAAATCCGGTCGAATGGCCGCCGATTGACCCGGGCGGCGGCGCACCCTTATTAGTGCGCATGCACATGTTGATCGCATGTGTACTCGCGTCTGTATGGCCGGCCAGCGAGCTGGGACCGCTTTACTTGACCTGCGACTGGATTTCCATGTCCATGACTCACGCGCGATCACGAGTGTCGACCGCTTCCAGCAACAACATACCAGCGGCCTGTGTCTGTATGCAGGAGTGTTGCAACACCTGATCATTACCTTGCGATCTGGTATTGGTAATCAGCAAGGGAGTCGTTTGTACGACTGACTCCCTACTACCCTAGGTCCCTTGTGTCAGCATGAGCGCATAACGCTAGCTCTTGGTATCATGACCTGAAATGGCAAGTTTACCCGTATTGTAAACAGTACAATTATATTGAACTCGGATGGTGAGCCAATATAATATGATGAAGAAAGGAAAAGGGCAAAATGTTACGAGTTATGACAAACTGTCCACCAACCTTTTTAGGGAAAGTGAAGTGAAGGTCAACATATGTACATGTATAATAAATGTAGTAGCCTCAGGATTTATTGCAATTACATACCAGGTATAAAAACCTCGGCGGACGTCGGTTTTTGTACTGGTATGTATTTGCAATAAATCCTTCGGCTCTACATTTATTATATACATAAACTGACCATATCAAGACTGATTTTTCAACCCTAAACTCAGGAATATTGTCAAAACACAATTCACAATAGCATTGGCGCCAGGAAGGAAGCAGTAGACCGAAAACCTCCTTACAAAATTATGTTCTTGGCATGTTGTACTGCTGTTTTATATGCAGTCAATATACTTGTTGCATACTCCAATTGGGACCTGCGCTTTATGGACATTATTGTCAACGCTGCTTTATTTGGGATTTCCACTTTTACCCAGAATCAGCGCGTCGGTGATCCAGCCAAGCAGTTTGTCTTCCCTGCTTGCCCTCAGCACCCTCAGTTGTGTGTGAATGCTCTAAGGCAGTATTCTGCTCGCAAGAGAGAGTTTCCGCCTGCTGCTGTCGCTCCGATGTCCTCACAAGCCGGTCTCACCGAGCACCATTGCCGCTGAGGTGGCTCCTCACTTCCATGTAGGATGCTGGTGTGGACACCATCGTTTTTCAAGGCGCATTCCACACGTAGTGCGGCCACCTCCGCTGCCTGTCGGGAGGGAGCCTCTGTACCCGACATCCTCAGGGCCACCGCCTCTACATTCCAGAGGTTTTATTCTCGTGATGTTTCACCCTGCTCCTTCTGATGGCACCACTTTCGGTGGGCAGTGTGATAGTTTCTTGTTTCCGCTCAGGGTGCGGAACCGACTTTAATAAGCAAGACATCGTTATATCTCACCGGAAACTCCGACATGCAATTTCCCATTTCACAAGCAATGGAAGATTGTGTAGTGAAGTGGGAATTGTATAAGGAGTTGGAGGTGAGATATAACTATCATTCCCTCCCACCCACCCTGTTTGGGTTTGTTCTCCATGAAAATAGGCCTGAAGGGCCTTGGATGAGCTGCATCAAGTACAGCTTCATTAGAGTATTGAACTAAAAAAAATGCTGTGTTCGAGCATGAAATCGCGTAAATCGCGAGGGCTAGACATAGTTATATCTCACCTCCAACTCCTTATACTGTACAATTCCCACTTCACTACACTTCCATTGCCTGTGAAATGGGAAACTTTACTTGACACTTGTCTTGACTGACTCACGACTGCCATCCAGAGCACACGAGAAGTCCATCGAACCTTCGACTCGGCAAACCTGCCGCAGTGCAAGAAAGCACCACTCCCTGCTCAATACACAGTGTTTCGGGCCTCAGCCTACTCAAGCTCAACTGATGAGGGGTGAATTCCCCGAAACACTGACGGTGTATTGAGCAGGGAGTGGTGCTTTCTTGCAGGTTTGCCGAGTCGAAGGTTCGATGGACTTCTCGTGTGCTCTGGATGGCAGTCGTGAGTCAGTCAAGTACTTAAGTGTCAAGTAAAGTCGGCGGAATAGCGCGAGCTCCGGTGTGGGGAGCAAACCCTTTCTTAAAAATCATCGCCGAAGTCGCAACCACTACCGTAAAAGTCCGTAAATAAGTACGTATTTACTTTCGAATTTAGTGACCACACCCGTACTAACTTTCGGGCGGGTACTGACTTTCGGGCACGAACTAACTTTCGGACCTGACTTGTGTGTAGTGGAGAAGTCATTTTCATGTCGATGTACATGCTACGTGCTGCATGTGCGCACCATACCGGTACTTATTTCAGGCAGTATGTTTATCGGGCTTGACTTGACTTTAACAGACAGAGCCAAAAGAATGAAGGGGGTATTTCTTTCGGGCAGGTACTTATTTACGGACTTTTACGGTACTTCGTATTAAATTTTTGATAGGGCAATCCCCACAGTACAGGCCTAAGGCCTTCTTACAGGGTACCCTAAATGTGCCATACAAGGTAACGGAAGCGAGAAACAGATGCAGATGTGCAAAGCTAAAGCAGTAAACGTAAAGGCGAAAAAAGATCAGCATCTAGCATAGCGCTAGCGCCTAGCCCCCCCCCCCCCGAAAAAAAGAAGAAAAAAGCGTAGCCCGGCCTGGGTCCCGATCCCGTAGCTAGCTTGCAGCTTGCTAGAGCCTTTTTTGTAGAGCTCTAGATGCATGTACCCGCATAGAGAGACGAATACGATCGATCCGAGCGCGCCACGAACCGATGCAGCAAAGTTTTTCAAGTGAACAAGACAGTACGAGTACTAACATGTTTTTCGATTTTGACAGCATGTTATAAGGCGAGGACGCGTAGTGCTCCTGACTACAACCATTATTATTATTATTATTATTATTATTAAATTTTGAATAGGGCAGTCCCACAGGCCTAGGGCCTTTTTACAGGGTACCCTATGAATTGTTGAATAGATGAACGGAAGTTTCTGACCATAACCATGATAACCCGGTTGGCTGGTTGTAGTCAGGAGCACTACGCGTCCTCGCCTTGTAATCATGGTAATACAATGTAAGTCAGTCGTAGAATTTATTATTTTGATATACTGTATTAAAAAGCAGAAATTTTCGGTGGTGTAATATTTTCGGTATTCGCCAAAATCGGCGGTTCGGTAGCGGGAAATTTTCGGTAAAACCCGTTCTCCAGGTAGGTGTACTAGTACTACATGTATACAGTATCGGTTGTACCGAAAATTTCGGTGCGTTTTATTTGCGGTAAAAATTGTCGGCACCGAAGTTACCGAAAATAAAACACCACCGAAAATTTCTGCTTTTACAGTAGGGAAGACCCTACAGACGTCTACAATTATAGACGTACGTAGACGTTGCCGCCTTGTGGCCCTCTGCAGACAACGTACATAGAACATCCAGTACAAAATCACATAAAACCTAAAACTGTAAAAGACAACATTTTTCCATGCCATGCCTGCATTCAGACTACACATTTTACATGGAATATACAAGCAACCTTTGACCCTACGAAATGGGAGGTATGCATCAAGATGGCCGTCACCTTTTTGCGGGGCAAGTTACCCTATATTTGGCAGGTACAACCCGTTATAGTACAATTTTGAGTATGACCTCACAAAGTTCATGACCTTTTAAGTTTTATCAAGAGTAGATACTCTACTCTTGGTTTTATGCAGAGCTGGTATTACCATGATTACAGTGTGTACGTACGGTTGTAGTGGACTTGCCCCGCAAAACCTTATGGCGGGAAATGGATGCATACGTCCGCAATTGCGCAATGGGACGTATATACGCGTATGCATCCATTTCCCGCCATAACGCGTGTTTTGGCTCCAGATTTCTACGCGGAGATGAGGTTCTCTACGTACGTTGTGGCTTGTGCAGTTGTGGCACACGCAGAGAAAATGCGTACGGATTTGCTGAGTATCGATCAGCTGCATGCAGAAAACCGCCAAATATGGAAGGGGAAATTCCCAGTACACATTCCACGTGACTTCTCTACGTGAAGCGTAGAGCAGAACAGGATTTCCTTACGTTACCTGGTTACGGGAACGTCGAACGCGAAGAGAGTTCGCGTGATCCTTTGCGTCGCGTTCCCGAAACGTAGAGCAGAACCTCCCTACTGTCTCAGTGTCTGTCATCTTCACCGCTGCACAGTGCACTATCTGTAGAGTCGACTTCATGATTCAACTATTTCAAGTACATACTGTACTTGACGTAATCAGTATAGACAGGCATGCAGCAATATTAAAATTTAATGCCAATATAAATGCCAATATAAAATTTAATGCCAATATAAAGCACCCAGGCCAGGCCAGCGAGATACAATACTCTCGTACTCTTGGTAGAAGCTTCAACAGTTATTATTTTCACAAGGCGCTCAGCACAGCACTTCTGAGCTAGAAAGTCTTCTCTTTTGTTGTTGTTTTTCTTTGGTGGACAGGTTTCAGTGTGAGTGTCATCCAGGCAGTGTCATGACCAGATGACAGGCGTTTGATATTGGATTGCCTGAGTTAGTATTTTGTCAACACTTTCGAATCCGAGTAGAAGTAATCAGTTTGTTTGAATTAGCTAGTCATTTTTGATCGACGTCAAGGAATAGCATTACCTTTGTGCTGTTTACTTCGACTAAGCATCAAGTCAACGCACCAGAAAAAGGTTAGTGTAACACAGTTTCTCAGTGGAGTAATGAATAATAGAATACACGCCACTGGTTTGATTGCTCTACGATTGGAGTATTTTTTAAATGTAATAAATTATTCAGTGCCTGGTGCTTGGGCTATTTGATGAGGTGAGATGCGAGAATTTTCAGATTCAGCGCAGGTCTGGTGCATTTCCACATGCCATCTGTTAGTTTGCCACGAGGAGAAGTGTCCACGCCACTCTTCATGACATAACATACGAAAAAAAATCTGCTGTTGTACACTATATTGGCCTTTGTCTGGGCAGAATATTTAGAACTGTCCTTGATCCATTGCACGCGAAGTCAAGCCCTATGAGGCCACGTGCATGGTTTCTGCGTGTTTGAATTCTCCCCCGCCCCTCCCTCGCCTTGTCTCGAACACCTGCCATGCCTAATCACATCATGCCAGTGAAATGAATATGTGGCAGTTTAATCTGGCTGTCCTGACTGCCTTGTGGCAAGTTCAAGCTGATTTTTGTCCCATCCCTCGTAAGATGCTTGCTGTGCTGTGTGCACTGTATTACCGCACACACACGCACACATGCACACACACACACACACACACACACACACACACACACACACACACACACACACACACACACACACACACACACACACACACACGTGCGCGCACACAAACATACACACACATACACACACATACACACACGCGCACGCACGCACACACACTGTACTGTACTGTACTTGTTGCTCACTGCCAAACCTGGTCACGTGAGTCCCCCCCCGGGAGAGGGGAGAGAGACTCAAAAGGAATCTTGGAAAGATGACTCAATTGGTTATTGAACCGCCCAACGGCCGACACCCGGTGAAATCCCCGAAACTCTGGGTGGACTTGAAAATGATCCCACTTATGGGCTCACCACACCTCAGTAAGTGGGTGAGGACAAGGTGCAGAAAAAGGATTGACGCCATCAGGTATCCGTCCCGGGATCCAACTGCAGTTACCCCTGCCCCCAGTGAAGGTAATATTTGCTACTAGTGTGAGTGGCTAAATCAGAGTGGATCTGATAAAAGCTTCACTAGCACCATTGATTACACAAGAGTTAATCTAGCCAGAAGCAGTCCATGGTTAACAGGTATGTATACTTCAAATAGAAAGTATATGAACCCTGGAACCAACAAAGGTGGCAGGTACAACCAAGAGTACATAACCCCCCAGAGTGTGCAATGCCTGATCCAGCTCTGCATAGGGTCTTGGTTGAGCGGAATCGGATCTTTGCGTCATAATACCGTACATATCTGAGGGGAACCCGGGGAGTCGCGGGTACTCTTGGATCAAAAACAATGGTGCCCTGCCTCGAGACCGGCCTTGCGCTGGTGTGGAGTGTACGCATGACATCAGAAGATCCGATTCCGCTCGACCAAGACCCTATGCAGAGCTGGATCGGCGTTGCACACTCTGGGGGGTTATGTACTCTTGGTACAACATTACACCTTCAAGCAGCCGAGCCTGTTGGCAACAGACCCAACACAATCAGGCATAAGTGTACCTACCAACCGAACTAGCTGGCACACATACACATACATACACACACACACACGTACACACACACACACGTACACACACACAGGCACACACCCACCACACACACACACACACTCATACTCATTCTCCTGCCCATCGCTGAAGCACACGCTATTTTTAACTTGTGCTGGGATTACACCATTCGAACAGGTTGATGAATTGACCGCCACTAATTTTTAGCCTGGTCTACACCACACACACACATACACACACATGCACCCCACACCTACACCCACGCACCCCTACGCGCACCCCACACACACCTACACCCACGCACCCCCACGTGCACCCCACCCTCTCCCCACGCAAACAGACCAGTAGTTAGTCTGCTGAGCCATGATAGCTATCATTTCTGGAGCAGCGCAGGCATGCGAACCTCTCCCAAGATTTACACTCTCTCTTTTTTTTTTACACGGAGAGGTACTTTTTTCAGGGGCAGGGGAGCAATCCTATACACAGCATGCCGGCTTTTGCGAGCTTTGCTCTTTCTGTTTCCAATTCAGTGCATCCAGATTGCCTGCATGCACCACATCCAGTTCTCTGCTCGGTGCCCCGCCAGCTCTCCGCCCCAAAGCATTTTGATTTTCACACCAATAAAAGCGTTGGCTTGCACGTCAGCAGGACTAGCGGCGCCCGATTTGGCGCAAATTTTGGTGTCCGCAGCCCCTTATAAGGCTTGAAAGTGATGACGTCAAAAACGGCCAGGGAGTACTAAGTTGACATCAGATTTCTATTTTGGATCCACTAAGGTGTGACTTTGCTATTGCCTCAGTATGTGGGTGCATAGCAACCCACTCATGTCGTATGCAGGGGTGACTTTTACTTCGCCACCAGTTGTAACCCCGCCCCCAGTAGCCAAATCAGTCAGTTTCACTGGTTACATCACCTTGCTGTGAGTAAGACGGCTTGAAATGTGCTTGGATCCATACAAAAACTGGATCCAAGTGGATCCAATTTTGAATTTTTGAAATTGTTGCTATGCTGTGACGTAGCACTTTCAAGCCCTATTAGGGACTCCTTTGCCATATCTGTCGAGACAGATCCCCCAGCATCATATGCAGAGGTTCCATGTTTGAATTTCTCATTAACTCTGATCTCCGAGCTATGGGTACGTACACGGTGCTGTGCATGGCGTACTGTAAAACATGTAATTTTAGGTGCATCAAAATTTCGGTGGCAGAAACCTGCCAGGTTTCAGGTGTAATTTAGAATAGGGCTTGAAAGTGATGACGTCAAAACAGCCAGGGAGTAGTAAGTTGACATCAGATTTCTATTTTTGGATCCACTAAGGTGTGACTTTGCTATTGCCTAAGTATGTGGGTGCATAGCAACCCACTCATGTGGCATGCAGGTGTGACTTTTATTTCGCCACCAGTTGTAACCCCGCCCCCAGTAGCCAAATCAGTCAGTTTCACTGGCTACATCACCATTCTGGGTAAGACCGCTTGAAATGTGCTTGGATCCATACAAAAACTGGATCCAAGTGGATCCAGTTTTTGAATTTTTGAAATTGTTGCTATGCTGTGACGTAGCACTTTCAAGCCCTATTAGGTGACCAGCGTTCCCTTCACATACAGTGCATACTCTAGTGCCTTTTAGGTGTAATTTAAATTTAGGTGCCTGGTTTCTCTACCGAAATCACCGAAATTAAAGTTACACCGAAAACTACATGTTTTACAGTATTTCCTTTGTTACGTAGTGCAATTTTTTTTTTTTTAAGTGCAATGATGCTCAAGCTGAGCAGATTTTGAATTTCCTATAGTTAATGCGCACCGATTTCACACATAAAGACCCGAAGTGGGACCTTCGCCCTTTGACTCAGCGCCCACAACTCTATGCACCCTGAAGCTTTGATTTTTGGGTGCAGTTTTCCTACGATATCACTTTCTGCTATGCGCCGTGCGATATACCACACTTGCGACAAGGGAATGCCTGTTGCGCACTGTCGCATGCAGTCGCAAGGCCACTGTCCCAGAAGTTGACCGAAGTTCAACTTTGTGACGCGCGGGGCATACGTAAATTGAGCCCAGTGATCTACCGTGTGTGCACGTGCAGTGCATGTGCATGGTGAATCTCTGCGTGGTGGTCGCAGCTCGTCACAGGTGTCGCACAATACCCTTCCAAAGTCGCCGAAAACACACTTGGAGGCTGGAAACGGCAGCGGATCAACAGTGATGCAATGGCCCTGCTGGCACCCAGTTCGTGGCTACGTAATCCACGCCAGACCCCATTTGCAGAGTTGCATACTCTTGGAGTTACAGACTCTTGATTTTATGTACATTGACATCTGGGGAAAGCGTGCATACAGTATGTCCGTCAACATGGTATGTGTGGATCTGGTGGCTGTGGGCAATAAGCACTTTAGGGGTGCTGGCCCAGCAGTCGATCAGCCGATAATATCATCGCCAACAACTGTGCATGATGGTTATGCGGGAGTATTTTGAGCTTGGAAGGTGTGTACGTGTTGTTCGTCATGTGTTGTTGTTGTTGTTGTTGTTGTTGTTGTTGTTGTGCAACAGGCTGTTTGTTGTTGTCTCCCTGCGGTGAACTCAGCGGTGCAGCTGGCGCGGAAAGCTGTGAGATTAGCGTATGATGGCGTCGGGACATGATAATGCCAGCGCCCTGTTTACCGGTATGCACAGCGGTGGCATGCCAACCATCAGCACCAGCAGCATCGGCGGAGGTGTCGGTGGTAGCGTGGCTACAGCGGCGAGCCTGCACAATGGTATCCTGTCAGGCAGCGGTGGCATGCTGCACAGCATGGCCCAGCTTGTCCCCGCCGGCAGCCCGCTGCCCACCGGAACTGCTGCTGCTGCTGCTGCTACTAGCGGCGGCGGTGGCGTGCATGCCGGGCAAGCAAGTATGGCGAGCAGCACCATGATGGTCAACACTGGCCTGGCTAATGCTGTTGCCAACGCCTCATCCATGGTTAATAGCTGCGGCGTTGGCTTGCCTGGACGTGGTATAGGCAGGGGCCGGGGTGGTGCTCCTGCTCCTGCCGCTGTCGGGGGTATGATCAACGGTCTACCGAGCAATCCTGTACTGGTTCCCAGCGGTCAAGTGAATGGATTTCCGAATGGTCTGCTTTCCGCCAGTTCCTCAGATGTGAGTTTCTAGCTCTAGGTACATTCTCAATGAGCCTGGCCTCGATCTATACAATGTATATATACAATGTATATATACAATGTATATACAATGCATGTTGCAGGATCTAGTACACTCGGATGTCTCTTATCCGGGCACCTTGGGACCGGGCACTGCCCATATCTCAAGATAACTCATCTACCATGTATCATAATAATCAATTTTTGAAGAAGTTTATTTGGAAAACATTGCACATGTTCAGGTTACAGAAAGAATCCATTGATATAAATGTGTGGACTTCACAGGTTGGCAGTGACAAATATGCACTTGCGCATACGAAAAAAGTTCAAACCCCCAAATTCAAAGCATTTTGCCATATGAACTCAAGTTGAAGGTGCCTGGTAGAGAGACGTGCCCGTATCAGAGGTGTCCGATAAGAGGCGTTTGAGTGTACGTCTAAAAACGGTTGAGCGACTTATAAGGTACAGCTTTAGTGACTTATAAGCCTGCACGGGTTTGCAAGGCAATTTGTAGCGATCACCGTTTCATGTCAGAGCAGAATGCATGCATATCACATGGCGCTATGCAGAATGCGAGCTTGTGATCTTTTTAGTGGTGCGACCAAGAGTACATGAAAACCAGAGTGTGCAGCCTGGGGCCTTTTCCACTATGGGTGTCTGTCACAGCGGTGGAGCCTTTTCCACTATGGGTGTCTGTCACGGCGGAATTCCGTGATTACATCATATTTGACGCAGATCTGAGGCGGGAAATGGCATAGTGCGTACAACTGAGATGCAGTTGTGCAGAAAGAGACCTGCTTGAATCCTGCTTGTACGCGCTACATCACTAAAATGATGTAATCACGGAATTCCACCGTGACATCATCCCATCCAAGCTGCACACTCTGGTTTTCATGCACTCTTGGTGCGACTAGCCTTTAGTGAAAACAGTCCTTTCGCTGAAATTTCGCTGCTGTTAAAGGGGAAGTTAAGGCAAAAATCAAAATTTCACCAGTTGTAGTCTTCGGGGTGCTGAGTCGAATGGTCTTGGTCCGAGAAAGCTGAGACGCTCCCTTCCTACTTGAATCCCAATCGAACTCGCGCACTTCCACCGAAACTGGGTGACTGCGCCCTACTAGATGGGGATTTGTATGCAAAATGTCACTAAAGGCGCCATTTCGTTCTTATAAAAGCACGGATGACCGCGATTGGCCCATATGTTGTAGTCTTTTGGACGCTGAGTCGACTGGTTTTGGTCCGAAAAGGCTGCGATGCAGCGTTCGGCCCTTATTCCCAATCGAACGTGGTTGAACAAGCGGTCACGTGCTCCTGGGTGCCCAAATCACCTGGTCATCACGCCAGCAGGTGGCTTACTTTCACACCAAGGTTCAACTCGAGTTCAACTCGAGTGACAGGACTGCACCCAAAAAAGGTCAAACAGGCTAGTAAGTTGTACCCTGCAGGCACGGTGACCAGGTGACTGGTGTACGCAGGAGCACGTGACCGCTTGTTCAACCATGTTCGATTGGGAGTAAAGGAGGAACGCTGCATTGCAGCCTTTTCGGACCAAAACCAGTCGACTCAGCGTCCAAAAGACTACAACATATGGGCCAACGCGGTCATCCGTGCTTTTATAAGAACGAAATGGCGCTTTTAGTGACATTTTGCATACAAATCCCCATCTAGTAGGGCGCAGTCACCCAGTTTCGGTGGAAGTGCGCGAGTTAGATTGGGATTAAAGGAGGAAGGGAGCGTCTCAGCTTTCTCGGACCAAGACCATTCGACTCAGCACCCCGAAGACTACAACTGGTGAAATTATTATTTTGATTTTTGTCTTAACTTCCCCTTTAACCCTTTACCATCCGTGCGTACTTGAATCGATCTCTAGAGATCGATGAACATGCATACACTAAACCATTCGTAACTTGATCGATTCTTGTCGTATCTAGGAAGAAGCCGAAGAGCCCAGCTTTCCATTGCATCAATCGGTATAAAAGAGCTGCGATGTCGCATTCGCTCGACATTTCAGTTACGGCAAAAGTCGAATTTCTTTCCGAGTGACTGACCTTGAGCGGGGATTTTCCCCTCTCCTGACATGCTGAGTCACTTTGACATGCTTTGAGCGCGTGGGCAGCATGAAAAGAAAGCAAAAAATTGGAATGTTTACGATGAAGGAGCGAGAAATGGCTGGCGAGGAGAGAATTTCCTCGTATATCCAGCGATGGGGTGTATTTGAAGCTCCCTGACGCTGGATACGCGATCTCGGTAGTGTCCTGTTTGAGCTCAATGTACGCAGCTCGTGGAGAGCTTTCCAGAATGCCCAAGATTGTGAAAAATGGTTGATTGGAACCGAAGATATTCTCAGAATAAGGTGAGAATTATTGCATTTGGGACTGCTGGGGAAATTTGGTCGGATGGTAAAGGGTTAAGAAGTAATGAAGTGGCTACAGTGGAGCTTCCGTACATTAAAAGTGGCTAAAATTGCAATAAAAAGAATTTTTGTGCCGTCATGTCCACGCACACAAAGCAACGTAGCAAGGTTTGTATCCAGAGTTAAAATTAGCCGTTTTGCTGTAGTTAGTGTGTTACACTCTCACATGTCAAGACAACCTTTGCTTTGTTCCTTTGTGTTTATGTACACGGTTACATTTTTGGTGGCCTTGTGCACTAGGACGCACACATGCACATGCTCTCTCGCGTGCGCACACATACACACACACACACACACATACACCATTTGACCATGCTACAGCAGAAGCCATAGCAATTTGTGCTGGGATTGCACCATTCAACAGCTTGCAAGGCTGAAGAATTGACCGCCACTATTCAGCCTGGTCTACACCACACAGCTATGAAGTGGCTTTTTTGGCCAGTGAATCCCCACCTTTAGGTCTTTTTCATTTTTTTCCCGCACATACTTCACACCACGTACTCTGGCATGCACTGGCTGTTGGTAACCACCCAGAAGAATGAAAGAAAAGTCAGGAGGAATCTGAGAAAGAGAAGAAAGACGTGTGTGACCATAATCGTCGGGAATCGAACCCGCAACCTATCGATTGGAAATCGCTGCACCACATGGGACACACACACACACACACACACACACACACACACACACACACACACACACACACACACAGCCATACACACATGCAGCCATACACACATACGCACTTGTACGATCTTTCTCTCTTTTTTTCTTTTTCTCTTCTCTCGTGTTCTCCGTCTGTGGGTAGCTGTCAAGTGACCGGTCACCAGTGTTGTTGCCAGACGCGTCATCCTGTCTACTTGCTCCCTCTCTATCGCCTGGCGGTAAGCCCCACATTCCTATGTGACTACCTCAAAGAGAGTGGAGACTTCTCAGCTCTTGGTCTACTTCCATGTGTTTGTTAGCAAGATCTTAGCACTCTCTCTCTCTCTCTCTCTCTCTCTCTCTCTCTCTCTCTCTCTCTCTCTCTCTCTCTCTCTCTCTCTCTCTCTCTCTCTCTCTCTCTCTCTCTCTCTCTCTCTCTCTCTCTCTCTCTCTCTCTCTCTCTCTCTCTCTCTCTCTCTCTTTCTCTCTTTCTCTCTCTCTCTCTCTTTCTCTCTCTCTCTCTCTCTTTCTCTCTCTCTCTCTCTCTCTCTCTCTCTCTCTCTCTCTCTCTCTCTCTCTCTCTCTCTCTCTCTCTCTCTCTCTCTCTCTCTCTCTCTCTCTCTCTCTCTCTCTCTCTCTCTCTCTCTCTCTCTCTCTCTCTCTCTCTCTCTCACTGGAACAGATGCTGGAGACTCTTTTATTGGCACTCCTATTGTTGGATGCTTTTTTGGTGAAATTTCTTTGTGTTGACCCAAATTTCGTTTTATGTATTGCCGAACCTAGACGGTGCGGACAGACACTTCACTAACCAGGTAGCTTAGATTATTCGATTACGATTGTTATACCAAACAGTGTCAGATGTTGTACAGTAATTGCTACGTTTCCCCAAGCTTTGTCTCTATACTGTAATGCCAAACATTCTGCATTAGTGAACGGGCAGCTCCGAAACACGGCAGTTTTGAATAAGCCTTTTGCGCGTTGTACAGATGTACGAAGTTCAGTGCTAGGGCGTAGGTGTGTACAGAACCGATTGGGTGTTCATTGTGTGCTATGCATGCGCATTTGACCAATTTTAGCCTCATAACTAAGGGCAAACAATCCCTATTCCAGCTTCTTCAATTTGGTTAAAACTAATGACTAGCTAGATCTTTGTCAGAAAAGGTTTTCGTTTGAAATGCCTTCAGGGCCCATTTCTTAGTGGAAATAGCAGAAAACACAATAGGGTCCTGCACATTCAACACCCATTAGGTTCTACGGGATTCTACGGGATTTCGTGCATCTGTACAACGCGCAAAAGGCTTATTCAATTGAACCTCATGACACACACCACACCCTGGCAACTGCATACTCGCTGTGGAAACTGATTCGAACGTTACGAGAAACGGGTGTTTTCAGAACTTTTTGGACTCAAAACCCCTGATGAGAAATCTATAATGGACTCGGATGGTCCTTTTTATACTCTGCAGAGAAATCTATAACGTAACGATTACTAGTACAATCTAGTTGTTTGTTAGAAATTATCGATTAATTACTGAGTAATCGGTATAATCGATTCAGCCCTAATCGTTTCCCCTCCATCAACTGCTGCTGCCAAGCACCTGACACAGGAAGCTAGCGTCGAAGCAGAACAAAAGTTCAACTTCTCTTGGTAACAGGCTCCAACGGCGATGTTGTCCTCTGATTGGGAAGCTGGCATTGCTCGTCGGTTAATTCAGGCACGTGGGCGTGGCTCAGCATCATCCTACGGAACTCTTCTTCTTACAAATTGAGGATAAAAGTGAGCGGCGCTGCGACCTTTTTCATTCGAAAAAATACTTCACTCTATCTAGGCTTTCGGAAACAAGGCAAACACACGACCATACGATCGTGTTTGTCGCAGCGGCCTTTACTGGTTTACCTTACTGGCTCCGACACCGATTAGTAGACCACTAGTACATGATGTACCAGTACTCGGGGAAACTTGACGAAACGATGTTGCAAGAATGCCTTCTTTACTTAGTTCTACGTAGACATCGGATCGATCGCGGACAAGACTAGATAGATAGATGATGCGCGACGGATAGAGATTCGTCGCCAGCGTCAGGGTGATTTTTTTTCGCGCTCTTGGCACAACATGGGTACGCCCGTGCTACTATACCGGTCATCTGACTTTGGATATACAGTACCTCGGCTGTAAAGTTTAGATTTTTACAGCCGTTGGAGGTACGCTATACTGAAGTGTCACTGTATGTGCATTGTATTATTGTGTGCGCTACTCCAGGTCTGACCTCTGGTGGTATCCACACTCATGTACGACCAACGGTAAGTGCCGTCTTTCCCCGGTCATCAGACCCAACGGGTAGAACTCCCCGGTTCCGACTTGAATATAACTCGTTATGGAGGCTGGACGTTTTGCACATTTTTGATTTGGGCCATCGGAGATCTTGCAGATGGGCCTGGCACCACTATTTGCTAGCAAGTGATATGCTGTGGTGCAAAAGGAAAGGAATCTGCTCTTTCCTATCTATATCATGGGTATCTCGATGAAGTCACAATTTTTGGCACTATTTAAAAACGTCATGGCGAATTGCATGCTGACCAGCCACCCCAAATGACAATCCCTTTACAATACACGTGAAATCCCTGGGTGCACCACCAGTCCACCACACATGAGAAAAAAGCATTTGCCCCGGTCGGAAGTGTAAGCCGATACAGGACGCATGGTTTTTCAGGTAAACCATACCACGAGTATGAAAAAACACAATAGATTGAGGCGGTAACAAGAAGAAAAGCGTAGATCAGCCGCGTCTCGCAGTCCCTTTGAATGCTTGTTGCCGTGTTGTTGGTGTCCAAGTACCGCTTGTTGATGTCGTGAACACCGCCGTCAGGAACGTTTACATCGACTTTGTACACCGTGCATGCAGAAGGCAAAGTTCGGTCCCTTTCTGCTCTCCTTCATGCGGAATTTTCCCATGAGGACTGCCCCCCCCCCCCCCCCCCACCAGGCGGCAGCGGTATTCAGCTCGGTTCGCAGTGCAATGGCGGTGCAAGCTGGATGTTGTGAGGGTGGGTGATAGCTACACTTGCCTCTCTCAGGGAGACTTCCATTGTTCCAGGAGCTTGCAGGAAATCCCCAGGGCCCCCAGAAGATTGGCCGATTTCCCAGGACCTTCCCCGGGAAACCCAGGAGGCTTGGTCAGTATGGGATTGCAGATGCTGTAGCTTTTTAAAAAGGGGAAGTATACCCTAAAATCAAATTTTCACCAGTTGTAGTCTTCGGGGTGCTGAGTCGAATGGTCTTGGTCCGAGGAAGCTGAGACGCTCCCTTCCTCCTTTATTCCCAATCGAACTCGCGCACTTCCACCGAAACTGGGTGACTGCGCCCTACTAGATGGGGATTTGTATGCAAAATGTCACTAAAAGCGCCATTTCGTTCTTATAAAAGCACGGATGACCGCCATTGGCCCATATGTTGTAGTCTTTTGGACGCTGAGTCGACTGGTTTTGGTCCGAAAAGGCTGCGATGCAGCGTTCCTCCTTTATTCCCAATCGAACATGGTTGAACAAGCGGTCACGTGCTCCTGCGTACACCAGTCACCTGGTCACCGTGCCTGCAGGGTACAACTTACTAGCCTGTTTGACCTTTTTGGGGATCAGTCCTGTCACTCGAGTTGAACTCGAGTTGAACCTTGGTGTGAAAGTTGTCGCCTGCTGGCGCGGTGACCAGGTGATTTGGGCACCCAGGAGCACATGACCGCTTGTTCAACCATGTTCGATTGGGAATAAAGGAGGAACGCTGCATCGCAGCCTTTTCGGACCAAAACCAGTCGACTCAGCGTCCAAAAGACTACAACATATGGGCCAATCGCGGTCATCCGTGCTTTTATAAGAACGAAATGGCACTTTTAGTGACATTTTGCATACAAACCCCCATCTAGTAGGGCGCAGTCACCCAGTTTCGGTGGAAGTGCGCGAGTTCGATTGGGATTCAAGTAGGAAGGGAGCGTCTCAGCTTCCTCGGACCAAGACCATTCGACTCAGCACCCAGAAGACTACAACTGGTCAAAAATTGATTTTAGGGTATACTTCCCTTTAAAGATTGGTTTCTGCTTATACAGTATATGCTGTATATTGTTCTTGTGATGGCAGCTTCCTGATGGTGGTTTAGAGGCAAGTCCGGCAAGCTTCCCATCCTATTCCCGGCAGTTCCCTCAGCTCTTTCCACCGTCCAAGTCACCAACTTGTGCTTTCTCACCTAGCAGCAGCACAGGCTTGAGTCCAAGCCAGCCGTTCCAGCATGCTAATGGTCTTGTCGCTCTAACGCAATCCCAAAGGGGTTCGGTACCACACTCGCCAAGGGACTTGCTGGCACGCTCGCCTAGGGACTTGCTGCAACCACAGCCTCCGATGGAGGGGTTGCAGCAATCCCCCAGCGACGTGTTCCGTTATACAAATGTTCAGCCGTCTCAACTGCAACAACAGCAGCAGCTGCAGCAGCTGCAGCAAAAACAACAGCGACTAAAACAGCAGCAGCAGAAGCAGCAGCAACAACAACAACAACAACAACAACAACAACAACAACAACAACAACAACAACAACAGCAACAGCAGCAACAGCAACAGCAGCAACAACAACACCAGCAACAACAACCACAACAGCAGCAGCCGCAGCAGGAGCAACAACAACAACACCAGCAACAACAACAACAACAACAACAACAACAACAACAACAACAACAGCAGCAGCAACAGCAACAACAACAGCCGCAGCAACAACAGCCGCACCCGCAACAACCGGAACATCAAAAACCACAGCAGTTAAAAGTACAGAAGCAGCAACAGCACCAGAAGGAACAGAAGCAGCTAAAGCAGCAAAAGCAACATCAGCAACAGCAGCAAGACCAGCAGCAGCAGCATAACCAGCTGCGTATCAATCAGATAATGGCTAGAGCGGCATCAGAGCAACGTGCAAACTCAGCCGGGGCCATTTCTCGCGAACTCTACCAGCGCATGACATCACTGGAAAACGGTCAAGTGACATTTCGCGGCGAGGTGAGCGAGGAGCTAGGTCAGTTGCGGTGTGCCATCACCACTCTCCTTCACATGTTCCAGCAGCAGCCACCACCGGAGCAGATCCGGCTGGATGTGTGCAAGGCCGTGAAGGAGATCTCCGTTCAACAGCAGCAGCTCACCGACGCGGTGGAGCAGTCGCGTTCAGAGATGCAAGCTCTGGCCTGCGAGCTGCGTCCAGTGATCGAGTGCTGTCGGCAGATTGCAGAACTGCCCAGCAAGCTGGAGAGCACACGCCAGGAGATGTTATGTCACTATCAGACATGCACAGAGCAGATCAGCACGCTTAATGCCAAACTGGAGCAGAAACCTGCGGCCAGGCCACCGCAGTCGCCTCCTCCGCCAAGCACCAGCGGCAATGCCAACATGTCACCAAAGTCGGGAAGTAGAAAGATGAATGCCACTTTGCGGATTGCACGGACACCCAGCAAGCTCAGTGGTGCTTCGCGGCAGCAAACCGCCCCATCACGCACAGTGCCGACCCCCAGCGACCTAAGCAGAGGCTCGTCACGGACAGCGTCAACCCCCAGTGACCCAAGAGCAGCGATCACCATGACATCGCAGAACATTTCTGTCGCCGATGTCAAGAGGCCAGAGCTATGTCCAACGCAGCATTCCACTGCTGCGGAACCGTCAGAAGCACCAGCAGCATCACAGCATCAGTCTGATCTTGTGCAGCTGAACAAGATGGACACGCCGGAACGAGGGCAAGCAAGCGTGTCGTATCTTCAGCATCCATTGGGTGGTGTGTGGACGTCGTGCGCGTCTGTGCAATTGCCCTCTTCCGGCAGCCAGACGTCCTCGCCTGTAGACCGTGAGCTGGGGTCCTCGTGCCCGTCATCATCGCCGTCGTCATCGTCGTCGGCATCATCATCGCGCCCAGACACACCTCTATCATCGGCGCAGACAGTTGCCACGGTCACCAGCAGCACCAGCGGTGGCGCAATGCGCAGTAAGCGCGCAGTGAGGAAACGTACAGCTGCCGTTCAGGCTATGCCCGGTGATGTTGCTTTCAAGCGGTCCCGAGATGACATTGCAGCGGATGATGAAGTCAGCAGCATTGCCAAGCGGAAATTCTTTGTGCAGGTGCGTACAGTAGAGCTGGCTGCTACTTCTCTACTGCAGTGTTGTGCTGTACCATGTTGTGCCGTGCTGTGCTGTGCTGTGCCGTGCTGTGCTGTGCTGTGCCGTGCTGTGCCGTGTCATGTTGTGCTGTGCTGTGTCATGTCTTGCCGTGCTGTGCTCTGCCGTGCTGTGTGCCGTGCTGTGTGCCGTGCTGTGTGCCGTGCTGTGTGTTGTGCTGTGTTGCGCTGTGCTGTGCCATGTTGTGCTGTGCTGCGCTGTGCCGTGTCATGCCGTGCTGTGCTGTGCTGGGCGTGCTGTGTGCCGTGCTGTATGCCGTGCCGTACTAGGCTACAGTTCTGCCGGGCGCCGAAGAACGGAGCGCCGGAGAGCGACCAGGGTAGAATTTCACCAAGCACAGCATACCAATGTTTTCACGGTGACTCAACTGTGCATGGACTGTAATCCATGAAAATAAGAACGGTCTAGGCTAGGAGGCTGACCCCCCCCCCCCCCCCCCCCCCCAAGTTCTTCGGCGACCGACAGTACTGTAGGTTGCTGGCAGATAGTGTTCATTTGGTGTCTGCACTGGAGCCTTCGCAGTTTGTGGTCAGTGCATTGACCACCGACGACCTTGCCTCAACCCTAGTTTTAGAAGCTTATTTGGCAAAAGGTTTGGTCCCTGAATGACCTGACTAGCTGGCGGTGTTGTCCCTGGCCACCAGCATGCTACGCGGCTGTCATGTTGTACAGTGATTATGCATTAGGCACTGCCAGTAGTCATGCGGTACAGTGATTATGCATTAGGCACTGCCAGTAGTCATGCTGTACAGTGATTGTGCAGATCTAGAAGGCTGTGTTTTGGACATGGAGTTCTAGACTAGAGTTGCAGTGTAGGGCTATGCACTGACTGCAGTGACGTGTTGTGATGTGTCAGTGGTGGGCCATGGCATCGGCCTGGCCCCGTGACGTGTTGTGATGTGTCAGTGGTGGGCCATGGCATCGGCCTGGCCCGTGTCGTTTTTGCTTGCCCGTCGCTAGCTGCTATTCATTGCTTTGCTGTACCGTAGTTCCATGTTAGAAGCACCACGCCACCCGGGCAGAGTTTGCAATGGAATCGTATGCGATGTGCTAGCTTGATTCTTTGGTGCATTGGGTCTCTTGTGCCGTGCCATCTAATGATGCTATTGCTGCTCGTATCCTGTTCGATTGTTTCTCACCTGTATTAGGATGAGCCGTGCGTAGCTTACAGAAAGAAGTCCGCCAAGTTTGAGCGCTGTCACGAATGCCTCCGCCTGTCTTTACTGCGACCGTCTCCACGGGATCGCGAGCAGCTCATCAAGGAGGTCTGCTGCTGTTTCACGGGTTTCAGAAAGTAAGGCGCGGGAGTACAGCAACTGAGGGATGAATCTCCAAAATATGCTTCGTATTTTCCAGTATGGCATCGCTCTCAATGTCTCAATGTACACTCGTGCTGGATGAAATCCTGCGCAAAAATGCGCATGTGACAGCCGGGATGACCTGGAATTTACTGAGTTAGGGGCCGTTTACATGAGAAAAATAAGCCCGCCTCGATCTGTCACCCAGTCATTTTAGAGCGTGCGCTTATATGGTCAGGCGGGCTTGTTCAGCTCACCTGAGCTGAACTAGCCCTACCCTTGACCCCCGAGCTTATCCAACCCCCAGGGCTTATTTTGTCATGTAAACGGTCAAGAATATAAGCCCTGGGCTTATAAGCGAGTTTTCCGTATTATTCGATTTTGCCTCGTGAAACGGAGAGGATGTCGCCGTGGACAGTGTGTCTCTTTTATTTATTTCTTGGTATGTTTTCTTCTGATTTTTCATTCAGCGGAAGGTCCTAGCCGATCCTTCACCTTCTCGAAAAAATAAGTGACAATTGGAAAGGCAGTAGAAGCCTGAGCCGGCACTTCTTGATTCAAATTTCTTCATACACGAACAGTTACCACTGCGTTCATGTGCGATTTGAAAAGAAAATGCGCGCAGAACTCGCAGTCACTCACCTGAACTCAGCCCTGTACAACCGTCACGTAAACGGTTGAAAAATAAGCCCGAGGCGAATAAGCCTGGGCTTATTTTACTCATGTAAACGGCCCCTTAAATGTGTGAATGTTGCTAGGATGCCCTGAAATTTTACTGTTTTAGTTGTGTGAATGTTGCTGGGTTGCCCTGGATAACGGCTGTGACATTGCTCTCCGATTTTGACTGACAATTGTTATTTCAATGCGTTTGCATAATCAATGGTGTGCTGTCCGTGCAGACTTCGTCAAGAGGGCGATGTCATTGAGCTGGATGGCTACCTAGCACCTGCCGAGGCCCCAGAGAACGTCCTGGCTATTCACCAGCCCACGTCCAACTGTGCTGGTATGTAGCCTTAAGTGAACCGCTAAGTTTTGATATACATATGTACCGTATTTGCCCGATTTTAGGCACTTGATTATAAGTCGCATCCCCATTTTCAGGTCTGAGCCGTAGGAAGTCACACTCAATTGTAAGTCGCACCCCCTTCTTTGCCCTTCTTTGCCCGAGAAGTTTAGTAAAAAGTAGGGCTTAAACGGTCACAACTTTTGCATGACCGGGTATCCTCTTCTTTGCCCGAGAAGTTTAGTAAAAAGTAGGGCTTAAACGGTCACAATTTGTGCATGACCGGGTATCCTCTAAGGGGCCTTGCGTAAATACCGATATTTATTTAGAAACGAAAACTAGTCGTTTCTCTTCAACCCCCCTCCCCCCTCCCTGAGAAACGAACACATACAAATGGTACATAGTATCGATATTTTTGGTCTTTTTTCTGGACATGCTCATGCATGCATAATGTACATCGATATTTTCGAGAAACGAACAGGCGCTCAAACCTCTCCCCCCCCCCCCTCCCCCCCCCCCCCCAAACGACTAGTTTTCGTTTCTAAATAAATATCTATATTTACGGATGGCCCCTAAGGTACATTGACATAAAAACTAGGCTTCCTCAACTTGAAGCCGAATTGTGGTGATGAAGACGGTTTCGTCTTCAGTGCCGAGCCGAAATTCTACAATTTCCTCCCCACTGGATCTACATGTAGCCGTCACTACGTCCTTCTCCAAATCGAAAGCTCCCGTCAATGAGTGAAAAGACATCAGTGTTCATTGCAGACATGCGCCAACAGGTGAGAGTTTCCTGCAGCAAAGAGACCATACCTGAGTACTGTAGGTGTTCAGACTACAGTCTGTATCGGCTATTGAGTGACCGGATATTCACTGGATCTACATGTAGCCGTCACTACGTCCTTCTCCAAATCGAAAGCTCCCGTCAATGAGTGAAAAGACATCAGTGTTCATTGTAGACATGCGCCAACAGGTGAGAGTTTTCTGCAGCAAAGAGACCATACCTGAGTACTGTAGGTGTTCAGACTACAGTCTGTATCGGCTATTGAGTGACCGGATATAAGAATATATCGGCTGCAGTGATATTGGTACGAAATATCAAAAGCAAAACGTATTTTATCCAGTAAAAATATCACTATATTATCGAATGTAATGATATATCGGATATTATGATGGCAATAAAGAATCAAAACATGCATAACACACTATATTATTATCGGCTATAGTGATAACTATACAATACACGTAGCAATAATATCAAAGGCCCTATTTTTATTACTTTCTTCACGTTGCTTATTTTTATAGTGATACATGTACATGTACAGAACGGAATTTTTTTATGGAAATGCAGGCACTGTCAACTATGCAGCATGCTCATTTGTCAAAACGCCATGCTGGAAGTACATGTATTTCCTTGCCTTTCATGTGTCGATCGAAAAAAAAGAAAGAAAATCGATCGTATCACATAATCGGTTATAGTGATAAAATCACGGAAATCAAAAGGGTACGCTATAGCCGATACATACTGTACTTCAGTAGGTGGTGTGTAGGTGTAGAGTGTCAAGAAACAATTGTGCCGTGCACTCCACCACGGCGCCACACCAGTACATCCGTGTGACAAAGTGTTTCTACGTACTGCTCACTTGACTGAAGTCGCAACTGACGGTTAATATAGGGCAAGCCGGTTTCTGGTCACTGGTACGTTTATCTTTTTTTGTGTGCAAAAATACAGGGAATTGTGTGTGTGTGTGTGTGTGTGTATGTGTATATGTGTGTGTGTGTGTGTGTGTGTGTGTGTGTGTGTGTGTAAGTTAGTCCGAGCCACCATCCAATCCTGTTCTCTCCTCTCTTTGTTTTCTCCCTTGTCTTGTCTTGTCTTGGCACAGTCTTCACCGACGTGGAGGCAAAGTTTGTGCTGTCCTGCATACAGCAGTCATTCTCGCGTCTCTGCAGCGAGGAAAGCAGCTACGTCATGGGCCTTTCCAGTGAGTTCACACCGACGGCATTTCACCAACCTACCGTAACGGTAGAGTTTGTTGGAGTGATTGTCACCGCCATAGTTGTTTGTTTTGCATTGAATGGTACGCCCGGCCCGTGTGTGACATTCCACTCTGTGCAAAGTACCTCAACCGATGATGTTACTTGATAGACTCCATACCGTATGTGCTTCTGGTTAGGTTTGTTTGAAGAATACGCTGTTCAAGAATCTCGTGTTTCAGTCAAGCCATATTTGAGTCTCCTCCGTTAATGTTTCATATGCGTGGCTGGTGTTCCTTCTTTGGAGGGAGCATGCCTCACTATATGCATGCCTGTATCTGTATAATATGCATGTGCGATGTTATAAAACATGATGTTATGTTTCTCTCTCTCTCTCTCTCTCTCTCTCTCTCTCTCTCTCTCTCTCTCTCTCTCTCTCTCTCTCTCTCTCTCTCTCTCTCTCTCTCTCTCTCTCTCTCTCTCTCTCTCTCTCTCCTTTCCTTTCCTCCTCTCTGCCTATGTCTGGGTGTGATCTGACAGCTGCATGGAAATACGGTCCCAAGTGCCGCGAGATGTGCGACTCTTGTGCCACAACGATCTTCAACGTGCACTTTGTGTGCCAGATATGCGGCTTTGCCGTATGCGCAGCATGCTGGAAGCACAAGAATGAACAGGGTAAGGTAGTTCAGGATATTACACTACCGTAAAATTCCGTAAATAAGCCCCGGGCGTATACTTTGCAGAGCGTCAAAAAACGGGCGTGTATTTGGGCATGGGCTTATTTTAGGGCATGGGCGTTATTTCGGACGCAATCTGCAGAAAATCAATCTATCAGCAACCCACTAGTTTCAGTGAACCACCATTCACACTGAGCGCGGTACAGGTACATCAAACCACAGCTGGAAATTTTGTTGTAACCAAGAATGTAGCGATAAATTACAAATTTGATAGGTTAACCACTTGCTATGGTAAGTACAAGGCACAACAGGTACCGGCATGGCTGAAAACGTCGTGACGCTGAAGCAGGTAAGGCAGAAAACTAGATGACATTTTGAGTCCACTTTTAATAAAATACGCCCTGGGCTTATTTCGGGCATGGGCGCTAAAACGGACTTGTGTGTACACCGTCTAAAACTGGGCTTATTATCGGACATGGGCGTTATTTAGGGTGGGCTTATTTACGGAATTTTACGGTATTTCTCAGATCTGTAAAACGACGAAAGTTATGTGACCGCATCCCTTTCGTCTGAACACTGGTCTGTGCACTGGTGCAGGGCGCTGTGCAGCCCCAGACCTGCGGACATTGGTCGGTGCACTGGTGCAGGGCGCTGTGCGGGGCCCCCAGACCTGCGAACATTGGTGCAGGGCACTGTGCAGCCCCAGACCTGCGAACATTGGTCGGTGCACTGGTGCAGGGCGCTGTGCGGGCCCCCCAGACCTGCGAACATTGGTCTGTGCACTGGTGCAGGGCACTACTAGCTTGACTCATCCAATGGGATTTCATTGAGCTGCACGCACGTCGTGCTTGCCAATACACAAATGATTGTTTTTTTTACGCATGTATGCACTTTCTCTAGCTCTGACCGTTCTTTTGTTTTTTTGACTGGAATCTCACGATAGTGCTATCTACAAGACCCATTCTGCGTTTATAGCACAGACCCAATTAGTTTTCCCGCAGAGGATGAGCAGTAACCAGGATAATCGGTCTATTGGCTCACTGTAATCTCGTTTGATAGAAAAGTCAAAAGCCACAACGGCTCCGGAGAAGCTTCGTCAGTCCAGCTCTCGATTGCAGAAAGACCCAAGCCGAAAAGTCTGCCACAGGTAACATGCCTAGTGTAAACAGTATTATGTCAATAGAGGAGCCTGGAGCTGATCGGGCACTTCAGAGAGACAATGGATGGTTTATTAGAAGTGAGATTGGCCGCCATTGTTGTTGAAGTCCGGGACATCAAGCGGGCCTTCAGTGATTTAGATGACATGGTACGGGTCCTGGGAAAGGACAGCCGTACGCTACGGGATCTGAATAGTACGTTGCACAACACTGTTACATCCCTAAAGCAGCAATCTGGTGCGTGCACGCGAAGAGGCCCTAGCGGCCCTGTCAGTGTCTCCCGTACCATGTGATCTTCAGGTGGTACGGGAACTCGTACATGAAGAGCACCTGCAAACGGAAATCCAAAACAACGTAGTGATTGCAGGTCTTCCAGAAAAGGAAGACGAGAATTTGCCCGGATTTGTTGCCTCACTGATGCCTGGCATTGATGCTCCATTACTTCGGGCAAAACGAATCGGCCGCACATCGCCATCTGGAAAGTCAAGACTTGTGCATGTGTCCACGAACAAAGCTACTAAAGCTACCAGCATGGATGGCCGCTTTGGCCTCAAGCTCAAATGTGTATGTCAACCATGATCTAACACCAAATCAGCAAAAAGACTGCCGGCAAGCCATACCACTCTGCAAACAGCTGCGTGCTAAGGGCATCAAATGCTATTTGCCCTATGCTAAGATTGTGGTGGACGGCAAACCGATCAGTTATGACGCAGCACACCAGCTTCTGAATGGAAATGCAGCATAGGAGACCATGGATTCTCCAGAAGCACCACGTAACTCATCATCATAATCACCTGATCATAGATCAAACCATAAGTTTACACACTCCGCAGTAAACTGCCGTAATCACGTCAATACGTACAGCCCACTTCGTATCAGGCTGGTAAATTGCCGCAGTTGGGTCAGTACGGTGCCCGACCCAACTGCTCTGCTCGTAGCTGAATGTCTTGATATTTTATGTCTCGCGGAAATGTGCCCACACCCTTCACTTCCTGATTCCGTTATACACATTCCTGGTTACAGCATCTACCGAAGGGACAGATCTGGCTGCACATTGCCAAAGGTAGATTTGGGTGGCGGAGGAGTTGCAATCCTTGTAAAAGAATCACTCTCAGTCACCTCTGTACCAATCCAGGCTTCCTGTTTAGAAATGCTTACAATTAAAGGGAAACTCTCGAATGCACATGTATTTGTCTCTGTTCTTTACCGACCACCACGGCAGTCCTTTGATATGGTCACCGCAACCCTGAACTCGCTGATCAATTCTTTGACAGCACCCACCACATTCTCACTGGCGATTTTAACACTAAACACTCGGCATGGAAAGCAGGTGACAAAACGGACAGCAATGGCCGCTCCCTGAACTCTACCTTCAACACCTTAGTAAACTCAAACCAAGGAACCCGTCCATCTCACGACGTTAATCCACTTTTGGACTTTATCCAGACAACGTCTATCCGCCACTGTACACATACCAGTAGTCTTGCTCCATTCTCTGATCACTGTCCGGTCATAGCAATGGTGGAATTCGACGCCTCATCTCCTAAGTCACCCACAATGTATAAACGCCGCCACGTTGATCTCAATCTGCTTCGAGACCGGCTTGTAACGGCATTCCGCTGAATATGTAGCGTCACATCGTATTGCGTTTTCTGTAGAAGTTTATCTCTGGCACACTTTTCTTCATTTATTATCCCAGTTCTGAACGCTTACATACGTGTATGTTCCAGGCTTCCAGCGCAGAGCTCTACTCTTGAGTACTTCTTTATCCCTTTCTTTGCTCACCTTTTTCTCATCACATCCTTTACAGCTTTGGTAGTATCTGGGTGTTATGGAAAGTTTGAAAATCCCTTGATAGGCGAAAGCCTTTGGGAAATCCTTACGTATGTACGTGTGTTTGCTTCCTGTTGTTGCCGTGCCTTTACCAGTATTGTGGGCATTTCATTGGTGTCATTCGCCAGAACTCCAGTGCAGTATGTGTGCGCGTGCGTGTGTGTGTGTGTGTGTGTGCGCGCGCGCGTGTGTGTGTGTGTGTGTGTGTGTGTGTGTGTGTGACTGGTAGCAGTGATTGCGTCGCCGCCACTAATCCTCTTGTTCTCCTCTCCTCTCTTGTGCGTAGGCGAAAAGAGCTTCCTGTGGCGGCCGTGCTCCTCCAAGAAGAAGGTGCACCGGCCCGGTGACCTGATGCCAACACAAGTCCTGCCTGGCTCCGGTAAGTAGTCCAAGATGCGCACTACAACTTTGCTGTTGTTGTTGTTGTTGTTGTTGTTGTTGTTGTTGTTGTTGTTGTTGTTGTTGTTGTTGTTGTTGTTGTTGTTGTTTCAAATCTTCATTCTCACGATAGCCAGTGGGGGGGGGGGGGGGTTGTTGTTGTTGTCGTCGTCGTCGTCTTTGTAATTTTGCCAATGGCTTTGTGCTGGAGCACGGTGACACCTTTCTCCTTTCTAGGTCTATTCATCACCCTCTCTGACATGGAGTGCAGCTTTAGTTGCATACTGTGACTTGGGGATGGCATTGTTTTGTTTGTTCAAAAATTTTAATATTTTAGTCATAGACCATCGGGTTCGCAGTGCTCAAGTGCTTACAAGAATATGTACAGACCTGCAAGTTGAAATGGCTGCTGCACTGTTTTTAGCGGCACAGAGCACCAGGTGTGCTCTTGAGAGCCCCCAGTTTGTCCAGAAAAGGTGTACAGATGGTATCACAGTGGCATGGCAGTGTGCGCTCGGTCTAGAGGTCTAGAACGATTGCCACAGTACATTGTACTGTAGATGGTATCGCAGTGGCATGGCATTGTGCACCCGCCGGCCTGGAGAGATAGCCACAGTGCACGCATCTAGCGCGTGTTCTCCATTGCTTCTTACAACATGTCTCCGCAGCAGTGTATGTGGTGAGTCAGCAGTCTGCGGCTGACTGTAGGTTAACACCTATGTGTTTCCGCACCCTGTACAGTAGCAAGCGGAATCCTGTATTCACCGGACACATTGTCATGCACCAAAGTGCTGTGGATCGATTGTGCATCCCTGGACCAAGCGGAATCCTGTCGTATCGGGACAGTTTCCTCTGCACCAAGGGCGTCCGTTTTAGTAGGGCAGGTTGTTTACTGTATGTGCTCTGCGTCTTGTTCTGCTCCCGCTGGCTTGTCTGCAGTCCTCACCGACGTTGCTCACCGTCTGCACGGGCTGACGGACAGTATACACGCTCTCACGCCACTGCCACTCTCTCTGGAGGCGAACAGCTATCGCCTCCCACTGCAGAACTCCACACTGCTATTCCTGACCAGCGGTGGCGACGGAGACGCGCGCAATACTTGCTTGCAGCTGTTCATGCGGGATTGGGCGCAAGGAAAGGTCAGTTTTAAAGGGGCACTCCGGGAATTTTTTCGGTGGTGTGTTCTCTTCATGGGGGCCTTATATGGCCCCCAAGGAATGGGGAATCACGGAAACTAAGCCCAAAAAGTTGATATATGAAGCCAGGGAGGGCCAAGTTTGTCTCCTCTTTTGATGGTTTTGATGACGTCACGTGTGATTAGTATTCAAATTCTCTGCATTTGAAGATCTTAGTTGTTTGGATTTTCTGGTGATGAAGAACGATGTTTGGTCAACATTCCCAAGCACAGCACAGCGTGATGAGGGCCAGGAGATTGGAGCAGACGACTTCACTGGTCGACAAGGAAATAACGATTGGTGTTCCTGCCAGAAATGTGGGGTGATGCAGAGGGCAGTCGATTACCTTCGCTGTCGAGAGAGCGCTGCAGCTGTTAGCATTGACAGCCCTTTGACATGCGTTGCACATCACCTTGTCTAAACAAAAGTTACAAAACTGTTCTGACCATATGCCTCACGGCGTATAGAGAATTTCGGGATCCTCGTGCTAGGACCAGTGAAGTCGTCCGCTCCAATCTCCTGGCCCTCATCAGGCTGCGCTTCTACCAGGGGCACCTCAGGGGGTCCTTCAGGTTCCTTAGAGTATGTCCGCAGTTGTGAAGCTTGGGAATGTCGACCAAACATCGTTCTTCATCACCAGAAAATCCAAACAACTAAGATCTTCAAATGCAGAGAATTTGAATACTAATCACACGTGACGTCATCAAAACCATCAAAAGAGGAGACAAACTTGGCCCTCCCTGGCTTCGTATATCGACTTTTTGGGTCTAGTTTTCGCGATTCCCCATTCCTCGGGGGCCATATAAGGCCCCCATGAAGAGAACACACCACCGAAAAAATTCCCGAAGTGCCCCTTTAAATACGGCACTTGTTTTTTTTGTTTTTTCGTCCATACACTCAATCCAGACTAGCTGAAACATGTGTGATGTGTAGGTTTTCTGAATTGAATCACGTTACCCACTCTAGCTGCCTTCCACAGCGCACAGCGCACAGCACACAGACATAAGACAGCTATGGGCGATTAGTAGTACAGCCTCATGACTGTGGTGACCCTGGCTGTATAGCCCTACCAACGCTAGGCCGTAACATTACAGTCCTAAGCTAGCACTACTATCTACGCTGGATTGTATAGTCCTGAGCTAGCACTGTCTACGCTGGACTGTATAGTCCTGAGCTAGCACTGTCTACGCTGGACTGTATAGTCCTGAGCTAGCACTGTCTACGCTGGACTGTATAGTCCTGAGCTAGCACTGTCTACGCTGGACTGTATAGTCCTGAGCTAGCACTGTCTACGCTGGACTGTGTAGTCCTTAGCTAACACTACGGTACTATCCCTAGACTGTAAAGACAGTCCTTAGCTAGCACTATCAACACTAGGCTGTACAGACTCCTTAGCTAACATTATCTACGCTGAACTGTACAGTCCTTAGTTAGCACTACCAACACTAGCGTGCTCAGTTCGGTGGTGACAGGTGAAGGCTACTGCGAGAGCCCAGGTTTCTTTGCAGTGCACGGCGGGCGTCTCTAGTCTGGATGTTTTTCAGCGCCTGATGTTACAGTACTTGTACATGTATTCCTTTGAGTGTGGAATCTTCTTGGCACATGCTTTGTTGTCGCCGTCATGGTCCTCCATCCTGGTACATGTTGTAGTCATTGCTATTGCTGTTTCTGGTGTCCATGGCATGTTTCTGTGTTTAGCCCGTCGTTGTGGCCGGTTGCCACAAGAAGCTCCAGGAGCAATGGACACCTCAAGGCCTCGCCGAGGGCGCAGGTATGCTGCTCTCCGTGAAGTGGTTTTGTGATTACTTGTATTACGTTTAGACTTCACTTTGTTTGCATGGTCTGTAGGATTGTGTGAGTCAGATTGGCAACACTGTTTGTGCGCAGGCATGCTGCTCTTCATGAAGTAGTTTTTGTGTTATTACATGTACGTTCAGACTTCACTTTGCTTGCATGGTCTGTACTTCAGTAGGATTGTGCGAGTCGCACTGGTGAGACTGTTTTCACTAGGAGGACATCATGTTGTCAGTCGAGTGATTTTGCAGCTTGTCCACGGGACCCATCACGCTTGTTATGATGCAGCATGTGTTGTAGTTACTTGGAAGTACGTATATATGTGTGCAGTGTGACGTAATGGTGATAGTACAGTGTAGTGCTTAACCTACTACTGTAACTCTTAGAAGCACCATCACCTCTGCGCATTCTCATGTTCGGGGGTCTTTCTCTCCCCATACACTGGCTCTGGGTGGTTGCACTGGGGAAGTACATGTGGCAAAGACACTATGCTCCTGTGCGTAACGCCAGAGATTCACATTCTTTGCACTTGCAATGGCTGGATTGTGTGTTCAGCCAAACCTTTGCTTTGGCGTGCTTTTTTTGTACATGCATACCTGTGTATTTGTTGCTGTGTTTGCCCCTGTGTATTCTGTGCACTACATGTACTGAAGTAGCTACGTTGTAGTATGTGGCTATGATCATGGTGGTTGCCTAATCTGTGCACTTTGTGTGTGTGTATGTGTGTGTGCGCGCGTGCGCGTGTGTGCATATGTGTGTGTGGGTGTGTGTGTGTCTGTGTGTCTGTCCGTCTGTCTGTCTCTGTGTATGTATGTGCGTGTGTGTGTGTGTGTGTGTGTGTGTGTGCGTGTGTGTGCGTGTGTGCGTGTGTGTGCGTGTGTGTGCGTGCGTGTATGTGTGTATGATTCACAGATGGTGCAAGCCCACTGGTTGACATCGTGAGCTGCACTGGTAAGCCAGCAACACTCTCTTCTGTCGGCGAATTCTGGCGTGGCTACAGCAGCATGGACGGTAAGTCGTGTGTGCATGTGTGTGTGTGCACGTGTGTGTGCACGTGTGTGTCAATACGTAAGTGTGTGTGTGTATGTGTGTGTGTGTGTGTGTGTGTGTGTGTGTGTGCATGCGTGCGTGCGTGTGCGTGTGTGAATGTGTATGTGTATGTGTATGCACACATGTGCTTCTGTGTGTTTATTGCACTTTATGTCTTTGGAAAGTTTGGAGGTTTTGTACATTTGAATCCTGGTTTGAGAGCATTTTAGAGGAGTCAGAGTAGAACTCTCGTGCAGATTTACATGTCCACGTGATCCAGGTATTGAATTCCAACAGTTACTTGGGTGTAGCTAAGTCTGATCTCGTTGTCGTCTGTCCTGCTTCTGTCCTGGAATGCTGCGGTTGTTGTATGCAGCTCGTCTGACCAGCATGGAGATGAATGTCGAACAGCCGCCGCCGGCATACCCACCGCTCTACAAGCTCAAGGTGCGTTGCATGCACGTGGACACCATCTTGCTGTCCCCGCTGGACATTCTATTTCAACATGAGACTCGCGATATTGGGCAGGAGCACAGCCACACACTGTGTTCATGCCTGATCGCCGCCATGTCACGTGCTGGACTCTTTGGCTGAGTCTTTGCTCAGCGCCAGTGCTGATTGTGTGCGCACACAAGATACTGCATATCATCTCCTGTGACAGTACAAGTAACTCCCATAAACAATCCCATACACAACCCCCGTACACAACCCCCGTACACAACCCCATCAACAACCCATACACAATCCCATACACAACCCCATCAACAACCCATACACAATCCCATACACAATCCCATCAACAACCCATACACAATCCCATACACAACCCCATCAACAACCCATACACAAACCCATACACAACCCCATCAACAACCCATACATAATCCCATACACAACCCCATCAACAACCCATACACAATCCCATACACAATCCCATCAACAACCCATACACAACCCCATCAACAACCCCATACACAAACCCATACACAACCCCATCAACAACCCATACACAATCCCATACACAACCCCATCAACAACCCATACACAACCCCATACACAACCCCATACACAATCCCATACACAATCCCATACACAATCCCATACACAATCCCATACACAATCCCATACACAACCCCATACACAATCCCATACACAACCCCATACACAACCCCATACACAATCCCATACACAATCCCATACACAATCCCATACACAATCCCATACACAACCCCATACACAATCCCATACACAATCCCATACACAACCCCATACACAACCCCATACACAATCCCATACACAACCCCATACACAACCCCATCAACAACCCCATACACAACCCCATACACAATCCCATACACAACCCCATACACAACCCCATACACAATCCCATACACAATCCCATACACAATCCCATACACAATCCCATACACAATCCCATACACAACCCCATACACAATCCCATACACAATCCCATACACAATCCCATACACAACCACATACACCCATGTTCTACTCTTACAAACCGCCTGTCTTCAAACACCATGTTTCCACATTAACATTTTCACATACTTGCAAATATAACACCAGTTAACTGAGTGATTAGATTTCAGTTTCTTTCTTGCACATCCTCACATCATTTTTGCCGTTGCGTCTGCTGTCACTGTCGTCATTCTGTTGTTCAGGATTGGCCTAGCAAGACTGAGTTCTGCAATGTCATGCCTCGACAGTAAGTGCATGTATAGCAATATCATATGGCAGATTTCTTCTTCTCTGCCACCTCCCATCTCTGTCTGTCTGTCTGTCTGTCTGTCTGTCTATCTGTCTGTCTGTCTGTCTCCCTCTGTCTCCCTCTCTCTGTCTGTCTGTCTGTCTGTCGGTCTCTGTGTCTCTCTGTGTCTCTCCGTATCTCTCTCTCCCACACTCCCCATACACTTTAAGCCCCATTATAGGCTATATACTGTACAAGCAGAAATATTCGTCTGGAATTTAATTTCGTCTTTTTCGTCCAACGAGCTGTTGGACAAAATTAAATGCCGGACTAATATTGATTTGCCCAGCTTTTCAATACACTCTTATGATCCATAGACGAAATTTACAACCGGACGAACTCCCTTTCTTTGGAGTTGGACGAAATTATTGACCGACGAAATTTTCTGCTTATACAGTAGTTCTTATGCTTATACAGTAGTTCTTATGCTTTTATAATACAGTCGAACCTCATTAGGATGAACACTGATGATGTCTGTTGCTGGGTTATGTTATGAAAAAAATGTTTACATTTGCCACAGCATGCACCTTCACATAAATACAATCCATATGATATGCATAATCCTTTTTCGTCAGGTCTGGATAAGAGGAACTCCGGATATTAAAGACAAACAATTTGTTCGGTCCCTTGAAGTTCTTCCTAACGAGGTTACTATATGCATGCCTGTATCTGTATAATATGCATGTGCGATGGTATTGATGTTATGTTCTCTCTCTCTCTCTCTCTCTCTCTCTCTCTCTCTCTCTCTCTCTCTCTCTCTCTCTCTCTCTCTCTCTCTCTCTCTCTCTCTCTCTCTCTCTCTCTCTCTCTCTCTCTCTCTCTCTCTCACTCTCCCCCACTCTCCTCTCCTCCCAGGCTGCTGTCTGCTTCACCTGGTGATGTACTGTGAATTAACTATTGTGTGCATGCGCGTGTGCGTTGGTTTGTCTTCTTCTCTTGCTTTTCACTTGACAGCTACCAAGATTTGATGGCGTGTCTGCCATTCCAGCGCTACACACATCACGACGGTGTATTCAACTTGAGTGCCAGGTAGGGCAGGGCAGGCCAAGACCAGCATGGACTGGGTGTAGAAGTAGAAGTTTAGGAGCATTGTCAGTAACTACAGTAAAGCCTGTCTAAGCCGACCGCTCGTGGGATCCCCTAAATGCAGTCCTGGTGTACTGGTGGTCTTCCTCCAGTATAAGTCGCACCTTCATACACCGAACCCAAAGTTGAAGAAATGGGTGCGACTTACAAGCAATTCCAGCGTAACTTATTGATCAATTGAACACACTGAAGCTCTCTGGCCGACACCTGAAGACGAGGCTGTGGCTTATTATCGTGTGGGTTTACTCTCTGTGTTGTGCTATCTTGCAGGTTACCAAGTGGCTATGTCAAGCCTGATCTTGGCCCGAAGATGTACATTGCTTATGGTACGTGTGCAACATTGACTAGTACTCTTCATATTACACATTTGTTCTGTGTGTGTGTATCAGTGAAGGTGTGTGCATGTGTAAGTGTTTGTACATGAATGTGTGTGTGTGTGTGTGTGTGCGTGCGTGCGTGCGTGCGTGCGTGTGCATCCAGAGACTTTAAAATAGTGTGCACGGCTAAAGGTTAGTTGGCAGGACATCAAAACAGGTGTTGGGCCTTGCAAACCAGCTACAACTGTGCAGGGCGCAATGTAGCTAGGTGTTCACCTAAATACGTGTACGAGGTATGGGACATGTTGATTTCAGGGAGTCGTACGATGGTATTTTGCGACTCCCCGGTTGATGTAGTGTTGCTGGTGGTGGCGTACATGCACACTGTACACAGGTCACTGAGATCATCTTCCAGTAGAAACCGGTCATCATCTCACTCATCAGACCAGTATTCAGCGTACAGTTTGACCGCCTAGCTGTCTGTAGACCATGTAGACCCTGGACTAGGACGATTGCCACACTCAGGTTTTGACCGTGCACTGTGTTGTTGTTGTTGTTGTTGTTGTTGTTGTTGTTGTTGTTGTTGTTGTTGATGTTGTTGTTGTTGTTGTTGTTGTTGTTGTTGTTGTTGTTGTTGTTGTTGTTGTTGTTGTTGTTGATGTTGATGTTGATGTTGATGTTGTTGATGTTGTTGTTGTCGTTGTCGTCGTCGTTGTCGTCGTTGTTGTTTCTGTTGCTGTTGCTGTTGTTTTGTCGCCGTCGTCATTTTCATCATCATTGTTGTCCTTTCTCTTGCACAGGTACTACCTTACTGCAGTCCACGACTAATCTGCACTTGGACATATCAGATGCTGTAAATGTCCTGGTATGTGGGCAGAAGTTCTAAAGAATTGTCACTATTGTAGGAAATTTACATTATGGCCACACAGTTGTCTTTATTCTCTTTTCTAAGTCTCTTCCTGACTTTTCTTTCATTCTCCTGGGTCTTTACCAACAGCGAGTATGTGGTGTGATATTTGTGCGGGAAAAAGAAGAAGAAAAAAGACGAAAAAGTAGGGATTCAATGCCCAGAAAACCCCCCATTTCAAATAACTGTGTGGTGTAGGCCTGGCTAAATAATGGCGGTCAGTTCTTCATGGGCCTTGCAAGCTGTTGAATGGTGCCATCCCAGCACAAGTTCCTATTTCTCCTGTTGTAGCATCGCTATCATCGCCTCCGGCCATGGGCGTCAAAGTACGTCGAAAGGTCAAGGTGCGCGCGTGCATGCAGGCATTCATGTCTGCATATCCCTGCTCATTTTTTCTGCCTGCTCATTTCTTGTCCTTGTTCAGGTGGATGTGACAGAGCCCACTGCTGATCCGGTAAGAGCCTAGCTAGGCGCAGTGGTCTCAGTTTCCTTAAGTGCTTTTGTCAAACTTCAAACATATCGTATCTCCCGTTGCAGGCGTTGCATCGTTTTCTCCCGTCTTCTGTTGAATTTGTTGCTTTTTCTCTCTTCTCTGCCGTGGAATTGCGGCACGATTTCTTTCTCACCACCTTAAACACGTGATACTGCCTTGAGACAATAGAGTTGGGATGGGCTGTTGACCTTTCGTGCTGTGTTCCTTTTTGCAACTTTCAGAAGAATGCACTGGCATGCAAGTATCGAGAAGAAGGTGAGTGAGGGCATGCTCGCGCGTGCGCGCGGGGGGGGGGGGGGGGGGGGGGGGGGGGTGACTGTAATGCCACTAATGGCATTATAGTTATGTAGTTGGTTCCGCATCAGTGTAGTTGATTCCAGCCTAGTCTGATGCGAATCGTGAGTTTTTTTTGATAGTGGTGAAGAGTTGCTGGGGCTATTGTCTGGTGACCTGGGGGCCACTCATGTGGCAATCGTGATGCCAAGAACTGCTGGACAGTTATCCTGTTGCTGTTGTTAATGGTTGCAGTGGGGCATGCGATGCAGTGGGGTATGCGATGCAGTGGGGCATGCGATGCAGTGGGGCATGCGATGCAGTGGGGTATGCGATGCAGTGGGGCATGCGATGCAGTGGGGCATGCGATGCAGTGGGGTATGCGATGCAGTGGGGTATGCGATGCAGTGGGGTATGTGATGCAGTGGGGTATGCGATGCAGTGGGGTATGCGATGCAGTGGGGTATGCGATGCAGTGGGGTATGCGATGCAGTGGGGCATGCGATGCAGTGGGGCATGCGATGCAGTGGGGCATGCGATGCAGTGGGGTATGTGATGCAGTGGGGTATGCGATGCAGTGGGGTATGCGATGCAGTGGGGTATGCGATGCAGTGGGGCATGCGATGCAGTGGGGCATGCGATGCAGTGGGGTATGCGATGCAGTGGGGTATGTGATGCAGTGGGGTATGCGATGCAGTGGGGTATGCGATGCAGTGGGGTATGCGATGCAGTGGGGTATGCGATGCAGTGGGGCATGCGATGCAGTGGGGCATGCGATGCAGTGGGGTATGTGATGCAGTGGGGTATGCGATGCAGTGGGGTATGCGATGCAGTGGGGTATGCGATGCAGTGGGGCATGCGATGCAGTGGGGTATGCGATGCACTCTGGAATTGTGCAGTTTGTCTACACCGGTGGCCATGCCGTATGTGTGGTGGGGAGAATAAGACTATTTACTGGTACATTATGTAGAATAAGAAAGTAACTAAATTTTATTTTATTTTATTTATTTTTTATTTATTCACAATCACGTGGCACTAGCCAATGAAAAGGTGATGTGGGCGATAGCCAGCCATGGCGGTAATAGAGGGGAGAGAGAAAAAGAATGAAAGGGGAACTGAAAAGTAAGAGAAGTGCGGGGGAGCTAGGGCAGGGCTGGATATCAACTAGTATGTTGCATTCTGCAGTAGCTGTGTGAATGTATTGTAACATTGGCAGGATTTTAGCTACTGCATTGTCCAAGGATTCCATTTCCTTTAAACTCGAGACCATAAGAAAGAACAACAAATCAAAAAAACATCCCAAACCGTGTGTGCAGGTGCATCCAAGTTACAGCATCATGTGCACTTGCACACAAGTCGGCAGTACATGCATGGTAGAACAGAGTACATTGTAGTATCGTATTATGGTACACGGGTGTAGAGAGGTTATTCCATTACAGTGGTTGAAAGGCTGTTGACTGCCTGGCTACGCTGACTGTCTTCTGTTGTCGGTATGTGTGTGTATTTCCTGCAGAGCTCAGCATTATCCAGGGCATTGTTAGTCGCCAGGAGGAGTCAGTGCGCATACACTGCGCGCAAAGCAAGCCGGTAAAGACCTGTTTCTAATGTCATTGACGTTTTTGTTTTTCTTTCTGAAATTGGAAAACCTGCTCTTGACGAACAAAGTAATTGTTGTCATTCTTGCAGGGGCGCAGCAAAGCCGGACCACTTTTTTTTTAACACAATGCCAAAAGTTCCCAGAATGCAGGATTTTCCACCCTAAATAAAAATTTTCCCGGGAGACCCCCCGGCCGGACCACCTCCAACGGCGATGCTCCGCGCCTGTCTTGCCCCTGCTTTCTCTACATAGTTTAGCTTGAACGATACCATGAGTTGGGCATTGCGCCTTTGTCCTTCAAAGGCCATGCTAGATATCTTGAATGTGTGTGTGTGTGTCTGTGTGTGTGCTTCACCCCCCTCTCTTTTTATTCTCTCTCTCTCATCTCTCTCTCTCTCTCTCTCTCTCTCTCTCTCTCTCTCTCTCTCTCTCTCTCTCTCTCTCTCTCTTTCTCTCTCTATCTCTCTCTCTCTCTCTCTCTCTCTCTCTCTCTCTCTCTCTCTCTCTCTCTCTCTCTCTCTCTCTCTCTCTTTCTCTCTCTCTCTCTGTCCCACTTGCCTACGATTTACATTCTTGCGTGCACACTACTTTCAGGGTGCCCTCTGGCACATCTATCCTGCCAGTGACAAGGAGAGGATCCGCAAGTTCCTCAGCAGAGAGTTCTGCAACCGCCAGGAGCTCATGTTGGACCCTATTCATGACCAGGTAGGGTTACAGTTGTCGGTATGCACAGTGTGTGTATGTGCATATGGTACACTCGACAATGACTTGAGTATAGACCTTTAGCTCTGCAAACAGACTAGATCAGAGTACTGTAAAAGCAGAAATTTTCGGTTGTGTTTTATTTTCGGTAACTTTGGTGCCGAAATTTTTACCGAAAATAAAACGCACCGAAAATGTGGGTATAGTACTAGTACGCTTACCTGGAATATGGGTTTACCGAAAATTTCCCTCCGCCGAACCGCCGATTTTGGAGAATACCGAAAATATTACACCACCGAAAAGTTCTGCTTTTTACAGTACTACAATCATATCTGAGTAAGGGTTTTCACAGCCATTAATTTTTTGCTCTCTCGACTGTCTTCACAGCCATTTTTTGCTCGTTTTTCTTCCGGTGCTGTTGAGGTTGCACTCGTAATTGTGTTTATTTTGCCCGTATAAGAGGCTTGGCAGTTGAAAAAAAAAGTAAGGGGCCGTCCGTAAATATCGAACTTTTTTCACTAAACGAATTATTTTAGTTTAGACTCAACCCCTCCCTCCCTCCCCCTCAGAACGAAAAAAATGTTGACATACATGCATGTACAACGGCCATGTACATGAATCAATGTTTTCTGAAACGAAATTGGTCAACCCCCTCCCACCCCATAACGAAATTATTTCGTTTTGTGAAAAAAGTTCGATATTTATGGACGACCCCTAATACATGCACAGATAATCAGATACCCGTCACTATGTTTTGACCGCATTTCTCTGTGCTGCACTGATGAGTCCACACCGGACGGCGTCTCAGCTCTGTCTCCTCGCGGTGTGCCTGTAGCTATTCAACTGAGGTGAAACGTACTTGCACTGTTGATTCATGCTTTTCAAGGTGTAGGCGCTGTTTGATCACGAGTTCTTTTGCTTAGAAACTCACTTCTTATACTATTCTACTGCACCTCTAATGTTTACCTTCTCAGAATATCTATCTGGATGCAACTCTACGCCAGCGCCTGAAGGACGAGGAGGGAATCGAGGGCTGGGAGATTGTGCAGTGTCTGGGCGATGCCGTCTTCATTCCGGCTGGCGCTCCTCACCAGGTAGGGGTGCATTGTGCTCTTCTGTGTGTGTGTGTGTGTGTGCGCACGCGTGCGTGTGCGCGCGCGCGTGTGTGTGTGCGTGTGCGTGCGTTTGTTGGCTTGTTTGTTCATGTGTGTGTGTGTGTGTGTGTGTGTGTGTGTGTGTGTGTGTGTGTGTGTGTGTGTGTGTGTGTGTGTGTGTGTGTGTGTGTGTGTGTGTGTGTGTGTGTGTGTGTGTGTGTGTGCTTGCGTGTACACATGTATGTGTGTACGCATATATGCGTACGTGTTAGATCACAACAACAACAACAGCAGCAGCAGCAGCAGCGACAATATATCTGGTAGATCACTCCACACTGCTGCACTCTGGTTGATCCACATGACTTCTAAATACAGTCGAACCTCGTTAGGAAGAACTTCAAGGGACCGGACAATTTGTTTGTCTTATCCGGAGTTCCTCTTATCCAGACCTGACAAAAAATGATATGCATATCATACGACTTGTATTTATGTGAAGGTGCATGCTGTGGCAAATGTAAAACATTTTTTTCATAACATAACCCAGCAACAGGTAAGTACAATGTACAATGAATTCATGACAGCATGTCCTCCGTCTTGTAACATGTTTTGCCAGTACAAGAGGCCTCGACTATCGGAAAAAAAACTACAGCCAGCGCACCTACGGGGACCGAAAGTTCGTACTACACGCTGATTTTGTTCGTCTTCACGCTAGAAATTTGTTCGTCTTCACGAAAGTTTGCCGTACAGGAGTTTGTCGTTAACGAATAATTTTGACTTGATATGATGCCTGGCCAACCATAGGATTGACCCTAGTTCATGCTAAAGGAAAGTTCACCTTATCAGCGTTCGTACTAATGAGGTTTGACTGTATTATAGAAGCATAAGAACTACATAGCCTATAATGGGGCTTAAAGTGTATAGGGAGTGTGGAGAGAGAGAGAGAGAGAGAGAGAGAGAGAGAGAGAGAGAGAGAGAGAGAGAGAGAGAGAGAGAGAGAGAGAGATACGGAGCGACAGAGAGAGACACAGAGACCGATAGACAGACAGACAGAGAGAGGGAGACAGACAGACAGACAGACAGACAGACCGGCAGACAGACAGACCGACAGACAGACAGACAGAGAGAGGGAGACAGAGAGACAGACAGGCAGGCAGACAGACAGACAGACAGACAGACAGACAGACAGACAGACAGACAGACAGACATACAGAGAGAGAGACAGAGACAGAGACAGACAGAGAGAGAGAGACGGAGAGAGAAACGGAGAGAGAGACGGGGAGGGAGAGAGAAACTTGCAATATGACGTGTGCTTTTCTCCTGTCTTGTCTTACTACTGGTATGTATGTTGCTTTTCTCCATTGTCATGGTCTGTCCGAATGCTATAGGTACAGAATCTGAACAGTTGTGTGAAGGCGGCCGAAGACTTTGTCTCTCCAGAGGTAAGGCGTGGTCTGATGGATGTTCTGTGCAGCTGCTTATCTGAGCGTACAGTGTGCATGCTCAATGGTAACATGGAATTGTTTCTTGTTAGCCGTGATTTCTCTCACATTAGTATCTTGCAACAAGGGTTTGGCTTAGTATAATTATGGAGTGTTGTTTTCGAATCTGGCCTGCAACTTGGCCGCACTTGTTGGTGGGATTGGCATTTTTTCTCTCTTTTCAGGCAGTTCACTTCCCCGACTGATTCTTTGAATACTGTAAAAGCCATATAATATTATAACGAAGTGCTAACTCTACAAGTTAACGAGGAGAAATCTGTCGTTAAAATAGAAATCGTTATACAGAAATCAATGCATATACTGTCCTATTGAGCGTTGAGAATGAGTGAGAATCGTTACCTTTGGTACACGTAAACTAGTCACTTTTGGGAAATGGTTATATATGCGCCAGAGTTAGAATAATGGCTTTTACAGTACTATGCTCAGAGTGCTCTTTAGTCGTGCCTATTCGTGTTTGGTGTCTGACATTTCACGATTGAAGTACTTCATGCTGTGGCTATTCTCGTTTTCCTTTCTTTTCACAGCACGTCAAAGAGTGCCTTGGACTGACAGACGAGTTCCGTTTCCTGTCGTCGATGCACACCAATCGCGAGGATAAACTACAGGTTGGTCTACCGTAAAGTCAGCAGCACCCCCCCCCCCCCCTCCCCCCCCCCCCCCCCCCACCACCACCACCACCACCACCTTGTGCAAGATCTGCTGGCCAGTACGCATTGACCCCATGCACTGTCACCTCTAGCGTGTACGAAAGTGCATCTCGCATCGTGGCGCGAAGAGCGCTTTGCTACGGTAAACTATGTCCATTTTCCCGGGTTTAAAACATCTCTTCCCACCCTAGCTACACAGGCAAAGTACATAATGCTGCCGATGATGATGATGATGATGATGATGATGTTGGTTTTTATTTCGCAAATCCAAACGGGAGTTTCTTCACAATAAAAAGTAAAGTTTGCACGTCCGCGTTACCACCGGCTATACAATTGCGTTGAGAAACATAACCAGCTTAGGAAGTACAATAGCAAGGTAGTAAAGAGCATTAGATTGTAGGAACCGAATACACTTATGGCGGTGGTTCAAGCCATCATTTCCCAATCACGCAACGCACAAAGAGAAGGTTTTTTCTTGAGCGCTTCAGCGTTTTCAACAAGCAAGCAGTGACTTTGTAGCTGTAGCTCCTGTGACTGAGTTCTGTCTCTTTTCGTGTTCTTGTTCCGTATGACATTGTTCTATCTGTCCTGCAGATCAAGAATATCCTCTTCCACAGTGTCAAGGATGCAGTGTCATGTCTTCCTTGCTCTACGCAAACCTTGACTTCGTCCACACCCTGAAGAGAACTGATGCTCCGGCTAATGTCGCTGTCAGCCTTTTCCAGTACTTTGACGCCTTCAGTGCTGAGTGGAGTTTAAACGTTTCTCGGTTCTGCTGCCTGCTATCTGCCACCACCTCAGTTACATCAGGGCGTACGTAGTTCTTGCCGCCAATGTTGGGTCGGCTGGCTTCAACGCTCGAATACTACTCACTGTCCTGGTAGCAGTTTGCTGTCTAAACAAACTGGAAGTACGAACCAAAGAAACAAATTCCAGCATCTTCAGTTTGTGAATTGTGCCCCCCCCCCCCCCTTCCCCCTCTCTTCTCACGTCAGCTGAAATTACTGTAACTGCTTAGATAACAACCATCTCTAACTGCTCAGTCTGCGTGAGCAATTCCCCGCCAAACCAAGACTTAGTATCAAGTCATAATAGTCTCCAGTAGTGAATGCGCCACGTTCCGCTGAAAATATGCACACACACACACACACACACACACACACACACACACACACACACACACACACACACACACACACTAGTAATGCAAGCGAGTGACGGCAGCGGCTCGTTCAATATCACCTCTCTCTTAGATTATAAGCTGACGCGAGCTGTACACACGGCCGTGGAGATGCAGCGCTCAGCACCTCACCCCTGCTACCCGATTCTAACCGAACAGTAGGCATACCACTACTAGCTGCTTACAGAGCAGCATCTCAACCCCAGCAGCACATCTAACATGGCTACGGGCTGCCCAGTCACAGCCAACACACAGCCTGGGTGCTGCCTATCACAGCCCCCCCCCCCCCCCCCCCCCCCCGGTTTCAGGACGATCGTCTGAGCAACTCGCGCTTTGATGAGCTGTGCGCCGCCAATATCCGTGGCAATGCACCCGAACAGTCCCCGCCGCATGTTCTCCTGGCTTGGCACACGGCGTGCAAGTATCTAGCTGTCCGCCCAGCGTAGCCCGCCGTCAACACTGCCTGCACCTGCTGCATCGATAGCGTCAGTGGGTATGCTTCGTCACTACGTACTACGCTGTTCAGGCAGTCTGGCCTCCATGATCGTCGTCACTTCACTGCGCTGTTCAGGCAGCCAGGTCTCCGTTCAGGCAGCCAGGTCTCTGTTCAGGCAGCCCGGTCTCCGTTCAGGCGGTCCGGTCTCCGTTCAAGCAGCCAGGTCTCCGTGAACGTCTCTTAGCCACATCACAGTGATTTTCTCTCTCTGTTGGCTAGCATGTCATCCTAATAGCTGGAGATACATTCTCAACAGACTCCACCACCAGCAGCAGCAACATCATCAGCAGCAGCAGGCTACACCAGGGCCAACAGGGCATTCTCGTGTGAGGAGAAGCTTTCTCCGTGTATTGGTTTTAAAATGAACATCCAATATGAAGACTGGCTGATGCTACGTCCGAATCTCTATAGCTTTTTAATCCTATAAGAAGTGATCTGTTCACTTCGACTTTTTAATAATCTTGTTTAAGTCAATGGCTAGTCCCTGGCTAGTTCTTTTATTATAGTAATGATGATGTCAGTGTGATGTCATACCTACTACCACCTGACCAAGTTAGTTTAAGGTCGGAAGGCCATTTTCGGAACCTTTTCTTCATGCTAGCTTCTGGCATTTATCTGGCACGGCTCTCGTGCGCTTTGGCTCTTCTGTCTCGTAATGTCTTGGCTATTACGCCGGACAATTCTAATACGCCTGCAATTGCAGGCTTCTACTTTCTAGTACTGTTCTCCGCCGTTCTAGCTCGGCGCGAGCGCTCCCAGTAGTTTGCCCCATGGCTAAGGTTGTAGCTGATAGCGTTAGCGTCTGACTTTGTCCGTCTGTATTATCATCTCTTTCTTTCTCGTCGCCACTCCACATCCCAGAACCTTTGCTAGTAGCTGCTCTCTCGTATGTGTCTTGGCTGCTACGCCAGACAATGCGAATATGTGAGCACGCATCGGCTTCTACTGATGTTCTCCACCGTTCTAGCTCGGCGTGAGCGCTCCCAGTAGTTTGCCGCATGGCTAAGTAAGTTCGTCCTCTTTTCTTCTCCCTTCTGCTGGCACTGTTGTCACCATTCTTGTGGACAGTCTTGCAGTCCTCTATAAGTACTAACAGGTATACATTTGTGCGCTGTTGCCAGTACCACGTATACCTTTAGTGGCGTTGCTCATACTTCTTGGTACGTAACAACTAACAATCATCTCTGATAGCGTTAGCCTCTGATTTTCTTTCTCCGTATGATCATCTCTTTCTTTCTCACCACCACTCCACATCCCAGAACTGTTGCTGGTTTCTCAGTTTTCAGTCACCTGTGAAGGCGTGTGTGTGTGCGTGCTCGTATGTGTGTGTGTGTGTGTGTGTATGTGCGTGTGTGTGTGCAGGTCTCTGTGACCTGCAGCTAGCTCACGTCGAAATTTGGAGTTTTACGCCAAATTTGACGTGAAATTGCGCGTCACGTCGGAAATAACGTGCGTCTTAAAAATAAATGTACATAAGACCAAGAGTCCATAACCCCCCAGTGTGTGCAACTCGTGATCTTTCTCAGCACAAATCAGTGCCGCAACGAAATCCAAACTTCATACGTCATGTAGTGAGTAGCGGCAAGAGTACATAAACCTTTATGTACTCTTGGTAGCGGGTGTACCAGATATGCACATGGCCCCATCCGCCCATGCTTGACTATGGACCGGATGACGCAATGTTTGGATTTCGTTGCGCCAGACCCCAACCTGGAGTTGCACACTCTGGGGGGGTTATCTGGTTATGGACTCTTGATAATACATAGTACATGTCTGTGTACAGCTCGCACACAGCCGGCCCACGCCCATGTAAATAATAATTGTAATGGCCTGCATGGGCTTCTGCCTCTGGCCTGATGTATGCAGGAAATGACTCTTTGCATGTACTTTTAGCACGAACTGGAAAGGGGACTTTCCGAGCAAAGTACCTCTTTCTGTGCTGCATGGTGTCATGCCTCGTAAAAGTTTCGAGACAGGAGCACCGACACATGCAGGTATGCAGCAGATCGATGAGTTGATGCATAATAATGGAGAGGTAGATCTACTAGGTGTGCTTTTCTCATGAGTCATACAGCTTGCAGTTGCATTCCGTCCAGGTCGAAAGTGTTTCGGTAGATGTTCCTCGATCCTGCCTGTCGCATTTCATGTCGTCAGTGTTTTTGTATTGCAGCGTGTGTGCTTGCCGGTGTGGACCGAATCAGGATGATGAATGGAGAATGTGTGCGTGCTATGCTAACGCCAGTAATGGGCTGGAACTGGGACTCAGTGGGAGCTAGCCGGTGCAGGCAGAAGCGAAACTCTTCCGATACTGGGCTGAAGAGGAGCCGAAGAAAACCAGCCGTCGAAGCTCCACGGTCAGCCATTTCGTGTTGCGCTATGCTTGAAGAGCAACAACGTCGGAGTGCTTCTCGTGTGTCTCAACGGTTTTTTTTTGGTACAAGTGGCGTCCGGCCACTGTGCGTATTTGGCAATTTGCGAAGAGGAATGCTCGGATCTTTGCTGTCACCATGTGCTGAGGTTTGCCATTGCTGGCATTAGGCTAATTATTATCTCTCCAGAGGGCAGCAGCCCTCTTGGTTCGTGATTACAAGACGGATTGACACCGTCACACGTAAGTCGTTGCCATCAAGACATAGTACTCGTACGAGTCGTACGATCGTCAGCGGTGAGTGGGCGAAGAGGAGACGCTCCACGAGTGCGGTTGCTGCTTTTGGAGGCCCTTGGCTTGAGCGCAGCAGGCGAGCAGCATCTGTGCGGAAATCGTCCCGACCTTACGGCTTAGCCAGAGGACTGGGCCAACCAGCTCTCCTGGTACGCGTTGAATAGTCACTGGTGACCGTCTTCTGGCCGTCGGGGCTGATCTTGATTATATTCGGTAAGCAATGGAACTACAGGTCGTCCCTCGTTAATACATAATCTCTGGGACTTGACAAATGTTATGTATTAACGGGGTTTATGTACTAAACGAAAGTGCACATAACTTGCTTGTATACCAGAATTTTTCACTTTTTTCAACTTTTCTGAGTGTTTCTTGCTACCATGACTAGGCAGCGAGATATTCTTGATTCCCTCGATATAACATAAAAATTATGTTATAACGGTCACATTTAGCGAAGATTCTACAGTTGACATGGTACATGCCCAGCCGCACCTGTACAGTCACTCGGAAAAAAAACAGAGCTTTGTCGGTTTGTGATGTGCGCTCTGATTTCTATGCTAATTGCATCCACAAGTAGAAACTAGAACACGATGTGCCTCCACTGGAAGGCCAAAAGACCAGTAAATTATGTACTATTGAGGTAGGTGACATGCGGGTATGGAGAAATGTTATGTACTAACGGGGTTTATGTACTAACGGATTATGTACTAACCGACAAAATTTGTATGGAAGTGACCACGTTTCGTCCGGGACTTGAGATTTCTTATGTACTAGCGGGGTTTATGTACTAACCGGACTCGTATTAACGGGGGACGACCTGTAGTATTATCGGAAATAAGCTAATAATACCTAGTTTGGTACTATGGCCCAAAAAACTTTTAAAAGTTGCGGCACTCATGATCAAACGATCCATCATAATCCATACCATACATAGCATGCAGTCAGAAAACTGCTCGCTTGCATAGCATTGTGTTAGCCTCCGTTCGTGCACAGTCAGTGGACACACGACCAGGCGATCATGCGATGCTCTCCTGAGCAGCTGTGCTCCGTCGTATTTACGTCGATGTCAAATGAAATCCGACCTTACGAAGACGCAGACATGTGTCTCCTGCACGGCAGGGCTGGCCCTAGTCCTCGGCGCTGCGTAGCCCTGCACAGCCTTGGTCCTGCGGCCCCAGGCCAGTCTACGGCTGCGTAGCCACCAGCTGCAGCACTCCTGGGGTCGGATTTCACGTGCAATTACTACACTTGTGTTGCTTGAGGCCTGGAGAATAATTACACCTGCATGCCACCAGAGCTCCAGAATACCAGTAGTCCGTGGTGTCATTGCTACTAGTACATGACAGCAGAACTCCAGAATACCAGTAATCCGTGGTGTCCGCATTGCTACTACTCAGTAGTACTGCCATGACTGGAAGGTTTCTCCCAATGCTGTACCTTCCGAGACATGCCGATAATGCCCTGTTCATCTGCTGAACTGAAGATTGTGAAGTTCCCTATGCTTATTACATTAGTGCGAATGGGCCACATGCGTCCCGTGGGTATACTGAATGCCTCTCGAGACCAAGCCAGTCAGCTCCTGGCCACATGTGATGTGCCCACCCAGCGAACCCTGGGGATGGCGGCCGAGAAAGGAGCGTCCAACTGGCTCACTTGCCGGCCCCTGAAGCAGTTCGGGTTTGTCCTCCACAAAGGCGCCTTCAGAGACGCACTCTGTCTGCGGTTCGGCTGGGTCCCTCCCCGCCTGCCATCCACTTGTGTGTGTGGCAAGGCACTTAACACCAGCCATGCTCTTTCGTGCCCAACTGGTGGATACCCGGCTCTCCGCCATAACACGATCCGCGACCTGACAGCCGACCTACTGCGTGAAGTGGCAACGGATGTGAAGATAGAACCTCCTCTGCAGCCCCTGGAAGGTGAAAGGCTCCGGTATCGCTCTGCCATCTTGGAAGATGGTGCTCGTCTTGATGTGGCGGCATCTGGTGTCTGGGGAAGTCGTTTTGAGCGCACGTTCTGTGATGTTCGGGTTTTTAACCCTCATGCGCGCTCGAACACTTCCTCAACTCCCGCGTCCACCTATGCCAAGCACGAACAGCAGAAGAGAAGGGCCTACGAAGAACGCGTCAGGGAGGTGGAGCATGCTTCCTTTCTCCCACTGGTATTCAGTGCATCTGGTGGGTGCGGCAAGGTAGCCCACGCTTTCCTGAAGCGTCTTGGCCATATGGTTTCGGAGAAGCGGCATGAACCCTACTCCTCCGTCATGTCCTGGATCCGCTCTCTTGTCTCCTTTGCTTTGGTTCGATCCTGCAACATGAGCCTCCGTGGTCACCGTGCTTCTCCCTACCGCAGTCGTTTGGATGCTGCCACTCCTGTTGTGCTGGCAGTCAACGACTGTCAGTTGCGTGACTGAGACTCTTGCGGAGTAGCCGTGTCTAGCCACACTTTTATTATCTGATGATTTTGTTTTGTTTGCTATGATTCCGTTCAAACCTGGCGCGAGATACGCACAGAAAAAAAAAATACTGAATGGCTTGAACGTCAGGTGTACTATGTGTGCAGACCACCTGTATGTGCCTGTGCAGACCACATGTACGTACATGTACATGTGCAGACCACATGTACGTACATGTGGTCTGCACATGTACGTGCATGTGCATGTGCATGTGGATGTGCATGGTTGGTTAGCATTGGCAGGGAGTAGTAAAATACCAGTACTTTACTACTCCCTGGTATTTGTACAGTCAGTAGCGAATCGCTAGCTGCAAGCACACGATGCAGGACTAGAGGAAGTGATCCCGTCCTGTTATGTACATGCAACTTGGTGCCGTGACACCGCAGTATTTCCCTACTTCTGTGATGGCCCTACACTATAGAGGCCAGGTAATTACGTCATCATTTGATAGGACTTTCTCATGGAGTGGCAAAGCCAGGGCACAGTGGCAAGCCAGTGCTGGTTTGTCATACAATGATAACACCGTTTGTATGCGCTGTCAGTGCTCGTCACTCAATACAGATTTCAAATTTGGTGTGTGTAGCACATGCATGCAGTACACCCATTCAATGAAATTTGTTCTCTGTCCATTGTTGTGGTTGTTGTCGTCGTCATCATCGTCGTCGTCTCTGCCACCACTGTTTCTGTTGTTGCTGCTGCTGCTGCTGCTGTTGCTGTTGTTCTTGTTCTTGTCGTCGTCGTCGTCGTCGTCGTCGTCGTCGTTGTTGTTCAGCCAATGTGAGATCAAGAGGAAGAAATCAGTCAATTGACCGTTCAACTCAGCGGGAACACGAGGATCTGCACCAGCCTCTTTACAGCACCGTGGCAGACAGCTACCAACCCCAGGCTGGTGTCTCTGCGGCCAGCCAAGCACCTGCTAGAAGTATTGCTGTGAACAGTTATAATCAGCATAATTGTCTTCCCGCGGCCCACCCATGGCAAGTGCGGTAACAGATGAGCTGTGGCGGCAGCGGCCGTCGCAGCATCTCCAGCATTCTCCCCAGGATGCGGATCATCAGTGGCTGACGTCCCGCGAGTCTGTCAACACCGTGTTCTTGCCTCGACAACTACCACAGCACGCACCGCAGGTCGGACAGCACATAGGCGACCTTGGGCAGGACGGTGCACTGAGCGCCTTTGCGGACATCAACTCCGGAATCCTGCCAGCGAACACGGTCAACATGATCACCGAGTGGAGCACACACTATATGCTGGATACTGTGGGCATGCAGCACTGCTTCAGTGAGCTCACAGCGCACCAGACTATTGCCGTGCACTTGGTAGCGCAGAATGCTGCAATGACCTTCACACAGATACCATCAATGGCCACAGCGGACGACGGTCGTCAAGACGCTGTCGCCGTTGACGATGATGAGATGGCGGATATGATTATCGTGCGTGCGTACAACGTGCAGCCGGAACTTCAGACGGTGACCAGCGCTATCGGTCCGCTTACGGCGACCACGCCGACAATGTCGGTGATTGTCAGCAAAGACACCGTCCTGTCCGACACGTTCATCCAGCAGCTTGTGAGCCTGCAGACGACTGTGTTCGGCGACGCCATTCCCAAAGTGAAGCGCCGAGGCGCGGCGCTGGATGAACCGCGCGATGCAAACTCTCCAAAGTACGTCTTCGAGTGGCTGATGAGTTTTCTCAGTGCTCTCGGTCACCCCGACAACACCACGGTAGCCATCGAGAAGAAAGTACGCGATGCTGTCGTCTTCTCCAAGCACAACCATAGCAACAAGCTGCCGTGGAGGCGCAATCCGGCATGGCTGGCGTTTAAGTTTGTCCTGCATGCCACTTTGGTGTGTGATCGTGGCCTGGACGACGGGACTTTACTGTACAAGACGGCCATGCTGCAGTTCATGACTGCTTTCCTGTCGGTGACCAAGCACCAGCAAGATCATGACTTGCTGCATCAAATGCTGGCCAAAGTGAGCGGCCGCACTCAGAAGCTATCCACCCTGTACGATCGCACGTGCTCGCCGAAGATGCGAAGTGTGCTCGGTCAGCAGCTCGAGGCGGTGCTGAAAGAATCGGCCGATGCGGTGGTCCGAGTGAATCAACTGCAAGCACAGTCGTGGGACTTGACTACAGCACGACTCAGCACGGAGAGCAACAGTAAGCAGCACCTGAACACGTCCGTTCCAGCGGTCCACTGTGCTACGGACCGGCGCCTCCAGCTGGCCGCGTCCAAAGACAGGCTGTCGCGTATGCAAGTAAAGTCACGTACACTGCCTGCTTTGCACACGCCAGTGGCTAAGTCACAGCACGCAACCAGACAAAAGCTGCAGTCTCTTGGCAACGACAGCGCTGGCAGCACTTTCTCACAAGCCGAGCAGTTGAGCGGAGTCCACGACTTTGAGCAGCACGTCCTGCAGCTTTGGCAGGAGCGCCTCAGCCAGCCTGTACCAGCGTGCGCGCAGCTGTGTTCATGGATGCAGCAGTACAGCAAGGCAAGCACAAGCGTGGAGAAATGCAAGGATCCCATCGGGAACGGTCGACGGCTGTTAGTCGGAGCCGTACTGGCTGCATTATGTGATGAGCAGGCCACCAAGCGCTATCCCATGCTGTTACATCATCAGCCACACATCAATGTAGACTCACTGAACCAAATCTTGGCTGTCAACAAGCAAATGCTGACGGTGGCCACCGAAATTCAGCAGTACTTTCAGCACCGCTGCAATGCCGCCACTAAGCCTGGCCCGCTGGAGTGCGGCGTGTCGGCGGGTTCTATCTCCGTCTGTTATGCCAGAGGCAGCGCAAGCATGTGTGCCACCCGTGATCAGCTTCTGGCTCAAGACGAAGCAGAGAAGGCAAGCCATCAGCGGCGTGTAAGGGCAACACTGGAAAATATGGCGCGTCTGAAGGCCGAGCGGGCACAGATGGAGCACCAGCTCGGCCGGGTTTCCAAAAAGACAGGCATATTCAGACCAGACCTGCACAAGTTTCACTGTAGCGCCTGCGACAAAGACAAGGAGATAGACCGGCAGAAGGAGCGTGTCTTTGAAGCTAAACTGCCGAGCGATCCCGACGAACAGCTTGCTGTCATATTTGAAGCGCAAGTTCCGGACAGCCTTGGAGAGTGGCGGGATACGGTCTTCCACTACAACTCTTCATTTCTCAAGGCCATTGGTGGCAGTTCGTACTACTGCTATTCAACGAAGGATCCCAAGCTCTGGCGCAATGATATTCAACTCGGCTACGGTAGCAAGGCGGTTGTAGCGCTAGGCAGCACATCATCACGAGTATCCACGAATCACTATTCCTATATCGAAGTCAGCTACCACACGCGTATACAAGACTACATCAAGCCGTGCCAGCTCAACTGCAAGATGTTTGCCAACGGTAAAGTCTTGGGCAAGCTAGAAGGCGCTGACATGCAGCAACATCGGCAACAATGCTCATTCAAACTGAGCAACAGCACTCTCCAAGGTTTTCTCCCAGCCTGTGATCATCACCAGAGTGAAGTCATTGCACAGCAATCCGCTTGCCCAAAGTCCTTCAGCCTGCAGGAGTTCATTGCGTTTGGCAGTCTGCGCGCCGGCGAGCGGCTGCAGTGGTTTAACATCCTGCGCGGCGTTCACCAACGTACGCTGCAACTTCACCAGCCAGAGACAGTGCAGTTGATATGCCAAGCTGCCTGGCAGGCGGGAAAGAGCGATAACTCGGTTTGCGCAGCAGCCGACGGCACCGCTGCTCTGCGAAGCGCACACCAGCCGTGCACCGACCCGGCCTTTGTCTCGTCGCTCACTTCACAGCTAAGTGACACGATCAACACACTGCAGCAGAACTGGCAACACCACTGGGCACTCTGCAGTATTGTGGTCCTGGCGAACCGACTCTACGACGTCTATTCGCAGCAGGAAGATCACAGCACGTCGATAGTGGCCGATGTGAGGAGACTGCTGCAGTTCTGCCGCAATGTGGCTAGCAGCTGGCTGAAGAAGATCAACATTCTCATGCAGCAGAGCACGCACGCCTATGCTGTTCAAGACCTGCAGAAATCAGCGGCGTGCATTGCCACGTTTGGCATTCTGTCGTTCAGCCATAGCGCTGTGCTGATCGAGCCGAAACGAAGACAGGGCCGCACTCTGCAGCTGTGGATGAGGTTTGTCACCGAACTGAAAAACAACACTCAGGGTACTAAAAAGAGCACCCTGCCCAGCTTCCTTGAGCACCTGCGCAACCTTGCAGTGCGCGTTACCATTGACAGGCATGCGGATCTTGTACACCTGATTGAGAATGGCTTCGAGGACATCGACGGCCGTCGCACGCACCATGAGCTGGAGTCCTACATGAACGAATTCTACACCAAGGGCAAGTGTCGCAACTGCAAGTTCTACTCCGACAACAAGCTCTGGGTGGAGGTGGAGTGGGAGAATAGCAGTGGTAAGCAGATGGTCGAAGTGGACTTGCGGCAAGGCCAGTTCTGCATCAACGGCCTGCCGCAGTCACGACTCACCGACGATGTCATCACAGACGACCTCTACAAGGAGCACTTTGGCGGCGCAGTGTTCATGGTCAAGCCGTGCCGTAGTCCACATCACGAGGTGGCGCACGTCACGGAGCAATGGAACGACGGCAGCCGCTTTGTGTTCAGTGCCTGTAAGAAGGGTGCCCCGAGCGAGCACGTCAAGATCTACGAGCTTCAAGACGGGAAGGAGCTGGTACTCATACCCAAAGAGTGGTTCACGTCCGTGCTAGGCCACCACGACATTCCACTAACCTTGCTCCGCGACTACAGCCTCTGGATGGAGATCACGTCCGGAATTGTCTACTTTCGATCGCAGTCTATCAACGAGCCTGGCTTTCACGACCTGCAGAACAGTGCCTTCACGCTGGACAGTAGAAGCGGTGTTCTACGAGCAACGTCCAAAGCTCCGGCTGGTATTGGCAAACAGGCTGTTCTGCTTTCCCAGACCTCACCCGTCGGCGCCATGGCCATCAAGATCACGAGCGTCCTGGAGCAGAAGCAGTACACAGAGGTTTGGCAGAATGCAGATGGCAGTCTTCTGGTGCGGCTGCCCCGATTCGGCTTGTCCTTCTTCGCCAACAGCGGCGATTGTGCATTTCAAAGCAGCGACCACAAGGGTTGGTTTGTGGACAGCAACCAGTACCTGGGTACTATGCTTGGATTGTCCTCGTACCTCAAGCTGGTAAAAAATCGTGGCGATGCCCTCCTGCAGCAAAGCTGCATTCTTGTCCCCCATGCTAAAATCAAGTTTGCAGCAATGCCAAGTCGAGCGTCAGACACCACCTCCATCAAGCACCACACTGTTGCCGTGGACACGACGGAGCTGAACGAACCGCCGTTCTTCCGGTACGAGCTGAACACCACCCTTAAGCAGCTGACTGGTCCATTCAACCGCACGGCGTGGGTCTACCTGGCCGCGCTGCATGCGTTCACGTCGTCAACGTTCCCCGACCCGTTCACATGTCTGACCGGTATGGAGACGGCCGTTGAGATCCTGCAGTCATCCCGCTGCTGGGCCGGACTGCCTCTGGAACAGTCTTCCATCGACATTCTGCAGTCAATGGCGGACACACTGTCGCCAAAGCGTTCCAAGTACCCTAGCAAGAGCAAGCCACTCATGGATATCATCGACTGGCCTGAACACATCTCACCACTGTGCGCGTCCGACGCCTACGCCATCCTTGCACAGAAGCTGATTGAGCACAACGGAAAGTTACACTATCTCCATGGCAACGCCGAGAGTGCAGCTAGCGCGGCTAAGCCTGATGCCGAGGCCAGTATGAACACACGATTAGCGTTGCTTTCAATGTCATCAAAGAAGAAGAAGGAGCAGCGGCCGAGTGCCGAATGCGATGATATCAAGCCGACTGAAGTTGCTTATCTAAAGAGTATGCACTGCTACCCACTGCTGGCATGCCTTCACGCCCGCCATGCCCCACGCTGGGCAGCATACTCCGCCGCTTTTTCTGCCGAGCCAACCCCCTCCACCAGAGTCAAATGCATCACGCAAGCGGTCGTTCAGCAAACAGCTCGTCTCCACACGTACAGCGTTACTGACATTGAGAAAGCACTGCTCGCAGCACCAGACGACGCCGGGGACCGTTCCGAAGATGGAGCGGTGTTCATCACCACCATTACCCAGGAGGAATTGAAGAACTGCTCTCTATGGATATCTGTTAAATTTCCTACACACTTCTTTGCCTTGCAGAAGTATGTGAGCAAGTATGGCAGGTCAAGGCCGCTGCACACGTCCCTGCTGCTCTCGTTCCTGGCATTCCAGATGGAGAGTGGAGGAAAGGTGCAGCCAAGTGACCCGTACAGACGTTTGTATTCCACCCTTGACGAATCGCACAATGCAAGTGAGGTGCTCACCAATGTTCTAATAGCTATGGCTAACAGCTCTGCAGATGTACTGCCACCAGCCTGCGTATGCTACCCGCGACGCAGATCAAGCATGAAGGACCAGAAGGCCTCGGGACTGACTAACAGCTTCTCGGAGTCGAAGAGTGCCTATTTGCTACGTCATGGCGTGAGTGCAACACCACCGCGCTCTTCTTCATACTATTACCTCAGCCACGAGAGCGATTCGGATCGCAAAGAGCGGGAGGAATGGGAGGAGAAGCGTAGCCTCAAGACTGCACAGTACGAGGCAGAGCAGAAACAGATCCTGCGGGCCATCGAGAAAGATATCGCCTCTGCTCACAGCTTGTTGTCGTCACCAAATGGAGCTTTGCTTTCCCACGGCTACGGCACAACTGCGTCGTCAGTTCCTGCTTTGCCATTCACACCCATCCGCGTGCAGTCCTTTCAGCATGCCGATTACAAGAGTCAAATGACTAGCCTGCTTCAAGAGATCAACAAATCACAGATCCTTCTCAGCTACGCAGCAAGGCTCAGCGTTGCACTGGGCGAGCTTGACGATCTGGATGCCACACTTCCGACCCATGTGCTTCTGGCAGCTGCATTTCAACTCGCTGATCGGTATGTGGAGCAAGCTTGTCTGGAGTACGACTATGCACACGGCGCAGAACCAATCTCCAAGGTCATGCTCAAGTTCTGGGACAAAACGGAGGCAAAGTCGAAAACCGGCAAAGCCGTACCCGAAGACCGGCAGCAGCCAGTGGAACGATTGGACCCACTCCTCGAACCGCTACGGCATAACTCCTCGTCTGATCCCATTGTTCGGGATTTTGCCCAGAACCTAGAGGACAGCTGCAAGGCCCTGTCAGACGTGCCTGACACGACAAGCCTTCAGCAAGTCGACCATGAGTCGGCTAAAGTCCACTGCCTGCGCAGCTATCACCAGCTGCATGCCCAGGCGGACAAGTCCTGGCAGTGCTTAGCGCAGTCACTGGACCGGTCCTGCAGCAGACGGCCAGGCTACAGGGCTCTGCGTGCCTGTGGCCTGCTGAGGCGCTGCCATCCACTAACCGTCTTCCCCAGCATCTCCAGGTCAGTGAACAAATCTAAAGCCACTGGTGAACGGCTTGTTGACGAGAGCTTCCCGGAGAAGCTAATCAGCTTCGTGGGAGGATTAATCAGCTGCCAGGTCATGGTGCAGCATCATATTCGACGGCTACGCTACCTGCAAGAGAAGCAGGACGATTGGTACCTGAAGGAATCCAGAAACGTTCCGCACAGGGCGTGGACACCCAGAGAGCACCCGGAGTGGTTGCTGTTCGAGTTGGAGAACGACTTGTGCATCTGGCCACGGCAGGTGGACGTCGCCAGGCAAATGATGGAACCGGCGGATGAAGAACACGCCGTGATGCAGTTGAACATGGGTGAGGGAAAAACAAGCGTCATCATGCCTATCATAGCAGCGGAACTTGCCGACGGCGATGCCCTGGTGCGGCTTATTGTCCTGACCTCGCTGCTAAATACTAACTGCAATCAGCTGATCTTCAAGCTCGGTGGTCTGCTGAATCGGCGCGTACTCACGCTGCCATTCCGCCGGGACATCCGCTTGACGTCGTGCCAAGTGTCCACCATACTGGAGTGTGTGGAAGACTGCCGGTGCGACCAAGGCGTGATTGTGACCGTCCGTGAGCACCTGCTCTCCAAGCAGCTCAAGTTCTACGAGTCGTGCTGCAAACAGGACACCAGCCTGTCCAAGGAGCTGGCAAAGCTTGCCTTGACGTTCAACACTTACGCCAGGGACATTATCGACGAGGCGGATGAAGTGCTACATCATCGCTTTCAGCTGGTGTACCCCATGGGCAATCGACAAGACCCGGATGGGAATGACGTGCGCTGGCTGATCTCTCAGATTGTGCTCGAATGTGTGAAGGATCTTGCCGGCGAGTTTGCCGAGCGTTTCGAGTCGTCAGTTAACTACACATTCACAGCTCAGCAAACATTCCCGTTCTTGCGCATTCTGGACTCGGCCAGGCGAGACGAAGCGTATGCCTGGCTGTCTAACCATGTAGCTGACAAGGTTCTAGCCGGGCATGGACGCCGTGGCGTGTCCGTCGATTCCGAAGTGATGGACGTCATCTCGGAGCTGGACGCGGATGAGCGTGCCTGGCTGAAGGACTTTGTGCTGCGCAAGGACGTGACCGCTGTGCACATCACACGGTTTAATGAGAAGATTCCCAAGCAGATTCACAAGGCCATGCTGTGTCTGAAAGGTCTGCTGGCGCATGAGATCCTGTTGCTAGCACTGCAGAAACGCTATCGCGTAGAGTATGGCCTACTAGCCACTACAGCCGGCTACAAGGAGAGAACCACCAAGGCTGGTAGCAACCGGACAATCCAAATGGCTGTGCCGTTTCGCGCCAAAGATGTGGCCGCTGAAAGAACGGAGTTTGGCCACACGGACGTGGCCATCATGCTGACATTGTTGTGTTACTACCAGCATGGTCTCACTCACTCTCAGATCGACAATGTCTTTGAGAAGCTGGAACGCAAGGACAAGTCATCCCAGAACAGCATCTATGCATCGTGGGTGATGATGGCCGGAAGGGGCAGGCTGGACGCCAGCATCACACAGCTGACGGGCATCAATCGCAAGGACAAGGCCATGATGACAGAGCTGGTGTACCCGTTCCTGCAGAACCACACGGCCGCTGTCAATTTCTTCCTCAACCACTTCATCTTCCCTCACCAGGCCAAGGAGTTTCCGGAGAAGCTCGTCGGCAATGCCTGGTCCATGACACCGTCCAATCGCGGCAAGCCTGTCACCGGGTTTAGTGGGACCAATGATACACGCCATCTGCTGCCCGGTTCCGTGTTGCAGCGCGACCTGCCATCGTTGCAGCACACCAACGCCCACGTCTGCAAGCTGGTGCTAGATCAAGTGAATGACGTGTACTCTGCTGACCTGCCCTCGCAATGCCAGGGAGTGCAGTTGCTGGAGATTCTTCCCGGTCCGCGCACAGCAGTACAGGAAAGTGCCACCGCCGTCAATATGACAGTCAACACTCTAATCGATGTGGGTGCAGTCATTCTGGACCTAACCAACGAGCAAGTAGCGAGAACATGGCTGGACCTGCGTCCAGACAAGCACGCTATTGTCTACTTTGACGACAAGAATCAGCTGCGGGTGGTCGACCAGCAGAGCAAAGTGCCGTGCAAACTGGAGCTGAGCCCATACGCCAGTGACCTGAGCGAGTGTTTGGTGTACCTGGATCACTCGCACACGCGCGGCACCGACTTGAGAATGAGCATGGGGACCAGGGCGGCGGTGACACTTGGCAAGGGACTGCGGCGTGACGAGATGGTGCAGGCGTGTATGAGAATGAGACGTCTTGGCGCCGGACACACGCTCAGCTTCTGGGCACCACCGGAGATTGACCGGCTGATCCGAGAGCGCTGCCGGCTCGCACCCGACGATCCCGTGCACCACTATCATGTGCTCCTGTGGTGTTTCTACAACAGCATCGACGCCACCAAGGCTGGCTTTCTGAGCTGGGCTATGCAGGGACTGGCCTTTCTGCACACCGACGGCGCTATGGGCAGAGCCACGGACCAAGGCAAGCGGCTTGACTCCAGCTTGGCTATAGACGTCCTGGGCAAGATGTGCTGCCTGCCGGACTGCATGCAGTTAACGGACATGTACGGCAAGCCACGCGAGAAACAGTTCATAGCCGACATTATCGCTGCCAGGGGCGGACTTGCGGCATGCGGCATCGAACAGCTGGTCGTTACCTGCCGGCAGTTTGTGCCTGAGGTTGAACGCTATGCCCAGAAACTTGACGAGGAACAGGAACGGGAGCTGGAACAAGAAGTCGAAGAAGAGAAAGAGCAGGAAAAACTGCCCAAAAGCAGCCATGTGAAGGAGACTTGTCCACAGTACCTCGTCAATCTTGCAGGTAGTGGAGATGCATCTATCGTTGCCGACAGGGATACATGCAATGCCGTGCCGATATGGGAATGCTTGGAGAAGACCAGTCTGTTTGTGGATCATGCTGATCTGATTGGCAGTGACGGATGGAGTCGCACTAGCCTGCTGGCCACCCAGTCCTTTGCTAACACCATCTTACCGCACACGCTCAGGGCGTCCTCTTCAACAATCTCTTCCCATCGTTACCATGTCTCATCACTGTCAGCATACAGCAGTGCAAGTGCTTATAGTAGCAGACCACTTCGGGACTACTTGCGTGATTATGACGATGACGATGACGATTACTATGGGCACCGCGACTATGACTACTTGGACGACGACGACGAGGATTATTACTATCGACAGATAGCCCTGAGGGAGGAAAGGGCTCGTCAACAGCGACAACAGAAGCAACTGCAGGAACGTCGCCGCCAGGAAGCAGAGAGACAAGCTGAAGTCCAGCGCAAGCTGAGCTTCATCGACCGTTTTTTGCGGCCCGTGGAATGGCTGCTACTGGTGCGCAAATCCGATTCGGACGAGCCATGCCTCCTGCTGGCAATCAGCCCCTTTGAAGCAAATCATCTGTTGTCATGTCGACCACTGCATTCACGCGTATCCTTGTTGCCGTACGCCACTCCAGTGCATCCGGATCAGGGTATCGTGGCAGATTGGCCCATGACAGCTGCTGGCAATCAGCTGGGCAGCCTGTGCAAGTCCCCCGCTGCCATGCAGGTATTGTTTGCTGAACTACTGTGCTTTACGAGTGGCCTGTTCTTTGGCGGTGCGGACAACGAAATGCACGCAACAATGGCGTCCATGCGCCACCTGCTCGAGTTGGAGCCGGAGCCAAGGCATGGTGATGATGCCGCGCAGGACGAACAGTTGCAAGGAGCAGCATTGAGTTTGAACGCCAACCCCGTCGGATGGCGGCATGCTTCAGAGAGCAAGAAGAAGACGACGAAGATGGCGACGACGAGCAGGCGTTTCCCGCGAGACCCGCTGCGCTTGCTGCGCGCCCTGCTGAAAATTCTGCGCTCCAGTGACAGCATCGATGCTAGCGACATGGGTACGCTGGTCTTGCAGCACAGCTGGCCCAAGCTGAGGTATGGAGACATTGGCTATACGGCACATGCCCAGTGAAGAGGAACGGCCCCATGATGGTGAGTGTATATTGTAAGTTTATTGTGTAATATTTTTTCACAGTTTGCTTGAGACGCGGTTAGACTGAGTTTTCAGCTTCCGTAGGAACGTCATCACCTGGGAAAGATCACAGGCACAGATGCAGCTCCTAAAGTGGTGGGAGGTGAGTAGATCAGACCCACCAGCAAAGTGGTCAAAGACTGAAAATCCCATTCGCTGCATCCATGTATCCCTCGTGCCAGACTACGAGTTCCAATTAACTGTGGCTCGCAGCACGGCTGGGAAAAATCCTTCCGCTTCCAAGCAGGACTAGAACCTGGTGCCTTCTGTTTCTCAATCATGGTCTTAGACCATCCCACTATGCCTCCCTCATGCTGTAAATGTACTGGATAATGATCGGAAAAAAAGGTTTCAGAGCAGACTCGCTCTCTTCCCCTTCACTCTGCAAACTCGAACTCATTTCTCAATCAATTTTTACGTTTCGGCAAATTTGCCCTCATCAGGTATGCAGTGGTGTGCAAGTTTGCAAAGGAGCAGTTATATACATGCAGTTATATACATGCAGTTTGTGTTGCTATGGATAATAATGGTATAAAAATTCCATCAAGTTGTGACACCATTAATTAATTATTCATAAGGTTGAGGGAGTTGAAAATGGGAAAAATTGATTCGGTTGAATTTTCAGCGATCACCATTCCAACTTCTTAGCATGAGTGGCAAGTCGCCTCTCCCAGACTGATGCCTTTGCCTCACCAGCCCAAGTAAGGTACCCATTACCAGACTGGTCTCCTTCGGGTGGCAGGCTACTGTATATAGTCTGTTCACTGTACAAATTCGTATCGAACCAGCAAACCTCATGTTTGGAAGTCCAATGCTCTATCCTATGCCTATGGTCACTTGAGGCGATGATCAATTGCGTTGCTGGGAGAACTCATTGCACAGTACATCATAGATACAGTCAACTGCACTTATAACGAACTCGCACATAGCGAATTTCGTGATATAGCGAAGCAGTGTCAATGTCCCTGTTTGAATCCATACGCGATTAACCCTTTATAGCGAACAGTTTTCGTATATAACAAACTGTATCTTGTAGGGCCGCGTGAACATGTAAACTAAGTGCAGTCATACTATCATGGGCCCGGGGGGGGGGGGGGGTACTATCATGGGCCCGGGGGGGGGGGGGGGACGTGCCAGTCACAATGTGTTCCGTGCATAGTGTGAGTGCATTTCGGTTATAAAGAACTTCGCAGGGGCGTCAGACACGCTACGGTCACTACGGTATTGACCGTACCACTCTTTGTTCCACGTAACCAGTGAATCAATCAAAAGCACAGCATTGGACTCTAAAATTTCAAAAATGTTCAGTGGAGCCACCCCTCCCAACAAATAAACTATACCTTAGATGGCTGACCCCACCACCCTAAATTATCTTCCGACGCCCCTGCTTCGGCTATAAAGAACGAAGTCTCCTGCACAATGGTATTCGTTTTATCAGGAGTTGACCGTATTTTTAATTGTAAAACCTTGTTTCTGATTGGTTCTGTGCTGGCATGTCTTGTGGCGTAGTTTGAATTTTTGATAGTGCCTTACTGCCTGCGGCTGTATTGTGTTTCCTGTTGGCGTGGTTTTTGCAGAAGACATTTCAATCAAACAATAATGCCACCGCATACACACACACACACACACACACACACACACACACACACACATGCATTTTTCGTCTCAACTTGGCTACTGGTTCCGACAACTGACTCCGCTATCTGACACGTCAACTGGCAGTCCTCTAGTTAACGGTTACAAAATATTGCAACACTTCCCCCTTCCCCCTCCCCTTCCCCGGTCTGGCGTCTGTACACTTCTAAATACTAAATGCCTTCATAGTCACCTCACGTGCTATAGTACCGAGTACCAGTGCGATCCATCTGATTTTCCAGTATAGGTTTGTCCGGCTCCACAAATAATGGCTGGCCGCACTCGGTAAGGCCGCGGTCACAGAGGAACCAGGCCTCAATGCAATAGATGAGCGGCCAAGTTTGTAGCTGTTCTCTTGCATTACACTTCCTTCCATCGTCTTACTACTTTGTGTGCTGTTTGCTCTCGTGGCAGTTCTGAGTTTTCACAGTCCTCCGTCCAGTCTCCTTTTTTATTTTATTTTTTTACACTTTTTGATTTATTATGTAGTCTCTCAGAAGCTATCCCCCGTCCTTCTGTTTCTCCCTCCTGTCTATACCACACATGCACGGTATCAATAGATAGTGTAAGCAGGCATCAAGATAGTTCGAATCACTCGCTCCGCAGATTTGCCTTGTTCAACCATTTCCATCCATTTTTCATCATGGCCTTCAAGTTGTTCTACTCTAATTTCTAAAAGACTATGCCCGATTTTACCATGGCATGTAGGTCAGTACGGCCGGCCAGTAGCATTGCTTTCTCCGTTACTCTACACATCTAGTCTACCATGGTCTACTAGTAGTGCAATCATACAGCATCAAGTTGTATGTGTGCACAGCTGTAGCCATCATAATACCGGTATGCACGCCGCATTTCTGGACTGGCATTTTCAGAAGTTTTCACAATGATCACTGACTTCCAAATTAGTCCTTTCCATTTTTAGCGCTTTCACTTCATCATAAATTTTCTGTCCTTTTCAGTTTAGGCACCATGCTAGTCACATACCAGTACATAATCTGCTTCTCAGTCCGGCTAGCTTCTTGGCTGCTCCCCCTGCTCATGATTGATGATACAGAATACTGGCAGACAGTCTTTGGTCTTTTCTGAATGCGATAACGTATCACCTGTACAGTGGCTGAGCCTGACACTGTGGCAACCGGGGAGTACAGTCAGACCTCGCTTAACCGCACACATCTGTTTTCCACAAAAATATCCGGATAGGCGAGGGAACCGGATACATGTAGTATAATACAATGTGTCATGTAGTCATCTCCCTGTATTATCATGATTATACTGCTCCCTAGCCCTGGTGACAACAGACTCACTGGTGTCCATGATGTACAATCATGTTATAGATCTACATGACTTGAATCATTATCACCAAGAGTAGATTCGACATATACATAACTCTTGTTACCACTCAGTCACTGGCAGTCAAGTACTAGTTTAAAAGACACGAAGTAGATCTACTGCAAGTACTGCAAGTGCTGCAAGTACTAAGTAGACTGCCACTTCTTCTCTAGGACACGACCGCACTTCTAAGTAAAAGGCTTTTAAGTTTTATTGCTTGTCGATCACCCAAACCATGGCTTCAGCCAGGAAGTCCCTTTCGGAAGTGGAAACAAATGTGCACGCGCCCTCAGTCAGCGATGGCTCTGAAATCAACCATGCCTGCTGAGCATATCATGCGTTTACACAGTCAGCGATGGCTCTGAAATCAACCATGCCTGCTGATGACCATGCTGCACACTGCCTTCTTGAATGTATGTAGTATCAGGCGCAAGACAGCCGAAGTGCAAAAGTTCTTGTCAAACAGAGGCATTCATGTCTTTGGTATGGCTGAGACTTGGCTCACTCCAGATATCTTGGACAGTGAACTTACTATCCCACATTTCAAGCTACATCGGAAGGATAGATTGCAGCAACGTGGTGGTGGTGTTGGGATATTCTGCCATGAATCTGTTCTTGCGCGAAGACGCACTGACTTGGAGACTGACTTAGAGCTGCTGTGGATAGAAGTTAGCGTTTCCGGTGGCATAGTGCTGGTTGGATGCTGTTATCGTCCACCGGACAAACCTGTAGCATTCTGGACCTCCCTGGAGTCCAACCTAGACGCATCAGTTCATGCACCAGGAAAGAAGGTTCTGGCAACTGTCATGCTGGGTGATTTCAACGTTGATAATGAAAATGAACCAGTCACCCATGGCCATACGAGTAACTGACTTGTTTAACAAATTTGGTATGACAAATTATGTGTCTTCACCAACACGTGCCACCACCCTTACTGAGTCAATCATTGATCTCTTCCTATCAACTTCCCCGCTGAAGGGACCTTGTGAGATAGCCTACCTAGACATTAGTGACCACTTTGCAGTACTTGGGAATCTTTCTGTGGCAGGGTTTGCACCAGGCCGTACTTCCAGCTACAGACCTACACGCCGCATCCATAAGATAAACTGGGACGCCTTCAACAGCGATCTCAGTGCAGAGCAGGCCATAGATGATGTCAACACCCTTGCATCATCTTTCATCGCCTCCATAGTGTCAACATTGGATAAGCATGCACCCGTGCGGATGAGGCGAAATCGGGATAGACGTCCCTGCCCGTGGGTAACAGATGAACTTGTGGCCTGCGTACGGGAGCGAGACAGACTCCATCGACTGCTCATGAAGAACCGCTGCAATGATGATCTCCGCAGTCAACACCGCACTGCTCGTGCCAAGGCCAGGAAGCTGGACAGGAGCCTGAAGAACACGTATTTCATCCAGCAGTGCCAGACTTCTGACCAACGTAAACTTTGGTCAGTCATCAATACTGTGGTGGCCGGAAGAAACAATCGCACACTGCTCAAGTACCCATATCGGATCTTAGCAAGCTGTTTGGTGACGTTGTCCATGATCCCCAGCGTCCTCCTCAGCTCTGTTCTCCCTCTGGTCCAATGGCGGAAGGGGCATTTACCGACTTCAGTGTAGTGACAGTCGAGGATATGGCAAGCAGTTTGAAATCTGTCAACCCTTTCAAGGAAACAGGCAGTGACCAAGTTCCAAGCATCATCCTGCAAAAGTGTTATCCAACCATTGCCCCCACACTTACACGCATCACTAATATATCCCTGTCCTCCGGTGAGTTCCCCCTGTCCTTCAAGTTGTCCCACGTCAGTCCGCTCTTCAAGAGTGGAGACCCAACTTTTCCAAAGAACTACCGCCCTGTGTCACTGCTCCCAGTTATCTCCCGCATCACGGAAGCATTTGTAAAAAATCAGATCACGCAGTACTTGGACTCCATGCAACTTCTTCCGCCTACTCAGTTCGCCTACCGAAAGCTTCACTCCACAGAAGATGCCTTAACGTATGCTGTTGATCGATGGCAAATGGCACGGGCAGAGCGCAAGTATACCGGCATCGTGTTTGTCGACATGTCAAAGGCCTTTGACCGCGTCAGGCATGAGCGACTCGTTACCGAACTGTTTAAGCTAGGCATCTCGGGAACTGCACTCAACTGGTTCTGCAGTTACCTGTCTGGCCGGACACAGCAGATCACATTGCAGGATCAGTTGTCAGGGACTGTTCCTTGCTCTCGCGGTGTTCCGCAGGGCAGTGTCTTAGGCCCACTCCTGTTTGTAATTTACACTGCTGACGTCAAGTCAACGATGCCTCCGGATGTGGCAGATCAGAAACTCGCTGATGACATCGCTCTCGATTGCTCCAACGCGTGTCCCAAGCAAGTCTGTGAGTCTCTGTCGTCTGCAGTGACCAACCTCGCCAAGTGGCTAGATGACATCGGCCTACTTCTGAATGCCCAGAAAACCCAAGTTCTGTTTGTAAAGCCAAGAGGCGGTGCTGATGTTCAAGAACATGTACGTTGTCGAGGACAACCCCTGGAAGCAACAACATCTACGAAATACCTGGGTGTTGTAATCGACAATGACCTCTCCTGGCAGCCACATATCAGCTATGTCACACGCAAGATCGGGCCAGTAATTGGACAGCTATGGCGACACAGCAGGTCCCTGAGCCTAAGAGCACGCCAAGTCTGGTATGTCAGCATGATACAGGCTCATCTGTCCTATGGATCCAACTGTTTCTTCTCCAGTCTTTCCAAGCAGCTCCTGGAGAAACTCCACCGCCTGCCAAAATCCGGTGTCAGAGCGACCCTGCAGCAAAGGACTCTGGTCCCGACTGCCCCCCTTCTCGAGCTACTGGGTGTGCCAAGCTTGCCACAGCTTCTCTTCCAGAAGCTTGCCATCTTCGTTTTCAAATGTTTAAATGACAAGACAAGTCCCCTGTTAAAGAATCTGTTCGTGCCGATCAACGACCCTGCCACACCTCAGCTGAGGACTACACGGGGTCAAGTGTCAAGCCTGCTGAGAGTTCCGTTCCTCCCTGGTCCTGCTGGACGTCGTTCAATTCAGTTTGTTAGCAGCATTCTGTGGAATGCTCTCCCAGTTGCAGTCCGTACGGAAGGTGATTGGCAGACATTTAAAGCTCTAGCCACGACTCTCGACTTGCCCAGACTTGCAGTGTTAGCGCGAGATGACGCATTTCAGCACTGAGGATTTCACAGCGCTGCGTGCTATCCTTCCATTTATTACAGTGTATCAGCAAAATTTACCTGACATATCTTGTAGTATTTTAAGGTCAATGTCTTCATGACACCACACAGAAGCACCAGTAGCGAGAAGCCCCATGCAAAGGAAGCGATGCGCTGGAGATCAGTACACGAAGGTCATGTTGCATTGCAAGCTTGTCAGTTTTCAAGCCCAACGCCATGAACCATATATCGCAACGTTAACTATAGACCTGGTCTATTGATGCCCTTGTTAATATTTCATACTTTTCTCTCCCTCCACGACTTCTCCCTCACACCCCCTCTCTCTCTCTCTCTCTCTCTCTCTCTCTCTCTCTCTCTCTCTCTCTCTCTCTCTCTCTCTCTCTCTCTCTCTCTCTCTCTCTCTCTCTCTCTCTCTCTCTCTCTCTCTCTCTCTCTCTCTCTCTCTCTCTCTCTCTCTCTCTCTCTCTCTCTCTCTCTCTCTCTCTCTCTCTCTCTCTCTCTCTCTCTCTCTCTCTCTCTCTCTCTCTCTCTCTCTCTCTCTCTCTCTCTCTCTCTCTCTCTCTCTCTCTCTCTCTCTCTCTCTCTCTCTCTCGTTAAATCATGCACCTGCTTTCAGGCGTAAAAACCCTGTTGTAGAGGTCTCAGTCCTCATTTGTTAGACTTACCTGTCTTTATAAATGTAACTTACTCATGGTGCTGACCGATAGCCTAGCCTACGTAACGACTCGTACAGTGCTCGCAACTGAAATCCGGGTGCGCTCACATCGCAAAGACCCAACACCATGAACACGGGACGGTAAAACTACGAAACAGAGACCGCTAGAAAGTGTACCCACCGCTCAGGTGGTCGGATTTCAGTTGCCAGCACTGTGCTTCGACTTCGCGTGCAAACAGTACCTGTCAGTTCGCAAACACTGGCCGCTGATATCCTACTTTAAAAAATTCATTTTAGTTGTAGTCCTAGAATCTAGTCCCAGCCTTCCACCTCCTTGCTCGTGCAGTAGTGTGAGCTGCACTGACCGCGAGGCGATACAATACGTAACATGATTGTACTGATAGCTCAACACGGCTTTGAGTTTGAGTCTTTACTACATACTAGTATGCCCGTCTTTACAGTTCTAGCACACGTACATTGTACTATAGTACAGCAGTACCCTGGCTATGCTCTATACTCTCAACATCTTTTTCCTCTTATAAACACGCTGATTTTGTCATCCCTTTTCCTCGCGCTACTGAAATGTACCTCCATCGCCTTTTGCCTTCTCCCCTTCTCCGTATACATATATTCTAGTGATTGTTAGTCTTGGTCATATGCTGTCTGATGAAGTGTTCTGACACGAAACTCGGAGTTACAGCGGAATGAGACTTGTTTGATTCATTGCTGTGTAATATTGTAGTAATAATATTATGTAGATCTACATGTACACCACAGCACCTCAAACTCATACTATTACTAGTAGTCATACATTATAGTTAGCAGCGTCAGCAGCGGCTTATTATTATGACAGTAGTGTTGGAAGGATGTCAGTACCACTAGTTTTAAAAAACTATTGACGGCAGCAGGAACTAATACTTACTT